CCCCCAGAAACTCACGCCCATGGCACGATGCTTTGCCGCACTTCAGAAGTACTTACCCAGCACTTTGTCGCCACCAAACAGATTCTTGAGCTGCACAGTTCCTGTGCCCACTGTGAAGACGATCCTCAGAGAGCTGAACTTAGGGAACTTGTATCCATTCCTCTCTTCCAATTCGCCGTCCAATCTGACGTGGGCTTTGCAGTCCGCTGCATAAAGGACACATGTGACACTCTGTATTGTGTTAATTCACTCTACTGGAGCCCGAAGTTTCTTCAAATAATATATAAAAATTCAGTTCGTACCTCACGGGAAACACATTACATCTCAGCTACAAGGCCCAACCAGCTAACACTGTTTAGGGAAACAGTTGCTGTTTACTGTGAGAATCGTATGTTGGCAAAACGGAGAGTTGTTAATGCTAACGCGTAAGGTACCTTCAGTTACCTCTGTGCTTTAATAAATCTAAGCTATGGAAATACATGAAAATGAATATGGTAGTTAGTTCAGAGCTTGACAGAGTTACCAGATATTTTTACTGAGCCTTCTCAAGTATATACTGGATGATGCTTTGAAATAGGCCACGGTTACCTCCTTCCAAGCCAATATTAACTTACATTTCTTCATCACGTTACATTATATCACCTCTTCAACAGAAACAGCAATGTTAAATAACAGACGTTTAGTTTACTGTATCCAAAGCTGTGATAATGTCCCAGACTTGAAATGCAAGTTTTTCGCAAGTAACCCATTTTGTAGTACAGATTCCTTCTTAAGAAGCCAATGTTCCCTCATCTACCAAGAAATTCCCTGCCTTTTGTTCATTAACTAGCTCACAAGAGCTTGCCAAGTTTCTCATAACACAAAGATCAGCTGTTGGCTGTGTGCACAACTGCCCAACTAGAGGAACACTTCATGTCGCCTCTCCGTGGGAGCTTCACTCTGTTTTTGCAGGTGCCCTCCATATCTGAAGGCTGGCGGCTCCACCCATACTCTGTTATGGTCAGAAGGGACCCACTTAACGGCAACATTTCCACACATTGGATTCGTGTTGTCCACTAACGCAAAGGGTAACTTTTTGTTGAAATCATAAATCTGGGAATTATGCATCCACAAAGTAATCCTGTGAGATCCTAACTAGGACTAACTCCATTCAAACAAAGTTTCATTTTAAAAGCTAATAGTGGCTCACAGAGTAAGAATTTGTATGCTTTTTGCTGCATTGCAAATAGATAGCCATTCTCTGAGCTGCCCACCAGGGAAGTCATCATCAGCATCTGGGTCTCTGCACTCTCCCATTCACTGCTGCGACGCCATGTTCATACGAGGGAGAGCAGTGAATAGGCCACACATCGATATAAGACATAAACATGTGATATTCAAACCTGGAAAAAAAGTTTATCTCCTGACATAACCTCCACTAACATTGATACACCTGTCCCATCGCTTTACCAGTGCGTCGAAACCCACAGCATAGAAGCCTTTTGACCGTTGCCTCAGCCACTTGTGCAACCGTTTGGGCATCATCTGCGACTTTCGCTCCTTGAGAGAATTTCTGGACCAAGTTGTGAACCGCTTTACGCGTCAAACACTTCCCACCGTAAACAGGAAACATTTCTTTATGAATACCCTTCTCATTGGGTCATTCTGCCCACAAAAAACGCACAACAGTACGGTGCTCTTCGGTAGGATACGCCTTAAGCAGGGTCGCCATTTTGACTACTGAAACCAGGCTCAGAACATGCGCAAGTGCATCTTCTACTTGGACTGTGCTGCTACCTAGTGATGCACACACAGAAACCCCTTACGTCTATTACAGCTGTTTTACTTCCATTTGTGGCCTGTTTACTGACTCTGCCTCGTACATAATGCGACTGTTTTCTCAATATTCATGACAGTCTTCCTCCACCATTCAGCACTATTGCATGATCCATGCACTTGAATTAGTGTCATTAAAACATGAGAATCATTTATTAAGGTGGCCTCACCCTTTTCGTTACAATAGCAAATAGACCAAACTGAACTTACTCCAGTTTCCGTAAAGAGGCCCGTTTCCCTTGATGGGGAGCAGCAAAAGCCGACCGCTGACGTCATACTCAGCAACTGTGTATAGCATTGGAAGCTCGAGGTCGAAGTCGAAGTCCAGATTCTCCATGTCTGCTCTGTGAACGGAACAAGGGAGCAGTTAGCCACAGGCTAAGTTCAGGCAACTGGCTGTCTTGGTAAGGCCACTGGGTTCTCCCTTGTTTGGAACTGGAAATGGAAGATGTAAGGATGGGGCAATATATTTACGGAAGAGTTACTACAGGCGCCATCTTGGTGCAGGGAGCATATGGGAGGGCAGTTGCTTGAACCCACTGACAGCCAAGTCCTGCCATAGGATCTCGCATTAGAAATGCCAAGGCTGCCTGGGTGCAAATGCGTTTGCACAGGAAACCCCACAGTACTTCCTGAAATGCATCCTCTGAAAGTACCAGTTGACCAACTTCGTTGCAAGCCCCCTGAGGGTTAGGAATTGTGAAGGAGGAACCAGGACAGAGCCGACGGGAAGGCTGGAAACGTGCAGAGCATTGAAATACGCACATCATCTCTGAAAGATAAGGTAACAATAGGTTATGAGGGTATCAGTGCGTTTTAAAGATAAACAAAAATAAAGTCGTGAAGAAGGTTCAATATTAAACTAAATAGGAAACGCCCAAGAGGAAGACCAAGGGAAAGATGCGAATAGCAGGCTAAGAAATATGTCATGTAGAAGGACTGACTCATGGGAAGACTTGGTTGCCACATAAAGTGGAAGCACCGGAGGCGGTAGGAGTAGGGAGGTTAGGAGCTGGGTAAAGCCGGAACAGACGGCTGCAATATACTAACATCATATTGAAAATCCGGAAGTTGCTGCACCCGTAGGTCTTGACGTTTTTGCCCACAATTCGTAAGCCGTTTCCCTCTGTGATGAGTACCTCTTTCATCATCAGCGGCTCCAAGGAGGGGAAGAACCCTTCAACCCCTGCGAAAATAGGAATTGTCCGCGTGATCAGATGAACAGAAAATGAGTGGAGACTGTGGCACGTATGGGAGAAACAAGAAACATGTAACAAATTTTGGTTATAAGACCTAAGCGTAGATGGAAGTACAATATTACAGTTGAGAATGGGAAGATATTCAGTGACAGGCTTTCGTGAACCGTTGGGTTCCGTCTGTTCTTTATGCGGTTTCAGATCTAGTCAGAGTGTGAACAAGTTACGGCAGCTCATTCAGAGACGTGTCATTATAGCGAGTGGGTTGCGGGTTGGACTACTGAGGAATCGGGCTTCGAATCCTGTTAGGGGTATGAAAATTTCCCCTGTCCAGATCGACTGTGGGCCCCACCCAGCCTTTTGTCAAAAGGGTAATGAGAGTTCTATCCTCGGAGGTAAGGCCGCCGGCTCGTGAAGCAGACAACTCACCTGCATATAATGCTGAGGTTAAGAATGCATGGAGCTATGCTTCTCTTCCCTCCACACGTCTTTTTGGTATGATGCTTAATTAAGCAGTAGGACAAACTGAGGTTTCCACTATGTGTATGTGTAGTGTGTGACGTCAGTACTGAAAGGAAATTTATCCTGCCATCTGTTGGCATTCTAAGTGATATAGTTTCCACAAATGAAAAAATAGATCTCCCTCATACTGAAATAAGCGTATGGAGGAGTGGAGATATAACTCCGCACATTCTTATATTAGTCAGTTACCCATCAGATAAGAGGCTGGATGGACCCCAGGGCCAGTCCCCACGTTGTGGACCACCGATTCCCGATTCTTCGCTTGTCCAGCCCATAGGCTGGTCACTGTAGCGACGAGGTATCCGGGCTTCTGCTTTTACTTTCTAAAAGCCTAATTTATGAGTGAACCCGAAAGTGCGTTTTTGTGCGGAAGAGCTCAGCTGGGATGCAGCATTCACCACATAAATTTGCACGACCCCGCCACTGAATGCCATAGAATATAAATGTGTAGGCAAGAGTATGTCTCACCATTCTCCAGCGCTGGCTTGAGCTGCTCCACGGAGTTGGTGATGCATTGGTTCAGTTCCGGCTCGCCCCTTTTACAGATTTTGATGAAGTCCGCTGTAACATAACAAAAGAACCGTTTACTGTGTACAACTTCGGGAATTCGCTTCTTAGTAAGCTGAAAACTTTCCAGTGTTTCGGTAAACATTGCAGTTACCCTTTTTATGGTTAGTATCTGCGGGAGAGTTCGGGTCGGATAAATTGCTGCTGGTTTCGCCAGCACAGTCATTCTTTGCACCGAGTCGCGCGTGACTCACGACCATATTTTCCTGTCTCACGATTCTGGAAGTCCAACTGCTGAGGGTCGGGGTTCGGAAGCTCGTGCATAGGGTTGGGAGTGGACGATTAGTGGGAAGTAGAGCTGTGATTGGACGAAGCTGATGAGCAGAGCGCTATCCAATAGGGAGCGACCGTGTGGTTGATCGAAATGTTCTCTGAATTCCGGTACCAGTTGAAGGGAAGTGATGGAAGCTGTTCCGGCGACACAGGAAGTAGCGACAGCGAATGGCGAACAGGAGACAGGCTGCCGACACCCCTCTAAGGCACTAGCCCTGAAGGTGGTAGGCGCAAACTTGCCGAAACGTTGGAAGAACCTTCAGCATACCGAGCACTCCCGAATTCCGAAGTTACAGGTACCCGTACATACATACGTACTCCAGCTGCGAGGATCTGTGTGTCAAGGACAAGGAACAATATGCAGGGTGACCCATGAGGAAAGGTCAGTATTGTGGGAGGTCATAGTATCGGTCATTAGAGATATTACGTACTATTTCCAATGCCGGTATTTATTGTTCAAGTGCTTCTGTTTCCCCTGTAATTATCATTTCGCAAAATGCTCGGTTTGTCTCACATATCATTCAGTGAGAGGGTCACGCGGTAGCTTTGTTGGATGAGGCTCTATGCTACAAACCGGAAGGTCGCGGGTTTGATTCCCGACACGGTCATTAGTTTTTTCAATTGACCTAATCAGGCTGACAATCTCACCGCCATCTGTGAGTCGATTGTCTAGAAAATGTGCGTGCCTCGACGTCTGACAAGCCTATGAGCCTCCTCGGCTTGTTACAGGGATATCTTTACCACTTTTTAGCATCTAGTGGGTCCACTTGAAGACCGCCTACCATGTCCTGTTTAGACTACACGCTAAACACACAAGTCGGAGAAGTTGCCGCATCGTAACGGGGAACCCGGTGCTCTTGTGAACGAGGTTATGAAATAGGAAACTATTGTCTCTGCAGCCCTTTGTTGGGCCCTAGTCACCCATTCAGTTTTGTAATCCGATACACAGTCCGTAGGGCTCGTTGAACAGGGGATCAGCCCGTCAGAAGACGGCTACCTACACACAGAATAAACTCAAACAGTCATCCATACCTCGAGCGGGATTCGAACCCACGGCCCCAGAGTTGGAGCGGGTGAAGACCGCGTGGCCAGTGTGGCCATTCCAGTGACAGGTTCTGCCGGATTGCGGTTTGCATTCCTTGCTCAATCCTTGTTGGGCAACGTCGCGATTCTAATTACACGTTGCTCGGCAGTGTGAAGCAGGAACTTGCTTCGGGCTGTTGCCAAACTCGGCCTACTGGAACAGTTCAACAGTCGCCATTGCTAAAACCTGCAGACTTTGTGAAAGGACGGTCGCGAATTCTGCGCAGGCTCCGCGGTAATGCCTTCACTTGTTAAGTTGACGTAACCTCAGAGTATATCATGGGACACCGCGGAGATGGAATTCTGTTTCGATCCGTCCAGTTTGTCACTGAACAAGAAGCGTGGACTGATGACTCCAGATCTTCCTCAAGGCCTCCCATTAAAAAAATAGTTTGAGTAATAATTTACGTACTAATGTGGATATGGTCGTCACCCTAATTGTCAAATTACCTTTCTAGTACGGTCTAGTTTCCTGTGTAAACTGTATAGCAGATTGGACTCAACGTCCATTGTTTGGTGTTGTTACGCTGGGAACACGAGCGTGCAGTTTGCATGCACTACACACAGCGTAATGAGATGTGTGTGCGAGACTGTAATAAGGGTCATTTGTGTTCCATAGCGAATTGTTTTCAAATTGCTGTTTTTTTAAGAATTGTATTTATTTATGAAGTAAGTGAACAGTGATTAACAATGGCAGCCGGTACGTACCATCTACTTTAATATTAAAAAGCCAAATTTTGCCCCTACGATTTGTGTGTTCGTTACGATTGTCACGACGAGCAGCTGTAAACATATTCATTACGCGACTAGTCTTTGTATTTAAGAAGTCGTGTGTGTTTTTTGTGAGACGGGAAAGAAATTTTTAAATATTATTTATATTTAAACTAATTAACATGAAAAGCCCTTGCTTTCGAGGCCTTCAAATTGGTGTCCAAATCAAGAAACTCGCGATTAACTGAATGACACGGAGATAATCTACAGGAGATTACAAAACTCACTTCCCAGTGTGAATTAAACTTGGTCCCCCCCCAGCCCCTTGCACTCTTCGGGTTTCAAATGGACGAAGAGTAGTTAATGAAATTATGTTGGACACTGTCCAGTATCTTGGGTATATTTGAAATTTTCAACGTTTCGGAAGCTGGGCGTACTTCCATCGTCAGGGTTCAGTTGGGCCCGTTACACAGACCTACTGCATGACGGTGGGCACTGTCCAGCATAACTTTGTGACGAAGAAAGAACACAGCCAGCGAGCTTTTGGAGGTGACTGGTCAGCGGACCTAAAAACACATATTGTAGGGTATGAACTTTGCGGGCAGTACGCGGCTCACGCGTCTCTTGTATACAACCCAATCGGGTTACATAGGCTCAATTATCTGCATTCATTTTTCAACTTACTGTTGGGATCTGTGACTTCGCAAAGCATTTAACGACGATGTACCGAGGTTGATGCGATTGGTGAAATGGACATATCTGAGGCGGAGGTAACCGTCTTGATTTTCAGAATGGCATCGAAGCCATCTTGTGGAAGCACTAAAATAACCACGAAACACTTGAACAGAACACTCGGTCGGAGCAGGCTGGCGTAACGGTGGGGCTCCACATCTGTATTCCAGAGGAACAGACACTGGCTACCCTGATTGTCGGTTCTCCATGGGTTTTCTCAGTTTCTGTGCAACAGCGTATCAACACAAGGGGAGCTACATTGGGAAGGCTGCGTATGAATCTTATAGTTTGGTTGCCAACTGAAACATTTGCACTAGGACCGAGTAAAACCACGGGAATCCTTGAGGTACTTGGCAGGATGTGGCTCATGTAAATGCTATTTAGAAATGTGTATCTTGCGACCAGCCGTTTACTGCTGTGTAAGGAAAGAGTCGCTGTTTACTGTGAGAACCATACGGAACACACAGATACACTCTGTGGGCAGAATGCAGAGTTTTAGTATGTTCAGTCCGTACCTTACAGGAAACATTACGTCTCCGCTACAGAGCCCAACCGGTTAATGCTGTTTAGGGAAACAGTCGCTGTTTAGTCTGAGAACCATACGGAACACGCAAGTGCGCTGTGTGGGCGCAATACACGGCCTTTTCTTGTGAAAGCGCGTGGCACATGTAGTAACCACTGAGCTTTGTAGGCGAGTGTAAGAAAGATTTCCAAGTGTGAAGTGTTTGAATTGTTAAAAAGAGGATTCCTTGTCTGAAACAAAAGGCAGTGTATGTCTGTGTATATATTGAACACGGCGTGTTTGCCTGGAGGTAGGTTTCCTAACGTCAAGGGGTTCGCGAAATGTTCGTATGAGTCCACTTTGCAGTTTGTGCAACATCAAACTTCAGTGTGACCGTCTGCAACTGAAGAAATCGTGTACAGACCGCTTCACATCCAACTGAACCCAGAGGCGAATGGGGAGCGCTGAGGTAAACATCCACGCATTTTACACCGTGGTGTGAAGATGGTGGTAGTCTTACAGCCAATAGCATTTCACGTTACTGAATAATGAATTAGCGGCAACCTGGTTATGTGGTTGCTGTAAAGTTCTGATTTCAGAACCAGGCTAGATACACTCCAGTGATCTCCTGTTTATTGCTCAAGTTCGTATACCCAACTAAACACTATTTTTTAGCGTTTTCTCAACGAACAGTTTTCTAGTTCTCCCGTTAGCTTCACCATGTCTGTCAGAGCGTGACAGCTGGAAAACCAACGAATGGATACTCAGAATTACTGGGTGTTTGCACTTGGTCCATCGTCCGGTATTCTAGGAACTATAAAACACAACGTTTCGGAAACTGAATCTATTTTTGTCCCCAGCAGAAGGGCAGAAGACATTCTGTAGAAAGAGCTGGCCACAATCATTTGAAGGTTAGCTGTTTCTAAGGGACACAACTCAGTAGGTGTGTTCCTCCCCACCTGAGGACGGAAACAGATCTAGTTTCCGAAACATTGTGTGTTCTCTAGTTTTTAGAACACCGGGCGATGGACCAAGTGCAGAAACCCAGTAATTCTGAGTACACGGCATCGCCCGAACCTTCAGGATCTGTCCATTGAATGGATGTTCTTGAGATTTTATATCGACGAATTTCGCTAAAATTGTAATTTTATTTGAAATCTGACGATAATGCCCACCCGCGTTTCTGCGCGTGCGCCCCAAGCGGCACTCGCTAAACGTTTGGAAGAGAAACCGCGCAGAGAAATGGAACACAGTTTCGCGCCCAGTTTTGGACACAAACGAAGAAACGGAGTGTTGCTTTGCGCCTGCGTTTGCCTAATTTCATATACATTGGCAGATGTTCCATCAGTAAATATTGTAGAAGCGGTTTCTTCCTCGTCTGCAATAGAAACAAGATGACTATTACACAACGTTTTGCTTGTGTTTGATCTGATGTTCTTGTCTCTAGCAAGGTCAATCGCTGTGCAATGTGGGTTTTCTCAACCACAAGAATTTCACACCTTATTTCTGTAAATATCGAACGTAATATCTGCGCATGCGTAACGACTGTCACTACGCTTGGAGAGTATTTTTTTATTGCTAGTGGGGTGGGACTAAGTCCCTTGTACTGCGGCTACTTCTGGCCTATTGTACCAGCCCCAGATGATAGGTGAGGGTGATTGTGGAGCAATTGGTGGAATGAAGATTGGCAGGGGAAACCGAAGTACTTGGAGAAAACCTGCCCCAGTGCCACTTTGTCCACCACAAATCCCACTTGACCAGACCCGGGATCGAACCCGGGCCGCCGCGATGGGAAGCCAGCGACTAACTGCTTGAGCTATGGCGCGGCCTCGCTTGGAGAGTAACACAAGTGCTGCAGGTGGTTTGCCGGACCCCGTGACCCGAATATTCGGTCAAATAAAGCACATTCGAGACTTGGCCCTGTTGTGCTTTGCGCGGCAACGTCCCGCGAGAAAATGCCGCTGTCCGGCATTCTTTCTGACAGCTATGGAGAACGGTTTTTATTTCATATAATGACAATGGTTTAACTGTAGAATTGAGGATATACAATGAAATCTCACTAATTAGGAATTCCCGATAATTCGAACAACTTACGGCCTTGATGATGGCGTTGCCGCCAAGAGCAGATGCGGTGAGAGAACAGCACAAAGAATGAACACAGACCGAAGTAAATTCATTTTTAAACACTCTCAGTAAGAGTAAATATGTAAAGTTGTCCCTGTGTCATGAAGGCGTATAGGGGAATGGATGTATATCTCCACATTTTCTTGACCTCGGCACTAGTTGGAGATGAGTGGTCAGCTTCACTCCACGGCCGCTTTACCCCCTGGATAAGAGCCCCCGGTACCCATTGGATAGGAGGTTGAGTGGACCCCAGAGCCGGTCTGGACGACATGGAGAAGAGACAATTCTTGCGACTACTGGGACACGAACTCCGGCCCCTCGGTCTGTAGCCAGTCACTACTCCGACTGCGTTATCCCCGCTATCTCTACCGATGTCGAGATGTATATTTCTTACGTGTCATGACAAGTGGATTATTTTATAATGTGCATACGTGCCCATCCCATGACTGGACTTGAAAGGCTGAGGAAAACCACGACAAGTCCCGAATCAGAATAGCTGGTAACCCTGTATAGGATGTCTCGAGAACACAAGTTTTGGTCGTTGCGGTTTGTGTTTGAAAATAAGCCCAAGCGAGCCCTGGAACTGACACTTTCGTGAGAATCCGTCAGTCACTCACCTGGTTAAAGAACTGACCGCAGTCAGGACAGCCGGTGTCCTGGCCGGGATTCGAGCACAAGGAACTGTCGAATACTAATCTGCGGAGTTACCTTACGGTCTTGATAGTCACCGGCGTTTCGAAAGATTCCGCTGCTTCCGTCTTCACGGTACAGGAGCGATGCAGCAGGTTGCTGTGTCTGTCTGCCAAACCATCTAACGTGGCAACGTGCAGGAGCTATTGCGCACACGGCAGACGGATACTGCGCGAACTGCCGTCACACCAGGACAGTCGAAGCGAATGTCGTTATGTTTTGTCTCTTCACAACTCATCGCACTTAGTTTCTGTAAGGCTACAATGTGGCAGCAATAAGCGGCAGTGTCTCAGTCGGTATTACAGTGTCCACCTTTGTCTACAGACCTGGGCGCCTCCAGCCTTCTTCCGGGAGGCGGAGGGCGGGCCATCTTGATTTCAAGATATCCTTCAAAAGCTACAATGTCTGTATGCGGGAACTGTCAAATTGTCCTGTTCAATTTTCAAGTGGCGGGGTAGCGCAGTCGGTATAGCGACTGCCTACGGGCTGGACGACTGAGAGGTTGGAGTTCGGGTCCCGGTTGGATCAGAATTTTCTTTTCTCCATATCGTCGAGACCGGCTCTGGGGCACACACATCCTCCTATCCAACGGGTACCAGGGGCTCCTTCCCCGGGGATAAAGCGGCAGGAGCGTGAAGCTGACAACTGGTGTTGAGGTTAAGAAAATGTGGATCTATACATCCACTCCCCCGTACAGGGGTTATTGTTAAGAGTGCGAGACAGCCGTGGCCAGTGCGCATACTCACGTATCTTCTTGTCCTGTGCGGCTGCGTGACGCGGTGTCAGGAGCGCGACCAGCCCGAGGAGCAGCAAGTGTTGTGGCGCCATTCTGCGGACTGCGGACACTCTCGGCCTACACAGAGATACTGGTTAGTCGCCTCCCTCCTCCACACACGTTACTGGCCCCTTCCGTGGGCTCTCCTGCTTTCTGTTCCCGAGGTCCGGGCTTCAGAACTCGTTTCCGTCAGTCCCTCCCATGAATCATCGGAATTACTCCTCGAAGAAAGCCACGACTGTTCTTGTTCCTGTCACTGGACACTGTGTATTCTGAGCTACTGACAGCGTCTGTGTATAAATCGCGAATCTTATATACCAGACAACGGCAGTCTTAGAAAACCTGTGCATGTGATGCATTGTCATTAAATAAAACTAAAAAGAGCGAAGTACCTAAAGGTGCAAATGTATGATATGCAGGACCTTTATAATACGGTGGTAAGTAAATATACCACCTGCTATCACATTGAGATTATCTGCATTTTCCGCACACAGTGTAGGCCTGTGTTACAGTAAACAGCATTGATTTCCGTAAGCATCATTAACCGGTTACCATGGAGTCGCAGTGCGTTTTCTGTGCGGGACGAACTGAATCCGTAAGTAGGGTGAAGTTCAGGCAGTGGAAAGGCAGGCAGTAGTAGTGTGGGCCACTAGAAGTTGTGCAACGTCCGTCTGTCGAAACAAGGTCTCCAGCTATAGGGGCCGTTGCGCCTGCGCTATGACGTAGGCGAGTGCGCGCCCAAAGTGACGGGATGCCTCGAAGCAGTTACCTGCTTTATGTGACGTCATATGGTACACAGGGTATGTCAAAAGCCCTTGCATGTTTCGAAGCAGAAAGATGTAAAGGTAAGATAAAGCTATCCTTGTAACAGGCCGTGGAGGCCCATAGGGTTGTGAGACGTAGAGGCTCCCACATTTTCTACAGACGGCGGTCCTTACGCGCCGGCCGGCCGGCCGCCCTTAACCCCCCAGGAAAATTCTTGGTACTCATTTCTGCTAGAGGCTGAGTCGATTCTACGGCCGTGGTGCGGCTGAAAGGATCAGGTCAGCTAAAAAAAAAAGATTGAAATCGGGAATCGAACCTGCGACCATTCGGCTTATAGCATAGTGCCTCAACCAACTGCGTTACCTCTCTTGTTCAGAAGCTAACAGTCGCTCAGTTAGGTGAGAATTTTTTGCTATCTTTTGTAGAATTTCAATCATCATTGTTTAATGTTCCTGAAAACCCTAAGACTTGCGGGAAAGAATGTATCGAACATAGAACGTGTTTGCTTACTTGCCTAGAGCCCTTGTTCCAAACAGTCCCCGCCTCGATAACCACTTGGCGACTTGCATACTGCGTCTTCACGCGAAGTGTCAGACAGTATCCGACCGGAATTTCGTTCAACATCTCGACCGAAGCTTAGTTGAAACTCCCCAAATTGAAGTCTGATGGAGTTCCTTTATGCCTGTGTACGTTCCCGAAGCAGTGTCTCGTCACGTTGCTAACAAAAGTAAGGGACTGTGGGTGTCACTAGGCGCCCTGAACTGTGTCGAAACGGGGCGCACACCGCTGCTTCTGGCTTCCGCAGAGGCACGGTCTGTACATGAATGTGGTGCATTTGCTGGAGTGGGAATTGCCAGGGGAAACAGAAACACTACTAGAAAACCCGTCCCTGTGATACTTTTCCCATCACAGATCCCACGTGACCTGAACTGGTATTGAACTCGGGCCACGCAGTGAGAACCCGGCAACTAACAGAAAATTCAGTCCGTACCTCATAGGAAACACGTTACATCTGCACTACAAAGCCCAACAGGTTACTGCTGTTTAGGGAAACAGTCGCTGTTTATTGTGAGAGCCATACGGAACACACAGATACACTCCGTGTATGTGTGCGCGGGGGAGGGGTGGACACAGAAATCTTTTTAATGTTGAAGCAGTTGCCTCTTACTGTTACCACTAAGATTTAAGGGTTAGATTGGGAAATTAATTTGCATAGACAAAACATGATGTGTGGAGGAAATTACCAAGAAATACCTCACGCTTGTGGGCTTGCTGCTTCTGACAGAATACTGCATAGCGAGTTGGATCGTGTTCGGGAAGTGCTCTGTTCGAAACCCGGCCGGGACACACACTATTCTCAATCAGGTTTTCTCGTGGTTTCCCACAGTCACTCGAGGTGAATTGCCGGTTACGACCTCAAATTATGGCACGACCACTGGTTTCCGCACCGCTCCAACTCGTTCACTAATGAGAATTTGGTACCTTTATGTTTTAGCTCATCCCCTGAAATAGGAGTCAGTAAGTTCCTCCGAAACCTTGTTATCCATCTACCAGCGCAACGGAACACCAATATGAGAACTAGCCTAGTCCTTCCCTGTACACTGAACATTTCCAACTCGGTTTCTAAAGATTAAGATTGGCCTTACCGGGAGTTGACGCCAGGTTTTGTCTGGAGCAGCGAAAGTGACTGGGGAGCTCGGAGTTCGCCGGTTTATATACGGACAGAGCCCACGGTAACCTCGAAGCAGCTGCCGCAGTTCCCAGCGCAGACAGAGATGGAGAGACGGCGGACGCAGGGACGCGCGCGCGCGGGCTCCCTTGACCTTGCCGCGTCCTCTGGCGGCCACTATCCGTAGAGGCGCAATTGCAAAGGGACGCGACGCTGCGGCGCTGCGCTTACAGGTCGGGTGGACTGGAACGGAGTTGCAAGGACCTCACACTGACCTGGGGCACTGTGCTACAAGCCCGAAGGTCGCAGGTTCAGTTCCCGATGAGTCACTGGATTTTTCAGTTGATCTAATCCTTCCAGCCACATTATGGCCCTGGGGTCGACTTACCCTCTAACAGCAATGAGTACCAAGAATCTTCCTACGGTTCAAGGGCTGCCGGCGCGTAAGGCTGACCTCACCGCCATTTGTGAACCAACTGTCTAGAAAATGTGGGAGCCTCGACGTCTCACAACCCTATGGGCCTCCACGGCCTGTTACGGGGCAATCTCCAAGTTTTGCCCTTACTGCTGTCAATGTATGCGGCAGCCACGCGACGTTGCAGATCTTACCCTCGGTCACAATCTTTTCCGTTTAATTGTATGAGCAGGCGTTGCGTCTCCTCTGAAGCTGAAGCCACGCGGACGACGGAAGCAGTGAAGAGAGTGACGAATCGCGTGTGGATGCACAGCAGGAAGCAGGGAGGCTGCGTCCCGCCGCCCTCAGGGATCACGAAGGACGCGTCGTTTCTAACTGGCGCCCAGGTTTCTTGCGTGCTGCGTATGTACACCGTCATCAGAGAGACACTGCCAGGGCTCTCAACGGAATACGGTTCCTACATCTTGTCACTGAAGAAGGAATCAGAGTCACTTTCCGAAACCTTTTGACAGTACATGAGCCAAAAGGCTGTGCATTTGCTTGTTTTCCAAGACGACTTTGAGTTTGTGATATTTGCGCTCCTGGGCCCGGTATCGCCATGTCTATGTTTGTCATTGCCGCAAGCGTTACTCTTCTGTATTCTCAGCCATTCAACAGAAGGATCTTCTTTGTTTTACATATCCATGCTACACTTACAGCCAATCTTCAGAATTCATGTAAATTTCCTAATAACTGGATAAAGTTGTGCTCTGCGTTAGGTGCCCACTACACAAGGTGGCGAATGAGGGGGGCTGATCTGCAGGTTTCGGTGCACTAGAATCTGACGTCATGTAGTTTCATGGATGCTTATCACAGCTTTGTACGAACCTCGAGACTCCAGCGCAGACTCCAGACTCCTGGAGGCAGGATGATGCTTCGAAAGTTGGTACATATCTACCAACCTACACGGCGTCAGATACTAGAAGACTACCCTGGGACGGCGCGTAGCACGCTTCGTGGAGGTTTACCGAGGGACATTCTGTAGCTGAGCCGCTTATGGTTGCTTACCTATAAACTTCCCGACCCCCCACAGGAAGTAATAAAGGTGTCCAACGGCTGAGGACCCGGTTGCCTTGGTAACGCAGCGGCGCCAAATCGTGACCTGACCTCTGTGACCGGTAGTGTAACTATAGGAAGGTGGCAGCAAATTCCCTACGCGTGTTGGTGCAGTGAACTGGGAACCACTTGGTGTTCTGTGCAGCCGCGAGGGATGAAATCCATGTGCTTAATTAAGTACAGCGCCATGAACAGTAGAGGGGGCGTGGAGGGATGGCTCCATGCATTCTGAACTTCGTGCACGCTTTATCCCCAGAGAAAGAACCCGCCGGTATCCAATGGATAGGCGGAAGGCCGGTCTTGGCATTGTCGAGAATCGAGCTGAGGTCCGTTGCAGTGCCACGTGGAGCAGCGCTGAGCCCCACGGCAGAAGAGCGCAGTCGCTCAGCTGGTCAGGGAAGGCTTCGTGTTTTATGGAACCGCGTTCACAAGAGCCCGCCACTGGACCCCGGAGCCCACGCTCTCCCTCCTGTTTATTTGAGATCCATTTTAATATTATTCTCCTACCTGTGTTTCCGTGTTCCACGTGGTTTTCTCTTCTCCGATTATTCGGCCAAATTGTTTTATATATTTCTTGTATCCACCATGCGTGCTACATGCCCATACACTAATTCGATATAGGTTACTATGTCTACTGTCGTGTGGTTCGCCTGAAGGAACTGATGAAAAGCACGAAACATCTTCGTCAGTATATCCGGTGTCAGGGCTGGGATTTGAACACGGAACCTCTTGAATACGGGACAGGAATGTTAAACATTTGACCGTGACTATTTTCCCGAAGAATTAATTTTGAAATCAGTCCCATTGGATTGGGGATCAGTCCATGGCAAGGCTTCTGACCTACATTGGTAGCATATGGCTATATATTGTGATCACTGAAGCGTGAAGGATCTGAAAGGAAACGTCAGTAATCTGCGGTTAAGTACCGCCTCAAGGGGAGGGGGCAGGCACCTACATGGACCTCAGTGACGAGGACCGGACTCAGAATTGAACGCCGGACTCCGGAATACGGACCCCCTGCACACTATAATGATCCAACCGCTAGGAATAATTCATATGCCATGACGTCAGGTAATGGGAGAACAATAATGGTAATTATTATTACCATACTGCTTTTACGACCTTGGAAACAAATTCGATAGAAAATTGAGTCCGGAATGAGTTTTGCCCAGATCGTGTCAGCAGTCGTGATGACAGTTGCGTAACCGCCCGCAGAAGTGTGACCAGGTTGCGTCCGATAATTGCTTGCAGGGAAGTGACCACTCACCCCAACAAGTACTGTGTTCTGGCTTCTAATGCCACGTAATTCTGCTCAAGTCCACCCACGTTTCGGAACAACATGTTGTCTCCAGCTTCAGGGTCGAAGAGTAAGCCAAGTAAGAAGGCTATGTCATAGCTCAGGCGGTTAGTCGCCGGCGGTCCGGGTTCCGGCCCTGGTGAGGTCAATCCTCTCTCGCCCTGGGCTCGTGCAGTCGGCCAGTTAGAGGCCGCCGTTCCAAGTGGACTCAGTCTCACCCAACCCCAAGAAGCAAAAAGGAAAAACAAGTAAGAAACCGGCAATGGGAAGTCGGCAAGCAGAGGGCACTCTTCTACAAGCCGGAAGGTCTCTGGTTCGATTCCCGATGTCAGTGGGTTTTTAATTGACCTAATCCTTCCAGCGGCACTATAGCCCTGGGACAGACTCAGCCTCCAACATAAATGAGCACCAGAAATCTTCCTGTGGGTAAAGGGCGGCCGACCTGCGCGTAAGTCTGAAAAGCTCATCGCCATCTGTGAGCTAATTGTCTAGAAAATGTGGGAACTTCGACGTCTCACAACCCTGCGGGCCTCCACGGCCTGTTCCAGCAGATACCGCACTCCACTTCGCATTTCTTGAATCTTAATATCAAAATTCCGACCATACATAGTAAATCTCCTCTCAACTTGTTTCTTGTGCTCGTAACTAAGTTCACTTCCCGACTCTTTACCCTGTGTAAGACGTACCGCGGGAACTGCCTGGGAACGTGTTTCTGTCCCCCCACCCCACTAGCCCATTCACCCCTCTCGGCTACACGCCTCAGCTGCATGGGACGGGGAGACTGGTTGCTCGCCGTGGTACGGAGTTTCTTGGTCTTCCTCAGTCTTCAATCACATGCGAAGTTGCTACTTCGCGCTCCTGATTTAAAGTATTCAAAATTGAAACCCGTCAACCTGAAGTTCCCTGGTTAACCAGAAGATGAGAATCCCGCGGTCCCTGTAATTTAGAGATTCGTTCATGAACTCCCAGGCTAATGAGCATTGCTCAGGCACTGGAACTCCCTCCCCCCCAGTCTCTGCTTGATGCTTGTTGCCTGACGAAGTTAGATAACAGCGAGCAGCTCGAGGACGGTTCAAGGTGGCGTCCCCGGCAACACACGGAACAGCAGAGCTTCCTGCCACAGCCTAGAGGACGGTGTTTATACACGCTCTATTGCACTAATAGTAATTCCTGTGTCTTGCGGGGCGGACCTGCCTTACGTAAGCCTCGAGGTGTGTGCACGCGAGAGCTAAGGGAGCCTCACGTCTGCCAAGTGACGGCGCCTCCATCTTCAGGCCCGAAGAGTTACCGAACTAGTTTCTGCTCTTCCGGCCTCAAGACGAGGCGGTGTGTCCCATTCACCGTCATCAGATCCTCGGATCCGGAAGACGTGACCTGGTGCACAAAAGGGCTCCATGTGCTAGCCTCTGGGCTGTGGCATCAGTGGTTACCAACATACTGCTTCCATCTCAAAGTTAGTAGAACTCGCAGCTGTGAATGGACACAGCATGTTGCTCCGAAACGGCGGTGCGCCATGCTTATGCTTAAGTAAAGTAAAGGTATCCCAGCAACAGGTCACGGAGGCCCATAGGGTTGTGAGACGTCGAGGCTCCCACATTCTCTAGACAATCGGCTCACAGTTGGCCGTCCATACGCACCGGCCGCCCTTTAACCCCCCCCCCCCAAAAAAAGGAAGTTTCCTGGTACTCATTTCTGTTAGAGGCTGAGTCGTCCCCAGGGCCATAGAGCGGATGGAAGGATTAGGTAAATTTAAAAATGAAATTGCCCCATCGGGAATCGAACCTGCGACCTTCCGGCTTGTAGGTACCGCGTGCCCCCTTTCATGGCAGTGGAAACCTGAATTTGTTTATTATCAGTACTTATGTTAGTCGTGTAGTTGGGCACTAGGCCCATGTTATTCAGTATTCATGTTACTAGCCACATGAGTCAACATGTCACAATGTTTTCCCTGCAAACGGCCGCGCGACAACTCCTCTTCACGAATGTTGCTACTCGGCGACGCTGCCTTTCTAAATATTTCAGACATGTGTAATTTCAGTTTTATGATTCGTTGACAGTTTTACAATTGCAAGCAAAATAAGTTTCTCTATTATACATGTGCCCCAGAACTGGTCTGTAACATACCGCACAGTGCATTGTACTGAAGTGGACATGACACTACTTCGAACCTCGTCTGCGTAAGCTCCTAACATGTTGAATATTATCCGCTTCTTGTCCAGTCTTTGGGCACATCCGTGTCTGCTGAATCTCATGGCACACGCCCTCCACGTGTTCTACAGTTAATGTAACACTCCTCACTAGATGGCTCCATAATGAGCCCTCATTCGTAACTCGGCTGCAGACGTTTCGGCATTTGTTCCACTTGCAAGGGGCGCCCCTCAGCACAGCCGCGTCACTCCAGCATCCACATGTCGTACGGAATCTTAGCGAACAGTCTGTTCATGAAGGTGGTCGTCTTCATTACCATCTTCTTCTTGATGTCCGGCTTCATTTCCTGCAGCAGTTCCTGTGCGTTCGTATTGATGAACAGGTTCAGAGCGGCTTCTGTAACAGGGCAACACACAGATTGACTGACTGACCGTTCTTTCCGGAACATCTTCCACCCTGAAGATGGAAACAGTAGCTCCCTCTAGTCCATTCTATGTATGGAAAGTTAATGCCTGTCTACCAGAGGAGCCAGAGTCTGTCTGTCTGTCTGTCTGTCTGTCTGTCTCTATGTATGTGTGTGTCCTTCTCTAGGGCCTGGTGAATGTGAACACTGCAGCTCCAAGAATAGGGGCTTTTCAAATAGGCGCCAAAACGCAAATTGACTATTTTCTCTAAAACGATATTAACGATTTTGATCAAACTTCGGTAATTGATGGAGACCATGCTTCTAGATAGGCACACGGTAACGTAGTTGGTTAACGCAGTGTGCAACAAGCTGGAAGGTAGCGGGTTCGGTTCCCGATGAGGTCACTGGATTTTTCAGTTGACCTAATCCTTCCAGCCGCACTATGGCCCTGGGGTCGAGTCAGCCTCTAACAGAAATGAGTTCCAGGAATCTTCTTGGGGGGTAAAGGGCGGCCGGCGCGTAAGGCTGCCAACCTCACCACCATCTGTGAGCCAGTTGTCTAGAAAATGTGTGAGCCTCGACGTCTCACGACCCTATGGGCCTCCACGGCCTGCTGCAGGGATAACTTCACCCTGTTGTGTCCCTGAGCAAATTGGCATAGGCGGAACCTTGAGGTACGTACTGAGTAGCGCCGCGACAGAGGCGAAAGGGCGAGTCCGCTTCTGTCGAAACCGGCCACACTCGTCCAACGGATTTCAATATTTTTCGGTATTCAGTACCGGGCAACAGTCCGTTTCTTTCCTATTGTTACGTTTTTGTACCGGTTTTTTCCTCTTTAGTTACTTTGGGGGTGGGGGGTAGCCTTTACTTCAATTGTTACCGAGGGTAAATGTGGCCAGAGTATAAATCTGAGACTCACCTACCTATAGTACAAGTAGATTTTTCTATAATGATTTGGTGCTTAGACACAGAGTTCAGGTTAGTAATTAGACTTGCAAACGAACATGTCTGCTGATAGCAATAGTACACCTTCCATCACAAGAATGAATGATTGCCCTGTTGCCAAACACTTACGTAGTACAGCGTTGCCGTTGTGCAGGTTCTCGATTCCCATCTTGATCTCTTTGACGCTGAAATCCATTTTCATGTCTTCCACCTGCAAGAAGGTTCGCCCTTTGACGTGATGGGCTCGCGCCCTAAAGTACACCTTGGCCTTCACGCCGTCTGCAACGAACAGCAAGATGCAGTGTAGAATCAGTACGGCCCAACATTGGGCCGGTCCTCTGCCGGTTCCAACCCTTCACCCCATCTCTTGGTGGCTAATAACGTAGGCCAGACGTCGAGCTCGTTGGCTCGGGCGGTAATGTTTCTAATCTGCATTGCGGAGCTAGTCGGTTCGAGTCTCGGCTCGGACACCTACTGCCGTGAGTGAGAATTGTCATGGGTTTCCTAAGCCCCTCTAGGTAAATGCCCGGACAATGCCTTAACTTAGACTGCGGCCTAAGGTGTCTGTCTTTCGGGGTGTAACGTCTTGTAGCCCATTGAATTTCAACCGACGTTTCGAAGGAACATGTCGCCTCTGTCGCAAGGGTAGAGAATAAGCCAAACAAGAACTCTGCTTGCTAACTGCTTCACGCTGGTTTCTTCCATGGCTTAAATTCGCTTAGTGGGGGTGGAGTCCAGCTGGGTCCACTCGACACGGCGGCCACTGATTGGCCTAGTGTAGCCTGCCCCGGGTGATTATGATGGTGGAGAATTTGGTGGAATGAAGATTGGCAGGGGAAACCGAAGTACTCGGAGAAAATCCGCCCAGCGTCACTTGACTAGACCCGGGATCGAACCCTGGCCGCCGCGGTGGGAAGCCAGCGACTAACCGCTTGAGCTATGACGCGGCCTTTTTCCATGGCTTACTCTCTGCCCTTAAGATGGAGGTGACATATTTCTCCGAAACGTCGTTTACTTTTACGGTGTTACATGTGATAAGATGGATGTGTTCATAACCGCCGCTGTGACTACCACAAGTCCTACAGAGACTGCGGCCGCTTCCTTACAAGTCCTTCCAGTTCATGCTTCACTATCAACTAATAAGGTATCGCAAGTGAGAACAGGAAGTTGAGACCCCGTTGGATATGGTACTAGCGCCACTGTTGCACTCACCGTACTGTCCCCAGTAGTCCCCGCCGCCCGACGCCTGAACCATGATGAGCACCCCAGAGCTCTTGTAGTGCGCACGCGCAGATATCTTGGGGATGAAGAAACTCAGCTGGAACTGAAGCGAATCCAGGTCCGTTCTGAAACAAATGGACCGTGATTCGCAAACTGTGGGCCGCGAAACTGACACTCACTGCCTGCGCCCTCAAGATGTACACTAGTGCACGGCCGATGGCCCGAGTTCGGGTCCCAACAGGTCCATCCCAGCGTGACCAAGTTAACACAGCCGAAACACGAAGCCGCACATGCACATCTGTCTACTGCTGAAACCAGAGATGCGTGGAGCTTTGCCTCCATTCCTCTGACGTGTTTTCATAGCATAAGGATTGATCGCAGGGATGCCTTTATTTCTGTTTTAAATCACGGAGTGGGACACTCGCTGGCGCGGTTGGTTGAGGCACTATGCTACAAGTCGGAAGTCGCACGTTCGATTCCCGATGAAGTCACCGGAATTTTCAATTGACCTAATCTTTCCAGCCGCACTGTGGTCCCTGGGTCGAGTCAGCCTCTAACAGAAATGAGTACCAGGGATCTTCCTGGGAGGTAAAGGGCGGCCGACGCGTAAGGCTGACAACCTCACCGCCATCTGCGAACCGACTGTCTAGAAAATGTGGGAGCCTCGACGTCTCACAACTCTGTGGGCCTCCACGGCCTGTTACAGGGATAGCTTTACTTTTTCTTGAGGAATGTGGCAGCTTTTCGTGTTGTTAACGTAGAGCGAAAAGGATGCAAGTGGAAGCCGGTGGAAATAGAGCATAAGGATGTCCAAGGACATAACAACGCACGAAGAATTATCGGACGAGAATAGAAATTGGAGTTGGAGCTCTGTGTGTGAGCGCAGCTTTGTTACAATTTGAAATCCGGTTTTGAAAGGCACAGTTTTTGGCGCTTTTCTAACAGTTATGGAGCAGTCTTACGCCAAGGAACATGGCCGCCCCGCGCCTGTTTCCTGCGTCATGTTATGTGATGGAACGAATTGTACATGACGACCCAACACGTAAGAACATTCACAGCAATTCAGGATTCCTGGAATCGCATCCATTACCATAAATTTCCATATTAGTTTGCTCTCATTAAATTGTCATCATTGTCCGACTGTTTGTGCCTTCACGCTCTGACGTTGCCATGTCACAGTCCGTCGACAATGTCCGACATAATTTCACGATATGCAGTGAATCAGCCCCTGTCAGAAGCCTGCAGAGGATGTGTGGGATGTCTTGCTACTGTCCGTGTTGGTACACTTGGCCACTCTCAACAGAACACGCAGTGGGTTTGGTCGAGTCCGCTGACTTAAGGAGTGTAGAGTTTGTATTGGTTATAGCAGGGACTTAGCACAAAGCGTCACCCTCCCTCCCACCTACAAAACAGGTATAACCTTTTCGCCCCTTCTTTTCTGCAGCATTTGTGTGTTATCACTCGCAGATGATAGGTCAAGTCTATTAGCAGGGCCTGTAGGTACTGTCCGCCAACATTTCAATGGCGCATGCGTACTGAGAGTAAGGAGGAATCTCCGTAAAGTAGGAATAGCTTGGGAGAGGGGGTTGCTGGTCGCGCCGTGGATATTCTGACGGACAGTAGAAGGGTACACAGCCCGTTATTGTCAGGTCGCCTTGTTACAACTTGTGCATTATTTCTTATTTAACAACTCTGTAACAAGTACACAGATGAAGATATGTGAAAGAAGTGCGTAATGCGCATGCGGCTTGCAGCGTGATGTGGGAGCTGTCCTTTGTGGTTCTCAGTCCTACAAAATGCCTGAGTAAGGCGCACAGGGTTGTGAGACGTTGAGGGTCCCACACTATCTAGACAATCGGCTCAGAGATGGCGGTAAGGTTGTCAGCCTTACGCACCGGCCGCGCTTTACTCCCCAGGAAAATTATTTAATTAATTCCTGGTACTCATTTCTGTTAGAGGCTGAGTCGACCCCAGGGCCATAGTGCTGCTGGAAGGATTAAGTCAACTGAAAAAGATCCAATGACCTCATCGGGACTTGAACCGGCGACCTTCCGGCTTGTAGCATAGCCCCTCAACCATCTACGCTACCTGAGTAATATCTTGAAATGAACCATAAACCTTTATGTTGCTTGTCGCCTTCCCGTGCAGCCAAGAGTCTAGATGTCTTGCGTCTTGAAATACTCTTATCGCGTTCGACATATCATCTCTCGAACTGATACAGTGTCGTTAAACAACAAACAAGAAAATCCGGAATACCTCTGTAACAGCTGTGTTACTGCCACTGAAAGCAAACGCGTTTTCACGAACGACCGTGGCTCTCGCCTCACCTTACGCCCACGACGCTCATGTTGCTGACGCCGTACGCCTCGATGTCGTTGAACGTGGCCCGGTACCCATTCGGTCCGCTGCCCAGGGCGATGGAAATCTCGTCAATGACGATGGGTTCTGTCTGCGTCACGTCCAGCTCTCGTATTCCTGCAACACGCGGTTTCCAAACCCTTACCAATTCATCCCCCTATGCAACGCTATATCTGTTGCGTAGCAACTGACACTGTTGTAAAGTACAGTGATGCGGCCGGGGCGTGAAAGTGACCTCTCGCCAACATCTGGTGCCGATGTCAGGAATGGTGGAGCTATACCTCCACCTCCCCCTATTTATTCATGGCGTAGTGCTTAATTAAAATAAAGCTTACTTGTGTAGAATTATGAAGCATATGTCCTGGGGCTATAGTAGCGTTCCTAACGGAAATTCATCGTACTATTTGCAGGCTACTTTTTACTGCAAGAAGTTCGAAGAACGGTCGCCGAACATGTGATGGCGCTACATGTCGGAAGGTGGCAATGACTTGGTGGACCTGCCAAGTTCAGGAGTACGGCCTTGTGACTGAAAGTGAAGTTTATTGTTACGCTGGATTGACGCGATAAAATTATACAACCTGCGGCCCGCAGTCTGGTAATGCTTCTCTCTGTAATCACAACCGCAACATGCATCTTAACGTAACTCCATATAGCACAGCCTTTCTTCAGGAGCTGATAGTTGCTTAGCTGGCCAAGAAACTCCCCACGTTTTGAAGATTGCGGTCTCTTGGTACGAGATGCCTAATTTGGTAAACAGGTGTGTGCATATTCTACACTGAAGATGGAGGTAGCAGGTTCCTTCGAAACATTTGTTACCCATCTACGGAACTACACGACGTCAGATCGCACTTACCGCTAAGAGGCCCTTAACATATACAAGGTTCCCTCTAATCCTAGTTGTCACATGGCATGCAGCTTTCGCGACACTTCATATCTCCACCGCCACCCCCACACCACCCCAAGTTTGCTTATTCCCGTTAGCGCTGAAGTGCCCTATGTTTCGCCGTTAACTTGTCGCTTTTACGTCGACTGTGTTTTTAGATGCCTTCGTCCTGTGTCTTGCCCATTCCAACCGTGTGGAGGGCCTACGTGACTGGCAGCACTGCTGAGCTGTCGCGCCTAATTGCAGGAGCATTGCCCTATTTGAGCCCCAAGGTTACATGTGCAGTCATCTTGTGCTGTTATGGCTTCTGCAGTGAACACCGTTCTTGGGCATGAGCACCCATTATCACGCACGTACGTACGGAGCTCCCCACGAGGCAAGAGGGCCCCTAGTGGCTCGTCAGCACAGTATGCCCTCGCTAACCCGGAGTAAGTGGGACGGGGAGGAGGCCATCCGGATTAGTGAAGCAAAGCGTAGCCCCAAAATACTAAACAAAACTTAGAACACAAATAAATGGGATATTTCATGATGCTGATAGTGCTGATGAAAATAAATAACAAAAATATCACTGGAGAGCCCTCATTAGAAACTATAAAAAGAAAATACATTTATTGATCGATAGAAGACTCAGAAGCTGTACCTGTTTCTGAATGTAATGATGCAGGTCTGAAGAGACTGTCAAGTTCTGTATGAACAGACAAGTGGCTCATCTGCGTTCCTAAATGCCACGTGTCTTTTAAAGCATCTGCTCAACTGTGAACAGCATTTCTATCCGGATTAACTGAAACCGGATTAGCGACGGTTTGCTGTATAGTGTAGCTAGTGGGGGAAGCCAGACAGCAACGATCAGCTTATATCTAAAGGTTTGTTGCGCCTGCCGCGTTATATTTGTTTCTACAAGCTGCCCCAGTTGAGAGTCCGCTGCGCGCTCAGGTTGATTTTGTTGCGCTGAACACATTTTCTTTCACTCACCTCTTCTGAAGCAGCTGGTGAGGTGATTGGACGCCTCGGTCAGGCACTGGTTGACATGGGGGTCACTCTTGTGGCACGGGTGGATGAAGTACGCTGAAACACATTTGACACAAAATGAACACATGGCCATTAAATGAAATGATTCTGGGAACTGATTTATGAGAGCGAAGACTGATATTACTCACTGATCCTGTGATTGTGAGGCCAGAGCTTATTTAAGATTTCGTCACTTGGGTCAGTTTCTTATGGAACCAAGTGACTTTTATGACGGCCCCATAAGCAGGGTCCTGCACTTTATTAAACGATTAGGGTTAATAAAGGGCTAATCGAAGGGGAAGCACAATAGCTCATTGAAGGTCGTAGTGCGGGGGCCGAATTTTATCGCCCATCCGTTACATACATACATATTACACACTGACAGACTGTGATACATATTATGAGGGCAAGAAGATGGCTGCTCGACTGTGACGTATCAAAATACGGACATAATGACGCCGTGAATGTTAGCTGCACCGCGTGCTCATGCATTCCCTGCTGTTTCTGCAATACCGAGCGAGTCTTTCCCTGAACGACATTAGTCGGTTCATCTTTACATTGGAAACGGAGCGTGTATTCTCCGCGAGGCAAGATCCAACTCCAACATGAAGGGCGATCCCAACTGCTGGCCGTTGCACCGCGACCTTTAGTGATCTATTTTGCATATCCGAGGCCCGAAATGCTAAATTAAGTTCAGCTTCGAATTTAAACGCGAAAAAGTCGAGCATTTTTATATCTGATAATCGGGCACGCGGTGGCGTAGTTGGTCCAGGCACTGCTGTGAGCTGGAAGGTCGCGGGTTCAATTCACGTTGGTCACTGGATTTTATCAATTGACCTAATCCTTCCAGCCGCACTATGGCCCTGGGGTCGACTCAGCCTCTAACTTAAATGAGTACCAGGAATCTTCCTCGGAGGTAAAGGGCGGCCGGCGCCTAAGGCTGACAACCTCACCTCCATCTGTGAGCCGATTGTCTAGAAAATGTGTGAGCCTCGACGTCTCAACCCTATGGGCCTCCACGGTCTGTTACAAGGGTAGCTTTACTTTTTTGCTTTCTAACTGAACAGGTCCGTTTTCCTAGTATATTCACCGCAGTCTCCTGTTTTACCGTGGAGGCAGAACTGCCCAGACATTGCCAGGACAGCAGAGGCAACGTCAACGCTCAACAATTGCTTATCTTATCGCTGCTTCGTGACGCCTGATTTACTTTGACGGAACTGCTTCAGCCGACACCGTCGTAGGCCCCAGGACACTTAACTGTGAGGTACCAAGGTTAGAGATTCCAGGCTGTCGAACCAAAGCCATGTTGTCTGTCAGTTGTCTGGAATGGAACACCGTGAGTCCATTGAATTGGCGGTCGCACGGTGTTAGCCGTGCCGCGGCCACAAAATCCCTCCACTGGACACCGCGACTAGAGCCCACAGCCTCTCATTTACATCTTTAAGATTCATTTTAATATTATTCCGGCAGTTTACGTCTGTATTCTCTTCTCTTCAGGTTCTGTCACTAAAATTTTGTGTCATCTCTCCCGTCTATGCTGCACGTCGTATCAGTATTTAACGACGCTTTGCAAATTGCGCACTTTTCAAGCACAAATGCTCCAAGAACAGTAAGGAGGAAAGAACACGCGAATTAAAGCTTTCATGCTATTTTCTTGCTTGGCTTACTGTTCAGTCCTGAAGGTGGAGGCGACATTCTTCTCCAAAACGTCGGTCGATTTTCACCGGACTGCAGGACTTTGTATGCCAGAAGTGGCGCGGGTAGGTGGTGACGTCACTGTGTGGCCTAGTGAACTGTGTAGAGAGCACCGCGCAGGCGCGGAGTCAATGTTCCCAAGTCCTCAGCTTCTGAGCGCTTCAGGGGCGCTGACCTTGTGTTACACGGTGTTTTGTTGTGTATGCGACCTCTTTGCCCACACGCACATTGGTTTGTCTTTGTAAAAGAAACGCGATGTGTTGTCTACGCGGTGGAGACATTCCGTATAGGGCGTACCCTTGTCTTCAAGCAAGTGCTGAGACGGCTCCCGAGTGCCAAGTCGCTGCTGCTTGTTTCTCATGTATCCGTTCTGATTTCGGTTCATGAAAATTAAACCCCTCTGCTGTGAAGCCCACGCAGTTATCTTTCCAAAACTATGCAGTTCGACATTAGGAGTACTTCAGAAAACCGGAACGTGCAGCCACTGCTCCTCGCCATCCTGACGCCCTCACTTTCACCTGGCAACCTTGTGGCAAGATGCTTCTCCCCCCCCAGAGGCAGCTTTGTCCCACTTCTATCTCTCTCACGTCCCCTTCCTTACGGACCATTTCCGATTCGCCGTTTAATAACCCCACAGTCCATTGTCTGTCTTCCGTCAAAACTGCAACACTTGTACATTCTACACTTCAACACTACATGTGTCGGCCTCAAACGGCCATCTTCAGGTGTTTTTATGTTACAGATGTCTTACTAAAACTGTGTTAAAACTGCTACACTGTTTTAATTCGTGTTAAAATCTCGTTTTACTTAAAAGAAAATACTACAGCGTGTGATTTTAACACTAAATTAAAACAGTGTAGCAGTTTTAACACAGTTTTAGTACGTAAAACATCTGTAACATAAAAACACCTGAAGATGGCCGTTTGAGGCCGAAACATGTAGTGTTGAAGTGTAGAATGTAAAAGTGTTGCAGTTTTAACGAAAGATAAACAATGGACGCTAATTTGAACAATTGCAACGGGATGCTGAAATACAGAACCACGCAGTCATTCGACGCTATATAGACTGACGTCGAAACCGTCGTTATGTAAGTCACAAGTAAATAGAAGAAACTGTTCCATGACGTTGGTCATGGACGAATGTTCGGATGGACTGTGTGCAGTGCGCAGACGCACGCGGCTGCGCAGTAAGCCGTGTCGTTCGAGTGGATGTGAATAATATTATACGTACGGACTTGGTACCTCTGCGCCGTCCTCTCAGCAGGCAGGGAACACAGCGTCAAACAAAAGAGCACAGCGCCGACCGCGGGGAAGACACCTGAAGATACCATCTGCCGGACAAACCACAAAACACACATTTTCAGGTTTCATGCTGTGATGGTCTGGGTTGTGTGGCACCGTGCAGTTGCAGTGCTTTACGCCGCGTTACTCGCTATTGTTACAACGCCCACAGTTCTTGCTTACGTATGTAGTTCAGATGGGCGCCAGTGCACTGGGTCCACTGTGGGCGCTCACTTCACTCAGCGGTATCCTTACACGAGGTCTTGGGTTCAGGGCCGGACGGGAGAGTGTGAGCTTGTGAGAGGATTGCTTAGATTGCAACGGAGGATGAGTGGTTCACGCATGCGCGAAATATGTGTGTATGGGTGAAGCAAGATGTTACGTCAGTGGGTTTTGGTCAAAGCACTTCCCCGCTTTCCTTCTGTTGTAAGATGCAAGCAGCAACCACTGTTATGTATTTAATGCAAACGCAACGAGCGTTATTAAACTGTGTATGCAGTTTTGCACCGCAGGATAACGTGAAGGCGGCTTGACAGGTTTTCCTTGGTCTTTGGGCGCGCATAACAGCACTGAAACTTCCTCTCAAGAGGGGTGGGTGGGTATATTGACCTCGGCAGTGACCTTGCAGACGCGCGCGCATTACTTCCGTTCCCATAACAGCACTGAAACTTCCTCTCAAGAGGGGTGGGTGGGTATATTGACCTCGGCAGTGACCTTGCAGACGCGCGCGCATTACTTCCGTTCCCATAACAGCACTGAAACTTCCTCTCAAGAGGGGTGGGTGGGTATATTGACCTCGGCAGTGACCTTGCAGACTCACAATAGGGTTAGAAGCTCCCAGCAGACATAACAGTATAACCTGACTGGACAGAGGGGGAGGTTTGGGCTTGTATGTCAGCTCTTCGAACTGCACCCCCCTGATTCAGAGCTCAAGTTCCAAAATGTTCCCAGAAGTAGACAGGCGTGCCGTCCAGAAAGCCACGCACTACACCGGTTATAGGAGAATCATATTGCCTCCATCTTCAGGGTGGAAGTGTGGTGACGATACGGTCTGGTCACTCAGATCCATATTCCTTAGGACCTACCTATGATAAACCGACCGCATCCTCACGACAGTCGTTTTGACACAGAAGATGGAGGTCTTTATCATCTGCACAGAGTCACAGCTTGAAGACTGCACGCACATTAATATTAAATGTAACTGAGTTCAACAAGAGGCTTCATTACCGTGTTGACAAGAGCCCGTCACTGGTCCTTATCCTGAGCCAGATGAATCCAGTTCATATCCTTCCACCCCGGTTTTTGTTTTGCGGATTACATACTCGGATCTAGAGAAGATGGCGTCTGATGATTCATGAATGGTGAACTGGAAATGGTTTGGAATATTCCTGGAAGGGCCGAGGACATTTACGAAAATCCCTTGGCAAAATAGCCTATGTCCCGCCGAGATTCGAAGCAAGTACCTCCAGAAAACGAGCCTGGAACATTACCGCTGTGTCAGACTAGATATGGGCACTTTGATATAAGTCGGAAGGTCGCGAGTTCAGTTCCTGATGAGGTCATTGACCTAATCCTTCCAGCCGCACTATGGCCCCGGGGTCGACTAAGTCTCTACCGCCATCTGTGAACCGATCGCCTAGAAAACATGGGAGCCTCGACGGCCGGTTACAGGCATAGTTTTACCTTTTACCAGTCCAGTTCTGACATGTTTTCGTATCTGATGTTACGTACTTCCCTCGTTCCGTTTGAGTTCACTAAGCTCGTGCAGATGTGATTTCTGCGCGGACTGTACACCTATTTGCTGCAGTAATCGCCGGTAACTAGGCTGTCGGAAACACGTGAAATGTGGGACGCGGTCGAGACATCTGCTGCAGCTTCCGGCAAGGAGAGCTGTGTGTTCGGATCTGTGCATCTGGTCGAGTCCACTGACTGAAATAAGGATTTTAGGACACGTGTGGGGGTTATACGAAGGCCCTAGTTGCAGTGCGTCACCGTTCTTCCCACAATACAGATGCAGCCACCGCCGCGCGACTCTTGCAATACTGAGCACATCTCAGACCTGTCTGTCCGTACGGTGAGGGTAAACCCACGGGCGCTGAGATCATATCTGAACAGAAGAACTGGGGCTAGGTTTGCGGTACCGGAGTCCGCGCGGTGTGGGAACAGAGACAAAATTCGGTAAATAACACGTGTACTGTACATGGTACATGTATGTATACGAGTATATTGGAATAATGCGTAAGTAAATAACTGCAGAAGCTAGCAGTTACCCACCCACTCAAGGAATACCCAGCAGTTTGTGGAACCCGAATATCCATTACCCTGCATAGAAGAGCCCGCCACTGGTCCCTATTCCGAGCCAGATTAATCCACTCGACATTTTCATCCTGTTTCTCTAGGGCGCGAACAGCATGAGCAGCGCCTATGAACCAGTTGCTCCTTCTATGGTCCAATTTAATGTTAACTCCCATCTACAGCTGGGTCTTCATAGTAGTTTCTTTCCTTTATGTTTTCCTGCGCAAACGCTATATGCACTCCGCTGCTACATGGCCTACCCATCTATCAGTCCTTGTTGGACTTTTAACCCCACTTTGGAAACTGTCAATGTGTGCCCTGCTCCACTTACCTCGTGCTGACGGCTGCAGACAACTTCACACTGTCTCGGTGTCCTGCTCTTGCTGGATGAAGCCTCCACACTCCGGGCGCGCTTTATTTATCATTCCTCGTGGTCAGATGAGCTTGAGGGGGGGGGGGCACTACCTGAGCGTAATACTTCAGGAGGCCGTGACTTTGACCTGCCGTGCTAGACTGACACATAGGACACGAGCAGTTACATTTCCGACAAAGGGAAGTCTGCGGTTCGCATCCTGACTCTGACAGCAGGTGCCTCAGAAACGTCGCAAATTTTCTACCAGAATTGCGTGGTGGTATATCTGAGGAGACAGACTCAGCCAGAATGGATCAGGCAGTTGAGAAGGCTTCCTTAAACAGACATTTTTTTTTCTCTTCTGGATTTACTTGTCTCCAGTTTATTTCTCTCAGAATGACACGCCGTGTTCTGCACCCGCGTTTCTGAAACGTCTGATAGAGCTAATGGAATCTGTGTAGGAGACTTGAGTCGCTTTTCCTTTGAGCCCGACATTCCGCTCAGCGATTGGCTGAGGAATGTACAGTTACGGCCCCGTGCACGTGCTTCACCGCTCGCGACTTCCCAGCAGCCACCGCAGGCTTTGTGTGAAGCCCCTGTCCTTCCTGCTGGCATTTCAGGTTCTCGCTGCGGCCGTCTTCTGCCTACGTGACGCCGTGTCAAGGAAAGCAAGAAGCAAGCAGAGCGCTTCCTCTTTCTTGCTGGTTGCTTTGACTCACATTTCTAAGGTTTCTGTTTGTTTCCCTGACACGGGAATTTTCATGATTTTCTTCAGATGCTGACTGTTTACGTTGCTCCAATGTGTACGCGTTTGAGAGCCGACCGGAACTGTTGGTGGTTCGAATGTGACCATAGACACGCGGTAGCGCAGTTGGCTGAGGCACTGTGCTACAAGCCGTAAGGTAGCAGTTCGATTCCCGATAATATCATTGGGTTTTTCAATTGACCCAATCCTTCCAGCTGCGCTATGGCTCTGCGGTCGACTTAGCCTCTAACAGAAATGAGTACCCAGAATCTTCCTGGGGGGTAAAAGGCGGCTGGCGCGTAAGGCTGACAAACTCATCGACATCTGTGAGCCGATTGTCTAGAAAATGTGGGAGCCTCGACGTGTCACAGCCCTGTGGGCCTCCGCTGCGTGTTACAGGGTTAGCATTATCTTTTTTCTTTTTTCGAATGTGACCATGAATTAGTCAATTTTCCTTAAGCCGAGAAATCGGTAGAACCCCCAGAATATTCTGCAGTTCCCTGTTCACTAGTGAGCTTGTTGTTTCGGAATGTTAACATACATACATATCCCTGAAAGAGCGACGGACACGGGAAGACCTAGAATTTGATGGAAAGACCAGCTTATAGAACAACTGGACATTGGGGCGTCCATGCAGCGCTCAGTGAATCCTTGTGTTTGAAAACGAATATTATGTTTTTAGGATTTGTGTTCTTCTGGGATGTGACACCGTGTAGACTGTTAGGCCGTTAGCTACGTTTCTAAGGATATTGCTGCAGCCGTCTTCAGGTCAGTATGTAGATAAGTGCAGCAAGTTCCTCCAAAAAGTTGGTACCGATCTACCAGTCTGCATGACGTCACATTTCATTTGGCGGCGAATCGGTCAGCGAGGTGGGACGCAGCGTGGGTGCTGCTGCAAGGCGAACCGTCGGCAGCAACGGGGGGTAATTTTGTGTTCCCTCTGTCAGGTGAGCCGCGCCAGGCCACGGCGCAGTGGCTTGTAACAGTAGAATATGTACTTCAGAACTGACGTCAATCGATCTGAAATTTTGCCAAGTAAGTTCATGAGCATTAACTCTCACCGGCGGACACACAGTTTGACGGACAACTTCCGGTGTCGCTACCTGTCCCGCGTCACGTCCCTGCAACGTCTTCATACGTGAATTGTATCAGTTAACGTCACATACTGTGTTCCCGCCACAAAAATTGTTTGCAACCGCCCCCCCCCCTCAATGTCCAGCCTTTCAGAATGGGTAAGGCGCAACGAAATCGAACCCGAGGTGTGGATGTTGAGACATTTGGAGCAGCCACACTGGGAACAGACCGCGGCGCGTCTGAGATTGTGTTTCACACCCTGAAGATGGTTGCCAACATTTTGCTTGTGCCTCTGAAATGTTGGTAGCCGAATAGCCAATGTGTGAGGCAGTGCTTTGGTGGGGGGGAGCAACCTATCTCGACTTTGCACGTTCTGAAGCCCTCCTGAATACGAAAACTTGGTTGTTGGTAGCCCCTCGCCTCAAGGTTCCGGCGTATTTACTTCATGTCCCGTACAGCAAACCCTCGCTAATCCGGATCGCTGTATGAGAAACGCTGTTCACAGTTGAATACATACTTGGCATTTAGGCAGGCAGATGAGCCACTTGTCTGTTCAGACAGAACTTGACAATCTCTTCAGACTTGCATCATTACGTTCAGAAACAAATACAGCTTCTGAGTCTTCTATCGGTGGATACATGTACTGCCTTTTTGTAGTTTTTAAATAAAGGCTCTACAGTTACATATTTTTATTTATTTACTTCCATCAGCACTTCTTATATCAACAAACTTCGCATTTATATGTGTTCTAATTTTTCTGTCTTTTAAGGCTACCTTTTGCCTCATTAATCCGCATGACACCCCCCCCCCCNAAACAAAAAAATCCGGATTAGCGAGGGTTTGCTGTATTTAAGAGTTTGTCTGTGAGATGTCAGCGCGCGGTGGACGCAAAACAGAATGGCGTGTGCAGTGCCTGCGCGCCGGTCCCCACTCTGCTCGCGTTTGCCTTCTGAGTTTCTATGTGAGGTTTCCCAACTGGGCCTCCGTAAAGAGTGGTGCTGGGCCTTTTTGTAGTCCATAAGCGTTAATGCGGGTCGTTTGCAGGCAGCAGCGCGGGTCCATTGTCCTCGATACTGTCTTCGTGACTCGCGGTGGCTCTCTGTTCAGAGCAGCGAGACGCCAGCCTGAGCGGTCGGTAAAACAGGTCCCTGAAGTGGGATGGGTTCCGCAGAAACTGACACTCTCTCAGCTCGACATTTACATAACCCAAATGTTGGGTGGACCAGGTTCGATCCCGGGTCTGGTCAAGTGGGATTTGTGGTGGGCAAAGTGACGCTGGGGCAGGTTTTCTCCGAGTACTTCGGTTTCCCTTGCCAATCTTCATTCCACCAATTGCTCCACAATCACCCTCACCTATCATCTGGGGCTGGTACAATAGGCCAGAAGTGGCCGCAGTACAAGGGATTTAGTCCCACCCCACTAGCAATAAAAAACCGAATGTTCATTGCCGTGTGCACAACAGCACGCAGATGAATCAATTCACATCATCCCATACTGTCCCTCAACGATCCATTTTAATATTATCTTACCTTGTATGTTAGGTATCGCAAGTGGTCTCTTCCTTTCATGTTTTCCTACCAGATTTCTGCGTGCATTTCTGAGCTCTCCCATGCGTGTTACATAACCAATGCACCTCATCCCCCCTCATTTCAACATCCTAATAGTTTTCAGCCCTGAAGATGAAGGCAGCACGTTCCTCTCAGTGGTCTATATCTCTTACTGATCACCGGAACGTGTGAAGTTCCTCCTGGCACTTGCTGTCCCCCACGCTCAGGCCCCAGTCTGTGTCGAACATGAGGTTCTCACAGCGGCGTGTGACACTGTACAGTTCGGGGTGTTAGGACCCAGGGACCCAAATTTCATACGTGCACGTGTACACAGATATTGGGTCCCAGACGTGCATTTCCTTGGGCCACTTGGGGCGCCGTCACGTGACTGGTTACCTAAGAGGATCTCGGCATTTGCTTGGAGGGGCCCCGAGGAAAACCACGAACAATTTCAGTCTAGATATCCGATGTTGAGGCTGAGATTCGAACCGAGTGCCTCCCGGATACAATTCTGGGCCGGTGCGTTAATACACAAGCTTCATATGGCGGAACGTTTTGCTTTAATGCACTTGCAGTCAAAACTAGAGACCACAGAGCCATCTGGAGTCTTCCCTCGGAGCTCTGCACTACGCGAACAGAGTAAGGGCGAGCATTGCTGCAATTTATGCCTTGCGTAATTTAGCCATGAACATAATTTTTATTTGGGGCCTCAGTAGCTCGGTCGGTAGAGTAATTAGGCTGTGGGTCGGGAGACCGAGGAATTGGAGTTCGAATCCAGACAGAGGCTACGGATTCATCGCCGTAACTTCAGACTCTGGGGCGCATGCAACCTCCTATACGGTGGACACCAGGGGGTTGTTTTCCCGGCGGGGGGGGGATCTGACCATACCCCATCTAGTGCCGACGTTGAGAATGGTGGAGCTGCACCTCCATGGCATGGTGCTTAATTAAGTTCAGCGATACTTTACATAAATTCGACTTGTTCATGTGTTCCGGTTGCCTGAATTTTAAACGTCCTTGGCTGACATTGCATATGCGTCACAAGTTCATAATTCCCCCATAAAATGAATAGATTTTAATTGAAACACGTTTATTGCTCCTTCGCTGAACTCTTTATGTACTGAACAAAGTGCAAATAGCGACGTGTGCTGAGCCGCTGCTCACAGGTTCGCGGGCAGGAGAAGCGTGTCTGTAGGGACGTGAGTGAGCAGCTGGTTGGCGATCCCCTTGAACACTTCGGACAGCTTCAGCCGCAGCTGCGGCATCATCGCCTTCAGCACCTCGTGCCCGTTCTCCCTCAGAAACAGGTTCGTCGCCTCCGCTGCAATAAATGGCTTGCATGTTATTTCACCCTCAGGCGGAACTGAAGAAAGGGTTCAGGGCTACTGCCTTGCAGTACTTACTGAGTATCCTGTTGTTGTTGAAGACCTTCTTGACGAGCATCCGCACTGTCTTGATGTCCAGGTCGACGTTGAGTGTGTCGACGTGGAGGTAGTCGCGACCCTGCCTCTGATGCGAGCTGATCGTGCCCTGAACTGTGGCGATGATGTCGCCTGGCAACACACCATAGTTCGTCTCAACACTTTGCTCTCTGTCGCCTAGCAACAGGCCACTAACATCGTCAGCAGATGCTACGTACCGAGCGTGGAGTGGAAGGTGCCCTGGCCGCTGGCCGGCAGGATGATGAGCACGCCGCTGCTCGTGTAACGCGCGTTGATCTTCAGCTCTGGGATCTTGATGTGCGCCTCAAACGGCGCAGTGCCGTGGCTCAACCTGCGGGCAGTCAGCACTTGGTTATCTGCGTTGTGCCACTGGGGGAGTGGAGGTGAGTGATCAGCTTCACGCTCCGGCCGCTGGGTGGGCTTAAGATCCGGTTTGGACGCTGTAGGTAAGAGGAAAATCTCTTGCCCGCACGGAGAATCGAACCTTGGCTATGCAGATATGCATAGAGATATGCTTGATGTAACGCACAAAATTGTGTGCGCTGCTGGTAGAGTGTGTTCCCATTGGATTTCAGGCTTCTGAGCTATATCATCGCGTAGTCAGGTAGAAGCCAACGGACGCTTCGGAAGAACACATTACCTCCATATTCAGGGTCAAAAAATATAGCCAAGTTCTGCTCTGCTTGCTTCTGCTTCATGCTTGCCTTACTTTTCAACTCTGAAGATGGAGGCGATATATTCCACCAAAACGTTAATTGACCCATCGGGCTACATTGCCATATATCAGAAGAGAGAAATGTACGAAATGTTTGTATTATTCCCACTGTAAACAGAAATTAATTCCGTACGTAAAATTAACCGAGTGCCCTTCTTTATGGTTTCCTGTGAGGTACGAACGGAATCTTTTATCATTTATTTGGATGAAATTTTCCCACATTCTGAAATATAAGAAGCCTAAACTTAACGGCGTTCAAGGCTACGACTGTTCAAGTGACTAGGCTGCCGTTGTAGCATAAGATACGTAAGGTAAGCATGATCTGCTTCGCAAAGCGTGTGCTGACAGAGGAAGAACTTTCAGTAACACGCTGTGTGTGCCATACGTACACTTGACGAAAGGACTAGCATATTTATAAGAGACAAACCCGCCTTCTCGTCTGAGAGGATGTTGCGTAAGGACTATTATCGTAAGGGTTCAACTGAATAGATCCCTGGTCGTGATCGTCAAGGGGCTTAGTATCAAGACAAATTGTTTGGCGGTAAACCGCCTGTTGTAAAGTAATTTGACTTTGACTTCCCCGAAGTCTACATTGCACTGCATGCTTCACTTGTGGTCCTCGCCCTAGCGTGGCTGTTAGTCAAAACTTCACTCTAACGCAGCCTTTCCCACATTGAAGCCGCTGCTCAGGTTATTTCAGCTGCTTATAACTTCCCAACGCTTTACCCTCTGTAAGACGTACCTCGGCCAGACGTACGAGCGGGCACTACCTGGTCTCACCCCCCCCCCCAGTTGCTGTGGCGACAGGCACTCACTTGAGGTCGGACACTGTGAAGTTGCTGGCTCCGTAGATGTCCAGGTCTCTGAGGGTCACCTTATAGCCGTTGGGCCCTGTGGTCAGTGAGAGGGACAATTCGTCCATTCTGAAGGGCTCCACAGAGGGCATCTCGATCTCTGGGATACCTGGAACACGAGTGCAACACGTGACAAGCGTGCGGAACACGGCAGCGCGGTGATGGGAACCGGGCTAGCTCAGTCGGTACAGTGACCACTAGACTCTCGGTTGGACTTCTCGACATCATCCAGACTGGCTCTGGGGCCCACACAACTCACTACACAATCTGATAGCCTCATCACTTCGGCAAAGACAGGAAACAGATATTGTCACGTTTTAGGGGTGTGACTATAGACGGGGTTTGGATGTATTGGCCACTTATACACAGGACTCGGAACTACAAATAACTACCTGTTTAACACTAAAGCTGATCTCCACACTACACGCTGCGTCTTCCCCAGCCTCTTATATTCTTCCCTAGGCGTTGCTCGTAAGCACCTCTCAGCAGTGGAGATCTGTCCGCCTATGTCCTCATGCTACTCACAACTGAACTCATTGCTCCAACTGCTCTGTTTATTCGGCACGAACCACATAGAAAACATCCCGTTTCTAACAGTAACTCTATTGTTGCGTGCGTATTCGTTGCAGCGGGAACGTGTTTACCGAGCCGTTGCCCAGAAACTGTCACTGCTACAGAGTCGCCGCTTAGCAACCAATCTCTACGCCACAATAGGTTTATGTCAGTGGTGCCCAGGTGAGGGGGCATCACATTGACCCTGCACTTGGCTGGGTACACAGTGGGGTAAAGCTGTCTGGAACTTGCGCGACGGACGCTCGTACCTTAGTGGGGCGCAGAGTGGAGACGCAGCTGCGCTCGGGTCGCGTCATCAGTAGCGGGCGGGGCTTACCTTTCGAGAGGTAGGGGCGGAGGTGGTGAAGGGCTCCAGTGATGCAGTCCACGATCTTGGGGTCTCCTTCCCGGCATTGTTTGACGTAGGGTGCTGGAACCAGAACACAGAGGGTTACAAGATTGGGATTGTGTCACGTCGGGTGATCACTGATGAATTGGAGAGGATCTGGAAGGGAGCGGTTATGGCCCGGAGGGCCTGACGAAACACATGTACTGTTTCCGTGTAGGCAGCCAGATCTCCGGCATGGCTGAGAGCAGATGATGACACAATGACCGACGTCACTATCTGACGAGGAGCGTGTGTCTGTATGTGTACGTACATATGTATATATAAAGATACAGTTTGTACCTCACAGGAGACACGTTACATCTCCGCTGTTACAGCTTCACCCCCGCCCCCGGCAGGTCCAGCAGGTCAAGTGATACTACAGACACGTGTGCAGTCTGGTGGCATGAGTTGACACTATTTCTCGATTGGAATTCAGTGACGATGTTATATAAACTGCAAATCATTAAGCATTAGGTCGTGGCCGGTTTCAGAGTACCATATCGGAATTCGGAGTGAAGGATTGAGTGAAATCGGTACCCCGGACAGAGGGATCGATCACAGGACCTTCCGAATACAAGGGACATGTCGAAATGGCTTTTGTTGGCGAGGTTATGAATCTTCGGTTGGTAACGTCAGAGAAACAGATCAGATAACGTGTTAGTCGGTTTGTTAATTAGCTGGGTAGATGTGTAGGCAGCCTGGAAGATAGGTGTACTGTACAGCATTAATTTGGCGCATGCGCGTCTCGATGGTGTGTGGTTCGTGCAACCACGCTCTGCGCAAGATCGGATGATGAGTGAATAAAGAATTAGGAGGCATTTTGAAGGGCGCGGTCGTGGAATAATTTCAAACTATCCCGGTACGTCCGTGGAGTTCCTGAGGGAAACCATGAAAAGCCTCAGTCAGGATAGTTGGTATCCGCGACGAGATCTGAACCCAGGATCTGCCAAATTTGAAGTAGGAGCGCTGACACTTGTACTACGGCGTTGGCTTTTCGGTTTTCCCCTGGTAATCACCATTCCACCATTTCTCAGTACACATCTCACGTTCCTCTGTGAGGCGTGCGCTGGCCCTGACCACGCAGCACAGTATCACATCCAACAGTTCTGTCTGTGATTCGACATGTGTCCCGTTACGCCATAATGACGCTTTACGATCGAATAAATGGCTTATTCCTGAGAACCGAATATTCTGTTTGCCAGAGCAGGATAATTCCAGCCGTGTTGGGACGGCGGTAGGGCTGGGCGTCGCAGCGCCCCTAGACGTTGTGTCATCTGCGGTTTATTGGTTGTCAAACCGAAAGTCTAATCGCTATACCGACCGAGCTGAATATGCGGTCAGTGAATCCGGAACAGGCGACGTTGCCTCTAGCGTGAAGTGAAGAGGTGACCTACCATTAGCTTACGTAACTGCTTATGTAACGAGGAAACGTCTTCCCTGGGAAGAATTACGAGAAAAGTTTATGCAACAGAATTCCCCACGGAAACAGACTGAAACAGTGTCTGCTGAGTCTGTCCGTCTGTCCCCGGTCACATCGACTCTCCTTACTGAGGTCCTCCGGTTCCTACTGACAGCGCCGGTGGCTAAACACAAAGGATGTTTCTCTTCTCTTCTGTTCTCTTTTCCCTCCTGTTTCGCCCTCAGTGTTTCTTACTCTTCTGTCTGTGCCTCTTACAGCCGCGTGGGTCCGGCCACAAGTGATTAAAACTCTGGCTGTTAACTGGAACGCGCCTCTTCCTGCTTGGGCCGGCTCCAGCCTATCTGACGATCTCGGAATGCAGCCGGTGTATCCGTTGACCTCTCTAACATTATGCAGCAGTGAAGTAATGACCTCCCATATCGACGTCACAGTGCAGAGCCCCTCAACAGAAAAGCTAAGACGTCGGCCCACAGATGGCGGTGAGGTCAGCCTTACGCGCCGCCCGAGCTTTACCCCCCGGAAGATTCCTGGTACTCGTTTCTGTGAGAGGCTGAGTCGACGCCAGGGCCACAGTGCGGCTGGAAGGACCAGGTCAATTGAAAAATCCAGTCGAACCGCGACCTTCCGGCTTGTAACATAGTGTTCCCACGAAACTTCTGAGTCTGATACAGAAGCCAGCCGGATATTGGCAACTCCGTGTTGACTCCTCCGGTCGCCTCCTTGTGGTTTCGGTTACATCACTGCCCGACCTTGAGGTGCACTTACTGCAACACAAACACAAATGTATGTGGGCAAACACTTCAATCAGCGTGTTTGCTCCTCTGGGTCCGCTTCTATATTACGTAGCGTCGAAGGGTAGGATGACTAATGAGTTAGGGATCAGAAAGGATTCGGAAAGAAGCGGTCACAGTCTGACAGAGGTACCTGGAGGAACTCGGGAAATCCTCCAAAGCCGGCCTCCAGGCCGAGATTCGAACCGAAGACTTATCGTTTGCGAGTTTGGAGGGACTGCAGTTTCTTGTATACCCGTGACGGTGGGCGATGGCTGAGAGGCCGCGATTGGAGCGGGCAGCTGTCCGATATGAAACCTTCTCCGAGACCTACAGCTCCCACAACCCTCCAAAAACATTAACACTGAAGACGGCAGCTGCAGTGTCTGCCGAAACGTGGAACATCCTTCAGCGTATTCATGCAGTCTCATGAGTTCCCACCGAGAAGGCTAGCCTGGCGATACCGCTCTACACTTATATTTGGGAGGTGCTCGGTTCGAATACCGGTCACATGAGCGGTCAACCTGACCGAGCTTTCTCGTGGTTCTGTCAAACCGCGACCGCTTCCTTCCACATCCTCTCCAGCTCACATATCATCGTCAGTCAACCTACCATCCGGGCGCGAGAGGGGCATAGACATGTTGCCTGAATGTTGCATTGTGGCGAGGTGAGTCCTCTGTTTACGGACGGCAACAAGTGCAACAAGACTGTCATGTAACTGTGCCCTTGCGACGGCCAGCCAGCCTCCAAGGTCTGCGAACTGGTGGTTAGTTAGTTACCGGCGTGCTTTAAATGTTTGATTAACTGAATAAGTACATAGCTATCTTTTGAGTGTTTGCAATTCATGGCACTCAACAGTTCGAGGCAGGGATACGCCTGGCTGTCTGTGTCTGTTGGCATCTGTTCACTCCTGAACGTTACTCGTGGTTGTCACAGATACTCAGCGTGTCTGAAGAGCCCGAGAACCGATCCACTGATTATCATTAACACTTTAAGCCCAGTGGTTAGTAGATGTTAGTACCTCCTGCGTTTCTGGAGAAGTCAACGCCTCAGGAACAAGATCTGTTTCCACTTGTGCTACACATGTATCTTTTCATCTGAGGGCAGGAACAAATCCTGTTGTCGAAGCACTTTTGTTGTTCCCAATACCAGACAGTTAGCTACGTTCAGAAACTCGGTAACCCACTGATCCGTGTCTTGAGCCTGATGAATCCAATTAATACACTCACGCCACACTTGAGATTTATTTTAATGTTACCGTCCATCTACATCTGCCTTTTTCAGGTGCCCTCTTCTGTTTCCTTTTTCTTTCTGACTGAATACACAAAGAAACAAACGGTGTAGAGAGAGACGGTTAGTGTCACCGTCCCCCCTTCTTTCTTTGTACTTATATGCCGGCTCCTCTGAGGTTCGTGTCACGGCAAAAACTGGGGCAACCGATAGCTGCACTCGGAAGCCAGTCAAGTGCCCCTACACAACTTTCACTGTCCATGAACTGCTTATTTGCCCGAAGGTGAAACTTTGCAAGTGCTTTCGCAAGCAAGGAGTAGTATGACCCTTTAATATTATCAAAATTTGGCGTTCCAAAATGAAGGGCTGGGAATTTTAGAGAAACGTGAGGAGCGCACTCAACCACGTCTGTGGTATCTTGGGGTGGGGGGCGTCACTTCGTCCCCGAAAGGCTTTGAATTAACAAGAATTCGTCTCCATTTGATTGCTTTTAACTAGCCAAAGTCATCAGGCAATCACATAACGACTTGGTAACAAGATGTAGAACTCGGACCCCCACACGTGAGAGCGGTTATATTCTTTAGTTTAGGGTCCTGTTACGCACGTCAACGAAACAAAATTCACATCTTCGGAAAGCTACAGACTTGCCTCCCGTGGTGACTTCTCCCCTTCCGGTCAGTCAAACTGCATGTAAACAAAAACAAGGAAGTTGTTTGCTTGCAGATAGGAAAAACAAGTCATACCTCGCCAGTAAACCTGTCACCCTTCCGAAATGGCTAAAGAGGACACTAGCGTCCACGGGAAAATTCAACAGGTTTGGACTGTCACAGTAGATAAAAAGTAGACGGAGCTGAATGTTCACCTTCACGTTCCGACTGCTTTAACCCCAGAGAGAAAGCCCTTGACGTCCATTGCTCTAGTGGCTGGGCGGGCCCCAGCGCCGGCCTGATGCCTGTTCATACTGTTTATGGAGGCGGTCTCCGTAACTTGCTGAAATGTAATCAGAATCCCCATAGCCGTTGTCGAGAAAGTTGCCATTTTGTTTTTATGGGAGGGGGCGCTGGCGTCTTCGTGTACAACGGATACAAAACTGTGATGGGCAGACAGCTACAGATGTCCACATGCTTACACTCCTGCAGCATACATAGAGACGGCACCCCCGAAACAACTTTTTCGCTCGGAATTACTGGTTTTATTGGACTTTGTTCATCGTCTGTTATTCTGAAAACTGGAGAACACAGCTTTTCGGAGAGCGGGTCTGTTTCAATCCTCAGGGGAAGGAGGGAGACCCCTTGCAGAGAGCTAACCTCAATCACTGGAGATCACACCTGAGGACGGCAACAGATCCAGTTTCCGAAGCGTTCTGTTTTCTTTAGCTTTTAGAATACCGGACGATGGACAAGAGTGATTCTTAGTGTTATACACCCTCGTGAGGGGGAGCCCAGAAAGTGTAACTGGCAATGCAGCCAGAGCGCGACGCATCACGCGGGCTTCTGCGAACCTGCGCAATGACAAAAGGCGGCGGCTGTCCATCTTCTTTGCAGTTCCACTCCCCTCTTGTAACTTTCTCTCGTGAGTGGCGAGAGTTTCACGAGAGAAGAAAGTGTGCTTGGTTCGGTGACCTCGCGCCGCCGAGTGAAAGGGAACAGTCGGCAGTGCAGCCCCCTGTTAGGCTGCTGGCGAACTCGTGGCCTCATTCAGCCCGCGAGTTTGCGAAATATATGCAGATATGTAGAGGCGTGGTTATGCTACGGTTGTTAGGATCGAAACTATATGATGAATTGGAGAGGATTTGGAAGGAAGCCGTCGCAACGTCACCAAGGTAACATGCCTGCACAGTGAGGATTGCCGGCGTTCCGACCGATCTTGAGTTCAGTGAGGGGTACATGGTTCAAATCTTGGCCGTGACACTTGACTCATGTTCCTCTCGTTTCTTCCTCACGGATTGCAGGTAAATGCTGGGATAGTGATTCTTTCAGGCCACGACCACTTCCTGTCGCATAATTTCCAATTTACCATTCCACGCTATATTGACAACGTCCTGGAGCCAGAACAGCGATTCGGCTATGGGCTGTATGAACTGTGACTCGGGATTCGATTCCCGACGCAAGCAAGAGATTTCTCTGCTCTCCACAGTTCGTATCTGACGGACAACACTCGGCATCCGTAGAAACAACCAGCCCGGTAATGGTTTTTAAGGGACCACACGGAACACATAAGCACTGTGCGTGGACAAAGTACGCATATTTATCTGTTAAAGCAGATGGTAACTATAGTTACCACTGGGTACATGAAATTTCTGAATCATTGACCTACTGTGCACAACTGCATGTCACGTGATCGCAGGGTTGCCTGCGGCAGTGCACACGGCATTACGGCTGCTCGTGGCCCTGCGCATGCGTGCTCAGGGCGCTCCTTATGCAGGAGACGCAGTCACGTGACTCGCGCCCCGTATTGTTAGCCATTCGCACACCTGTCATTATGAATACTGCTATCATCTGGGATGTGCTGCCGTGTAGTCTGGTAAGAAAGTTTCTAGCATTTTGTAGAATCTGCTGCCCCTCCCCCCACTTTAGGGTGGAAGAGTGGGCTACAGGGGCAAGACGGTCAGTGATATAGGCTTATACCTACTCCCATTGGTTCGCTCTTAGCCCCAGTCCTCCCCTGAGCTCGCCGTCCGAAGGCTCCCACAGATGACGCAATCACAGTGGTAAAAGATGAAGGTAAAGTTGTCCCTGTGCTTAACTAATTAAGCACTACGCCATGAAGGCGTATGGGGTAGTGCATGTATAGATCCACATTTTCTAGACCTCGACACTAGTTGGAGGTGAGTGGTCAGCTTTACGCCCCGGCCGCTTTACCCCCGGAGAAAGCCACCCGGTACCCATTGTATAGGAGGTTGGGTGTACCCCAGATTCGGTCTGGCCGATATGGAGAAGAAAAATTCTTGACCCTACCCGGACTCGAACTCCGACCCCTCGGTCTTCCAGCCCGTAGGCAGTCGCTATACCGGCTTGAACAAACAGGCCTTGAAGAGGGATGTGCAAGGCAAACACGACTGCACACTGCGCACTGTTGCGCAAACGCGACCGCTGAGTGCCTGTCAGCACTTGCGTGTTTGAGTGTCCTAGTCCTGCAAACTGGCGAATAAGCAGGGAAGTTGCGAAACCTGTAGCAGACGTGTTGAGCTAATTTCTCACAGCGGCGACAATGTATGTCTGTGACACCGCGTAGTCTGGTAGACGTTTATCGACATTTAGGATTAATATACAGACTCAGGCAAGCACAGTGACTCTTAAACTTACTGTCTTTTCACATGGTTTACTCTTCGACCCGAAATGCTAATAAATTCTTGCCAGACTACACGGCACCACATCCCTGAAGACAGTGATTTTTATAATGTGCGGAGTTCTGGGGATTTATCTAATTACACAGCTGGTCAGGTAGCTCCCGAAACGTCGTCACGTTGCGATACCCGAAAATATCTCTATCGTGAATGACAAGATAGCGTTCTTTTTTGCATGTGCCGCCGTTTAGTTTGTTAGATACGTACCAACTTGCCTGAGAAATTTTGCTGGATCCTCTATGTGGAAATATACAGAGCAGGTTCCTCCGAAACGGTGGTACCTCTACAAACAGCGAGGCGTCACATCCCGGAGACTGAACTTAAACGGCCAGTTCCCTTGCTTCTGTCAGAAGCAAGCGGCGGCTCACGTAAGTCAGTGTCTGTAGTGTCATGTTCCCATGTGTCAGCAACAGTGCTGCTCACTGTTTGTGACGTTCCCTTGACTGTGTCAGCAACAGTGCTACTCACTGTTTGTGACGTTTCCTTGACTGTGTCGGTAACAGTGCTGCTCACTGTTTGTGACGTTCCCTTGACTGTGTCAGCAACAGTGCTGCTCACTGTTTGTGACGTTCCCTTGACTGTGTTAGCAACAGTGCTGCTCACTGTTTGTGACGTTCCCTTGACTGTGTCAGCAACAGTGCTGCTCACTGTTTGTGACGTTCCCTTGACTGTGTCAGCAACAGTGCTACTCACTGTTTGTGACGTTCCCTTGACTATGTCAACAACAGTGCTACTCACTGTAACGTCCCTTGACTATGTCAACAACAGTGCTACTCACGTATTTGTTGCGAAGCTGCCGCAACAAGTGACACAGTTGCCAGGAGCAGCACGGATGTTGCTAGTGGAGTAAGTCGCGCCATGCTGTTGCCGCCCACGCTTGCGTAGCAATCTGCAACACATACAAACTCACTGCAGTCCGCTGAGAGGCTGCTGATAGTCGGTCAGCTGCTGAAGAAAACCTCCGCCTTTTGTGGAACCCGGAACTCCCTTATGTGCTCACAAGATCTGGCCACTGGTGTGTCCTGAGCTAGATGAATCCAATCCATATCCTCTTATCTTGTTTCTTTAAGATCCTTTTTAATGCCATCCTTCCATTTACATTTACATGTTTCAAGCCGTCTCACCCGTTTAGGATTTTCAGCCGAAATTATGCATGTTTTTCGTATCTCCCATGCATGCAACATGTCCCGCCCAACTCATATTCTTGCTTTGATCACTTAAGTAACACCTGTGACGAAGCACAAATGTTGGAGCTTCATTGGAATTTATCACCATTGGGGGATGGTGACTCATCACCTATCAAGGTTTTTATCAGGGTGGATTGTCTGCAAAACATTTTGCGTTTTCCCTCGTCTTCTATCTGTGTCCTAGATCCCACCTCATAGAAGACACACCGCATCCCCTTTACAAAGCCCAATCGCTTAATGCTGTTTACTGTGAGAGCCATACGGAACACACAGATACACTCTGTGGGCAGAATGCAGAGTTTTAGTATGTTCAGTCCGTACCTCACAGGAAACATTACGTCTCCGCTACAAAGCCCAACCGGTTAATGCTGTTTAGGGAAACAGCTGCTGTTTACTGTGAGAGCCATACGGAACACAGATACACTCTGTGGGCAGAATGCAGAGATTTTAATGTTAAAGCAAGTGGTACATATAGCAACCACTGTGCTATATACGTACCAGCGATTTCTCCACGGAAAGCCAATGCGTCCGGAATGTTCGTGATAACAAGCCAATCTCCGGCTCTTGCTTACTGCAACTCAGTGAAGGCTGCATGGACACACCCGGATGCGAACCCTGTACCCGAGTTTCAGTGACAGCTGCCTCCTGCGTGGTGGGGTTCTAGCGCTCTATCGCATTCTCGCGGAGACATAGCCCGGCACTCTGTGGGCGTGACGTGTCACATTCGCGCTCTAGCCGCTAGCATACCTGTACCCCTTGCCAGGAATCGAACCCCGTAGTTTATGTGTGACGGTGGGTCTCACGTCACCTCCGGCTCCTGGTGTGCGCACGCTCCCTTCGTAATGTAACGAATCGTATGAATTTAATGCATACAGCGAGTAGACTCGTGCAATTTTGTGACGTATAGTTGGCAACACTTCGTGTTGGTTTCTCCAGCGGGTACTTTGGCGGCGCCGCGCGATAGGCCGGGTGTTCCCGAAACTGTCTCTGCATAGGCAACGGCAGAAAAATAAAATCAAATTGAAAATAGCGGTAAATGGGAACGGAAACGCTCTTCTGTGTAGGACGCTGCGCGGCATGCCAAACGTCCTGAATGTAATGTACAGTCTGAAGTTGCCACAGCGGTGACCGTGAAGATTTGTATTCTCTGGTTTGTAACGCCGTATAGTCCTGTGGATGTCGACCGACGTTTCGGAGGACGACATCCATCTTCATGGTTTCCTTCTTTCACTTATATTCGACCCCCGTGTATGATGACAATATGTTCTTTCGAAACGTCGGTCGGCTTTCCCCTGACTACACGGCGTTAGTTCCCAGAAAACACAACTTGAACTTAAATTTGTAAGCCTAGAGCGCATCTTCTGGCTGTTTCCGAACTAAACTGTCCCTCCCCCCCGTTGCGCCCATCGGTGTCTGTAATACAGTTGTATGTTTCATGGAGCAGAGTTCTTGAGAACCTGTCAGTCGCTCACCTAATCAAGAACCCCAGTGTTCATTACCGTGTGCACAAAATCCCACCACTGGTCCCTATCCTGTGTCAGATGAATCCATGGGATTTGACTGTGAAAGTTAGTGTTCTGTAGTGTGACGCCGTGTAGTTTGGCAGATACGTACCAATGTTTCTTAGGTACTAGTTCACCCTGTGGATGGAAGCAATACGTTTCCTCAAAAGGTGGGTACCGAGCTACCAATGCACACGGCCTCACATCCCAGAAAACTGTAATTCTGAAATGAGTCATATCGTTGTCTTCACGCTCCATGTTTCAATATTATCCTCCCTTCCACGGCTAGTTCTCCCAAATAGGCTCTTTCCTACAGGTTTCCGTCTAGAATTTTGTGCATAATTCCGATCTGCCACATGTGCGCCTCGTCACAACACTTAACTCTGCTCACTGAGTCACAATGCTGCAAGCAGAATAAGTAAGTAAGTAAGTAAGTAAGTAAGAGGAGCAGACTCCTACTTGTGAAGCTGACAGTCGCCCAAGTGCCGCGGCTCGTGCAGCTCAGCTTGCAGCTTCCAGGTCAGGATGCCGACTGGAGTCCCAGAGCCTCACCGCCCCGGCACGTATAGGCAAGGCGGCGCGCGGAGGGGGAGGGGGCAGGTAGATGAAAGTGAGTGCCCCCTTGCGTACAGCACACTTTGTGGGTCAACTTCGCTGGGTATATTCGCAGGCCTGTAAAACTGAGCCCCCCTCCTTGTTTGTGTAAAGTGCTGCCGATGTCTCGGAGGTAGCATCAAGAGTCTGCACTGGCGACGGTTCTGCATCCTGGGAAATGGGCGGGTGCACCGATGTGGAGCATCTTCATATCCTGACGATGGAAGGAAGTTAGGTCACTTCACTTCCTTTCTGTTTATATATGCAGGAAACCGTTAGATTTGACCGAGAAAGAATTTGGTCGTAAATGTTTCATTTTGTCTCTACAGTGTCTATATGAAATATTTGTTCGCCCCTATAAACACTGAGTTACACTGGGGATGCGCGCAGGTCTTTGTGTAAAGTGTCCGATTTTTTTTTGCCGAAATTGGAATGTGATGGGTTTAAGTATAATGCCTCTGTGAAAATGGCAGTGAACCTCAAAGTTCAAAAACTTAGTGGAAATATCTTGAGCATTCGCTTCGCAAGAAGAAACAGGCTCCATGCAGCGCGCAGAGGCGTGTAGAGTCGGAAATCTTGACCGCTAGCGCATTTCGCGCGCAGGAGAGACTGCCGAGTGTATCCGCTTGCCAGAACTGCTGGCGTGTAGCGCTGTAACTATGGTAGCAAGTGCTATGTATGTTGGCCGCTAGTGCAGGAGACTTTGCCAAGTGTATCCGGCCACAGAACTGCTGGCGTGTAGCGCTGTAACTATGGTAGCAAGTGCTATGTATGTTGGCCGCTAGTGCAGGAGACTTTGCCGAGTGTATCCGGCCACAGAACAGCTGGCGTGTAGCGCTGTAACTATGGTAGCAAGTGCTATGTATGTTGGCCGCTAGTGCAGGAGACTTTGCCGAGTGTATCCGGCCACAGAACAGCTGGCGTGTAGCGCTGTAACTATGGTAGCAAGTGCTATGTATGTTGGCCGCTAGTGCAGGAGACTTTGCCGAGTGTATCCGGCCACAGAACAGCTGGCGTGTAGCGCTGTAACTATGGTAGCAAGTGCTATGTATGTTGGCCGCTAGTGCAGGAGACTTTGCCGAGTGTATCCGCTTGCCAGAACTGCTGGCGTGTTATGTACAGTATGTTCGTGTGTCTCCTGTTGCATGTTCACGGCGTAGTAAAGATAGTTGTGTTATTGTCGGTGTCTAGCTGAAGCAACTGTTCTAACGCTTTCCATTTTATAAAGAGACATATCGATTTCTCTTGCCCTCTGTATGTTAGGTATGCGCGTGAGAAGTGAAACCTTCCTACTTCTCAGCCGGTGCTTGCTCCTCTGTCCACAGAACACATGAAATACTCGTATATCACGAAAAGAACCCGGTGCTTGAAAGGGGAGCGGAAATTTTGCAGTGTTTGTTTTTCCTTTTCGTTTCGAAAATCCCGGAACTGTCTATGGAGGGCTGCTACATTTATATGTTGCACACATAGCGACGGGCTACTAGCTAGACGGCCCGGTTTCGATTCCCGGCCGTGGAAGATTGTTCTCTTCTCCATTGCGTCCAGATCGACTCTGGGGCCCACCCAACTTCCTATCCAATGGGTACGGGGTTTGCTTTTCCTCCAGAATGAAGCGGCAGGGGCGTGAAGCTGGCCACTCACCTCGATCGCGTACCGAGGTCAAGAAAGGCGAAGCTATACATCCGCTCCCCCATACGCCTTCATGGTATGATACTTTAACTTTACATAATATTACGGCGAATCTGTAGTTCCTGGCCACGATATAAGGTAGTTACGCAGTTGAACGAATTTGCCCTAAATGTCCACTGCGTCGCAGTGAACTTATGTAGCCCATGGTTCTCGCGCGGTCCGCAACCCAGAATGACTGTGCTGGCGGTGGCCGAACCGTACATAATCGACTCATCATCCTGCTGCTGTAGCTACGCTGTAAGGATGTCACGGAGTGTGCCAATCTATGCACACTATTGGTGTGAAGGCCGCCTCGCCCTTGTCAGGTCGTGTGTGTTGACCAAGAGTGGGTGGTGCGGCGTGTGTCTGCCAGGTGCGCACTGTGTGGCCCGTTCGCGCACCTCAGTTGGTGGAGCTGGGATGGCCGGAGTTCGTTTACCGGCAATTGCAAGACTTTTCTCTTATCCAGGGGATACCGGCGGTTCTTTCGGTGGGGGTAACTGGACCAGGGCTCTGTATGGGTGTGAAACTTGGTCTCATCCTCACTTGAGGGTGGTTGAGAACACGGTGCTGAGGGGATATTTCGCCCTATGGAAGAGGAGCGTAGTTGGTTGACGCACTATGTTACAAGCAGGAAGGTCGCGGGTTCGATTCGCGATGAGGTCAATGGATTTCTCAGTTGACCTAATCCTTCCAGCCGCACTATGGCCTTGGGGTGGACTCAGCCTCTGACAGAAATGTGTACCAGGAATCTTCCTGCGGGGGTTACTGGCGGCCTGCGCGTAAGGCTGACAACCTCACCGCCATCTGTGAGCCGATCGTCTAGACTCTAGACAGTGTGGGAGCCTCGACGGCCTGTTACATTTACGTTTCAAGGGAGAGGAAGGGTGACGTGAGAGAACTGCGCAGTGAAGGGCCTTATCATATGAATCTATAGGATGCCAGAATCGAGAAAGATGAGATCGGTGGTGCATGTAGCGCGCATGACAGATATCGGGAACTCATACACGGTGACAATGAAGAGACCACTTGGAAGATCTAGACGTAGATGGGAGGATAATATTAAGATGCAAGGCGATGAAGGCAGGCGTCAGTAAGAGAACAAGTGCGCTTGCGTGCAGCTCCGACTTGTGGCGTTCTTGAGCCAAGTTCGCTGAACTGTGTGCGTGCAAAAGTGTAGCAAGTGCCGCGGCATGGACCTCTGCCCCCTGATAGGATGCGACGCATTACAACTCCACTGAACTCCACTTGCATGGAATGAATTCTCTGGGCCACAATACTGAAGCAGATATACCCAGACTACACGGCGACAGCGATCTTCACAGGCGTTTCTGGGTTCTGAACTAGAGCAGGGAGTTCGGGTCCGTGATTACGTATGTTACTCTCTTGTGACTGACAGCTTCTTGTCGTGTGTGTGGACGACCCCGCCTGCTTTAACATACAGGAACTCTGCATTCGGCCCACGTGACGTGTTTCCTGTGAGGTACGGATCGGATCGTTATATATGACACACTTTACTGCGGACGTACTTTTATGCCCGACATACGCTTCAAATTATCAAGAAACCAACAGTACCTCAGGGACCTGTGTAGTGCTCAGTTGCCGGACTACTGGCTGGAAATCAGTATCTGCATCCGGAAGGTCCTGCGACCGGCCGTCTCGACACAGATTATCGCGGTTTTCCTCCGCCTTCAAGTTATAAGTTGTTACTGAATGCTACTCACGCAGCCCTCCAACTTGAATTTATTAAAATTAAACCCCTATGGCATAAACGTCACAAAATTCCTGTTCCAAATTATGACTTTCTCCATTAATTGAGAAATCACAAGCCAGTGCTTGTAACCATGACAACGTCTGCACTTTCAGCGGGCGGAGCCTGGGAACCTTTCTCCCCTCTGTCACGGTTTTGCCTCTTTGGTTACTAGTCTCACTTCTGTGAAGGGTTGCTAGGCGCGTGTCCTTTACGCATGCGTCGCAAGATGATCTGTGTGCTGTAAGCGAGCGCCGCGTCATTCATTATATCTGTAAATATTTAGTTTAGGACGGCCTTATTCGTGTTTGTTCGTCTTCTGCAAACACCGAGTCGGCCTGCAGTTCTGCATACTTTTCGCATGGACCAGGAAGAGGCTAATTGTTTACGTGTGTAGTTCACTTAACGACGCTGGTCATATCCCGGGCAATATCGCAACGATTAGTGAGATACCGAATCAGGAAAGGTGTGGAAAGAATGCCATGTACTCTGATCTGAGGATCAATTCCGATATGTTGATGGAGCGTCTGAAAAAGCCGCGAAGGATGGTGACAGGAAACTCGCCCGTCAGCTCCGGGCCTGAGCCCGCCTAGCCTAGTATTAGCCCTTTCAGGCACGAAATGGACAGAAATGTGGTGGAAGACGTACCAACGCGATGGCTTGGATGATCATGAAAATTAATTCACTGATTGACGCATAAAACTTGAGGAACAGAGAGATAGAAGAGAAATTTGGGGGGAAGAATTGAGATACGCTACGTTTTAAAGGGAGAGGACTGAGAGATAAGAGAAAGTGGGGGGGGAGCAGGGACCACTCTTTTTGTAGATATACATCTGAAAGAGGGTAAAGCGTTGGGAAGTGGAGAAGATTAGGAAATTGACTTTACCATGAGCAGAGGCGTTACTGCTCATGGGCGGAATCTTGATATCGTTGTTGGAAGGGCTGCATGTGACGCAAGCAATGCAACGAACAGTTTGGTACCAACTCAACACTTGCTCCAGGCCCGAGGAGAGCCATGGACAAACTTGACTGTGGAAATACTCAGGGTCAGAGTTATGTCACTACCAACGGTCAGTCGGCCAGTCTGTCATGGTGTCAAGCACCCATCCGGAGCCCAAGACCACGTTTTTATTACTGTCAGAGAGTTGCGGGTTTGTTGATATGGGGCGCCCTCCCTGATGAGAGGACAGGTCTATCGTTTGCAATTGCTGCTGGACCTCGCCGGCGCAGTCATTCTCGTGCCCGAGTCCAGCGGGACTCATGACCATATTTAACTTCCTCAGATTCGAAACTCCTTCATCCTGGAGGGCGAGGCCTCCTTATTTATATCCCCCAGGAACTGGGTGGCACAGTTACACCCGCAGGCACTGGGTTCCCTTTTCGTCGCCTCCTACGACTCGCAGGGCTTCCGGTGGAGGCACTCGAATGCTCCTACATGCATACATACGGGTTGCTCCTCGCAAGTCTAAAACTCATATAATTATTATATACATAGTCAGTTCGTACCTCACAAGAAACACTACGTCTCCATAACAACCACCAGCTGGTAGATGTTTGGGGAAATGGTCGCTGTTTGTTGTGAAATCGTAGGGAATACACTCTTCGGGAAAATTGCCGAGGTTTTAGCGTGAAAGCCGGCGGTACATAATAGTTAACTGCAAGGCCAGCCGGCAGCACGCATCCGCCAAGCGGCGCTTGCGTAAATGTCACCGGCCGGCCGACTTTCACCGCTGGAGACAGATGGCTCTGAGCTGTGCACTGCCCGGCGGAATTCTGCGCATGATGCCTGAACGTGACGTCTCATTTCGGTGTGTGACGGTCGTTTGCTTGTCAGAAGTTTCATTGTCTGAAAATATGTTTGTTTGGTCGGGGGTTCTCACAGCGGGTCTCTATGCACACTACTGTCGTCTGGGATTTGACACCGTGTAGTCTGGTCCTCTGGATAGCGCGTGAGAAGTATACGAAGAAGTGGAAGGGTAGTGGTTGCAGCTGCCGTGCGGGAGAGAGGATCACTCACTGTAACTGTGGCCCTGAGGTAAATCGTTATCTGAGTGGACTCGGCCAGATCCTCGGCACATTCTACAGTAGAACCATGATCAGTAAACGTTTCGGAAGAACCTGTTACCTCCAGCATGAGTGTAGAATGGTAAGCCACAACGGGAAAAACGGTCAGGTGTACCCCGAATGGGGGATAGGGACTGGGTCTAAGAGCGAACCAGAACTCCCTTTCTCCGCTGCGATTATTCTTGTGCCGTGAAGACGGAGGCAGAAAGGCCTTCCGAAAAGTTGATATCTACCAGATCGTACCGCGTCACATCCCGGAATAGAGTGACCTGATTGTAACTAGTTCAGAGATATGACTAAGCCAGTGACCCTTAAGCTTGTAGTTTGGATTAATCTGGCTCAGGATATTGTCCTATTATGGATTCTGTAAACGCAGCAACAAACCCTTCGGCTGCGCAGAAAGATACGAAATTCTTGATTAGCTGATCGACTGTCCGGACTCTGTTGCAAGTCCTCCATAGCATTGGATCAGTTGTGCAGGCTTGTTTCGACACGAGTCCCTGGAACATCCGCGAGGTCGAGCCATCCCCGGACCTGCCTGCTCAGCTGCTTCCACAGTTGCATACAGTTTCGCTACAGCAGTTCGGAAGGTTCTCGCAGCGGTGATTGTGTTCCTGTATGTGACATTGTGCAGCCTGGCAGAAGTTAACCGACGTTTCGGAGAAATTTATTGCCTCAGTCCTCAGGACCGAAGAGTAAGTCAAAGCAACGAGCCAGAAACAACTCTGCTTGTTGCTTGCTGCATACTTTTCGTTCCCAAAGATGGAATCACTAAGTTTCTTCGAAACGTTGGCGTCACGTCTCGGGAATCATGAGATTCGTCGTTGCGGGTTGCGGTAGCATCAACGTAAGTTATGTAAGAAGTCACGAATGAGCGATAAGACTTTTGTATAGTGTATCGTATTTCTTTTGTGGATATGTGACATGTAGTATACGTTATAAAGAAAATGGTTTACGATTGGTTGTTTTTGCGTGTTATTCGTGGGAGATAGCTTTAAGCTTTGGAGGAACTGGAAAAGAATGCGGGAGAAAGGCAGGGAAAGTTAATGTTGCCATGACTTCTGTTACATATGATGGCGCTGCCCCTTGAATCAGCAACCAGTGCCGCGCTGGTACTGATGTGACAGTCATCATCATCATGTAGCACTCAGCGAGTCGGGACACTCATCGACTTGTTCATGAAGCTGTGGTAACTTGTTAATGTATTTGAATACGTACATTCTGTCTACATTGTCTTGGATCCTTCATTGCGGGAAATTACGTAATTACTTTGAGCGTTCCTGATGTTGCCCCAAGATATTTATTTTTGATTTATTTATTTTTGTCTGATGAATAACAGTGGTACCTTGCTCAGCTGACGGGGAACAGCTCGGCGAACGGGAAGCGCTCGAACACTTTGCGCGCGACGTCCGTGAGGATGGCGCTGATGGTCTCGTCCACTAGCGGCTTCAGCTCCTGGAACACGGCCTCCCAGTTCTGGCTGAAGAGCTCGTTCATGGACTCGCCTGCAAGGCACAGTGCCAGGGTGAGCGGGGATTGTGGGCCTGTCCTGCTCACTCTGGCGAGGCGAATGCTATACCTTAAATAGTATGTCATAGCCTCCTTTCACATTCTTTCCCGTTCACCCTTTTCAGAATCCAGCACAAAGCACCTCAAAGGACTCAGTCACACTTATGCCTCAGTACAGTGTTTATTCTTTCGCCAAGTTTACTGTTCCCGCTCAATAATTTGTTTGTTCGCCCAGTTATTTGTTCCCGCTGAAGAATGTGTTTGTTCGCCCAATTCTTTATTCCCTCTGAAGAATGTGTTTGTTCGCCCAATTCACTGTTCCCGCTGAATAATTTGTTTGTTCGCACAGTTCACTGTTCCCACTGAAGAATGTGTTTGTTCGCCCAGTTCACTGTTCCCGCTGAAGAATGTGTTTGTTCGCCCAGTTCACTGTTCCCGCTGAAGAATGTGTTTGTTCGCCCAGTTCGCTGTTCCCGCTGAAGAATGTGTTTGTTCGCCCAGTTCACTGTTCCCGCTGAAGAATGTGTTTGTTCGCCCAGTTCACTGTTCCCGCTGAAGAATTTGATGAGTCCCTCGGTTGTTTGCTCCACGTGAACAAGCTGTTCACTTACCCAGTTCCTTGTTCCCGTTGAACAGGTTGTTGAAATGTATGTCAGCATGATTCATGCCAATACTGAACTTGAATTCGTCAACTTTCATGTAGTCCTGACCGTCACGTGACTCCTTGTGACCAATCAGCAAGCCGATAGCAGTGATGCCAGCTGTAAGCACAAAGTTATGGTTTTCGTCAAAATAAACTGCAGATATTAAATTGGAAGGGGCATAGTGTCCTCGGTGTTGCAGTGTTCCCTGTGCATTTCTTTCAGAAAGTTCTTGAGATTAATATTGTGGTCTTCTGGGCTACAGTAAGTGGGTACCGACGTTTCGAAGGACCTGGTTCTGCTGACACTTTGGTACCGATCTAGTGTATGCGCAGAACGTACCCCGAGAGGTCCAGTGTGTCCAGCGAGACCTCCGCTGTGGCGATTTTGGTTCAAGCCGACTTTCTAATGATGACGCAGGGATCGACGTCACTATGTGATGACTGTGCACCCAGAAAATCACGATATAGGGTTGTGAGTTCCTTGGAGGTACTGAGAAATACGACTGAACACGTCAGTGTGGAGAGGCAGTTGCGGGGATGAGGTTTGGGCCTTGAACCTGCTTCGGTTTCAAATCTGTGAGTTTTGTTAGTTAGCAATGACAGCATGGCGGCGCCCGCAGAAGCCTGGAGTTACTCGTATATAAATTCTGTAAGGTAAAGTGTCCCTGTGCTCAGCGAATTTAAGAACTACTCCCTGAAGGCGTATGGGGGAGTGGATGTATAAATCCACATTTTGTTGACCTCGGCACTAGCTGGAGGTGAGTGGTCAGCATAACGCCCCAGCCGCTTTACCCCCGGTACTCATTGGATAGGAAGTCGGATGGGCCCCAGAGCCGTACCGGAGCTCGAACTCCGACCACTCAGTCGTCCAGCCCGCAGCCAGTCGCTATACAGACTGCTCTACCCCGGATCCTGTGTAAGTTATGTGTAAGAAGTAATTTACATGGTGTCAAAAACAGCAGGTTCACATATAACTTTAATAACCCCTTTCAACAGCTGTTTGTGCCACCTGTGGTTACTGTGCTTACTGTAGTTATTCCAGCAGTCGCCGCTGCCCGAAATTGGCAGCATCAGTATCTTGCCGTTGATCTCGCAGTCTCCATGCGATTGTACGTACGGGAAGGCCACGTCGAATTGCATCCGGTAGTTCTCCAAGTCGGTACTGTGGGCACAGTCGGTAACAGACCTTGCAACAATTACTACTTTATGTGGCGCTTTGTTTTAATTTAAGTACTACCTTTTTGTTATGAGAACAAGTTGCTCCAAAGAGCAGGCTGTTTGTTGGTAGGCAGGTAATGGATGAGTTAATCAAGAAATTCCCAGCCTTTTATAGAACTCGATGGTTCAATGCAGTATTCAGAAGAGCCATCTATTCCGAACCAGGTAAGTCCACTCCACACCCTTCCACCCTCTTAGTTTAAGACCCGTTTTATTCTGAACAGTGACCACCATAGAAACCTGAATCTTATATAAGCGGTAGCAGTTTTCTGTTTCACGTCAGGCAGCCGCAACAAATTGGGGAGGGTTCGTATTGTCTGTACGCCACAAGACATTGTGGTTCCTGCATGAATTCGGCTTGTTGACAGCGAAGTTGCACCGCGTGTCTGTCCGCCCAGCTGCAGGCCACACTGCAGTCTGCTTAAGCACCAGCTGTGACTCGCTTCATGCAGAGACCTGCGAGCCTAACTCCCTAAATATTCAGGCAAGGCAGGGGTACAGCTGTCTCCGTGCTTAATCACTTAAGCGTGACACCATGGAGTGGAGGTATAGCTTCAGCTTGCTTAACTTAGGCACGAGATGGAGGTGAGTGGTCACCATCACGTCCTGGCCGCTTTACCCCCGGAGAGAGACCCCGATACCCATTATACACGAGGCTGCGTGGGCCACAGAACTCGTTGCTTATCTATCGTAGCGAAAAGCACGTATTTCAAGCAAGAAGTTGTGGAGAAAATGAAAACGCATTTAAAGAATTGACGGACTTCGCTGGAGTGACCGCGGCTGTGCGTGGGCGATTTCCTGACTTCACTTACCTCACTTTCCTGACTCTGAAGTTCGTGATGCCTTGTATGTGCAAGTTTCTGAATGTGGAGTCGATGGTCACAGGCCCAGATGCGTGGTCCACGCTGAGCTCAGGGATCAGCAGCGGGTCCATTGGAGGAATCTTCAGCTGAGGGATTCCTGGAAAGTTGTCAAAGCCGTGTCAGTCTCCTGCACCCCTAGTGCGCAGTGCCAAGAGGTGGGGTGCTGACGGATGTTGGGCTGGTAGGGGTTTAGAAGGAAGAGGTCCTGGCCCGATACATCACTCCACCGTTGTCTGCAGGGACTGAAGGAGTTGCCAAGGACAGCAGATATCCTGCCAGAGACTCGTCGTTGTACTGATGTGTGATGGATTTTTAACATTTTGTTTTATAAAGCTGATGTGACAGCTGGATTAAACTGGCTCATAAAAGGGTAAACTTTAGGAGTTTGATATGAATGTCCGGACTGAACGACGGCGACAATTATTTTATTGCTGTGCTCTAGGATCTGAAGTGTTGTGTTTGTGAGGAATCTTCTGACTCCATTTTCAGGGAACTTTTCACATACTGTTCTATCCTGAAGACTGAGGCAAGGTTTTACTCCGAAATGTCGTTATCTTACATTACTGCAATTTATGCTGATTTGCATGATGGAGATTGTTGTCTCGTCCCCAGTCGAAGTGTGTCTGTGAACTGAAGCCCCTCCTCCCCCGTCAAGATGGGCCCAAAAATGAACCACAAAACTCTCCTCATCCGACGGCCGGGCGTTTGTGTGAAGCATCTTAAATATTTCTCGCTCATCAGCCTTTAGGGCGTAAACCCTCTGTCCTGTTATAAGTCAGAATTAAATTCCTTGTGTGGGGGATCGGTTCGTTGGGATACCTCTACCTACACAGCGGCGATGACAGTGCCTGCCTGTCCTGTCGGCCCAAGTGCTTCTTGCCTTTAGATGTTTACTGCTACAACTACGATGATGATGATAATGACAATGACAAAAGCTCGCTCCTATGCTTAATTAAGAAACACACCACGAAAATGTATGGGGGAGTGGAGATGTAGCTCCACGCAGTCTCAACTTCCACGCTAGATGTAGGTGTCTGTTCATCTTCACGCTCCGGCCGCTCTACCTTAAGGGAAAGAACCCCCTCCCCCTGTACACATTGGATAGGAGACCGGAGGGGAATCGCTCTTGTTGCTTGGTCGCTCAGCCCTAAACTTGTCACTATACTGACTGAGCTATCCCGGCTTGTGGCAAATGTAGTTCAGTTAGATTCTCTGTTGAAATGCTTGACAGTAGCTAAAAGCAAATTACAGGCCAGCACCGAAGAAAGAAAAATATATTATGGCATATTTTCTCAATGCAAGAACTGAAGCCAGCAGAAACAGCCGCTTCTAGGGAACGGTTCTACAAAGACACCCTTTGCTAGGCAACATCTTCGTAAGCACGCAACAGTACCAGAGCCATCGTTAAGCAACGTCTCCGTGCCAAAATGGAGGAACTGTTCGAAGCGGAATTTTCTGTACGGTCCGCGCCAAAGTTATATAACGAGGACCACTTGCCATTACGATTGAGCCGAGAGAGAGAGTCTGCAGGCGGACAGTCAGTTAAGGGTTACAGAAGCTGAGGCTGAGGACAGATCGGTAACCGAGAGGAAGTGGAACGCCCACCGTTGGAAGCCGCCACCAAGCAACGGCTAGTGAAGACTGAGAAGACTTTATGTATGCTGTAGTTACAGTCATCTTTCTAGTGTGTCACTCAGACTGTCGTACTTATTTGTAGTAACGAGTGTGTCCAATAAATCCGATTACCAATTCAAACCCCGTCTAACAGTCAGACTTACCACGTGAAATATATATTGTCACGTATCGGGCGTATATCGCGACAAATAAATTCTCGACGTATTCGATGTAGCGAATTTTATTTCACATCCGCTCTCACAATCACCCAAATTACAATCTGACGATTACTGCTATCTGCAGTATCACAATTAGTACACTGAAAAATGCCACAATACAACTGACTAGTTGCTGGCTAACTCGGCGGTAGCTCCAGGACTCGCTGACTGTCTCAGTACAACTCGACTCGGCGACTGTTACAGTACAACTGACTGATAGCCACATTAGAACTGACTGGTACCAGCTGTGCAGCTCACTTATATAGCTGCAGTGCTTGCCGGTTGCGTAACGAGTGCCACGTCACAGTAGGAAGTTGATTCGCCTTGCATAGTTACCCGGTTACGGGGCTCGGCTATCTTCGGCTCCGCTCGTGACGTCACCGCGCATAGCTGCCAGGATGCGGGGTGATTACTCGCCTATTACGCGAGCGTTACGTTACCGCTGAGGGGTGGGAGGGGAGCGCTGACTCACCCACCGCGTCACTGCTGGTGTGGGGGGGCTCGGCTTTGCGCAACATGTCACAATATATATACTGCTTTTGTCCGGCTGATTAGGATTCTTTCCCCCTTTTACATATGATGACGCTCTTTCCCTGGGTGGTAAAACTGCCGGGGCGTGAAGCTGGCCACTGACCTCCATTTAGTGGCGAGGTTAAGAGTACATGGATCTACGCCTCCACTCCCCCACACATCTTGGTGTAGTGCGTAACTAGATGATCACAAGGACAAATTTACTTTTGCTACCTATTTAGTTTTGCAAATGAAAATATTTAGTGTCTGTTATTCACTCTACGAAATACTTGCATAAAATAGCCATATCGCAGTGCCCACAATGCAACGCGACTACTCGTGTACCTGATCTGAGCGTCGAGCGCAGGCCGTCTAGTGATCTCTTGACGCACTCACCGAGCTGTGAGTCGTTCCTGTGGCATATCGTGAACAGGTCAGCTGAAACAAGAGACTCCTGTAAGCGATACATGCAGTGGCGGCTGGTGACATCGAACAGGTCTCCTTAAACAAGAGACTCCTGTAAGCGATACATGCAGTGGCGGCTGGTGACATCGAACAGGTCTCCTTAAACAAAAGACTGCTCTAAGGAATAAACGCAGTGGCGGCTGGTGACATTGAACAGGTAGGCTGAAACAAGAGACTGATGTTAAGTAGTACGAGATTCGAATCCTAAACCCCATAGCATTAGTTAATATAATTATGTAACAATCTATACGGTTTTAATGATAGTTCTGAAAGCAAATGTTTTAATTGGTACACAGGTTTTGAATGACCCTCGGTGGCATGATCTAACTGTTGGGTGCATCAGAGGAACGCAGAGAGAACAAAATCCTGACGACACTGCCGAGAAGGCAGCAGGCTAGCTGGTGTACAAAAGGGCGCTAACAAGTACTGGACAGCTTCGTACCGCTTCTGCACAAACACCACGTTTCGGAGACTGGATTATGCCTCTGTCTTCAGGTGAAATGTACACAGTAGAGCTAGTCCCTATCTCCGGACACCTGTACCACCCCCACAGTGGGGTATACAAGCCAAGCACAACACAAACCATCTGCGAGAACTAAGAAAAAACATTAAATTATTAAAAACAATGAAATAAATTAGTCTGGTTTGCACACCATTTTGTCTAGTGTGTTTTCACGGCTAGTGGGTACGTGCGTTAGCTCAGCAGGATGTACTCACAGGCATACAGGGCGATCGCGTCGCCGTGCAGCAAGCCCGTCACCAAGACGAGAACCAGCGCTCGGTCCAGTTGCATGATTCTCACTGGATCTGCCGCTGACGTGACAGACTCCTTAACAGTTTCCCTTAAGTCGTGACCACAAGACAGCTGAAGGACACCCCATCTGAAAAAATCTTAGGCGTTAATGTCATCAGCCATGTTACGTGGTAAACTTAAGATTAATATCCCCTGTGGTGTGATGTAATGGCACTCTGGCAGAGAGCCATCAGCATTTCGAGTGAACCCGCTGCCTCCATCTTCAGGTTAGAAGAGTGGACTTGGGCATTTTAAATATATTCCTTACACTGCATTCTGTGTTTCAGCATAGTCAGCTATTTAAAATATGAAATTCTAAATAAAATTTTAAAAGTTCTTTCCCTTCCTCACAGAAAACCCATTGCGTCTTCATTACAAAGACCAACCGATTAATGCTATGTAGGGGATAATTGCTCGTTATGAGAATCACACGAGATGAACACACTGTGTGGACAAAATTCTGAGTTCTGTCCATGTTGGAGTAGATGGTACATGTAGTTACCACTGTGCCTTAAGTACGAGAAAAAATCTGAGATTCTGTAGGTTTACACTACGTCACGTGAATGCACAGGTCTGACCTTCAGAATATGTACCTTAAGCATCTGTAATTTTAATTTTCCGCACAAACATTTTGCCTCGAAATGGGTACATTTGTGTCCCGCCATTAAAACAAAATGGCTACCATCACTTGCTGACGTCAAGGCTTTGAGACTTTTTTAACTTTATTCTTTCTGTTTCGTCACATTAGTAAATGAATTGACAACACCGTCCAGTGTGACTTTGTGCATATTGATATAGTGCCTTTTCTGCGCGGTACTTGCCTGGGCCTGCAGAACAGAGCATTCCGCGCTATTCGGAACCTTCAGAGTTGCACGCCAGTCCTCGAATTGCACGTGGCTTCCAAAATTCCGTACGTATATGACTACATAACTAAATCATGCAAGGCAGGAAGCAGCGTTTCCAGAGAGCCGTTCCCTAGCAACGGCTGTTGCACTCTGTCCTGTTTTCACAGCTGCTACATGTCACATGTGTGTTATCGAATGATACGTCGAGGCCTTCGTTTAACGCCATCTCATACGAATAACACGTACCAATATTCATTCATAAACCGTCGTCCTTGTCCTCTCAACACAACCAAATCAAAATATTATAAGTACTCACAGAATAGACGCGATACCCTGAAACAGAACACTGCTCGCGTGTTCATGGGGTCACAACGAGAAACGTGTTAACGCAGTGCGATTCGTTGCTATGGCAACACGAAGTTGCGTGGTAGGACCCATGAAGCTCACACAGGAAAGTATCCATGTGTCGGTAATGTAGTACGCTTCTCCGTCATCCACTGCCAGCTGAAACCGCAGCACAGCTTCTAGTCTGAACTCTCAATATCGGAATTCATTCAAATCCCTGCAGTAACCTAACCTATACAGTGGGGCAAAATTTGCCCCCAACATTTACCTCCATGCGCCAGTACACCTTCATGGCCTGCCATTCAGTGCTACAGTTAACCCTTGTTAGTCNGGGGGGGGGGCGGAGGAGTCATCCGGATTAAGCGATAGTCCGGATTACTGAGGCAGAAGACAGCCCCAAAAGGCAAAGAAAACTTAGAACAAATGAATGGAGAATGTAATGACGTCAGCAGGGCGGATGAGAGTAAATAATAATAAAAACATAACTGTAGAGCCCTCATTAGAAACTACAAAAAGACAATACATGTATCCACCGATAGAAGACTCAGAAGCTGTACTTGTTTCTGAACGTAATGATGCAGGTCTGAACAGACAAGTGGCTCATCTGCCTGCCTAAATGCCACGTGTCTTTTTAAAGTACGAGTATGTATCAACTGTGAACAAAGTTTTTTTTTTTTCATTTTTCATGTTTCGATCCGGATTAACTGCAACCGGATTACCGAGTGTTTACTGTACACAGTTACCGAGTGGTTGGTTGGCACTCCTGCTTTATGTTAGAGAAGTCACGGATTCAAGTTCCGGCCCAGAGGTATCCTGTTCTGGTTGAGATGTTACGAGGTTTTCCTCTGACCTTCCAAGCAGTACCCAAAACAGCACTTCAAATTAAGCCGCGACTACTTTCTTCAACACTCCGTGGAGCTGTACCTCCAGTCTGTGATGCTTAATTGAGCAAAGGAAGAGGCGTTTTGTTTAGTTTCTGAAGGTTCCTCCACGCCGCAGCCCCCCTCCCCGGGCCCTCGCGTTTCACGGCTTCATTTCGTTTTCGTATTGTCTGCATTACACTTTCCTGTCCGTTTCGCTCTGGATGACGTAATGTGACGTCAGGTTTTGCGGTGACATCGAGCAGTGGCTCAAGTTGGCGTGGCCCTTAGCAGCCGTAGTACTTCTGTGTGACCACGCTTTGCTGGTGTGCGGCGTAATAGCGGGTCTGAGGGAGCCCACCTCTGCAATCGGTCTCGCTGATCCTGAAGATAGAGGCAGTACGTCCCTGCGAAACATCAGTTTGTCACGCTTTCCTAGGCCAAGGTAGTAACTGCAGAGCTTGTCGCTGTGCAACGCACCATGACATGATTACACGTCACAACCTTCATTACAATTTCAGTGTACATGGCATTTTTCGTCGCTTTCAGTTGTTTTGCTTAATACAGCAGGACTTACAACTCAGTGAAAGTGCTTCCTAGAGGTCTCTGTGACGCTTGATAATTTTACTGTGATATAGACTTTTATTACTGAATGTAATGAATATCCCCGTACGGCTCATTATTCCCAGGAAATACGAATAGAAAGCTGCCCTAATGTCGTAAATTAAACTGTTGATATACAGGGTGTTCAGAAATTGGAGCGTACGGTACTCCACCACGCGATACCTTAACGAACATTGAACTGCGCATGGCCCTAGTTAACATGTGTACAGACAGATGCATGAGTACGAGAAGCACATAGTCTACAGTGTTGCCATATCACATTCAGTTTTAATGTCATTTTTTCACGAAAACTGCATCGATCGAAATTTCATCTCACTGGTCATCAAGGAATTGCTTGGTGGGGATCTCTCAACACGTTTTGCTTTTGAGAGAGCGTCAGTCCCACTCTTCCGAGAACGGAGACAATTACAGGAAGATAGGAACTTGAATTTAGGCCTGCACATGGGTTGATGGACGAGCAGAGAACAAAGTACGTACAGGCGAAGTTTTTGGTAGGCATGTCGGAAAGAGAACTATGAACACCCCCGCTTGCTGCACTCTTGTGGCCTGGGGCCCACGCACACGGGGAGTCCCAAGTGGGCGTGCTCATGTCTACGGTGTGTTGTGTTGTGACGCCGTGTAGTCTGCTGCATAAGTACCAAATTCTGCTCTGAACATAGAGATACCGTGTTCCTTCGAAAAGTTGGCGTCTATCTACGGAACTTTATGTGCTGTTTGAATTCGGGAGTCTTGCTTCGAATCTCGCCCCCGACAAATGCCCGAATTCTGGCGGGGCTATTTAGGAAACCGTTTAATTCCTACTTCCGGTGCAAGGAGCCGCGATGGCTCAGTAGGTGCAGCGGTTAGGCCAGAGGCTGGAGGGCCGAGTAACCGGGGTTCGATTCATTCTTATGTTCTCCAAAACGTCGAGACCGGATGTGGGGCCCACCCTGTCTCCTGTACAATCGGTATCTATGGCTTTGTGCTCGGGGATAGAGCGGCCGGAGCGCGAGGTTGAGTACTTACCACTGCCGAGGTTAGGAATGCGTGGAGGTAAGCCCATATAGTGGGCTGGTAGGGCGCAGCAGTGCCATTTGCGTCAGGCTCCCGACTTGGGGGCTCCAAATGTGCTCTCATTTAACTAAAAGAATTACAATAAGTAAGGAAAATGTGAAAATTCTGTTTGCTTGAATTGTTGTCTTTTTATTCTTGGCCTCTCACTGATATTAGTCTGCATTGTTGAGATAGTAGCAAATTAAAAAAGTTCGTGTTGTCGTCTTGTGCTTCCCGTGATGATTATTCAGGAACATGTTGTGATGATGTTGAGGTATGTGTTTCCATTAATTGGTAGTAATACTGTCACGTGATTTTAGAGTGACTCTAGACGGGTTTGGATTCGTAATCGCATTTATTGCACTCTTACAGAATGTAACGAAATAACTACGACAGATCCACTGAGTTACAGTCTCCAAAGAGCGTCTTCTCAGTCTTCACTAGCCGTTGCTTGGTAGCGGCTTACAACGGCAGACGTTCTCCTTCCTGTGGGTTCTCGAACAGTTTCTCGGCGTCAGCTACCATTGCAAAGAATGAGAAGTGACTCATACGGAACAGAGAGAGTAGTGAGGTTTCTCCCCTCGCCCTCTTGAACATCGCTTTAACAGTGTTTTCTGTGAGGTCCGCTGTAGGAAGCATGAAACCGAACCGAGAAGAGGAGCAGTGCCTACCGGCTTGCTTGTTTACAGACCCCACGAATCTGATCCATCCGCGCATGCGCATACGTACTGTACGTGTTGTCATGGCAACTTAAGGACAGTTACGCGAACTATTGCGCTGTTGTGTTGTACTCCGCTAAAACGGTGTCAGAATGTAAGCGAAGGACTGCTTCGTGTCTTCAGAGACGCAAATAAACAAAGTTTGTTTGTTTTTACGTAACCAACTTTCTCGTGTTACGGACTGGAAATTCAGCTGTTTCTGTGCCAGCTGAACCTGTTCTGTATCAGGGACCTTCTCGTAACATCTCCCTGCAACACACTCGGCCAGTAGACTGTATTTCTATGGGCTAACCGGCTAGGATCAGAGGGGCTTCGGGGACCTTTTCTGTAGCTCAGTGGGCGCTCTGTTACTTGTGATGAAGACAGCCGGAACGTGTCGCTAATCAGTCACCTTCATATAACACCGAAATATGTACACTGTGTTAGTCGTGATGTAACAACACAGCATTTTACTATGCAGTGCTTCCATTCATTACTGTCATCTTCTGCTCCTGTTGGCAACTGGTAACATACATAGCGATGGAGCAACAAGTGTGAGTCTTCTGTTCACGGCTTTGCTTGTGGGCTGTTTAATGACGCAGCGCACACTGTGGATCTAGAATGATTAGCGAGTAGGTGCAATGAATTGCAGAGGGTGTGGAAGGAAACGTTTGTCGCTGTTTAGAGGCTTCGCGAGCGAGGAGCTGTAGCCACCCACCCGCTAGGCTCGGTAAGAACGTCCGTTGGGACGGAGTCACGCTAGGACCGGTCGCCAGTCCGCGAGTCTCGGTGTTGTACAGGATGGGGTGTGTCTGAGGACTGCAGCCGAATGCTAACTAGTACATTTCTTGTCAAGAATCGAACACACAGTTCATGTAGGAAAGCCCAACTGGGGAGGAACCGTTGCAGGGCAGTGGCCTATTTTTAGTAGGGGAATAAACTGCTCCACGCATGGACACAGGCTGCCCCGAAATCGGAGAGTAACTTAGGGGCTGGGGCCGCCCGCTGTTTGTACAGGTAGAGCGACGCCGACCTTGGAGATATTTGTCAAACACGTCTTACAGATGCTTACACATCTCAGGACTGTGCCGTTGTAGCTGCAAGCAGTGTGTTGTCACGGACACGGGTCTCAAGTAACAGCGAGGGAACACTGGTTACGAAATGGTTACAAGCTAAAGCCATTCTTCTAACAGGCCTTGGAGGCCCATAGTGTTGTGAGACGTCGAGGCTCCCACATTTTCTACAGTCGGCACACAAATGGCGCTGAGGCTGTCAGCCTTACGCGCCGGCCACCCTTTATCCCCAGTAAGATTCCTGGCGGCAGTACCCAGTGGACTCACCCCATGAGAAAAACAACAATAATAATAATAATAATAATAATAATAATAATAATAATAATCAGATATGTCGTTGTGGGGCGTCCTCCCAGACGAGAAGAGTGGTCTGTTCATTGTCGCAAGTGGTGGCCAGCTGTGCACGTTCACACTTACACGAATGGCATACTCTTGTCAGGAGTCGAAGGCTGTTCACAGCACAGTTTTCCACGCAGGCGCGTTTCATGATATTCCGTGTCGATCTTGTGTTGTCTTATCTGACGTGTTAAGACGACCTCGAATAAAGCGTCTTTAAATAAGTCTGAGGTCGGACGACCTGCTGACAACACGTGTTAGAAGGCAGGTTACCCAGTGCCGGCACGTCCCTGTTAGGGACGGTAGTTGTGACATGTTAGGGCCCTGCAAACGGCCTCTTCAGAGCGGATCCCTCGGGGGCCCAGAGGATACGATGCCCAAGGCTTACCCCCATCCGCTGCTGTGACCACAGTGACGACTGCTCATGTGTAATTCGGTTTTGTTGACATATTTCTTCGTGTCAACGTTTCCAGTTCTAGGCTTCGCTTCCGGCTCAGAGCCCCGCCACTGCTGGAAGAAAGTGAAAGTTGCGAACGGCGGCAGTTTCGGCGAGACTGTCCCCCAGCGAACAAGGCAGTACGGTGGCCATGAGGACGACGCCTGTGGTAGTGGCTCTGGTCGCGTCCGTCGCACTCTTCTGGGGCCAGGTGACGGCCAATCAGACCCGTAAGTCTGCGTCGCCACAGAGGGCGCTGTTTCCAGGCAACAGTCGCACAGCAGTTAAATGCTTAGGGGATCTACCTCACATCTAACGCTGCTAGTCTACTTAACCTTGTTAATGTGCTCATCAAACCTGTAGCAGCCACCAGCATTCGGAATGCGGAGGTGCAAAGAATGCCTGTGCATCCTGTACGGGCTACGTCTTTCCAACCCTGCTTGTAATTAAGGCACGATGCTCACTTGTTTCATTGTTGTTCTTGTTGCTGATGCATGTTTCTTTCAACAGTTGACATTTTCAAGACCTGCAAGGTTGGAAAACCCGGCTTTGACAGTTGCGTTATGAATGGACTCAACACTATGCAGACGTTCTTCAACACAGGTGAGTTGTTTAACCCTTTAAAGCACAGTGGTAACGATATGCACCACTTTCTTTGTTTAACATTAAAGAATTTTCTATTTTGCCCACACAGTGCATCTGTGTTTTCTATGGCTTCACAATAAGCAGCGTCTGTTTCGCTAAACCGGTTCGTCTTTGTAGTGGTGACGTACTGTGTTTCCTGTGAAGTAAAAAAGTAAAGCTATCCCTGTACCAGGCCGTGAAGGCCCACAGGGTTGTGAGACGTTGAGGGTCCCACAGTATCTAGACAATCGGCTCTAAGATCGCGGTAAGCTTGTCAGCCTTACGCGCCGGCCGCGCTTTACTCCCCAGGAAAAGTATTTATTTAATTAATCCTTGGTACTCATTTCTGTTAGAGGCTGAGTAAACCCCAGGGCCTGAAGGATTAGGTCAATTGAAAAAATCCAAAGACCTCATCGGGACTTGAACCCGCGACCTTCCGGCTTGTAGTACAGACTGAATCTCTAGGTGAACTCGGGGTTGTTGCGTGCTTCGGAGTTATGTCATGTCTGCCCACCTGGGAGCATGCGGCGGGCGCTCACCTCGTGAAACTGCAGCGCCAGCAGAACAGGGTACTCCGCGCTTTTCGGAACCCTCAGAGTTGCACGCCACTCCTCGAATTGCACGTGGCTTCAAAAATTCCTTACGTGTATGACTACAAAACTAAATCATGCAGTACACAGAAATAATCCTAAACCATATAAGTCCAAATGTACGCGGTATTGGACAAGGAGAAGCCAGATATAGGAATTATAAGAGGCTTAAACTTGGCGACGGTCGGGCCTGCGACCGTTCAGCCGACTGGCTGCAGTTTCAGAGCAGTTACATAACTTTCTGTACAAGCCTGCAATGACAGGAAACCTCTATACGAGTATAAACATTACTTAGTGTAGTGCAGTGACACAGAGTCCATAGTGGCCTGGACAGCGCGGATATACTCGTGCTGAAACTTAGTGTAGTGCAGTGACACAGAGTCCATAGTGGCCTGGACAGCGCGGATATACTCGTGCTGACACTTAGTGTAGTGCAGTGACAGAGAGTCCATAGTGGCCTGGACAGCGCGGATATACTCGTGCTGAAACTGCGGTGTATCAAACGTAGAAACATTGACCCCTCCTTCGTCTAAGAGGAGGCCCCATTTCGAAACACGTACATATCCAGAAGAGAATCGAAATCTTGGTCATGGATCTCGAGGAGACTGAAGCCAGGAATGACTGTGCTGGCGAAGACCAACAACAGTGTAAACCTCCCGAGGCTGGCCGACTGACAGTAGTCGTAACTTAACTTTTGACTGAAAGGAAAAGGAACCCAGTACCTGGGGTACAACTGGGCCACCTTTTACGGGGGAGATAAATAGGGGGACCTAGCTCTCCAGGTGGGGGAAATCCCGAATCTGAGACAGTAAAAAATGGTCATGAGTCCCGTGGGACTCGGACCCGAGAGTGACTGCGCTGGCGAGACCAGCAGCAGTTATTAACGACAGACCCGTCCTCTCGTCAGAAAGGGCTCTGCATATGGAAAAAAGAACGCAACTGTTTGACAACAAAGATATGATCTTGGGCCCAAACTGGGGCTTCACACCAAGATAGACTGGCTGACTGACTGGCGGTCGTAACATAACTTTGACTTTGCGTGCTTCAAAACTACGTTTTCAATATTATGTTACACGTGTGATATGTACACTTGACAAAAGCCAGTGTTACATAAGGAGTATGACAACAAGGTTTCGGGGGGGAGGGGTGGTAACTTTATTCATGAACCTCAAGGATCTAATTGGCGGAAACCTGCCCTTCGTAACATGGCTCATCTCAGCTCTACCCAGCTTGCGTGTAGTTATGCAGCCCTCAACTTCAGCATTGAAATCGAAATCTCACTCTAACGCAGCATCAACACTAATTCCACTGATACGCAGTAAAGGCTGTGCTCAGTTGGTGTCTCCTGTTCATGACAAAGTGCGTATACTGACACTTTGCCTTTCCGCTGCCTCCCGCTTTCCCCTCTCACAGTCCTACTTCCTCCAGGAGGAGTGGGCACTGCCTGGGAGCCTTCACAGCCCAAAGACTCTTTGCCCCCACCCTCAAAATGTAGTGTCCCCTCCACTTTCTCTTCTTTCTCTCTCTTTCCTCACTGGAAAAGGTTAAACTGCACACTGGGTCAGCTCATCTAGGTTGCAGACGGTTAGTGGTATTTGCCCCCACCCTCAAAATGTAGTGTCCCCTCCTCTTTCCCTTCTTTCTCTCTCTTTCCTCACTGGAAAGGGTTAAAGTGCACGCTGGGTCAGCTCGTCTAGGTTGCAGACAGTTAGTGGTATTTGCCCCCACCCTCAAAATGTAGTGTCCCCTCCTTTTTCCCTTCTTTCTCTCTCTTTCCTCACTTGAAAGGGTTAAAGTGCACGCTGGGTCAGCTCGTCTAGGTTGCGGACAGTTAGTGGTATAGTGGTATTTGCCCCCACCCATCCCCTCTGAGACCATAAAAGTCATTCACCTTGAATGAACCTTGTGCCCATAACTTTAGAAGTTAGGAAAGATATGGACACGTTAATTATATTAACAGTAACTGGAGGAAATGTTTTCGTCAAAGTTGGCTTTAAAACCAAACTGTGAAATGTACCTGCCCCTCTTCTCCTTCAGATGGTAATAACTCATCATGGTGGCCGTTACCTGGCTCGCCACTTAGCAACGGAGATATTTGCATCAGTCTCAAGTCGACCATCTGGAATGTACCAGTCAAATGGCTGAATGATTTGACATTCAGATACAAAACAGACAGTGACAGACATACATCATTATTAGCTACCATTTTGAAATTACCAGTGCGCACTCCATTTCCTTCTCCCGCGCATTTCGCAGTCTCCCCTTACATTAATACACATGCCATGCAATGAATGGGCGGAGCCGTTGAAACAGACGGTTCCATATCTCCATGTACAGGCGTACCACTCATCACAATTTCTCTACATATGCATGCCCTTGACAACGGAATATTTTTGTCCTTTGTTGGCAAAGTGAAAAGCTGGAATACTGGCTGTAGTGTAGGTGCCTTTCACTATATAACAGCAGAACAGTGGACATTAATTTATATGCACAGTTATGTGTTAATGTGTGCAGGTTAATGAGTGCATTACCCCTGTTTCAGGTCTTCCGCAATACAACATAGGGTCCTTTGACCCATTCTTCGCCAAGGAGGTGAGCCAGAAGCGTGGTGGCACAAATATGAACTACCAGCTGAAACTGAAGAATGTTTATGAGAGAGGCTGGACCAAGTCACATGTTACAAAGTTCAGGTATGGTGCCCCAGCAAGACCCTGAGGTGTATAGTATAACAATTCTGGCAGGTTCACTCATTTCTGTTTAATTATCTCAGAAACTGTAGGGCTAAGTAGAGAAAATGTAGTGGGCTTAAAACATGTATTTTATTGCCCTCTGCAAGTTCTGTTAGAAAGACTCTTCACTCTGATAAACATATAGCAGATTAGATTTGAGATGAATGCAGAAACACGAGGACGTCTTCACGTGGAGGATGGTTAGTGTTGTCTGATTCTAACCAGAATTAGAGTGTGTCAGCAAAGGTTAGTTAAGCTCCCCAGTATCAAATTGCTTCAAGTGAGTCAGCAGATAAGTAAGTGTGTAACTCCACTGTGTTGCAGAAGTGATCCAAGGAATTACATGATCAAATATTCCCAGTTTTTCCCTGACAAGTATGTGGAAGGAGACTACGAGATAGTGGGAAATGTGTTCGACTATCCGCTTAACAACAAGGGGAGGTTCAATATCTCATTATGTGAGTCATGCCTCTGGCTAAGTGTATGGACTAGGGAGGGCAATTGCTTTGTCTGGTGGGCAGTGTTACAGCTCAGGTAACCTCTGTGGGCCTCATCTTTTTGAAGGTAAAACTGTAAATGTTAAATTTATATCTCTTGGGGTTCACCCAGCCTCCTGTACAGTGGGTACAGGGGTCTGGTTCTGTGGCTGTAAGGTGGCAGGGCCTTGTTGCTGACTGATCACTTCCATCTAGTGCAAAGTTCAAGAATAGTGAAGCTATACCTCCACTTCTTCATACATTTTCATAGCATGGTGCTTAAGTAATTAAGCTCAAGGATAACTTAACCCTTTATCTGTACACAGCAGGAATTACACTCATGTAATTAATGTGGGGTAAATAAATATTTCAACTTAACAAAATAAAATGCACTCTAAAATTGTTCTGTTCCTGTAACAATGTTTTAATTTTACAGCTTATAAAATTATATTTACAGCATAAGTTTACACACAAAACACATAGTCCTGATTGGTTGTATTTGAGGCTGCCATTGTAGTGACTGTGAAGTTTACCATCATCTGCAGTTTGGTTGATAGGTACCAACATATTGGAGGAACTTGCTGTCGCCATTTTGTATATGTTCCTCTGAAATGGTGGAACCCAATGTACTACACTATACAGCTTCATCCCAGAAGTTGGAACTTGTAGGAAGACATTTGTCTCTGAGTGGCAAGTCCTGTAATATATTGCAATTTTGCTGCAATGAATGTGGTTATATGTGTTTGACACTAACTCATATAAAACAAGCTCCAGCTAAGTTGTGGCAGGGCATGTAGCATGCATTGAAGGTATCAGAAATGGTTACAGAATTGAAGTGGAAAATCTGTACTGAAGGGACCTTTCTTGAAGACCTAAGTGTAGATGGGAGATTGCATTGTAATAATAATTTAAGTCTTGGTTAAACCCATAAACTGAACTGAAAGGATTTTAACTTGGCAAGCAAATACAGTGTAGCTGCTTGCATAGTATATAGATTTAACTGATGAAATAGATCTGAAAGAGACAGAATGTGAAGGTGTAGACTGGGTTCATCTGGCACAAGATAGGGTGTAATGGTGGGGCTGCTCTCACTGTGCCGATGGACCTTTGGGTTCCATGGAGCTCTGGACAATTCTGAAGTGTATGAATGGCAGTCAGCTTAGTAAGGAGGTTTCTGCTGCATGGAGTTAGTTAGGTACTCTTGAAAGGAAGAGTAATCTTGGAACTTGACAAAGATGGAAGTATAATACTTTTTTTTCCTTAATTGCTACTGGGGTCACTTGTACTGCGGCCGCTTCTGGCCTATTGTACCAGCCCAAGATGGTAAGTGAGGGTGATTGTGGAGCAATTTGTGGAATGAAGATTGGCAGGGGAAACCAAAGAACTCGGAGAAAATCTGCCCCAGCTCCACTTTTTCCACCACAAATCCCACTTGACCAGACCTGGGATCGAACCCAGGCCACCATGATGGGAAGCCAGCGACTAACTGCTTGAGCTGTGGCACGGCCTAAGTATAATATTAAAATGAATCTTAAAGGAATGGGGATAGGGTGTAGGCTTAATTAATCTGTCTTCAGATACAATGTAGTGGCATGCTCTTGTGAACGTGGTAATGAACCTTCAGGTTCTGTAGAAGGGAGAGAATTTCTTAAGTAGCTGAGCAACTGTTAGCTTCTTAAGAAAGACTCTGCTCCATAGAATTAGTTAGTCATAGTGAAACACAATTGTGTAGAACCTTAGGTTACCCAAGCATGTTATCTGTGACATTACCATCATACATTTTTCTGTTGCAACCGTGCATCTGGGATGGTGAGTCAGATAACTACACTCAGACTACAACTGCTGTTTGCCGCCCATACATCAGAGGTGTTAACGAGTCTCAGAGTGGGCCAGTGAAAGTGAAGATTCAGCAGGATGGTATAGGAGACATGAAACTGCACATTACAAACATTCTGAAAGGGCGGGCTGCCTTGGGTATGTGGATCACAGGTTTATCAGAACCTTTTATTTTGCAAATCTTTTTTGTTCTTCTCCTTGCTTCGGTTTGTTAGTTTCAAGTGCTGTTTCCTTCCCAATATATTTATTTATATCATGTTGCTCTTTATTCAGCCAGCATTTCAAATTTTGTCCAGAAATATAGACTCGTAATATCACAATGCGCGTGTGACTCTACATCTGCATGTTGTCATAACCTTTGAACAAGCTGGTTGGATTTTAATGGAACCTGGAATGAAGATAATGCCACCAGATGTCACCACATGGTTATAGTTTCCAATTTCCAACCAACATGGATAAAATACGTGTATATGGTTGTAGTTTCAAGGAGCTCTACTGACAGTTTAAGTCAGGTCCAAAAATACTGGGGCAGTACACGTTTGAATGAAAACACGCATGATTTTACTACAATAATATTTTTGTCCATTGTGAATGAACATCATGGTAACCACTCTTCATTGTTAGCTATAACTAATGAATGACTGGAGGTAGACGTGTGAAATGTTGTATTGCAGTAAGTCAGAAACATATCTGCAAATTGCATTCAGATATTTTTTAACAGTTAAAAATATAGGGGTAAAGGGAAACTTTGAGGTTATGTACAAATATAGAGGCAAAGAGGAGTTTTGGGGTTATGTATTACTGTAGTAACATATTCCTTATAAACTGAAGCATCATAAATTCTTCTCATAACTTCTCATTCTCTTCTGTTGTTGTAGCGTCATGGTAACTATATGTATCACCTACTTTAAGATTTAAAAAACTCTGCACTTTGCCCACACAGTGTATTTATGTGTTCTGTATGTTTCTCACAATAAACAGCGATTATTTCCCTAAACAATATTAACCAGTTGATCTTTGTAACGGAGCTGTAATGTGTTTCCTGTGAGGTATGAACAGAATTTATAATGCTATTTAAATGAACATTCTTGTCATAAGGATGAGGGGGTGAAGCTGAGGAACCATCTTAAAAAGGATACTCTTTGTTCCCTTGTGGTGCTGAGTCTCTCACCTCTCATGATTTTTCACTTTCACCTACCCTTCTGCTCTACTTACTTACTTCTCTGCCTGTCTGTCTTTTTCTCACTCTTGTTCAAGCCTCAGAGAGTTAAACTTTGAGATGATAATAGCAGAGTAATAATAATTTTGTTGATCACTTATGATTACCATCATTTGTATCCTTAATCCATGAATTGACAGACATGAAATCAAGGAAGGCATGATGGCGGGCATGCATGGACATGAAGAGTGGAGCTCAGTTTGAAGATGGGAGGAATTTTTGAGGGTTACAGTTTGAATAGCATTGTACTAGCAGACAGGGCCAAATATAGCTAATGAAACATGCAGCAGTGAGCACAATTTTTTTGTTAGTAGATCAACCATTAGCTCTCCAGTGATTTGTTTGTTACAGAGTCAGCTTACGGTAGTTTCAAGAAACCTCACTGCATTGTGACTGTCACAGTGGTGGTGGTAGCCCTAGGTTCAGCTACACACAGTGTTGCCCTGTTGTGTGTATAATAGTGTTGCCTTTGTCACATGTGTTGTACTGGTTGCAGAGAATGTTCTAGATTCTCTCATCAATGTTGGCTGGAGGCCTTTCCTGCCCATCGTGAGGCCTCTCATTGACGACTTAGTGAGCACTGCCTTCACTGACATCTTCGACAAGTACTTCCACAACTTCCCCTTCCAGGAGATCTTCAGACAGTGAGCAGCTGAAGGCGTTACAGTTCCTCAGTTTGGTCTGTCTTCCCTGATGATAGATTGAACTCCGTTTGGAAACACCAGGAAGGTTTCATGCCAATATGTACTCTTCTCCTACGCCCTCCAATGTTCTCAGAAAAGCAGCCTTATTTTAAAATGTTATTTATGTATGTGTTGTGGGCCTCCATTACACAGAGTTATCCATGAATGCATGAATGTTCACAAAATGTGTGCATTGTTTTGAATATTAACATTAATCCTCTTGACCATATTTTGAGAGATACATGCAAGAGCTTCAGCTGTGATTGTGCCAATGGCATTGCTAATGTTTGTTCTCAGGTTTGGATTGTTTTGGTATAGTGTTCATTACTGAAACACTACAACAAAAAGTCAGGGGACATTGCGTCCAGGGATCTGAGTATCCACAGCCCTTTCAAAATTATCATGTGTTCAGGAAATTCCTTCTGTATATCCATCATATCCTGAACATGTGAATATGACACCTAACGCTGTCCTTATGAAGCCAACAGCCTCCTTCATCAAGTTCCATTAAGGACCAGAAAATGCATAATTATGGATTAATATGTTTTAGTGATTGGACAAGGTGTGGAACTAAATCTGTATTAAGAAAATTTATGGGAGTATTATGAGACGTATTATCACCGTTTGTAGGTATAAGACTTATATTGTCACACAAGATGAACGTGAAATGTTTATTTTTATAGTGACTCCATGTAAACTGCAGATTTTGAAAATAGTACAGCAGTTCAATATGGCACTCAGTGTATTAGCCATGGTGCAAACGACTGAGCTGCCTCAAGCTGAAGTCTGCTTCTTCTAGAAACACTGGTGGTTGTCACCCTACTTTGGGCACAGCTCCTCAAGTGGAAACTTCTGAAGCACTTTATTGATCATGTCCTTGAAAATAACTCCCAGCGACTTTGTCGCCAAGTGTTTATAAGTGTCGAATGCCTCTCGCCACTTTTCATTGAAAATGCTATTGGCTGCAACACCTGTAACAAAGATAATTGTGGCTCTGATTCTGTAGACCCGAGGGATGTTATTACACATGTTCAGTGTAACTTACTGATTTGCTGAACTGCGGGCTCTGTGTTGTGAATAAATGGTGCGTAAAACGTCTGTCCAGGGTGTGTCCTCATTAGACAGTATCATCATGATCATAAGGTCACTAGTTGCTATTTTTGGAGTCAGAATCACCATTCTGGTGATCATGATGATCACCATGAGTTTAATTCCATTTCCCACTCAAGGTATGACATACCCTGAAAGACATGCCTTTCGAGGCACTGGAATATGTATGAGGCGTGATGTTATCACAGTGGCGTGCATGTATGTGTGCGAGAATATTGCTGTCTCCTGGGGCATGAGGCAATGGGAACTGCTAGATTGGTACTGACATGTTGGAGGAACCTGCTGCTTCCATCCTCAGAGTGAAGAAAATGGTGGTACTGGTACAGGGAGAGGCAAAACCAGGGCAGTGTAAAGTACATTGGCCCTTACAGGGATGGTTTTTCAAGGGCAGAGCCATTTGGCGAAATAATGGCCTGAGTAAATAACAGGAGGTAGAAGGATGTCAGAGGAAACACAGGAAGGGAACAGTGGCCCTTTAAAAGGCTCTCCTTCTGTTGACTTGCTTAGGGCCCTGGTCCCAACTTCCTCTCCCTGTACCCATACCACTTATTTACATGCTTGAGTTTCTCATTACCCTGAAGATGGAGACAGCAGTTGCCAACGAAATGTTGATAATATGTGCCAGACTGCATCACCTCACATTCCAGGAAGCAGAAATCTTCACTAGAATACTTGTACATGCTTGTGATAAGTACAGCTAACAGCCCTCTGCACTGTGTGACATATTCATTCACATTTGAGGTTGGCCAAGTGAGCAGAACATGCACTGCCAGGTCCATACGTGATATAATGTTGGCAGGGAATTTTCCTGTACATCCCTATGAATTCTGTGGCTATCTCTATTCCTGATTTCTGTTTGCTAAGTGAAAAACTGAAGAAATATTTCTGCAGTTCATGTAATAAGGCATATTAACCCTTGATGTTTAATGCAAGATTCAAATATGTGTAATGGTGTTTAACATTATTTTTGTCAAACTGTATTTTATGTAATAATAACCAACTCCATGTAGCTGTATGTTTCTTGATAAGCTAACAGTCACTCATCTACTCTAGGAATTCCCAATAAATTATGGAACCCAAAAGGTCATTACTGTGTTCACAAGATGCTGGTGCTGATCCCTATCCAGAGCCAGATGAAGCCAATCCACACCCATCATATTTTTTTAAAGTCTGATTTAAAGTTTTCTTCCTGTCTGTATATAGATCCTCTTACTGGTGTCTTTCCCACCAAAACTTTGTATGCACCTCTTTTCTCTGCCACACATTCTGCATGCTGTGCCACTCTCATTCTTGACTTCATAATTCTGATAATACTGAGAGAGAAGTACAAGTACAAGTTACGAAGCTCCTCATTATGAAGTTTTCTCCAACCTCCTGTCACTTTCTCTCTCTTAAGTCCAAATATTCTCCTCAGCCCCAAATTTCCAGACACCCTCACTCTACGTTCTTTCCTTCATGTTGTGACCATATTGCACGCAGGCATAAAGATGTACTGCTGATTTTGGCTGCCAGGCGCAGTGAGCTCCCTGTTCCTTACAATAGAAACTTTGATACCATTATCATAATTGTTGTTATCAAATACTGTAAACAGTTGTTGTCGTTACTATGAGTAAACACAGAACACTCACTGAGTATTGGGTTGCGGCTGAACAAGTTATTCAGCCTGACTTTCGCTCCTGTGATGTCCATGGTCCACGGGACGTCACGTATTATCAGGTACTGTACATCTCTGTGTGTAACCACCTTTCCCAACAAGCGCGCTGATATCGTCACTTCAGCTGCAAGTAAAAATGAGGAAGTTCAGATGGAACTTATACCAGCTCAGCTTCTGGTGGCCTGTATATGAGACAGTGCTGTGGTAGTGAAGGGAATCAGTCTCTGCGTTTTGACCAATTTATGTGTTTTAAACTTCTTTGAATCTGAAAAATAAGTTTTTTTAGGGGGGATTTGTGCTGTGTGTCTATATGGATGTGTCCCTTTCTAGGGCCTGAGTGGTTGGAGGGATTCCCCCCCCCCCAATTTTACGAAAGTTTATCTGTTATAGGTGGGTGCCTGCTTAATATGAACATCCACCTTGAAAACTATGGGCCCTTCAGATGGACCCCAAGAGCAAAGTGTCACTTTTCCTGAAAATGGCTGTAACTATTTGATTCAATTTCAACAATATATGGAGACTAGCCTGTAGAGTTACACAACTGATATCTTCAGGAATGTAGTGGCATGCCTACTGCGAGACCCAAATGCAAAATGTCAGCTCTGACAAAACTGGCTTTGCTGGGCAGACAAATTTCATTATTATTCAGTATTCCATAACGAAGAGTGATGTGGCAAGCAGAAGTCAGTTTCATTCCCAAGGTAATGTCCGAGTAGCCAGGGTAAGATTTACGATTTTATGAGAAAGTGTGTGCAACAACTTTGCATCCAATTTCTGATGAGAAAGGAACTGTTAACACATTTTGGGTATGGCTAGATACCCGTGGGGGTTGCACAAACCAGCCATCAGGCTCTGCACTGCTAGTTATGTTCTCTTGGTCTCAATGACAGGTTTAGATTGCATTTGACAGAGAAGACACATCAACTTACTGAAATTGAACTCTGAGTCACCCTTGCCGTTGAGGGGTAGCTGTGCAATTTTCCCATTCATCTCGTAGTATGATGTGACCCGCAGGAATGGGATGGACACATTCATGTCGAAAGACAATTTGTCCATGTCTGCACTGTAAAGGAACAAGAACACAGATCCTTACATCGTAGGGCTCCGTTTTGAGAAGTATTCGTGTTGCCTCACAGCAAACCGTTGATCAGTAATGTGGCTGTATGGAAACAGCTCCATTAAAAGAGTGGTTCACTGCTCAATGTAAGCTCAGTAGGTCTGATATATAAGCAGATCCCTTACTTTATGCTCAGTAACTTGAAGTCCTTTATGCCATGAACGGTTATGTTGGTGTAGACACCCCTTAACTGGAGGCCTCTCAGCTTGTCTTGGTACTCCAGGCTGGGAATGTTGAGTGGGTCCAATGGCACAATGTCCAGCTCTGGGTTCCCTGCAAAATGAAGGCTAATTGCTTTGCTTACTCTGAACTAGCTTCAAGCTAGATCCAGTTTTACTCTTGGAGGAACACCTGTCAAACCATTGAAAGTTAAATACGTTACACTATTTGTGTTTCAAATAGAATGTGGTTTGTTGTTAACAGTTGGCTACACACATTGTACAGTTAGGTATATATAACAGCTCGAGATCCACTGAAAGAATTTTCATGAAATTTAATGTCGGCTAGTTTTACTAAAATGTATTGATGTATTGCAGTCTTGATTAAAATCTGATAAAAGTGTTGGACACCTTGTATCAGGGCTGTTCAACTGGTGATGTGTGGTCCTGCCTGCAATTTGGTTTTGTATGGCCTGTGAGAGTGTCATTGCATTACCCAAATCATATTATCAATTTGTTCCAGTCTACAAAGGGACACTGAATCTTTGTAAAAAGTGCTTACTGAATAGTCTGTTAGTTTTTGAGCTAACAGCACACTTCCCAATAATAGTATGGAATTAGCGTGACTCTGACACTTTATGCAATGTCAACACAATGTAACAACTACTTGCTTGATGATTCCTGAGTACTGTTGACCCAATAACATATAATTAAAAGAAAGTTTCTGAACTTGATGCGTGCGGTTAATATTTGTATACTTGTACTTCATATGAGTTGTCATTACAGGGCAGATATTTACGTCTGTATACTGGGAAAACATATTTGTTATATGGCAGATCATATGTAAGTACCTAAGATACAGTGAGGTCCGTCACTGGTTTGGAGTTACACAGCCCTGCTTTACATTAGGACCTATGTAGGTATGTTTCTGTTTTCATCTCAAATGTAACATCTGTTGGCGCAAAAACTATTTGAAACAACATTTGTAGAGAGAAATGAAACACACATTTTATGTTCTATAAAATGTTATGTAAGTCTTACAGCTTTCAGGGTAATTGAGCAGCAAAAGGGACATTTGTGCTTTGTTATCATATAACTCTCAAATCATTGTACTGATTTAGATCAGATTTGATACCAGAGATCCTTGCTTGTCTATCCTGCCCATTTTACAAGAGAATGTAAAAACTAGCATACATGGATTGAGGCTCTGGAGACAATAACAAAGAGCATGTATGTGCACACAAACCTGTGCAACATAATGAAAAACAACTTAGTAAACTGGAACTGAAACATTTCCCTACTTGCTTCTTTACGAAACTGAAATGTTCACAACATTCGTCAGTTATCCTGTTACAGACGTAGACTATCTACACGTCCGTATATAAATTGTCATAGCACATGGATCTCCTTGGTGCTAACACTCTGTATTAGATGTTTGTTGACTTCTGTAGCTACGTTACCTTTGACCAGAAATGGACGCAGTTGTTCTACAGTGTTCCCGAGGCATTCATTGAAATGGGGGTGACTCCTGGGGCAGATGTTGAAATATGCAGATGCTGCAAAAACAGCGTAACTTAGTATTGCTCAATGGTCCACTAACAGTCATACCGTTTATTTAATGATGCTGTTATGCTGATCAGATTGTGAAGGGTGGGGCCATAGAGCTTAGAGGAAGCAAGGGCGTAGATTGGAGAGTGAAGTGAGGTATGAGATTGTGCACAAGATTGATTTTGGTCAGGATAGATATCAGTGGCGGCTCTAGTGACCTTTGTAAGACTTCATGTTCTGTTTCTTGAGTAGCCAAGCGACTGTCAGCTTCTGACGAATGACTCTACTTCAGTGGGGTTAGTTAGTGCATGTATTTATCTGTGTCTGGATAGGGACCAGTGGTGGCCTGTTCTCAGCACCGTAATGAACTTTTGGGAATGTAAGGGGAAGTTTTTGAGTAGCTGAGTGACTGTCAGATTCTCAGGAACTGTTCCATAGAATAACTTAAGGACTTAACCGAAACGTTCATGAGAGTGACATGAATTTACATGTAAGCCATGACGTTCTGCGTACTCTCTGGCATTTTGGGCTTACAAATGCATGTAGGAGTGAAGCTCATGTACTCCGCCATACCTTGTGCAGGCAACCTTACGGAATAAAAGTCCCTTGTAAGTGTGCTTGAATTTACCACCGGCATGAAAATTAAAAAATAAAATTCGCATAGTGGGGGGTGTAGTCCAGCTGGGTCCACTCGGCACGGCGGCCATAGAATGGGCTACTGTACCTGCCCCGGGTGATTATGATGATGGAGAATGTGATGGAATGAAGATTGGCAGGGGAAACCGAAATACTCGGAGAAAACCTGCACCAGCGCTACTTTGTGCACCACAAATCCCACTTGACCAAACCCGGGAAGCCAGCGACTAACCGCTTGAGCTCTGGTGCGGCCTTACCACCGGCATATGTACGAGTAGGCCAGAAGGGTGCTGGAAGTAATTCTAGTCACTCTCTACTGACGACGTAATGGTCTACGTCACCACGTGATAATGACGTACCCATACATCTCCCTTATCATACCTGGTTTGAGTGTCACATCTGCCTCTTGAATATAGATTGCCAGCAACACAATAAGGAGGATGACCATCTGGCTGCTGTCCATTATAGAAACTGGTCACCACTGCTTGTTGCCCTGGAAACAGCGAATAACTTTGGTCATACAGCGAGAAGTACCAGTGCTTCGCCCGGGGTAAGGTTGCTTTTGTTGTCAATATCACAACATACAGGACGTGGAACCACCGCTGATGAAAGTGCCTAGTTAATTCGAAACATTGGTAACGAACTACCAGACTACACGGCGGCACATCTTCAGTTACTGCCATGGGAACCTCAAGTTGCGCACACAAAATTAATGTATACTCACGTAGCCACGAGAGATCGGGAAGGAGGATTCGAGTTCCTTCCAAAAAGCCACACTCTTCGCTTTAACACCAGTGGCCACCGTACATATTGGCAAGGGTACAGTACAGGAAAAGGAACAAGAGTTGTGGCCGGCCATCCAGACACTTCAAGCAAAGCTGAGTTCGAGGCTGCTACTGCGTGATTCTCATGCAGCCAAATTTGCCTTTCCACATGACGCTACACACCCAATAGAAAATCAAAATTCCGCGGGCCCTGTCCACAATGCTTCACAGAACTTATTGTCCATCGTGGTTCAACGCATTCGTTGAGGAACACCGAGCCTAGTGAGCACTGCTCAGGTCCTGTGCGAGCTGAATCTTGAATCGCGTAGGCACACCCGCGTGCATGTGCATTGTTAGAAATCAAGAGGGTAAGGTAACAGTAAATTTACCCTAGACACAAAGGTGTATATGGGGTGTGGAGGAAAAGCACTCTCCCATCCCTTTTTTTGTACTTTTATTTAGAGCTGAATGGTTGGGCGAGTGATGGATAAGGATTTGGAAGGAAGAGTTCGTAGGCTAGTCGAGGAACTGTCGAAAAACACGAACGTCTCTGTGAGAATAGTCCGTATCCCGGTCTAGAATCGAAACCAGCACCTTCAAAAGAGGAGTCTAGGTCCTTATCGCTGCGCCCACGTGTTCGGCTTGAGAACTGAACGGAGAAGACGAAGTTCACGCAAGCATTACCCGAGTTCAGTCGCCTCTTAATTTCCTTCTGAATCAGGTTTTGATTTGTTATCGTCGTTCCCAAATATCTGAACTGTGCCGCGTTTTCAGGACATCTGTTTCGTATCTTTAAGTCATGATTTTGCCCTGCATTTTGGTGACGAGAGAGCAACATGTACTTAGTTTCCTCTGTGTTACTTCTAGACCAAGCTCCTTACTTGCGTCAATTGAACTTTCTTTATGGTATCTATATTATCACCCACATCATCTGCACAGACCAGCAGCTGATGTGTCCCATTTAATTTGAGCCCGGCCTGGTTTTCCTGGACTTTGATTTTATTGCTAGTGGGTGGGACTAAGTCCTTTGTACTGCGGCCACTTCTGGCCTATTGTACCAGCCCCAGATGATAAGCGAGGGTGATTGTGGAGCAATTGGTGGAATGAAGATTGGCAGGGGAAACCGAAGTACTTGGAGAAAACCTGCCCCAGCGCCACTTTGTCCACAAATCCCACTTGACCAGACCCGGGATCGAACCCGGGCCGCTGCGTTGGGAAGCCAGCGACTAACCGCTTGAGCTATGGCTCGGCCACTTTCCTGGACCTTCCTAATGGCATATTCTAAAGCAATGTTGAAAAACAGTGGCGATAAAGCATCTCCTTGTTTTAGACCATTCTTAGGAAATTTACCAGACAGCTGTTTACCTATACGGACTTTACTGTATGTTTGGTTTAAACACGTTTTAATAGCTTAACTACTTGCATGGATATCCCAAACTGTCAGAATATTGTACAACACTTCCGTCCTAACTGAATCATAGGCTCTCCTGAAGTCTATGAGTAGTTGACGTACTGTCTCATAAGAATGACAAACTGTACATTTATTATTATGCCTTTTTTTGAAGAACACCGCTGACACTTTTAATATAATTCTGTCACAGAAAAATGATTTACTGTTTGTTATTGTTCAAAACACGCAAATAAAATGTTCATGAAACAGACGGAGTAACTTAACGATTTCGGGAATTCCCGGATCCCGAAGATAATGTTTGGAATTTGGAAACACTAGCACACACACACCAAGCAAGGGAGAAATGCTTACAAAATATTGAGTGGCAAGCGCACTATTAAGAAATTAAATGTGAGTCAGAGTGCAAACTCTTGTGGAACTGAAGCAAGATTGCGGGGCAGTGGTTGTCCACGCGGTGTCAGTCTCGCCAGTGGTGCTGTACCCTGTCTGAGACGGCTCTCAGTACTCGCTGTGAATCTTGTTTTTAGTGGGAAGGTCGCGCCACACGCACTGAGTAACCCATTGTGCTGAGTGATTCACTCGGGGCAGGCCCTCAATTAGTGGTTACAAATCACGCAGACACCGGTAGATGTGGAGACGCTGGGCAGGCCGACGCGACGCAATTGTCGCAGCCAGCATGGCGGGATGGAAACGGCGCGAAATATAGAATCTGCCGCCAGATTTTGTTTCCATCGGTACATTATTTGCGTGAGTTTTAATTGTTCATTCTGTAGCCGTTGCGAGTGAACCACCCTGTACTTTGTGCCTGCCTGCCTTCTCGTGTGTTTATGATGAGCAGCCGCAAGGCTGAAATGACACGTTGTTAGCCACTTACCAGACACTCCTTGTCGATGCGTTGTCGTGTCCTGTCTGTGATATCAGTGGGCATGTCATGTTGCTTATATACCTATCTCGTCTGCTACATATCTCTGACAAGTAGCGTCACGTTTCTTGTAAAATCCTTGCAAACCCATGCCGAGATCAACTCGGAAGTCACGGCTTCTGGGAGCCTGCCTACAGCCAAAGAAATTAACATTTTATTTATCGATGTTGAATTCAGTTTCTGGGCGATTGTGCCGACGTTTCGGAGGTATATATCACCATCTTCAAGGACGAAGTGCTTAGGGTTCTGGTTCGGTAAACTGATCACGAGAGGGGGTCTGGGGGCTGGTGCAGTAAGGTCAACAGACAGGGAAATTTGAGCGGTTCCACTTAGGGACATTTGAAAACCAGCCAAGTGAGGAGAGACATGGCGGAATGTCTTCTTCCAACGCCTTCACCCGCCACTGCTCGATCTATGGAGGGGGCTCCATACCCCCCCCAAAAGATATTAACCTTGAAGATGGCAAATTCAAAGTTCGCGAAAACGTTGGAAGACTTGTCGTTGCAGAGACGGAAAGAGCGTGAGATTGTGATTCCCTGTAACGTTAATGTCTTCTCTGGTAGAACGTGCTGCCTCCATCCTCAGGGAAATAAATACTGTATGCGATTGGAGGTTCTTATGCGGAAACTATAAAATGAATGTGTCCTGAGGTGTCACGCAGTATTTATTGGTGTTTCGGAGGAACTTGGTAACAACATCTTCAAGTTGAAAAAGTGATAACTGACACGTGAAATTAGTGGTTTTCTTGACGGAAACTATGATACAATTATGACTTTTTGGACATTATCCAACGTCCTGTTCTTTTTTTTATTAAACACTCACAATGTTTCGGAGACGGGATTGTGTCTTCAGGTGGAACCTACTCCGTTGGGCCCAGTCGATAGAGCTAGTCCCTTTTTGCGGATACAAGTGAATAATTGCATTAACATACCATTGTCACAAACTTTCAGAACTTACGGAGTCCATGAGAGTAGCATATTTAGAGAAATGGCGTCATGTAGTATTAACGTTTCGGAGGAATTTGCTGCCTCCAGTTTCAGGGTTGAATTATATACTGCTGTGTAGAGGGAATCAGCAGTTCCACATATAAGCCAGACTACACGACGTCACATCCCTGTGGAAACTCATTACCATTACATGCACACCGATGCTACAGACAAGGTACGAGATATGAGCTTGCAAGCCATAAACGTACGAGATCAAGGTAACTACACTGAGAAGCTGATAGCCTCTCAGCTCGTCAGGAAAATTCCACGTCTGTTATAGAATTCGAAGGTTCATTACAGTGTCGAGTATCTCGCTATTGGTCCCTATCCTAAGCCAGCTGAATCCAGTCTGCGCTCATTGTTTCCTTAAGATCTATCATAATATCCTGGCACCCAGGTTTTCCATGGTCTTTCTTTCAGACTTCCCAGTAACATTTTGTTCGCATAGAGTACGTGCTACACGGTCCACCCATCTATCTTTTGATTTGATCACCCAATGTGTGGCGAGAAGTACACGTTACGAAGCTCCTCTTTATATAATTTCTTTTGTTCTTCCTCCCCCTTAAGTGTTCAAAATTTTCAAACACCCTCAGTCCATGTTTGCTGTTCCGTAGGCAAGGACCAAGTTTTACACCCGCACAAAACAAGACGGAACTCGCTGGCTTCTCACCGGACGGCTTCACATGTGATTCGCGGTGGACGGAGTGGCAACGCAGCAGGCAGGTCTCCGACTTCCTTCGGGTTTCCTCTGCTGACCGTTAGTCCGCCATTGCTCCAGTCTTGCGATTAATGTGGCCGTGCTGACGCATCTGTAAAGGGTTTGTCAGCTGCTTGCCCTGCAGTCTGGCGGCGAGACAGCGACACGTCTTCATTCAAGGCCAACTTTATTCTTATTTCAAGCTGTGTAACATATTAATTAAATANCTTTACAGATTTAAGATAAAATTGAAAGTTATGTCACGACCGACGGTCAGTCGGCCAGTCTGTCTTGGTGTTGAGCACCCATCTGGGGCCCCAAGACCAGATTTTTATTACTGTCAGTTGCGGGTTTGATGAAATGGAGTACCCCCTCTGGCGAGGGGACGGGTCTCTCGTTTTAAAAACAGGATTTCTTCTGAACAACATAAAATATGTCCAGAAACAATATTTGTACTAATGTATAATCTCACATAGACTGAGGGTGTTTGAGAACAGGGGGTTGCGGAGAATATTTGGACCGAAGAGAGATGAAGTGACGGGAGGTTGGAGAAAACTGCATAATGAGGAGCTTCATAACTTTTACTCTTCTCCAAGTACAATTAGAATGATCAAGTCAAGGAGGATGAGGTGGGCAGGTCATGTAGCACGAATGGGGTAGATGAGGAATGCGTATAGGATATTGATGGGAAAGCCAGAAGGAAAGAGACCACAGGGAAGACCAAGGCGTAGGTGGGTGGGCAATATTGAAATGTATCTTAGAGAGATAGGACTGGGTGGTATGGACTGGATTGGTCTGGTTCAGAATAGGGACCAGTGGAGGGCTGTTGTGAACATGGTAACGAACCTTCGGGTTCCATGAAATGCTGGGAAATTCTTAAGTAGCTGCAGAATTGGCGGCTCCTCCAGAAGGGCTCAGCTCCATGAATAAATAAGTAAGTAAGTAATGTATAATCGTCACAAACTTTTAGGTCTTACATAACGATTCAGTCCGTACCTCACAGGAAATATATTACGTCTCCGCTACGAAAACAAACCGGTTAATGCTGTTTAGGGAAACATTCGCGGTCAGAATGCATAGTTTTAGTGTGTTAAAGCATGTGGCACCTTTAGAGACTACTGGGCTTTAAACGGTCGATCTAGGGTCCTGAAAGAACTTGAAGTGCTGGCTACGTGGAAGTGTGAAAGCTTTGTTAATTTTTTGAATGAAATTGCGATGCTTGAAGCACGACAAATGCGTGTATACGCTGTGACAAGACGCACGGTGTGATATGATTTATTTAATGACACAATCAGTACGCCATGTGGTGTCGCAAGGTTAGCGAATGATGGACTGCAAAGGGTGTGGCAGGAAGTTGTTGCGACCTGCTGTGAGTTACTATCCCGGTACTGGTAGATGTGCTGTGAAACGCCACGTAACGCCTCAGTCAGGATTAGCTTCTTTCCGGGGGTCTTGTATTATATCTAACAGTGTGTAAACCTTCGGAACCCTGTAAGGCACCGTACCAGGTGCGCGAATGGGTGTTATGTAAAGACTGAATGAAAATGGCCTGAGCTACTCAGCAATGTGTGAGACCAAATGAAGTACTTTTCCGCGAGAGCTGATGATTCATCTTATGAAGATAGGATCTCGAGATCTCAGTTGGCTTGAACTGGCTCATCTTTTGTCACTGACGAGTTCACACGCCTACTGTATGCAGTTGTTACGAGTGTGAAGTCGGCATTGGCGGTGGGCAGTTCAGCTGTTCATGTCGAGGCAGTTACTCTGGCAACAGTTCCTTGTATGTGAAGTGTCGGTAAACCCTGTTGGTTAAGTCCCTGAACAGGATGCCGAACGCCTCTTCTGCCAGGTATTTGAAAGTGTCGAACGCCTCGCGCCAGTTCTTGTTCAGGAAGGCGTTGGTATTGGCACCTGCAAAGAAAGAGGGTGCAGTGAGCCTCGTGTGCAGGACGGCGCACGGCCGGCTGACGTGTACACGCAGATGCGCGTCATCTCAGCCTGCTTGTTTTGATCAGTACAGATCGAACCCGGCTGAAGGGAAGGCACCGAGAAAGGAAGATGAAGAGCGTTCGGATGGGGGAGGCCCCGGGAAATGTCTGTGAGCTTGTGTATGTGCGCGTTCTGTATGGAAGCGCTCAATGTCTCCTGCTGAATAGCGTTGAATGGTAGGAAGGTAAAGCTATCTGTGTAACATTTCGTGGAGTCTCTTACGGTTGTGAGACGTCGAGGCTCCCACATTTTCTAGACAATCTGCTCACAGATGGTGGTGAGTTGTTAGCCTTACGCACCGGCCGCCCTTTACCCCCAGGAAGATTCCTGGTGCCCATTTCTGTTTGAGGCTGAGTCGGTTCCAGGGTCATAGTGCGGCTGGAAGGATTAGGTCCACTGAAAAATCGAGTGACCATCGGGAATGAACCCGGGACTTTCCGGTTTGTAATATAGTGCCTGAAGGAACTACGCTACCGCGTGTTTGAGTGGTGCAGTGTATAGAGAATAGCGAAACAAAGGACTTGGAAGGAAGCAGTCGTGAGGTAACGGAATTTGTCTGGAAGAACGCCTCTGGATAACGGAAACCTCGCCAGTACCCGTTCAGAACGTTACTACTGCTCCAGCCCGTTCGGCGTCTGTGGGCGTATGGGCTTACCAAGGGCCTTGTCCCCTCCAAAGAGATTGTTGAAGTGAAAGTGACAGTTCTCTGCGTCGATGTTCCACTCTACTTTCTGCACGTTGAGATACTGGTCGCCGTCCCGGGTTACCAGTTCAAGTTGTGTGTGTGCGATGGTTGTAACGTCCGCTGAAACAGAAGGAAATGACGCCGTTTAATCTAGTACAGTTTTGCTGATGTTTCGGATTACTTTTCTGCTACCATCTTTAGGGCTGCCTCCTTGAAGACGGAGGCACCATGCTCCTCCTAATCATCTACAGACTTCTAATAGACTACGCTGTAAAACAGTCTAGAAGACTAATTTTTATGTTGATTGCTATGAGAACGTCGCATCTCCCACGACTGCCATCTGACAGGCAAAAGAACCGACAAATTCTGTTTGCTATGATCCCTCGAGTTTTCATGAACTGACTCAGCATCAGCAGTGATATTGTGGTATTATGGATTTATGTTACCATGTAACTGGTTACTGATATTTCGTACGAACCTTCTGCTTCCATCTTCAGTGTAGACGTCGCCGTTGCTGACTTTGGGTCTAGTAGTGAGTTTTATTAATTCGGCTTCTCTCTTCTGGAATATGTCGCCGTATAGTCCGATAGAAAGTTACCCAAATTTTGGAGTGACCTGCCGCCTCGTTCTGCCCTTTTAAGGGCACCGGCCTCCGATTGGTGCCTGTCGAATCCCGTTTCTTTTCTTCGTTAGTCTTCATCCCTGAAGATGGAGGCACCAGATTCCTGCATAACGTTACCTTCCCACCTGACCACATGGCGGCACATCCCAGAAGACGACGTCTGGCTACATCCCCAGCCCTGCTACCCGTGTTCGCATCTCACAGCCGCGTCTTCCATCCGAGGCTTGTGGTGGAGCCACCCTTCAGCTTCACATCAGGGGTGTCCTGAGTAGTGACACGCAATTCCGTGTTGAAAGAAAACGAGATGAAGACGTGTCCTTTACCTAACAACAGCTTTGCACTTTCCTCTGCAGAACTGAGCGACAAGCAGCTCATAAAATTCTAATACCTGAAGAAGCTGACATTCCCACCTCAAACACTTCCCCTGGGAAGTCATCGAAGTAGCCTTTAGCCTGGCTTCACCTCGCCCCCCCCCCTTCGCCCAACCCTGCCAATAAAGACCGAAAATATGGCGGTGAATAAATATCACTCAGCTTGTTGATTGCTTCTTGCCCAGTATGTCCTAACCTTGAAGATGGAAGCAATGCACTAGTCCGATACGATAATCTGCCAGACTAGAAGGTGTCACGTCCGAGAGGACGCCGGCTTCGACCGCCCTGGACTTCTATAACAAGTAATAATGTGCTACTTACTGAAATTCACGACGCAGTCTCCTTTCCCGCTGAGCGGCACCACCAGCACTTTACCCTCCATCTCGTAATAGGCGTCGAACCTCATGAAGGGAGTCAGCATGTGCATATCAAGCGTCAGGTTGTCGGTGTCCGCTCTGTGTTGAAACAGGAGCCGTGTTAGCGTCATTATGTCTCTCATATACTTTGGAACATCTCTACGGATGCATAAACACTATTTACAGATATAAATATGTCATTGGTTTTGCGCAGCCATTAGGCCTAGGAGCACCATACAGGAGATCTCCTTGAACACACGGGACTTTTCTTCCGTAAGGTTGCCTATACCCTCAGAGATGTACATTAGGAAGTTTTGAGTCGCTTCATGCATTGTACTCGCCACATATCACGATGATTATGTCAAGAAGAATGACGTGGAGATTTTTTACGAAGTTTTGGAGTGAAAACTCGAATTAGAAAGACCACTTGGAAGACCTAGGCGTAGATGTCAGTATATTAAAATTGATCATAATGAAATAGGAGGAGGGGATGTGGTTTACATGTCTCTGGCTTGGGATAATGATTAGAGGGCGCTGTTTAGGACACGACAGTGAACCTTAGGGTAAGTGAGATTGTATTAGTTTCTTGACTATCTGAGTAATTATTAGCTTTGCAAGAAAGAGTCTGTGCCAGGGAGTTAAACTTTTCGCTACTGGAACCCTAAGAATGGCGCTTCCAATGTCATTTACAAGACACAGCCTTTATTATTTTGAAGATGTAAAACAATGGCGAGTAAATTCAGATAGATGAGCGATCAGTCTTGGTGTTCTCTTTTGTTTGAGTTTGGTTTCGGGTGAGGTGAGGGGGTAGTATACGAGTAGATACGTTTATGGTATATCTCCATCCCCAACTGCACATGCTTAGCTCTAACAGTTTATTAGTTCTATTTAACAAAGGCAAACAAAATTTTCGCTCTGCTAACATGTTGTCGTTTTGCATAACCTCAAAAAAGTTGGGTAATTTCGAAAGATGTACTGCCTTGCTTCATGTATCAAGGGTAAGCGTTGCAAACTTCGCGACTACCTCACAAACTCGTGTTTCTGCTGTGTTGTTACTCATTGTAGTAAGTGAGCACGTATGGACTTTGCACGGGCTACAGTGGCATGAAGTTCACAAAATTTCACGAAAATCGGTTAGCTTCTTTCGAAAGTTGAGATGGTGTACACATGGATAGCACATGACCATAAAAGTCTAAGCAACGAAGGAATTGTAAAATGAATTTTCATAAGAATGGTGGAGCTATACCTCCACTCCCCCAAGTGTCTTCATGGCATAGCGCTTAATTAAATAAGCACGGGGGCAACTTAACTTTTTTAACTTGTATGTACTTTTGTATGTGAATAGCCCAGAAAAATACAGAATGTTTTTTATACTCTTATTCTACAAGTTTTGATAGCCCTGCGCAACATTAGTAGGCAACAGGATGTAGTGTCATAACCGAATATTTTACTGAAGTTAATGAACGCGCCCACGTTTGCAAGGAAATCGAACATTTCTGTATTGGCAGCATTGTGATTTCGTCACACGTAATTAATTCGGTGGGTTGTACAAACTGTCATTCGTATCGAAAGTTATGGTGTATGTTGAGCGAAGAAATTTGGGAGGAGACGTTGTATAGAAATATGCACCAAATTAACGAGGTAGTTGTAAGTAATAACGTATATAGTGTAAATAAATTTGTAGTCAACATGCACTAACGTCGGTAGTGTGGTGTTTAGTGACTGAAGATGTGAATCATCGAAGTTTAAACTTTAAGCTTACTGATGAATAAGTGCGGGAAAATGACGCGGTTAAAGAAATTTTTCACCAAGATACTGTAATGATGCGAGTGTAAACACAACTGAGTACAGTAGGCTCAAGGCGGAATGTTAATTGGTCGACAGGACAATAATCGCCGATTCTATGCAAGTAAATGCTGTGCACTGTGTTTCAGTTGTTAATAGCGTGATGGAAGTATTGTAGGTTGGACTTTCCATTTTGTAATTTTTGTGAAGAACACATGCTGAGAAGTTCAAAATAGACAGAACATTATCGTGAAATAAACAGTATTTTTGCACAAAGATAATTTTGCAATGAGAGCAGTATGTGTAGTGCTAAGTATCAGTAGATCTATATCTAGTTGTGAACAGACCCTGCAGCAGTGTTATGACAGCAACCAGTGCTGTGTTGAATGTCTCATAAAATATTGCCATGGTAGAACAAACACATCTGTGACAATGTGTGTGGTGAATTCATGCTGAGGGGGCAAATAGATGGAGTGAGGTTGCAAAGATTACCAAGAACTGTGCTTATATCTTTTAACGTGTTGAAAATGGGTGTTAATGTTGCAGTTCTATTATTTAATATCACACAGGCAAGGAGTCTGAGAATGCTAGGTTATGGTGCAATGATTAATCTTTTTGGATGATGAAAGGCGTTAGTCAACAGAGGACATGATGAGAGAAGTTAAGCAGACAAGAAGAAGGAAGCTGTGCAGAAGGCTGTGAACAGCAGCAGACTTGTGGTCTGTGGATCTCATGATCAGTATGTTTACACTTAACATTAATTTTCTCCTTATTCAGTATCTGTAGGTAAAATGGTGCACCCTTCTAAGAAATTGCACATACATTGATGTCACAGTATATATATATATATATATATATAGATTGAATTCATGGGGCTACTTGCCATGAAATTAATGCATTTATGTTGGCTTTGTGAAAAAAGGAACAGTGAAAGGAATTATTAAAAAATCTGTTGCTTGCTGTAAATTTAGAACAAATATGATGATATAGTTTCCTTAAATATTTTGAATTTCTGTCTGTTGTGCTTCTGAGAAATGTGTACCATAATTCTGATGATTGATAATCTCTAAATGTGGACTGTATTTTCCCTTCACGATTTTATATCAACAGATCAAGGCTGATCAAGAATTTACTTATCTTATTTTCTTCAAATTGTGTGTTTAATTTAAAGGAAATTCTGTTACGGATTTTTCATTATTTCATGTGAATTCATTCTCTTGTCCTACTGTAAAATGTATGGTGAGTTATCTCATTGTTTACAATACAGTAAATCCTCACTAATCCGGTTACAGTTAATCTGGATCGAAATATGAAGAATTAGAAATTCTGTTCACAGTTGAATGCTTACTTTAATGGGACAAGAGGGATCAGAGCAAGAGGACTTTCAGACTGTGTTGAGGGTAGCTGGAGAGACTGAAACCCAAGGTTGGCTTCAGCTGGATGAAGGAGAGACAAGGGATTTAGGGACAAGAGGGATCAGAGCAAGAGGACTTTCAGACTGTGTTGAGGGTAGCTGGAGAGACTGAAACCCAAGGTTGGCTTCAGCTGGATGAAGGAGAGACAAGGGATTTAGGGACAAGAGGGATCAGAGCAAGAGGACTTTCAGACTGTGCTGAGGGCAGCTGGAGAGATCACAGTTGAGCTGGCTGAAGGAAACCCTGGATTTCAGCTCTGACAGAGGAAGAAATTGCTGCATTGACATTTTTATAATTACCAAATGTCTTTAATGTTCCATCTTACACGCAGCTCTCTTAAAATATTTGTTTAGAAGTTATTATACATTTACATAATGCATCTCTTAAACTTATTTAAAAACCACACTGTCCACTACATGTTTCGACCATCGCTGGTCATCATCAGGTGATTAAAACCGTTCTGGGGATGCTGTTGTGCTTGCGTCTTTTCTTGTAGTGTAGAGTGCTTAGCACCATTATATATTAGTGTTTTTTGTGTTCCTGCATATCTTCTCTTGTCGCATTGTGTGTTTAGACCATGAGAGACACAGGTACATGAGAAACACTAATGTATAATGGGGCTAAGCATTCTACATTACAAGAAAAGATGCAAGCACAACAGCATCCCCAGAACAGTTTTAATCACCTGATGATGACCAGCGACGGTCGAAACATGTAGTGGACAGTGTGGTTTGTAATTAGTTTAAAAGTAGTTACTTTTAAACAAATTTTTAAAGAATGTTTCATGTAGGGCGAGCATTAAAGGTATTTGCTAATTAATTAATTATGTGCAACAAGATGCTACAGCACTGTCTTTATTATAAAATTTTTGATTTATTTGTTTTTTAAGTTTTTTTATTAGGGATATCTTCCGCCTCATTAATCTGGATGACATTTGCCCCTAACTAATCTGGATTAGCGAGGTTTTACTGTACATCATCCAGTGTTATAGCGTGTTAGTGAATTACTGAAGGTTTCGAAATAGAAATATAGGGAGCTTATGACAATGGGTGTCAGAAGGGGCAGGATGGGGTAAGCCTGGCATCTGTCCCCCGCACCCCTGATTGAAATTGAAGGAGGAATTGTAACAAATATGAATATCAAAACCAAAAGTTATATAAAAACTATTACAATGCCCTGCTTACTGTAGGGAAGTCAGTGAAAGTAGCCTCAGATGGCTTCCATTTAAGTCTGTGAGCAAATTCTCTTATTGCTTATTGCTCTTATTTTTTGTGTGTCCCAGAAGTTCATCACCGTTTTCACAAGAGCATCCTACTTTGAGCAAGTTCAAGGCAGTTCACTTCCTACACATTGTTCCTGCAATAACCATATTAATATTACTAATCCATCTCCACCTAGATCTTGGGAGTGTTCCAGTGTAAGACTCAGAGGAGTATCACTCGTAGCAAGCAATGCCATGTACTCACTTGACGTTCAGCAACTTGAAGGCGCCCAGACCGTGGATTGTGACGTTGGTCAGAACTTGCTCGAACCTGAAATTGCCACCACCTTCCCTGAGCTCTAGGCGGGGGATGTTGAGGGGGTCCAGGGGGATCAGGTCCAGTTCAGGGGTACCTGCAACAGTGGTTCGTTGCCATAGTAACTGTGACTTCTCAGCTCTCCCCGGTGTCTATGGCTCACATCTCTGACTGGGGTGTTCGCATTACCACATTCAGAATGAGAAGAGGTAGCTCAGTCACTCTAGTGACCTTGTGAGGAGGATGGTACCGCGCCCTCCTTTAGGTATGTAGTCTAATATTTAGGTCTTCTGCCCATAACTATTTCATGTCTGCCCCGCGCACTATATGCTCCACCCAACTTCTCTTTCTTCTGGTCATTCTGAGAAATCCTTTGTTCTCGCGAAGAATGCAGAGTTCTTGGGGTTGAGATTCTAACAGCGATGTTTATGCGGAGTCCTGTCTTTTGGGATCGGGCGCCGTGTAGACTGGTAACAGTGTACCAGTGTTTGTGAGGAACAAACTGCCTCCATCATCAGTGTCAAAGTCTAAGTTAACTGAAAAGAAAAAAAAACAGCACCTGATGTCTTCCTACATATCCTTCGACCCTGATGATGGATGCAGTATGTATGTTCCTTCAAAAGATGGAGGAATTCCGTGGGACAACACACCGTGCAGCCTGAGCCGTGTGTCTTGCAATGGACACAGTTTCCACAGGTACCTTTAATGAGTGTAGGCCTCAGGTCCTCAATCGTGTTCTTGATGCAGCCGGAAATGTTAGGGTCGCTCCTGTGACAGATTGAGAAGTAGGCACTTGCTGAAAGAAAACAGACCAGTCAGATGAGGCCATGTTCTCGCATCAGATTAGCAGCAAACAGGAAAATATGATACTGTCATTGCGACCTATTAGGAGTGGAGGCAGATATCCTCGCATTCTTAACCTCGGTACAAAATGAAGGTTAGTTGTTACGAGCTTCATGCTTCACCGTTTCTTTTCCTCTGAAGGAAAGCGCTTACATTACCCGTTGCTTATGAGGCTGGTTGTGTCTGGTCATGAAAGGTAAAGCTATCCCTGTAACAGGCCGTGGAGGCCCACAGGGTTGTGAGACTTCGGGACTGCTACAATTTCTAGACAATCGGCTCACAGATGGCGGTGAGGTTGTTAGCCTTACGCGCCTGTCGGCGTCCTTTAACTCCCAGGAAGGTTCCTGGTACTCATTTCTGTTAGAGGCTGAGTCGACACCAGGGCCATAGTGCGGCTGAAGGATTACGTTAATTGAAAAATCCAGTGACCCCATCAGGAATCGAACCCGCGACATTCCGCCCTGTAGCATAGTGCCTGAAGCAACCGCGCTACCGCCTGTGGAGCTGCCATAGATTGCAGTAGCATGGAAATAAATGCGCCGTACGCACGCTTGTGCATTTGTAGGTTCATAACAGCTGAGCAACTGTTAGGTTCTAATGGTGGCAGGTGATGGTAGTATTGTACAGTTTGTTGGTTTCGAGGTGACTGTGAAGATAAATATCTTATGGAATGTGACATCGTGTAGTGTGGTAAAGCTCATTGACGATTCGAAGTAACGTACTGCCTCCATCTTCAAGGAAGCAAACAGCTGAGTGATGCTTCTTACCCAGCATATCATCAACCCTGAAGAGGGTGGTATTATGTTATTCCGAAACGTCGGCGAAATTCTGTCGGATTAAAGTATAAGGAAAAGTATCGTCTGGGATGTGACGCCGTGTTGCCGCCCCCAGATGCCTTCCAGAAACAGACAGAAATAATTTAATAAATTGCATCCCGAAGTTGCGGTTGAGTTGCTGCCAGGCTGTGCAGCGCCAGTTGGTAGGATAACAGGTGAATTGGAAGGGATGTGGAAGGACGTGATCGTGGCCTGATCCTGAAGGTACTCGGTCGATGTTCGAATTGAGTACTTCTCGAATACGAACCTGGAGCTCTGTCGCCACACCAACCGTTGCGGTCTCTGTGGAGAAAATACTATAGCATATTAGCCCAAAGTAAGAACTGTGGAGTCAGAGAAACAACCGTTGCTAGGGAGCGGCTCTGGAACAACATTCGTTTCTAGGCATCTGCAGCGAAACAGACAACGGAACCACGTCCATTGCCAGTAGCAGATTTTTAATAAGCAAGAATAGACGGATGCTGCTAGGGAACGGCTCGGTAAACATGTTCCAGCTGCAATGTATACGCATGCAACAGAGGACAACAACGGTGTTGTCTGCGTGGTCCGTGCCGAGGAGTTGTAAAGAAGACGGTTGGGGCAACGAAGTCAGTTCCGTACGGGAGTCTGTGTAGACGACCTGAACTCGGAAGCTGAAGAATCTCCACTGTTAGAAGCCGTTTCTATGGAACGACTGGCGAAGACACAGCAGGGTGGAAACGGCTTAGCGGTTGCTGTGCTGATTAGCGGTGGCGCTGTAATTGCTTGTACTTCCGGGTCGTGTGTATAAATGGTCAGTAAATCCAATACCCAATCCAAAAGCCCTTCGAGAGTCACTTTAACACGAACGAGATGAGCCCTATTGTGAGAGCCCCAAGCTCAGGGTTTCGCTGTTGAGGGTTAATGCATGCCAAATGGCATAAAAGTGTTGCCGCATATATGACGTCATTATTTTCAATGCGTTTTAGAGTAGTGTGTTTGTGTGTGCCCACGCGAGACGTTCGTCATGCGCGGTGGAAAGTCAAGACTGATATGACTGGTGACTTGCGACATGACGCCGTGTAGTCTGGTAGTTCACCTGTTTTCGGAGGAACGTACCACTTCCATCTCATGGCTGAAGCGTAAGGCAGGTGAGATGCCATGTAGACTCGTGGCAAGGCAGCACCGGCTTGGCATACTCTTCGCTCCTGAAGAGAGAGGCGATACGTACTGGAGCACACGGCGGGCTTTACAGCGCATGTCCCAGGTGTCCCCACATATTGCTCACTCCGTGCAGACAGATGCCGATAGTAAATGCGTCATGAAGACGCGTGTGTACCTCCTGAGTATCGTGTGGCCTGCCCTTGCCACAGGCATCTCCGGCTCCAGCGAGCAGTTTCCTTCTGATTCCTCACCGTTCACTGAGCCAGAATACCAATTGAAGGAATTATATTATGGCAAGAACTGCAAAGTCAGCAGAGACAGCAGTTGCTAGGCAACAGATTCGTAACACGCAACAACGGAGGAACTGGGAAGCGGGTGTTCTATACGCGGTCCGTGAGATAGCAACGCGACTGTTGCGTAAGGTGTTTTCTGTGTGATCCGTGCCGAGGCGAGGAGCAGCTGTTATTACGAGAGTCTTGAGACTGCAGTGAGAAGAGCAGAAGTTGGTGTCAGCCAGCCTGCGAGTAAGTTGTGAGACAGTCGCCGGCCAGCAGGACGTGAGGGAGCTACGGCGTTGGAAGCCGTTACCAGGTGACGGCCGGTGAAGACGCAGCAGGCTGAGAAGACTTAGTGCGTACTGTAGTGAACTGCAAAGTTTGTGAATTAGCGGTAGCGCTGTATGTAGTTACTTCTGTAAGTGTCGAATAAATACAATTACCAATTCAAACCCCGTCTGTAGTCAATCGTACACGCGACAATACGAAACCAAGGGCGACTAGAAACTTTGAAGACATGCCTGAAGATGGATGACAAGTGGGAGACTGAGATTGGGATGTCTGGAAGCTACACTGAATGATCTGCAGTAGCTGAAACTGAAGAGGTGACACTTCTTGGAGGGTCGCAGACCTAAGTAAGTAAGTAAGTAAGTAAATGAATAGGCCAGTTACCGTGTTCACGAGATCTAGATCCGCCGCCAGCCTCTTGTCCAGTGGGCAAGCAAGGATATTTCACAGAGGATAAAGTTACCGGAACGTGGAGCTCACTACTCTCCATGTACAGTTATGGGCAATAAGAGCGAACGACCCCACATTTGGCTGCTTGTCATTTTAAGAGAGTGTTCTTGATGCAGATTACATTTTGGGGCTGTTTGTACCGTGTAGTTCTGTCATGAGTGAAGGGTGTGCTTCGCTGTACACTGCTGTAGTCATAATTCTTACCAGGTTTTTGTGGCCTTTTCGGCCCTTGAGCACCAGATGCTAGTACAGGCGACAGCAGGATCATATAGAAGAGCAACTCCATTATTTGGCGTGTAGTATCCACCTGAAATGAACACACAATATCGTCGCATAGCAATTAAGTTTCGTCAACATGTGGCTAGTGAGTCGCATGCTACTCCCTGAACGCTTTGATTAGGTTTTTGTGGCTGCCCTCTCTGAGTTCGGGGTTTGGGTCAGAACACGGGACTGTTGACCTGACAGCCCGAGTCAAGCCTACGCGGCGTTGGAACAGATTGTGATGACCAGTCCGTGAGGGGCTCCTGACCCCACTCTTCAGACCGTTCAGACACTTGCAGTGAGTGTTGTCGTGGGGCGGCCTCTCTGATGAGACTAGGTTTGTAGGTTTTCGTACCAAAATACAGAGAAGCGCACAAAATTTCAGGAAGGCTGCACGATTTGTCTTCTCCACAGCGTCCAGACCGAACCCGGTGCCCACCCCACCTCATATCCAGTGGGTACCGGGGGGCGCCCGAGGCTTTTAGCTCACCACTCACTTCCATCTAACATCGAAGTCAAGAAAAGTGGAGCTATACCTCCACTACCCTATACGTTGTCATGGAGCACAGCGACAGCTCCTCTACCTTATCTACGGACGCAGTCACAAAATTGAATCGAAATGTAATGCTCGGTGTATAGTGCGACATTCCCTCAACAGATGGTGCTAGTCACATGAATGCCAGAGCCACCTTATCGAATGACAGGGCAGTCAAGGAAAATGGCGGCGGAACTGTGTGTATGAATCTTTTGGGGCCCCTCTGTATTTATAATCCATATTTACCTGCCATTCCTGATTGCTTAACGTACGGAGCACACGCTGCAAGGTGACGTCAGTCTCTTGACCTCACCCAAGCTTACTAGAAGAGCCCTAAATGTCTGAAGCCTCATATCGTACGAAATGATTCTGTTGAGACTTGTCGCCATAGGAGCAACACTGTACTCACCGCCGTTCCTCGAGTCAGCTGTCACCACACTGGGCAACCAGTTCTGCACGCGTGACGGAGCCGGACGTCCTTGGCCGCTCTCCGACAGTGTAAACAGGTCCTGTAGCAGGTCATGGAGGCGTACAGGTTTGTGGGACGTCGAAATTCCCATAATTTGTAGAAAACCGGCTCACGGATGGTTACGAGGCTGCTAGCCTTACGCGCCGGCCGGCCGGCCCGCCGCCCTTTACTGCTACTCTCGTGCGGTCGGAAGGACTAGGTCACATCGGAAGAGAAAGAATTTCCGGTCGTGTCACAGTCCGCGCCATTTGCTTTTGAATTTGGGTTTCATTCCCGACAGGCTGAGAGATTATTGTCCCCCATAGCGTCCAGTTTGTCTCAGGGGCTACTGCACCTCCTCGGGGGTAAAGCGGCTGGGGCGTGAAGCTAACCCCTCATTACCATTTAGTGCCGAGATTAAGAATGGCGGGACTGTAGCTTCACTCCCCCATACGTCTTCATGCCATGGAGGGTAAATTTACCCTTTCCCTTTACCATAACAAAATTATCATACAACGTATGTTCAGTAGCGAAAGCGTTCGTGGGTGTATATGCCCGTTTATCATTGTTCCGTTATATACCACGCCGGAGCTGTGTAATGATCGCTTTGTGCATTAAACGGAGCGAACTCATAACTATGGCCTTAGCAGTATAAATCCAGTTACGGTCGCCTAGCAGCCTCTCCACAGACGGGAAGTGCTGAACAAAATGGCCTTAAATGTACAGTTACGTGTAGCTCAGGCTTGTACAAGTAGTAGTTTTTAATAATTTTTGACATGTCTAACATTAAAAACATATTTTAAAAATGACTGGGGAAACTTGGTTTCCAGGTTTCACGTTGAAAACGTTACAAAATTGGGATTTGTTTTGGAATGAAAGTACTTTGTACATTAAAATTGAAGCTTTATTGAAGCATTGCTATGTGTGCAGTACATTATTTATTGAAATTACCCAAAGCGTTTGGTTTGTAGTTACGTCAGTGAGTCGAGGAGCTTGCTGATTGGTTGTGCTCAATATAGGTCTGTGATAGCTAAAGTACGAGACGTGGTTCATGCAGGATGTCCACATTTCGCGCAAAGACCATATCTCTGCAAGAGTTAGGTCTAGTCGTTCCTTGAGAAAGATCGGGAAGAACGTAAAGTTGGAAGGTACCTGTCATGTATTGTAATTATCTTTGACGTTTACGTTAAAGTCAGCCGCCAATATGATTGGCCCATCCTCACGACCTCTCTTGCCAGAAACTTCATCTTGCGCACTTTTGGAGAACACTCAGCCAAGTTTGAAGACACGCACACAGTGACCGCCAGACACTCTGCTGCGCAGACTCCACGCAATTCCGAAGAAGCTAATTTAAACGGCGTCTTCGCCATGTTCTGTTAATGCAGCTTCATAAGGAGATGAGGCGTTGCCATAGCGGTATGTGGCTGCTCCTCGAACCCTGACATCCTGTCGCTTAAAGTGAGTAGTGCACTTGTAAGGCTTGTCCCAAACATATGCTCGGAAACGGTAGCTAAGAGGTTTGTTGTTTTGACATGGAGATATTTCCAAGTGTTTGTCTTCGTTCCGTAAGAGCGTGTGTTGTTGGGCAAGTAAACATTCGCTGTCGCTAGAATGTTGGTTGATTTCATGTAATTCATAAGTATCTCTTACGGTTTAGCCGTGGAAGTCTGTAAAGTCAGGAAAATTGTTCCGTGTTTTGGGCAATTGTTTAAACAACATACAGTTTTATTTTGGAAATAAAATAAACACCGTTTTGGGATAGATCAACCTTCGTTCTTTCAGTCACATGTGACTCTTCACATAATATGTATATGGCGTAGTTCTTGAGTTATCAGCGGTTACGTAAGAGGTTGCAGAAGCGTTACGGCTTCGTCCGTTTGCACCTTCGCATAATAACGTTTTCAACTTTAAAATATTTAATATTATTTAACTGAATACAATTTACGTTTGAAGCGGTTACCAAATGTTAAATTTGTTGCCTTGGAACCAAGATTACTAAGGCATTGCTCAGAAACTGTCGCTGCTGCAGAGTCACTGCTTAGCAACGGGTCTGTACGCTACAATATGTTCTGAGAAACACAAGGTCTTGTAAACTTCTGTCTAAACTACTTCTAAATATATCTGGGTTAATGTTCCCAAACCCGCTTGTGCGATTTTCGTAGTGAACTGACGGAATCTTAGGTGCGCCCATGCAAGTACCAGCTGTTCACGGAAAATCGTGTAGCAGTGAGTTGCTTACCGCGGCGCAGCTGCCACTGATGACTCTAGACGTGCCCTACTTCCAGCGGCAGAGAACCTGACAGCCACTCAGCTGAGCAACATCCCAAGAATTTTGTGGAACCCGAAGTTTCATTACCATTTTCACAAGAGTCGGCCACGGGACCGTGTTGTGGGCCAGCTGAATCACATCATGTGTATCTAAGATCCAACTTAATATTATTCTCCCAATCACTTCCGTCCCACAAGTAGTATTTTCCTTTCAGGTTCTTCAGCTCAGAATTTTGCATGCATTTATGTCTAATCACCCCAATATCTGTCTCAGAGAAGAGAAGGGATTGTGGAGCTCCCCGTTAGTGGGCCGTGTTAGTAAGTGAGGACATGTGTCGCGACGCCGCTACTCTGGGAACAGCTCCTCGAATGGGAACTGTCCGTACACCTTGTTGCTTAGATCCTTAAATAGGATGCCGAACGCCTCTTCTGGCAGGTGCTTGTAGGCTTTGAACGCCTCGCGCGAGTTCTCGTTCAGGAACCTGTTCGCTGCGTCACCTGTTGAGAGAAAAAGAAACTACGTAAGGTGATGTACATACCTCTGTAGGGGTGTATACATATCTGTAAGCAGACACCGCAGTACATACCTCTGTAGGGGTGTATACATATCTGTAAGCAGACACCGCAGGGCCGCGCCATAGCTCAAGCGGTTAGTCGCTGGCTTCCCACCGCGGCGACCAGGGTTCGATCCCGGGGTCTGGTCAAGTGGGATTTGTGGTGGACAAAGTGGCGCTGGGGCAGGTTTTCTCCGAGTATTTCGGTTTCCCCTGCTAATCTTCATGAAGCTGGAATGTGCTGCTACCTAGTGATATACATACAAAACCTGTTATGTCCATTACAGCTGTTTTACTTCCATTTGTGACCTTCCTCGTGTTTACTTCTCTGCATGAATATCTGAAGCTATTCTTCTTCCTGTTGAAAAGTGACGTTTCGTGACGCAACCCTCCGCTCCGTAGCGCTACATAATCACATCTGCCGCACGCTAAGTCTGAAGAGAAGATGAGTGCTTACCGAGGGCCTTGTCCCCACCGAACAGGTTGTTGAACTGGAAGCGACTGTTCCCTGCTCCAAGCGCCCACTTCAGGTCCTGTACGTGTAGGTACTGCTCTCCGTCCCGCGTTACCATTTGAAATGTGGTGTGGCAGGAGACTGTAACATCCGCTGAAACAAGACGCGTGTCCTTCCTTTCAGCTGAAATGGAAACGCGTTGGGTTCCAGTTTCTCACACCGGTGGCTGTGCTCAGAGATACGCAACGTCCGGCAGAAGTTCGTGTGGAACAGGTAGCCGAGCGTGCAAATTGGGCACAACAGCGTACCCCTGTAGCCGGGATAGTTAAGTGAATGTAGTGATCAGGCTACGAGCTGCACGTCCCCTCCAGGAACCAGGCTTGGATTCCTGTCAGGGGCAAGATAATTTTGTCTTCTTACTGCCCAGACAGGCTCTGGTGCTAAAGCTGCAGGGTCGTGAAGCTTACCACTCACCTCCCTCTGTTGCCGAGGTTAAGAATGCGTGGGGCCATGCCTTCACGGCGCGTGGTGCTTAATTTATTAAGCGCAGAGACAGTTTGCCTATCTTACGTGTATCACATCTGGCGTTTTTACACCTGTGTCACCTCTTGCTGTGCTTACATCGGGTACGTAATGACATTGGGCCACTATGCTACAATCCGGAAGGTCGAGGGTTCGATTCCCGATGAGGTCATTGGATTTTTTCAACTGACCTAATCCTTCCAGTTGCACTATGGCCCCGGAGTCGACTCAGCCTCTAACAGAAATGAGTACCCGTAATCTTCCGGGGGGTAAAGGGCGGCCTGCGCGTAAGGCTGACAGCCTCACCGGCATCCGTGAGCCAATTGTCTAGAAAATGTTGGAGCCTCGACGTCTCACAACCCTATGGGCCTCCACGGCCTGTTACAGGGATAGCTTCACCTTCACCTAATGACGTTAAGTAAACATGTTTATGTTACCAGTTGGTTGCGAGTGTGTGCAGTTTGCGTTATCAGTAGCGGAGAGAGCGAGATAATTGTGTAAGGGGCTACACCCTGTTGCCTTGCAGCCGGACCCGCGGCTTCTGCTCTAGCAGACGGGTGCAGTGTATCGTGTCTCTTCTGTGACTACTCGTAATAATTTTCAAGTGGATATATGAGGTGTAGTGTACGATATAAAGGAAATGGTTTACGATTAATTATTTGTGCGTGTTTTTCTTGGGAGATGGCGATAAACGCCGGAGAGGTGAATGGCACGGAAGTTCTGTAGCACAAGATGAATTCCCGACGGATGCTGCTAGAACAGTTTCGTCACGTACACAGGCGAAGGCGAAGGCGAAGGCTGTCACAGTCTGACAGTGAATACTTATAATGTGTTAATGGCCGCTTTAGCACCCAGGTGTGATAAAACTGGGCCCTCGGGCACAAACCCAAGGTTATGCAAGCTGATGTAGGGCTACATAAAGAGGAGGTTGAGGCTGACGGGGAAATTCAGCAAAAACTGGTTGACCTCAAGTGAAAGATCCTCCTAGTCATAGGTAAATAAGATGTAAATGCTTGTGACGGTGGTACATAAGTGCAAATTATTATGTTTCTGCACATTATCCATAGTCCGGTTTTTGTTTACAAGACACAATGTTTCAGAGTCTGGATTCTGTCCCCTTCTTCAGGTGGAACCCACTCGGTTAGGCCAAGTCTACCTCTGGGCGCCAGCACCACCACGAGACAGGATATGCAAACCAGACACAGAATAAACAGTTTGCGAGAGTTCGGACAAACATGAAGCCTGGTACCAGAGTACTGGCAGAACAGAAGTCATCACTGCAGACTGTGGTACCAGCATAAGAAACCGTAATTTTCCCACCCAGTCTACACGGAATGGAACTGATAATGGGAGTGCAGGGTTGGCTCTTCTGATGGTCTGTGGATTAGGCCCAACTGAGTAGGTTCCACCTGAACACGGAGACAGAATTCAGTCTCCGAAACATTGCGTGTTGTAGTTAAGAGGACGGTGGATGATGTCTAGAATGATAATACTGATATAAGTCGTAGGTAGTTGCATTATTTGGGTTTGACTCCCGGCAGGAACAAAATTGTACTATCTGCTACCAAGTCCAGTCCACGAAGTCTCTTATCAAATGGATAGTTTCTTTCGCAGGAGTAAAGCGGTCGGAGCATGAAACTAACGACTCATCTTGCATTTATTGTAGATGTTAAGAATGCTCTTAGCTGTCCGCACTGTGCCCCCTGTCTTCTTAGTGTAGTGCTAAATCATGCATAGAAACGGGGGCGTAAAGCCGAGAATGCGTGGAGCTATACCTCCAGTCCCGCGTTTGTTCTCAACTCTGTTTGCGTGTTAACTGTGACTTACTGAATTTGAGCGTACAGTCACCCTTTCCCGTCATAGACAAGATGAGAACTTTGCCTTCCATCTCGTAGTCTGCGACAATCTTCAGGAGCGGTATCACCATGTCAATCCTCATCGTCAGGGCGTCGAAGTCAATCCTGTTGAAAAGAGAGCGCTCCGTTAGACTGAGCAGAGCTTCAGCAGAGTCGGGACCCAGAACCACTTAGTGTTTTGAAATGGAGCCTCCTGCTCTTCAAGGGAAGTCCTCATTTCAAAACACACAGACGTTCTAGGAAGGAGGAGACAGGGGCCGAGGCCAACCAGCGTTTTCTTATTCCGTCCTCAGGAAAGTGGCGTGGAGCCAACGCTCGTCTTTCTAACCGCCCTGCGTTCTCAGGGTCTGCCGGAGGCAAAGGCATCGCGCTCAGCCCCCAGAGTGGCGTCTGCGTTTCTTCCCTGAGCGTCAGTACGAGTAGACCGTTCGCAAGTATAGCGACGCTAGCAAACGGATATTGCATTCATGGAGAACAGCCTGTCAGCTCTTCTCTTCTGCTCTCAGTATACGTAAAGTTTGAGAGAAGAACACAGAGTGCTGAGAGGAATATTTGGAACTAAGAGTGGCGAAACAGTAAAGGACTGCAGGAACTTCGTGAAGTTGACCTCCAGCCCATTATTGCTAAAACTGTCACTGAGTATGAAGTGGGTTGGACAGGAGGGGCGTGCGTACAAAGTTTAACTGGGAAAACTTGAAGGAAAGAGCCCACTAGGAAGACATCAACGTAAATCGGAGGATATTAAAACGAGCCTTAAAATGTAGGATATGAGGATGTGGATTGGGTTTATCTGGCTGAGGACAGGGATAAATGGCGGAGTCTCATTAACGGTAAAGACCCTTGGGCTACCATAAACTGCTTTGGAATTTTTAGCTGTTGAGCAACTGCTGAGTTATGAGAAGGGACTCACCTCTATGGATTTAGTTGGTTGGTTATAATTCTCTCAGTTTTTGTTTTAATTTTGAAAATATTATAGACGACGATGTGCTGATAAACAAACAGATGGACATTCGGTAGATCTCGAAACAATTTCCAGGATGCCGTATATCTTTATTTGTGCATGAAGTGTGTGAAATATTTCACAAATTGAAGGATGGAGCGTCCACTTTCTTCGTCTTTTAATTTTTAATTTGAGCGCAAATTGCAGACAAACAAACATCCTGCACCGAATCCTGTCTGTATCTGTTGTGCCGAGGAATGAACCGCGCACCGGACGTCATGAATCCCCGCCAGCGTGGCCACCGCGTCACCTGACTTCATGTCTATCGTTCTCACATCTGCGCTCTCGTGTGGCGCTAAGCGGCTGGAATTATAAGGTGAGATGTTACGCGGTGTGGTCCAGTTGACCATTACATACGTTTCGGAAGAAAACATTGCCTACATCTTCAGGGTCGAAGTCTCACATCACATAACAGTGTTACAGGCAACCGACCTGACATCTAGCAGCTTTCCGTCCGCGATGCCATATATTGTTACGTTGCTTAGCACTTGCTTCATCTTGAAGTTCTGGTTCCCCTCTCTGTACTCCAGGCGGGGGATGTTGAGCGGATCCATGGGCACTATGCCCAGCTCGGGGATACCTGCGAAAATACATGTCAGTACTGCAACAGACAAGTTCTCTATAAACTGACGGAAGAAAACTGGGTTCAGTTTGTTCTTTACCTTTGAGTAGGCGGGGCCTCAGGTCTTCGAGGGTGTTCTTAATGCAGCTCGAGATGTTCACGTCGCTCCTGTGGCACAGCTGGAAGAACTCGCTGGCTGGAACAGCAGAACCGCCGGTTCCGTGATCAGACCTTCATGATGATAACGCTGTGATCACCAGCGCCGAGTAACGAACTGCCGCCCGCTCACGGGGGCTCAAGCAGCAGCGCTCCTCACTGTCATTGGGAGGTGATGGGTTCTGTTCCCGGCCGGCACACGGACTACCTTCATTCGTCTTCGTGGTTTCTCTGAGCCCCTCCAACCAAAGGCCAGGATAGAGTCATAAATGAGGCCACGCTGGCTTCCTTTACTTGCATTATTCTGTATCTTGCATATCATTGGACCCTGTGTTGTCTTAGTTACTGACAGCGTCATTAAATAAACAACGTATTAATAATGGGTGTATTTATATACACTGCCCAACATTTAGAAGTAAGTCTAATATTAGTGCTACTACCACTTACGTTAACCAGCAGTAATAGTAATATCACATAGAATTTGTGACTATAGACCGGATTTGGATTAATGAATAGATTTATTGACCACTTCGCTGCCTTCGGCTCACGTCCTCTTCTGGTAGACTCCCGTACAGACGTGACTGGGACGCCCCAATTGTCCTTGTTATAACACCTCGGCACGGACCACGCAGAAACATCCCGTTTCCAACAGTACATCCATTTTTGCGCGTCTGTGTGTTGCTGCGGGAATGTGTTTACCGAGTCGTTGCCAAGAAACGGCCCTGGTATATTCGCCTATATCTCTGTCGTCGCATGGTAACGGCTGTACACGCTACATTAATACTACTGGAAGTCCATCCATGCTGCTTGCTCGGGCGACTTGCTCCTCGACCCTGGAACTGGCTCTAGTACGACCATCCGAAACATCGGCGGACTTACAGCAGGCTACACACGCCACCTTGTTGAGAATTTCAACACTGATATGTCAGATGTGGTTGCAGCCTGGCCGCGGTAGTATCCCTGTGTTCGCCTCGAGGAAGCGACGTGAAGCCCCTCAATCAGGGTGTGACGTGGTCCGGTCGAGATTGGAACCCGTTACCTCCCTCATACAAGTCAAAAGCGTTAACTGCTTGAGGCAGATCGCTCACTCTGAGATGCAAAGAAACGGTAAAGCTATCCCTGTGACAGGCCATGAAGGCCCATAGGGATGTTAGACGTCGAGGCTCCCACATTTTCTAGACAATCGGCTCACAGATGACGGTGAAGTTGTCAGCCTTACGCGCCGGCCGTCCATTACCCCCAGGAAGATTCCTGGTGCTCATTTATGTTAGAGGCTGAATCGACCCCAGAGCCCTAGTGCGGCTGGAAGGATTAGGTCAAATGAAAAATCCAATGACCTCATCGGGAATCGAACCCGCGACTTTCCGGCTTGTAGCACAGTGCCTCAACCAACTACGCTACCATAGCTATTAATATTATTGCTACGTAACCTCGCATCCGATGCTGTTTTTTTGCATCAGCGTAGAAATTGCTGTGGGGATTCCCTGGGCTGCTTCAAGGTCGAGAGCACTTACCGTGCAGAGGCCCCAAGCCGAGATAGGGCCTGCCACATCCCGTCCAGCAAGCCCAGAAGCGAGGTCTGAAAGCAGTATGCTCACCAGGTTTTGCAGTCCGAACTCCAGTTGCCGTGGATACCAACAGTAGCAGGATCGTGCTGTAAGCGCCCATGTTCTCTGCAAAGAAAGAAGCGCCACTGAACAGGCATGCACGTCCGTCTGTGTTGCCGGAGATGGACCGACGTTTCGGTGAGGAACATTCCTCCATCTGCTGGGTTCAGTGATAACAGTGGAAAACTCTGCCCTCAATAGGGAAGCCGTCGGGGTTCTGCGCAAACTCAACGGCGTTGCAAACGCACGCTTCACAGGGTCGCACCATTCATACGGCACGTGGATAGACGCTGTTGCTAGGGCGCGCTCGCCCGTCTGTAGCATCTCGAGGCATGAACAGATTTTCATGAAATTCGGTACTGGGATGTGTTGCTGAAATTTACAGACATTCCAGTGTCGGTTAAACTCGAACATTTACATGAAGAGGTACACATGCGAGTTTCTTGGGACAGCTCAAGCTTAAGTCGCCCAGCACGGTGGCTCAAACGGTAACACTGCGGAGGTGCTTGGTTGAATCTCGACGGAACACCGACTGTCTTGACTGACCTGTTTCGTAGTTTTCCTTAATCCAGTCAAGTGTCGTGATAGCATCTCACATTAGGCCACGACCACTTCAACCGACAACGACAATAATGATGCGCAGAAGAATAATGCAACTCTGTAAATAATTATCAGAACGAAGGTTTTAGAGAAAAGCGAAACACATGTTGCCCAGTTCACTGTTTCCTTAGTTGTTACGGTCTTCGCTAAATTTGTCGTTCTATCCGTACATTTTCTAATTTGTTTGCTTCCACCGATGCGTTGTTATCAGGGAATGTAAGCATTATGACTGTGATTATAGTGATGAATTCATTTATATATCTTAGGTGTTGGGATTGTCTTCTTGGTTGTGACGCCGTGCAGTCAGGTGGGTAAACGTCTGGCAGGCTACATGGCATCACATTCAGTAAAGTAGCTCTGTACGTGGGCATCGCCGTCACTGCTGTCCGAAGTGTCTGATTAGGGTCCATATTGGCACAGCCTGGGCTCCATATTCCGGGGACTTCCTCCGGAATGTCTGGTCTACAGACATTGGCCCATAACATGACGTATACATCTTGTTAAATGCAGCCTTCTCATGTAAATTGTTGAGCTGTAAACAAACGCATGGTCTGCTTCTGCAGACAGGAACACGGAGAGGATCTAGACAGAACTGCGCAGCGCGCTCCGACACCTCCCTTTGCCACTCCCACATAAACACACCCACCCCAGTGCATTGTCACGTGTATTAGTGACTTCCAGACGGGGTTTGCATTGATGAATAGATTTATTGCATACTCACACTTCAACTGTTGTTCTGCCTTGAGCGATGTCCGTCCAATGAATCTTGAAGAGGCTCTACTCTCTGGAACGCTGAATCCCGGGCTGAACCAACTTGGCGCGGACCGAATACAGAGCACCAAGTCGGACTGTTCAGTGTCCTCTGTTATTCTCTGCTTCATCCGTTGCCAAGAAACGTGTTGTACTAGCCGTTGTCCAGCAGTGAACGTCTCTGCTGTGCTTCTCTGACTGCATGTCACAATATTATATTAAAACTTCCGGCTTGCAGCATGGTGCCTCAAACAACTACGCTACTGCGGAACTAGAATTCATAAAGAAATTGTGTAGCGGCGCAGCAGTGCGCGGTGTTGCCTGTGTTTGTTACACACGCCTCTCGATGGGCGTAGGGCCGAAACATGTAGACTGACGGCCATTTAATAAATCGATTAGTATATCGATATACGCCTGTCCCAGTACACACATTGACATGTTTGTGCACAGAGCCGGACGCCAAACACGAACATGAAAATAAGACGCTTGCGCACTCTGGCCCTACAAACTGGCGCTTTAGAGGGCCAATCCGCCCTTATTGTTGTTGGCTCGCTCTGGGCCCCATTCATCTTCACGGTCGGGTTACTCTTCTGCCCTGAAGACTGAGGCAGCAGATTCCTCCGAATTCTGTGTACCAGATTACCTGGCGTGACCGAGCGTGTTGGAGAGGTCTTCGGTTCGAATCTCGGCCTGGACGCCGGCTTTGGCGGATTTCCCGAGTTCCTCCAGGTACCTCTGCCAGAGTGTGACCGCTTCTTTCCGAATCCTTTCTGATCCCTAACTCATTAGTCATCCTACCCTTCGACGCTACGTAATATAGAAGCGGACCCAGAGGAGCAAACACGCTGATTGAAGTGTTTGCCCACATACATTTGTGTTTGTGTTGCAGTAAGTGCACCTCAAGGTCGGGCAGTGATGTAACCGAAACCACAAGGAGGCGACCGGAGGAGTCAACACGGAGTTGCCAATATCCGGCTGGCTTCTGTATCAGACTCAGAAGTTTCGTGGGAACACTATGTTACAAGCCGGAAGGTCGCGGTTCGACTGGATTTTTCAATTGACCTGATCCTTCCAGCCGCACTGTGGCCCTGGCGTCGACTCAGTCTCTAACAGAAATGAGTACCAGGAATCTTCCTCGGGGGTAAAGCGCGGCCGGTGAGTACGGCTGGTCTCACAACCCTGTGCGCCTCCACTGCCTGTTGCAGAGATGGCGGTTGTCTTGTGCAGATTGCGTACGTGTGATGGAGAGGCCTGCCACTTGCATAAGCCGAAGTTCACATACTTGAGTCCCTGACGATGTTTATAAGCACTCACCCAGGCACTTGAGTTCACGAGTGGAGTGTCGACATGTTTGCACGTAAATATTTTTAGCCACTGACGCTCCTCGAGCGCTGTGGCGTTGCGAGTTCTCATAGCTGTGGCCCTTCTGGGAAATTGATTATTTGGTAGGCTTACTCGTCAGCCCTGAAGACAGAGGCAATACGTTCCTCCGAAACTCCCTCGGAATTGTGCCGCACTACACTGCGTCACGCCCTTCGACTGCAGTCCGAGTTTGCAACGTGTCCGCGGACATATCCCCCGGCACAGACTGTACCTGCCGATTTTGTCGGTCTTGTGGGATTTCTGTCATCGTACCGTTGTGGCATTCGGTTTTCCTCAGTTCACAGGCGGTACGCTGAAGTGGCTGCAATCGACTCCTTTCCAAAGCTCACGTTTCTTCCCTTCATTATCCCGCCACATAACGTAGCGGTAACTTTGTTGTGATCTCGTCCCTCTGTCTGAAGGTTTCGTGTTTCTCCTCGGTGCATCTGCCTTGTGTACCGCAGCTACCGCCAGAGTCGTGAGGTGACGCGGAGAAATGGCACCATGGCGCATGCGCACGTAGCAGGAATCAGCATTGAGTGGAGTTTTAGGAAAAACAGTTTAACTAATTCAGATTTGCGTTCCTCGCGCCTGCGACTGTGAAGGTTAAGTTCTTCCTGCATGTGGTGCTGTTTAGCTTCGTAGGAACTTACTCTGCTCCATCTTCGACGTAGCAGCACAAGCTTCCGCCCTGATTATGGAGACATCACGATCAATTGAAACATTTGTGCCTTTTTACATAGCATCCCAGAAGTTGGTACCATTCAATGAATTTATTTGTTCAGAAAGAAAATAGATTAAATTCGGATCTATGATTCCCTCAGTTTTGACTATGAAGATCTTGTTTGGATGTTACGCCGTACAGACCAGCAGAAGGGAACGTGCTGCTGCCTTCTTGAGGGTGACAAGTGAGCAAAGCAGAGCGGTGATGCATGGCGTCATGCACTCAGTGAGACGCATGGCAGTGGCCGGAAGGCATAACAGACTTTGCGAGCTCTTTTTGTCCAGTTTCAGTCTCAAGATGTATGTGTAATTTTTGGATAACTCTGCGCTTTCGGCCACTGTTTGCTGCCATCATCAGGTAGCACTTATACAGTCCCTCTCAACTCTCTGCTCCCCCCCTCCACTGGCCATGTTCACAATACACATCTTTAGTTGTACACTTAAATAGTGTAAAGTGTATAAGCCGTTGTCCTGGTGTTCCGAAGGGCGCGCGTAATTCGCAATACAAGCGGCTTTCAATTTCGCAAATTATACCTTAAAATTGTTTATTTATGAGACATTTGTACTTTAAGGCAGATTTACAGCTAAGGATGTGCGTTGTAAAGAACAGCAATATGGACTTCTGCCGGCTGTAAACACTGGCCAATAGAGGGGGAGTAGGAGAGAGAATTGTGAGTGCAACCTGATGATGGCAAGAAATAGTGGCCGAAACCATATAGTTATCCTAGAAATATACATGTATTGTGCGGCTGAAACTGGATGAATACTCGACACACAATATGACGCTAAAAGAGAACAGCAGCAGGGCCATCAGGAGTCTGTTTATACCACTCGCTCAACTGTTGCTGGCATGGCTTCTGCGTGACTAGGTCACGAAAGCCACGTTTTCTCACCGAGGGCCAACATTGTCGACACTGTTGGTTCACCCAGTCCTCCCTCTCCACATAACCGCTCTTACCATGAGGAAGGAGGCAGCAGGCATGACATTCAGATACTGAATGGACTGTAGTTCTAGTCGTTAATGTCGTTACGTTTGCTCCTCCTACACGTCCTTTTCTGAATGACGTCAAATATTAAAGTGGACTTTATCTGAGACTTACATAGCGTCGTCATAGCAACAGCAGCAGCACTGTACTTACCTGCGTCTCTCGCGTCAGCTGTCACCACACTGCCGGGCCGGGCTTGTCTGTCCAGATGGCGCGATGCGACGTAGCGCCCTTCGGCCTCACTGCGCCGCTCAAGCGTGGCTTGCAGATACTCTGGCTTGCCGTCAGTTGCTGTGGGTTCAGGAGGGGCCCACCCAACTGCGGGCTCTGTATCATACTCGTCTATACCTCGCCTTCCTGTCTTGGTGCTTACTTGTGTTGCAGTTGCATATCTCAGTGCCCTTGGTATATGTGTGTTGCCGATACAAACGTACTTCACGAAGCAGTCTACATAACCCACCCCCTTCCTCGCACTTCGTCCCTGAGAATGAAGGCAGAGTGTCTCTCCGAAACTCTGGTATCGAACTCGGTCTGGTCTGACGGTGACGCTGTACGCTTGTGTTCGAGTACTCAGCTCGGATGTCAGCCGGAACACAGACTCTCCTGATTGCGGTTGTCGTGGTGTGGGTTCAATTCCCGATGAGATCATTGGATTTTTCAACTGACCTAATCCTTAGAGCGGCTCTATGGCCCCTGGGGCCGACTCAACCTCTAACAGAAATGAGTACCAGGAATTTTCCTGGGAGTAAAGGGCGGCCGGCCGGCGCTTAAGGCTGACAGTCTCACCGCCATGTGTGAGCTGATTGTCTACAAAATGTGGGCCTCGACGTCTCACAACACTATGGGCCTCCACTGCCTGTTGCAGGGATAGCTTTACTTTTAGTACCATTCGACGCTATGGCCTCGTTACCGACAATGTCGCAAAAAATGCAGGATGTCAGAATGCGACCGGTCTCCAGCACTGAAACCTCAGAGCTAACGTTTTGCACACTTTGCCGAATACTATGGAGTGAGAGTAAGAGTAAGAGGTAAGTGGAGCATGTAGCACGCACGGTGGGAGAAATGTCGAAAACTCGGAATATAGGAAAGAACATTGGAGACTTAAGCGTAGATGGAATGACACATGAATAGGATCTTAAAGAATAGCAATTGAGGATGCTGATTGGATTCAGTTGACTGAGTATAGGTCACAGTGAAGGCGGTAATGAACTTCCAGGATTTTCTTCATCAGCTGAACCACCATCAGCTTTTCGAAAAGGACTGTGCCGCTTGGAGTGCAGTCATGAACAGTTTATTCAATCCCACTCGCATTAAAACAAGAACAGGAACAGAACAGGTGCAAAGTTACAAGACATGGGGTATAGCCTGTTGCCTGACCGTGTCATGCACAGTCTGTGTTGCAGGGTGAGTACTTCTTTATAACAATACTGGAGCGGAGACACCATTTTGAAGAGTCGGAAGTTAACCACAGGATAAATCGAAGTTCTAACCCTCCCTGTGCTAAACGAGACGCAAACTTCACGCTTGTGAGAGAAGTTATCACGTGATAGTCAGGATGTTGGGACCGTTTCGGCCTCTTCCGCCCAGTTCCTTTTGAAAGTCTGTCGGCATGTTGAAACCGAGCGGATTCTTGTAGCGTTGAGGCTGTAATCCCACAGTAGGTGGGCCGGCACACCGGCTGTCCTGATGGTGCTCATGGTTTTCATCAGTCACTTCAGACACACGTCAGGATTTTACCTCCACTGGACCACTTCCGCTATGTAATGTAGACGCCGAGTATTGAGCCTTGATGCCCTCGACGCATAACGAATTGTCGCTTTTCCTAGAAGCTGACGAGACTTTATCGAACGTTAAGGGCCGACCCATGCACGAGTGAAATGAAGAGGGAAAAACAAATCTCAGAGCTCTGAACGGAAACCGGTTTATTGAAGTCACTGCCTTTCTTACACGCCATTATGTCACATGAAGTTATAGCCAAAAATCCTTGCACTAGTCAGCGTCACTTCATATCACATCTTAATTCAATATAAATAATTATTCCATCATGTAAATTCTGTCACAAATAATTTGTGCAGTTGATATTATTAAATATTACTGTCTTCCCGCATGTGGCACTCAGCAGTCTTCCGGACATTTACCGATGTTTTAGAGGAATTTGATGCTCCATCTTCAAGGTATATATTTTTGTTTTTATTGTGTGCATACTGTTGTGTGTCACAACTACGTGGTTACGTCGAGTGTCCGTCAACACAGCAATTGTAATTTCTCATCATAACACAAGGCACAATATTGCCGTTTCAGTTATTGCCTGATGACGGTCCTGTCAGGACCGCAACGTGCAGCAGTGAGCTGTGAAATTCACTCTGTGTGACCCTTTTTTCTTGTGTTGACGGATACCTTACCTAACCGTGTAGTTCACGGTGTAAGAATAAAGAAGCGGGTAGCTAGTGTTTGAGAGGTGGGGCCGCAGTAAACAGACTGTCTTCAAGGGGGGCACGAGACCAAACGTGTGACCAGTGACTATAGTAATGAGATATAAGCTAGTAGAGTTATCAGCGAGTATGGCTGGGTCTTGGAACAAGGGAGATCCGCGTTGAGTGTTCCGTTCGGACGCACACGACTCGTCAGCTGTCGTGTTCATGTCGAAGTAAAGTAAATGGGTAGTTCACACACAAAGTGGGATCACGGAAGGATGGAGTTGCTCTAAGTCGCCTCTCAAACACTGCAGTTGAAATACAGGGAACATCTGCTGTATTTCATTTTATTGTTCTTAGTGGGGTGAGACCGAGTCCACTTGATACTGCGGCCTCTGTTGTCCTGTTATACCAGACCCGGATGTTAGATGGTGGTGAGTGTGCAGCAGTTGGTGGAATTAAGATTGGCAGGGGAAACCGAAGTACTCGGGGAAAACCCGCCGCAGTGCCACTTAGTCTACCACAAATCCCACACAACCTGACCCAGGCTCGAACCCAGGCCGCCGCGGTGGGAAACCTGAGCTATGGCACGGCCGGCTTCTACTGTATCTGTGACCGGTCTTTCCTTCCGAGCCAAATTTTGTACCTTCAGGATATCTGTGAACGGAGCCACTACCGGAAGGCAGTAATATTCGTAGTAAGAGCCATGGAAACCTCGCGTCTCAGTAACAGATCCGCGAAGTTTGCTGTAATATATGAAAGCAATGAAACCACTGTTTTGTGTTCAACGTTTCGGGAACAGAAAGACGGTCGTGTCAATTAGCTCAGGGCAATGTCTCGGGGAAGGCTTCTTCAAATGGAACCACGGCGGCAATTCCGTTCATAATGGTCTCCATGGCCTGCACTATTGCCTCTGTTATGGATGGCGACATGATGGTGTACAGTTCCTCCCAGCTGGCGTTCAGTACCTCGTTCGTTTCTTTTCCTGCAACATATGCACGTCACCAAGGTTAGCGCAGTCAAGATACATTGCGTATCAAATAAAAATATAAACTAACGCAGTGTGCGTTGTAGTCCGTTTCAGTTATAATTTAATTTTATTTTCAAGCTGTCTGTAAACTTGCTGTGCCTTATCTCAGTTTACGTTTGATCTCTCTATCCCTAACTGCACGCGCGGCTGTCGTCACTGCCACAGGAGCTCAGCCTCCCCCTTGCTTTGCTCATCGTGTCTGTTTGCATTCCGGCCCGCTTCAGTGGCACAGCTTATATCCGCAGTGTGGTCAGGAACCCAAACTGCGCTCCAGCACCTGTGCTGGGCACGGGCAGACATCAGACTGGGCTCCAGCACCTATGCTGGGCACGGGCCGACCCAAACTGGGCTCCAGCACCTGTGCTGGGCGCGGGCCGGCCCAGACTGGGCTCCAGCACCTGTGCTGGGCACGGGCCGACCTCAGAACACCGTGTATCCTGAGCCCCGACTTCATAACTTTCCCAGTAACTTAGCGTTGGCAAATATTGAGGCAGAACTGACTTACCCAGCAGTTTGTCTCCGTTGAATAGGTTCGAGAGGTAGACGTACATCCGAGATGGCGTCACAGTAACCTGCGAGTTCTTCAGGACTACATGTTCTCTGTTCTCGATCTGCTTCAGGGTCAAGTCGGTTTCGACTGTCAACTTGGCGTTAACTGGCAAGGAGAAACATATGCTGAATTGTACCTCTTTATTACTCTTGAGAGGTTTGAGGGTCTCACTGCGCTCACTGTGGATTTTACTGTGTTAAGGGCACCTGCCATGCTGAAGATGGAGGCAGCCGATACCTCCGAAATGTGAGTAACGCTGCTCTGGAGACAGTAATGTTGACCATTTGTCCGAATTATGTTGCTGATGATTGAGCGCAATCGTGTCGTTGGAGGTTGGGTGGACCCCAGAGTCGGTCTCGACGACGCGAAGAAGAGACAATTTTTTACCTTACCGGGACTCGAACTCCGACCCCTCTATCGTGCAGTCCGTAGCCAGCCGCTATACCTACCGAGCCGTCCCGGCTCACTTCGAATATGACACATTTACATATTTGCCCCCGTTGAAAAATTTATATGCGCCTTAAATTCGAGGAATGCGCACTTTTGCTATTTTTTTTGTAAAACCCACGCTTAAAAACTGGATGCGTCTTCATTTCGAGGGCGTCTTCTATTCGAAGTAATACGGTATTTATATTTTTTGAACAGGTGCAATTTGGATTCATGCTTCAGAAATTTTTATAATATTTTGTACCCTATGAAATTTGATTTTCCCTTCGAGGATGAGCTGCATGAAAGGTTTTGGAATCAGAAGGATTCGCGGAATAACTGAAGATGTGCGAGGACACGCTTAAGGAGATGCTACAAACCGGAGAAGTGCATGACGAGCAAGGGCAACCCCACAGACGGCTGAGCAGAAGCAGGAATGGTGACATTGTCATACAATTGCTTGGACTGAAGTGGCTTGTAATTTACGGCATGTAAATACTAGAGTGGCGTTGGTAATATTAAGAATTTCAATGGTATATTAAGTATACAACATTTTTAAGGCGATTTGAATGCTTGTACAAGACAGTAACCTCATGCATATGTGAACTGTGCCCCAAGACACATTGCTGCTGGTACGGCTGCACAGTGGACTGGATTCGCTTCTTACCTAGAGTGATATTGATGTCCCCTTTGCCATTCAGGGGCAGGAGCAGAAGCTTTCCCTCTGCCTCATACTTGCCGATGATCTGCAAGACAGGCAGGCTGAGGTCGCCGCTCACGTGCATTTTCTCGAAGTCGAAACTGAAACAGCAGGCAAAACTGTCACTTGGCATACGCAAGCAGCCGAGGCACTGAATGTGGCTGTCCAGAGGTCCTCACCGACAGCTTTCTCTATCAGTGGCTCTCACCCTCTCTGAGACCGCGGTCTGGGGAATTCTGTTTCTGTAAGACAAGGGGGTCCGGCACGGTGGTTGGGAAACTCTGCTCTATATTTTACCCGGCAAATTCCGGGCCAGCAATTCACCCTTCACATCTTTCCCTGCTCTTCACTAATCACCCCAATATTTGACGCTGTTTATACTGGCCTACTGACAGCGGTCTTAAGAAAGCAAGACGTAACTAGAACAAGTAATCGAAGGACCGAGCGTCGCTATTGAGAGAGTAGCAATCTTGCTTCATATTCCACAAGTTTTGGGTTCAGATCTCGGCCAACAGACCGGCCACCGTGCCTGAGAGTTTCGTTCAGGCGAATGATTGGATAGTACCTGAAATTAGGCTAAGGAAAGTAGCCACTGGTCACCCTACCATAAGAAGGCCCTTACTTGGCGTTTTCCAACTTGGTGTCCGGGAAGCCATAGAATTTTGCGTCTTTGATGGTGATCGTCAGCCCGTTGCTCTCCGACAGTTTGATCTCCGTGATGAGCAGTGGGTCGATCGGTGGCACGTTATACTTGCGGTCACCTGAAGGGAGGCAGACCAGGCAGATGAGTGGTCTCGTCACGAAAAGTGGCTTACATCCTGTCACTGTAAACGTTCGTTACTTCTTCATCACTTACTGGTCCTCTGTTCCTCGGACTTGGCGCGTTTCCAAACATTGTAACAAGGGTCATGTAGGATTACGTTCATGGAGCTCAAAGCTCAAACCCATTGTTCAGTATTTTAACCCTGTGTCACTATAATTGTGTTCAGATTATTACAAACATCAGCGGGGTGACTTTGATTGAAATATTATAAAACACCGAAAATATAAAATATTAAAAATTTGTAAGTTAATTGATATTTGACCGTGGATAGTTAAGAGTTACGAACCGGGTTGCCAGAGCATTTACAAATTCGACGTTTCGTCAGAACCCGAGACCTCCAGCACCTCGTCGAATTCAGATATGTGGATGTTGGAGAAGAATCATTAACCAAATTTCGGCCAAAGCCCGAAATTCGGATTTCGATTAGTACGTTCGAATACAATTCGAAGCGTTAAGTCTAATGGGTGTTAATGAAATGGGATCGTAAGTCAGGGGTTCATACGCCGAGTCATCGCTGCGAACCTTCTGTTATCTGCTTCTAGGTCACCATGGTTTGCCTTGCTGGCCTCAACACTTACCCTTCCTAACTTCGGGGGCTGTCAGCGTCTCTCTTGCATGTTCTATGGCGCACTGGTTGAAATTTGGGTCGCTTCGGGCACATGGCTTCACGTAATGTGCTGTAAACAAAAGGCCTCAATGACCGAATGTGAAAACTGAAATTGTCCCTGTGCAATGAAGAGGCATGGAACAATGGGAGTTCAGCTCCACGCACGAGGAGGGGACCTGTATGTCTTGTCGGTGTAGGGAATCGGGTGGGGTGAGAGAAACTGGTAGCACATGTGGGAGAGATCAGAAATGGGTACAAAATTTTGGTCGCTAAATCTGAACGGAAGAGACAATTTGGAAGACCCGAGCATAGATAGTAAGATGATAATAAAGTGCATGTTAAATAAGTAGGGTCTGAAGGTGTAGAGTGGAATCTTCTGGCTCAAGGCAGGGACCGGCTTTTGTTAACACAGTTGTGAACCTACGTCCTCCATAAAATGCTGGGAATTCCCTAGTTCTCTTCACCACTCTCAGATGCTAAAGATGGACTTGTGCTTCCTGAGTTGATTAATCACATTTTCTGCCAATGAAGAAGGCGAGAGTTTATTTTACTTACGTAGCTTCAGTCCTGCGCCTACTGCGAAGACGGAAGCCACCAGCAGAACAATGCGCGTCCCTTCCATGTTGAAAGCGTAGTCACAGTTTGCGGGAGATGGGTGCGACTGAAACACATTGCAGCCGCTCACTGAACTTATAAGTCGCTCGGTTCCAAGTGACGTCAGTAATTATCTCGCCCATCAGGACGGGATATTGTAAAGAAATTGCAGGCTTCTCAGTTAGAGGTCTTTTTACCGTGGCATTCTGCAAGGTTAACGACTGCGTAGCGTGCGAAGTGGAAATGTTCTCTCTCATTTGCTTCTTCTTCCATTATTAGGTAGGGTTGGGGCGTGTTCATGCGCTCCCGCCCTGCCTGGCTGCCCAGCCCACTCCCATGCCTGTCAGTATCTCCGAGATACGCACAACAGAACGCTGCTCTTCGGTACTACACTCCTCAGACACGGTCGCCGGTTTCACTGCTGAAAGCAGCCTCTCAACATGCGCATGTGCGTCTGAAAATAATCATGTAAATACAAGAATGGCTTGGACATGACGCTGGATTGTGCTGCTGCCTACTGATACACACAGAAAGCATATTGCGTCCATTACAGCTGTTTTATTTCCATTCGTGTCCAATTTACTGACTTTCCCTCGCGTTCTCAACACACTCATCTATCTTGCAACAACCTATCGTGGGGGTGACACCCCCGCCGCTACGCACAATGGCAGGCGGAGTAATTTTAGCAGGAGGTGCCGGCTTCGAATTTCGGCCGGGACATCTGCCGTCCCGAGATTCTTAGAAGGTTCTAATTAGCCGCTCCAGGCAAATGTCACGGTAGCGCCTCGATCAGACAACGACCGCTTCCTTCCAGATCCTACTGGTTGAGGCGCGGGTTCAATTCCCGATGAGTTCATTGGGTTTTTCAGTTGGCCTAATCCTTCCAGCCACACTTTGCCCCCGGAGTCGACTCAGGCTCTTACAGAAATCAGTACCAGGAATCTTCCGGGGGTAAAGGGCGACCGGCGCATAAGGCTGGCAACCTCACCGCCATCTGTAAACCGAAAATGTGGGAGCCTCCACGTCTCACAACCGTATGGGCCTCCGCGTCCTGTTAAACAGCTCTCGCAGATACTGACATATGTTGGTAGCAAGAATGGCAGTGTGCTGGGCTGCCAGGCAAGGCAGGAGTGCACGGACACGCGGCGACCGTTTCCAGGTTAGAGTGTCCCGTGTTCTACGTTTTGTATCCATTTGTGACCTACTTACTGACTGTCCCTCGTAATAGTAGTTGAAACAATTTAGTGGAATGCATTTTGTTCTGGATACTGTAGGGCGATGGGTGAAAATTCGTAACCAGATTTTCTGGCTGTTCCCCCACCTTTGGAGAAGATCCTTAGGGCGGCCATGGCTATCGTGTGAAATATTGCAAGGCGATTCTGTTCCGGCCTCGGAACTACATGCATGCTGGCATACTCGCGCGTTTCGAAAGGTCATCCAGATCCACCGCTCGCGAAATGAGTGGACTGGGCTGGCTTGAGTGATGGGCTCATGTGAGCCTTCATTACAGGAGCATCTCTTCTCCATGGCTTCTACTCATCTGAGACGAGCTTTCTAAAAGAGTTCTGTGTTGTGGGATATGATGCCGTTTGGGAGGAAGAAATCGCTTCCATGTTCAGGACTCTACTTGGTTGGCTGCAGATGGAGAAGCACGTGTTGATATTCAGCATCTACCGCCAACAGAACCTCAGATCCGACTGAACTGCCTGCAACTTCGTGAAGAAGGAGGTGCTTGGACGTAATTAGAAGAACTGACAAGGAACAGGATTTGCGTCCCTGGATGTGAAAATATAACATCTTTGTTTACTACAATTTCGTCTTTTTTCGGGTTGAGAAGGTCAACTGTAATAAGAATGTTTAATGAATTAATTTGACGTCATACTTGCGTAGTGGAAAAGTTAAAGCGAAGTGATGTGTCATGGAGCCTGCTTACCTTGATCACATCAGGACGTTCGGGCAAGCAGCCACACGCGAGATAAATATAAGCAGGCGATGGTTCGTTGGATATAAATAGTCTACATCCGGTGTGAGTGGCGTGAAGGAGAAGTCAGGGTGACTGATGGACAGACGAGACGAAATATTGCAGGAACCGTCAGATTTTTAGCGGCGTAAAGTGGTTATGTCTGCAGCAGAAAAACTCACCTGCCAGTCGCTTACATCGTCCTCCAACACGTGTTCTTCTTTCGTAGCAACCTCTGCGTCGGCACTTATCATCATAATCATCGTCTTCTTCTTCTATTCCTGTTGCTCTCACTTGGAACGTATGACATCCATTAAACGCCTTGTTTCGCTTTACATTCTTAATGCTGCACAATCGTTGGGGCTCACTGGACAGAGGATCAGTCCGTCGCAAGGCCTCTGCCTAACGCAAACACGGAATAAATTCACGCAGACATCCATGACTTGAGTTGGATTCGAACCCACGATCCCAATGTTCGATCGGCCGAAGACACTTCATGGCTTAGACCGCGCGGCCTGGTCTTCATTACTCGCATGGAATTCTGTAACTCGGCGCAGAATTTGAAATACGTCCCCTCGAATTGAGTTCGTTACCCATTATGCAACAGTTAATTGTTGAACATGTAGGTGTCTTCATTCGCACGGTTTTGCATCCTGTTGTGTGTGTCGCTGCTGTGGATCACAGCAACTGTATACTTTCAGTACGTGCCCGAATGTAGATATATCTCCGCCATCACCAGGTGTTTATAAGCAGTAACTTGCATCCGCGTTCTTTGCTGGCATGCGTGTAGCAGTTGCTGTCAGTCTTGTCATGTACAACTGAGTGACTTCATGGAGCTGAGCCCTTCTGGAGACGTCGCCAGTCATGCAGCTTCCCAACAACTTCCCAGCATTCTTTGGAAACCCGAAGGTTCATTACCGCGTTCACAACAGCCCTTCACTGGTCCCTATTGTGAGCCAGATCAATCTAGTTCATACCACCCTTTCATATCTCTCTAAGGTCCATTTTAATATTTCCCACCCGCCTAAGTCTGCGTCATCCTGGTGGTCTCTTTCCTTCTGGCTTTCCCACCAATACCCTATATGCATTCATCTTCCAGTTCATGCTACATGCCCTGCCCACCTCACCCTCCTTGACGTGATCATTCTAATTATACTTGGAGAAGAGTACAAGTTATGAAGCTCCTCATTATGCAGTTCTCTCCGACCTCCTATCACTTCATCCCTCTTCGGTACAAATATTCTCCTCAACACCCTGTTCTCAAACACCCTCAGTCTGTGTTCCTTCCTTAGTGTCATAGACCAAGTTCCACGCCCATATGGAGCCACAGGCAAAATTATAGTTTTGTATATTCTAATTTTTATGTTTTTAGGGCAGCAGACGAGAAGACAGAAGGTGCTGGACTGAATGGTAACAAGCATTACCCGAGTTCAATCACCTCTTAATTTTCTCCTGAATAAGGTTTCGATCTGTTATGTCTTTCCCTAATATCGGAACTGTGCCACATTTTCAAAACATCTATTTCCTGTCGTTATGTCATGATTTCCCCAGCATTTTGGTGACGAGAGAGCAACATATACTTAGTTTTCTGTGTGTTCACTTCTAGCCCAGCCTTCTTACTAGCGTCACTTAAAGTCTGTGTGTTTTTCTTTATGGTATGTATATTTTCACCCAGTAGATTCACATCATCCACATAGACCAGCAACTGATATGTCCCATTTAATTTGAATCCCACCTGGTTTTCTTGGACTTTCCTAGTAGTATATTATAAAGCCAAGCTAAAAAGCAGGTGCGATAAAAGATCTCCTTGTTTTAGAATATCCTGGTTAGGAAAATTACCAGGCAAATGTTTACCTATACGGACTTTACTATACGTTTGGTTTAAACACATTTTCCCAGGCTGTATTAGTGTCCACCTCAGAGTCGAAGTTTTCCAAAGCTGCGAACCGATTTGAGATTCAACACGATACTGCTCTTTATCCTCCACCTAGTTTAATTTCTTGAGATTGAACTTCTCCATATGAACTCCGTGCGTTGTTTGTTTACTCACTGCCAGTCTCTCCCTAACTTTTGCCACCACCAGATAGTGGTCAGACGCCGGTAGCCGGGCGGTCTAAGGCATGTACTGTCTTCGCTCGCTCGGAAGCCAGGATCATGGGGTCGAATCCCACACAAGGCATGAATGTTTGGTATGTATGTTTATACTGTGTGTTGTCCTGTGTTTAGGTAGAGGCCTTGCTACGAGGTACTCACTCGTCCAAGGAGGCCTGCCGTCTGTAAAATGATCGGACATCATTTTGCATAGAATTACAGAATTGAATATATTGAAATACTTGAAGTTGAAGCTATCCCCGTAAGAGGCCGTGGAGGCCCACAGGGTCGTGAGGCGTCGAGGCTCCCACATTTTCTAGACAGTCGGCTCACAGATGGCGGTGAAGTTGTCAGCCTTACACGCCGGCCGCCCATTCCCCCCAGGAAGATTCCTGGTACTCATTTCAGCTAGAGGCTGAGTCGACCCAAGGGCCTTGGCGCGGCGATACTTATCCTAATTAATAAAGCTTATTTGAAGTTGTTATTTTCCTAGAAATTGTCCTGTTATATTCAGGGTTACTTTGTGGGCGGATTGGAGTATGGAGAAAGGAGCCTATATGTATGATGTATTTCCGAACTTTGTCCTTTATGGGGCCGAGTGTGCATTGTTTTGGGCGGAGTTGGGGTACTCACATATTTTTATCTTTTGGTGTAATGTTGAATATTATGCGCGCATGCCCGGTTAGTACTGATGGAGTCGTGCTGTCCTATATTTTGTTCGTCTGTCTGAAGAAATATAGAGTATGTTTTGGGAATTCAGTTGTGTTATGTGGTTTCATAGCCGTTTCTTTGTGTGTGTGCTTAACGACTTTAAACGTTGCGCGGTGGACTCGTTCGTCGTATTCTTAGTTATCGTTGTCTATTGATGTGCTTTTACTTACTGGAGTTTTTGTTTATTGGAAGTGCAGAATTGTTGTATTTGGATCGTATTTTTCATCAACAGGCGGCCACTGCGGCCGGCCGTACCACTAGGATACAGTTCAGCAAGGCTTTGCTTGCTGCATGCCTCAAGCTGATTTCATGCTTGACTCGTTCGTCGACCCTGAAAATGGAGGCGATTTATTCCTCTGAAACCTGAGTTGACTTTCAACGCAGTACATGAGGTATATCCCAGAAGATAGATATTTTCATAACAACCGCTGAGAGAACCTCAGATCTTGCAATTCTTTATCTGTTTGCGTGTTCACTCATCGGCCCGATTATGAAGTAGGCCTGAGCGCAGCGGAAATAAAGCAAACGCATGTCCACCCAGTCAGAAGATAAACACAATTCAGTTACTGTAATGACAAAAAGAATCACGCAGCGAGTACATCTGCATGCATACCTGTACACTAAACTGTAATTAAGAGAAACAGCGTTTTGTTCCCAAGGCCGTCTGGCTGAAATGCGGACAATGAACGTAGGAACTTGAAGTCCAGCAGTTTCGGAATCAGAACGGCAGAAATCAGCAAGGCGATGCTTCCGCTTGTTGCATTACACGGCAACAGCGACAAGGCCGACTACAGTAAGAATTAATTGTGGTAGAGACAAACAGCAGCCACAGGCCCTGCTAGGAAACATAGGAAAACATGATGACAGTAAGGACAAGGAAACAGTTCACAGGAAACCAGTGCAAGTGACTAATGCTAATGCTTGGCACCGCGCCATAGCTCAAGCGGTTAGTCGCTGGCTTCCCACCGCGGCGGCCCGGGTTCGAGCCCGGGGTCTGGTCAAGTGGGATTTGTCACAGACAAAGTGGCGCTGGGGCAGGTTTTCTCCGAGTACTTCGGTTTCCCCTGCCAATCTTCATTCCACCAGTTGCTCCACAATCACCCTCACCTATCATCTGGGGCTGGTACAATAGGCCAGAAGCGGCCGCAGTACAAGGGACTTAGTCCCACCCCACTAGCAATAAAAAAATAATATGCTAATGCTTTGTGTCTCTTCACGTGCTAACTCAACAGCACACACACACACACACTATATACACTATATACACTGTATATGAGAATATGCAAGTACACGTATATAAACATACGATACGGTAATACGAAATTAAAATTTATTCCATGATGAAATTAAAAGTTGACTGAACTCAGGTAATGCTTGCTACCATTCAGTGCAGAAATTTTGTCTTTTCGTGTGCTGCCCAAAACGTAACACTTACATAACTGTAATTTTGTCTATGGTTCTGTATGGGTGTGAAAATTGGTGTCTGACATTAAGGGAGGACCATAGACTGAGGGTGTTTGAGAACAGCGTGCTGAGGAGAATATTTGGACCGTAGAGGGATGAAGTGACGGGAGGTTGGAATTGCACGCTAAATTGGCAGGGGTTGGAAGGACGCGGTCCTGGCCTAGTACAGATACGTACTATGCCGGAATTTACCTAGAGGGACTGAGGAGGACCACGAAAGCCCTGCCAGGAGTTTTGTGCGGAAAACTTCCAGAATAAAATGTCTGGAACTTCATCGCTATATGAACAAGTTGGGTTATTCATTTTTGTTCAGACCCATGCTACATTCTCCGCCCATCTTATCGTCCTTGATTTGATTGTTCTAATTGTATCCTGCGAAGAGTAAGAATGACAGAACTTCTGACTGAATCTCTGTGCCACATGCTTGCTCCCCCCTGGATCCGGGTACAGTGTTGTCTTCATGGCGATACTGAATTCCTTGAAATTTCTTCGGCCTCACAGGCCTGCAGATTAAGTGAGCAAGCATGCTGAACCACAGTCACTTTCGAAGCTGCCAAGTCGATAAGTACATAGCTGTAACTTCACGTTCATATCATACGGAGAGGCATATCCATAATTCAGAAAAACACGGAGACTGGATTCTGTCTCCAGCTTCAGGTTGAACCTACTCAGTTGGGCCCAGAGCTAGTCCCTACCTCCGGACACCAGCACCAACACAAGACAGTTTCCCGTTATCACAGCAGAAGTAAAGGAAATACTACTCCTTCCAGTGTATATTAAGTGAGAAATTAGTGTTTTTTAAGTTGGTACCATACAGGGAATTTATCTCTCCAGTGATGACTTCTATTCTGATAGAACTCTGGTGCCAGGTCTCATTTGTGGAGTTGTTAATGATTTAATGTTTGTCTTCACTCTCGCAGGTGGTTTGTGCTGTGCTTGGTATGTATCTCCTGTCTTGTGTTGGTGCAGGTGTCCGGAGGTAGGGACTAACTCTGAGCCCAACCGAGTAGGTTCTACCTCAAGACGGAGACAGGATGCAGTTTCCGAAACATTGCACGTTTTTAATAAAAAACGGGAAATGGATAATGCCAAGAAACACCGAATTTGTATTAATACGCCATCGTCACAGAATTTGAGGCGTCGTACCCATGCTTCCTTTACAGTCAGCAGCTCTGTACGTTGAACACCTGGATTTCATTTCCCGGTGGAAGTCACGTGGAGAACCCCTGATGTTACTGAGGTAGCGAGATCATGGGGATGCAGATGGACGGATCTTCTAGGTAGCAGGGAGAAGGTGCGATATTGCGTCGTGACCCAGAATACCACGACACGAATCTCCACAGCTCAGAAAAACTCAGGTCTCAAGCGAGAATGGAAGTGATTTATTTTAAAAGGAAAATACAGCAGTGAAGCCGAGCTCTGGAGACGGAGAGTGAGGAGTTCTGACATTGCTGGACTCTGTTCATTGCCCAGAATTCTGAAAGAACACAACGTTTCCGGGACTGTATCCGTTTCCCTCCTCAGGAGAAAAATTGGGGAAACAGCAGCTGAGTTGAGTCCGTTTGAAAGGGCTGGTCGCAGTGCCCAGGGTGCGCCGAGAGAGCCAGCCGTGTTGTCACCCGAGGCTGGAGACGCACGCCCTCCGTTCGGAACACTGGAGGGCGCCCCTCACGAGACGGTCTCGGGGAACACTTCGTCGTAAGGAACAAGGGTAGCCATGTTGTTCACCAGGGTGGTAATTGTGCGTGCGATCACCTCAGCGAAAGCAGGAGACACCGCATCCTGGAAATCTTTCCAGTTCTCGTTGATGAAAGCGTTCACCTGCGCACCTGAAACATGCAGTACATTGTCAGCGGCTGCCGCTCTCCGCTGCTGCCACATCGCATAGAAATGGATTAAATATGTTTATTGCGTAGCGACTCTCTGTCGGGCAAACTGTTGGTCGCGAGCGGCTTGCAGGGAAGAATTGTAATCGTTCCCTTATATACTGTCTCATGTATGTAACAAATGACTGAGTGACTGCTGGATTGGTAATCGGGTTTATTGCACTTATACAGTTCCTTGCTGCACTTCACAAATCACTGTAGAGCACCCTAGGTGTTGTTAGTTTGCTACCATCTTTATTAGCCGTTGCTTCGTAGCGGCTTCAACGACGGATATTCCCCCTCCTGTGGGTTCCCGAACTGTCCCCGGCCTCAGGCACCAGCTCATGAGAGCAACAGCTCACTACAACTCAGCCCCAGAGGTTATCTAACTCACTAACGCGCCAGCGAACCAAACAACCAACTCACTCACCAACCACAGGGGTTCGTCAGACTGGCCACAGAACGCAAAATCTGCAACTGATCATTTACTGGTGCAAGGAGAAGTCGAACGCACGGAAGTTTCTGCAACGAAGCGGTTCTCTTGTGTCTGCAGGGCTACAACCCCATGTCATCCAGTAGTGGAGGGTGTTCATGACTTCAGTTTTCAGGGGCAAGAAGCAGCCCAGAATTTAGAAGGTTTCGGGGCAAACATTTCGGTTTCCATCTTCGGAATTAATGGCTTTGGGACTCAGCTTCCGGCAATATTACTGCCGGCCCTTACTGCCTTCGTTTCGAGCCCTGTTTGGGCCCTCCAGTAGATTGTGACGTCTTCATATTCGGCGTCTGGACGCCTACTCGGAATCCTATGCGTACAAAGCGTTGCTGCAGGTAGAGTAAAGACAGGGCCTTGTTTTCTCATGACGAAACGAGAAACAGTTGAAATTTCGAGTAAAATTGAAATTATTACCATTAAAATTAAATCCGCGTCCTTTTGTTGCTGTTCATTTCTTTGGTCGTGGTGGTATTTTGTTGCTTTTGTTGGTTTTTTTTATGTTAGGTGCATTTTCTGTTTTTAGGCAGTTTAAAACCCGGAACGTACGTGACTACAAGAGAAAATTACCGTGTTTGAAACGTCAGCACTTCATGACGACGTAGGAAGTTAATAGATTCTGTTTTGAACATGCGACAGGAACCAGCATCACCACACCTGGGGTCTTGTTTCCTTCGCGAAGCTTGCCCATTCAGGGCATGAAGTATTCTCAGATGTTTCAAACAATGTCCCTTGTATCGGCACTCCCTGGACTTATTCGGGACCAATCCAATTGGAATCGCTATCAGATTACAGGACATATTTAATGAGACTTTGGTTTTCTTGTGTCTGTCCAAGCGAATATTCTAGCGTTGCATTCGAGGAAGCCGCGAACACCTTCCTAATCCCTGTCTAATAATTTGTGATGAACTTCGACTAAAAGACACCATCCACTGACCCAACTGAAGGAAACTTGGAGTTAGCGACTTACCCAGAACTTCATTGCCATTGAACAGGTTCGTCAAGTGGACGTACGTTCGTCCGGACCAAACAGTGCACTTGCCGTTCTCGAGAATCATGTGGGTCTTCCCGCGGATCTGCTGCAGGGAGTAGTCTGTGTCGAACGTGACGTTGAGGTTCACTACGGCAGAGAGCGGCATGTCAGTATAGCTAGTCCTGGGGCCTCTGGCGTATCGGCTGCGGGGTTCATACCGACGTGCTCTCTCTCATTAGAGTCTAGGCTGTCCCTGTGCTAAACTAATTAAGCAGCACGCTATGAAGGCGTATGGGGGAATGGGTGTGTAGGTCCATATTTTCTTTACTTCGGCACTAACTGGAGGTGAGTGGTCAGCTTCACGCCCCTGTCGCTTTACCTCCTTGGAGAGAGCCCCGGTACCCATTTGATAGGAGGCTGGGTGGGTCCCAGAGCTGGACTGGACGACGTGGAGAAGAGAAAGTCGCTGATCCTACCGGGACTCGGAACTCCGACCTCTCGAACCTCGTAGCCAGTCCCTATACTGACTGCGCTTGGGGGTTCTTCCCTCGGGGATAAGGCTGCCGGGGCTTGAAACTGAACACTCACTTCAAATTAGTGGCGAGATCAAGGAAACGTGGACCTGTACAAGCACAAAGACAGTTTTACGTGCTTATCACTCTGAGGATGCAAGCAGTGTGTTGCTCCGAATCGTCGGTACGAACCTACCAACGCCATTGCGTCATATCTCAGAATAGCAACAACATGAAACTTGAAAGCAGTGAAAACCTGACCTTGTGAACCTCTTCCTATACGCTCTTCTGTGTGAGCGCTGCTTTACTCTGGATTTGATTTGACGGAGCAGTGTTTCCCAAAAAGTTTCTGAGACGTCGAGACTCCCACATATTCTAGACAACCGGCCCACAGATGGCGGTGAGGTCAGCCTTACGCGCCAGCCGCCCTTCGCCTCCCCAGGAAGATTCCTGGTACTCATTTCTGTTAGAGGCTGAGACGACCCCAGGGCCATAGAGCGGATGGATTAGGTCAATTAAAAAATGCAACAACCTCATCAGGAATAGAACCCGCGACCCTCCGGCTTGCAGCATAGTGCCTCGGTCAACTACGCAAGAAATTTTATTAGGGGTTCCATAAAAGTTTGCCGCGTGAGAACGTGTTTAGTTGCTAAGTCATAAGGGAAACGCTGTCATAGAAGAAAGATCGCGCAGGAATGTTGTGCACATCTGAACAGTGATATAGAAATGTTACTTATCTGAGATCTCTATGGCAGAAAAAATCTTGTTTGGAGCCAGCGGCAGTGAGGAGGAGTGAGGTGCTTCACATGTCAGAAGAAAGTATACTCGGTAACATTTTGAGCACATAAACCGAAGTAAAGTGCAGAAAATCGTTGGTGATGGCATTGTGATAACTGGGAACCTTGAGTAAGTTGAAGAGAGCAGTCTTCTGGGATGTGGCACCGTGTAGATGTGGTGTTAACCGACGTTTCGGAGGAACGTATCGCCTCCATCTACAGGGTAGAAGGATAAATAAGAAATCCGCGAGCGAAGAGACCGTGAGAACCGGTCGCTCGCGGATTTCTTATTTATCCTTCTACCCTGTAGATGGAGGCGATACGTTCCTCCGAAACGTCGGTTAACACCACATCTACACGGTGCCACATCCCAGAAGACTGCTTTCTTCATAATCACCGCCGTGAAAACCTCAAATCTTACATTGAGTAAGTTGGTTAGTGTAGAACATAACCAGATCTGTTTGAAGACAACTATGGAATATCAGTGGCGGGGAGCAAGACTACGTTTCTGCTGATACCAGAAACATCAGCGTGTTATCAGGCTTCTCACCGTCCGTTATGTTGATGTTGCCATTTCCTTTGATGGGAAGTAGCAGGATTCGTCCGTCTGTCTCATACTTCCCGAGCACCGTGACAAGCGGGAAATTCAGCAAGAACTGCATGTGATGCTTCTCGAAGTCATAGCTGCAATAAGCAAGAAGTGCGTTGTGAATGGAATTGCGTCAGCACAGTATCAGCTGCATAGTGCGCAGTGTCTGGAAATTAGTTCGCCATTTTGAACAGTTACGTGTATGTCTGAGATAACAATATATTCATAATTATGAAGTAAACTGTGTTGTATCAGATATTTTCTCCATTGCGTTCCCACGTGCCAGTGATGTCCTTTGTTGCACTCCTATGCGCTTCGGGCAGCTTCCCCCTGTGCCCCAGGTAGTACCATGGGAACTGTAGTAACAGGAGGAGGGAAACTGAAAGGAAAATTCGGGTGAAGTCAGGTGAACGAGGAGGTCAGAGCGTGTGGGCTCGGCCATTGCTTGCTCTGATGAACATATGTTCCAAGGGGTTTCCCTCTTTCTGGTATTCTGAGAGGCTGTGTTTGTTGACAAGACGTGAACCAATTGTTAGCTCATAACGGGAGGATTCTTACCGTATGGCATCCACCTCAGCCCCCAAGAGCCCGTAGATCTTGAGATCCCTCAGTGTCAGTGTCATTCTCTTGTCTCGCACAATGGACTCCTTTATTTCGAGAGGGTTGAGTGGCGGCAACTTGTACTTGCTGTCGCCTGGAACAGACATCCCCTTATGTGTATTGTCCCACTCAGAATGTCACGGGGCGGGGGTAACGTTGTGCACCCGTCTTCGGGAGGTGCTTCTTTCGAATCTCGATTGGGACACCGGCTACCTTGACATGTTCTCCGTGCCCCCCTCTCACCCGGGTTCGGCCACTTCATCTGCCATTCGCCGCTGCATAGTGTCACTACTGGAAGCGCAGAAGTTAGGGCGTTCCTGTTGGTCCCCCTGTTCTCCCGGGTGCACGGCTGATTTGTCAAGGCAAAGTTGTCCCTGTGCTTAACTAATTATGCACTACGCCATGAAGGCAAGCGGGAGTGCCTGTATAGATCCACGCTTTCTTAACCTCGGCACTGGTTGGAGGTAAGTGGTCAGCTTCACTCCCCGGCTGCTTATACTCTTGAGGAAAATCCACCAGTATCCATTAAATAGGGGGTTGCGTGGACCCCAGAATTAGAGAAGTTAAAATTCTTAACCGTACCGGTCATCCAGCCCGTTGCCAGTCGCTATACTGACATCGCTATCAGAAGCTATGCTCTGGTGTCAGTAGGATGTCACACTTAGCACTTAACTGTGTAGCTATTTTCATGGAGCTGAGCCTCTCCTGAGAAGCAGCTACTCAAGAACTTTCCAACAATTTATGGAACCTGAAGGTTTATTGCCATGTTCAGTGGTCCCTACTCGGAGCCAGATGAATCCAGTCCACATTTTTAATGTCCTTCCATCTACGGCAAGGTCTCCGCGTTCTCAAACTGAATGCCCTCCCCCCCTCCTACACACTACTGTCATCTGACCCTGACCTCATCACGTAATGGAGCAGAAGTGAGTGATACAGTCATGGCGGGTCCACCAGAGAATCGTATCGAGGCATACCAGAGGCATTACGCTGCTTCTTGGCACCTTGCAGCTTACCTTGTGCTAGTGCTGGGTGTGAGATCACATCTTTCGCGTGCCTCTTCGCGCACTCGTCAATGTCCGGATCATTCCTCGAGCACGGTTTGATGTACTTGGCTGCAAAGAAACGAGAACCGCGTAAGACAATGAAGAATTAACTTTGCGACCTTGTGGGTTATGGCACTGTGTAGCTTGGCAGGTGGTTGCACTTGTTGCGGATGAACATACCGCATACATTTTCAGCGAACAGTTGCAGCAGGTCACTGCAAAATGGCGGCACACCTGCAAGGTTGGTAGTGCCACAACCCAGATGCAGACCTCTGAACAGAGGGAAGTGTCATACATTGCTCAGAGTAGTTTCATGTCGTTTTTGTCATGCGTATTGTGTCATGTGTTTCTGCACGTGTTTCTGGGGCCCTGCTGTTGCAACGGTCGCAGAACATACATTACAGCCACACACCTTAGTAATCTGCCACGAAATAAGTGACCATAGACGGGGTTTTGATTGTTAATCCGATTTATTGCGCATTTATGCAACTCGTGACTACACTTTACAAATCACTGTCACACACACACACACACCAGTGTTCTCAGTCACGGTCTTCACTGCGATGCTTGGTAGCGGCTTCCAACAGTGGACGTTTCTCTGCTCCCGGGCCAACGTCCTCGCAGGCTGGCGGCCATCTCACACCAACCTCCTACTCATAATGTTATATTTTAGCGTCCTGTTGCACTGACTCATGTCCATGATTTATGCTAACCGTCTTACAGTGCACACTTTTTCACCTTACTCTTCTCTTTTGCACTACATGTTTCAGCACTAATGTGCCATCTTCAGGTGCGTTTTCTCTATGCACGTCTAATCAAAACGAAGACAGCACACACACACATCCAGTAGTATAACTCACGCAGTCACGGGAGCAAGAACACAACACAGAGCACAATACACACATGCATGTGGGAAGAGTGCTCCCACAGAGGAGGATTGTTGTGATTCGCGTGTTGAGATACGACGTAAGGATGACGAATCCTGACAAGTTTTAATATTTAAAATCTATTATTATACATGACGCATATATATTTTAGTCATTTTAGTATGAATACATCAGGGCATGCAATGCAGTAGTTAGACGTGCATAGAGAAAACGCACCTGAAGATGGCACATTAGTGCTGAAACATGTAGTGCAAAGAGAAGAGTAAGGTGAAAAAATGTGTGCACTGTAAGACGGTTAGCATAAATCATGGACCTCCTACTCTTCTCAATGTCGTCTTAAGACTTTCTCGTAATGGCAGTTGGTCCTCATTATACAGTCTCGGCAGGGACCGCACAGAAACACAGCTTCCAACAGCTACTCCATTGTTGCGTGTTACACAGCTCTTACCTAGCAATGGCTGCTTTGCTGGCTGTTATAACCACAGGGAAAGAAAACTTCTGTGATGTTGTGGAATGCAATGAAATTAATGTGTAACGTTACATGTGTTTCTTTGTTTAGTCGCCGTGTAAATGGAGTCTTTGTGGAAGCAATGCAGAATGCGGGTTTGTTCCTTCTCGTTGTACAGTGGGGTAACTGGGAGGGCGAACTTGTCACGACGATAGTATGAAGAGTAATACAGCCTTTACTGCGATGCCTCCAGTGTCAGGGGCGAAGACTACCCCAAGCGAACACCCAGCGAGATGCAAGCAGATCGCGCCACAGAAGCCAGTGCTCCTCCAACGTCAATCTACTTCAGGACACTCATACCGGGAGACAAGTTACGTGAAAGCGTGATCGACGCACGTGAGATAACTCGCGGAAGCGTGGAATACGTGATTGCAGCCTGTGAGATAAGCGAAAACTTGAAGCAAGGGCATGAGGAATTCTCTCTACGATCTCAGCAAAGGAATATAATTATATTTGTAATTACACGTCCCATCTGCCTCATCATGGCGACACCTGCGTGCTGTCTCTCGGCTGCTTGTACAACTGTTTGCCCCATCGGCAGGGCTTGTGTCTGGGTTGGCTATGATTCGCAAGCGAAGTCTCGGTACTCTTCCTGTCTGACGTTGCTCTCCCCACGCCTCAGCTAACAAGGACAAGTTCCGTCAACACAATTATTGTGTGAAATTACAACAATTGTATACAGTTTTTGTTTTCGTAACATTTCAGCCTATTGACCGTCAGAATATTTGTGCGCCTGTTAGCCTAACTGTCAGTAGCCATACGTGGGCCGGTGCTTACAAGTTCTGGTTTCTCTGTGGTACCAAACACAGAATGGTATGTGCAGATTGTTTTGTTCCGTTTTGTCCCAGTCTAGAGCAAATGTAATTCTGATTTTTACATTGGTTCACTTACAGTTTAGCGTCAGTCAAAATTCAAAATATGATTGATGAGTAAATTGAGAGCAAATTATATTCGGGTAAAGCTTGCTGTCATTCAGGTCAGAACCTTTCGTCTTCTCGTTTGCTGTCAAAAAACGTAAAATGTAAAATGTGCAGAACTATAATTCTGCCTGTAGTTTTGTATATGTGTGAAAGTTGGTCTCTGATATGGGAAGGGCAGGCTGCTGAGGATTGTCTTTGGGGCCAAGAGGGACGAAGTAAGAGGAGATCGGAGAAAAATACTGTAACGAGAAGCTCCATAACTCGTATTTTTGTTCGAATAAAATTCGAAGGGCCACATGGAGGTGGATGAGAGCGGCAGACCATGTAGTCCGCATGAGACGAAGAGGAACGCATGCAGGGTTTCTTTGAGAAATCCGTAAGGAAAGGGACCAATAGGAAGACCCAGAATGGAGTATTAATAAGTATTTCTGCGTTCATTTGGATTGTGAGCCGCTGCGCTCTGCTGTAGATGTCTGACACTAACAGTTTTGTATACCCTGTCTCCGATTTATGTGTTTTCTGTACGTGTGTTTCGTGGGCTGTCTCTTCGAATGTCGGCCGTTTCTTTGGCCTGCATTGCTAAGCGCGCGTTCCAGTTTTTGTTTCTTTGAGCAGAGCAGAGGGCGATTGCGGGTGGACTCGTGCGAAATTAAGAGTGCAGCATGTGTGACGCCTGCTCAGATAGACAAACCCCTCTTCTCATCGATGAGCAATGTTCTGGAACGAACAAACGAGTAAATAAGGCAGTGGGTCCTGACGGGGCCCAAAACCTAGTATAACTATGCTGGCGAGGGCCACGAGCGTGGTAGGTTGCAGTAATAAAGAACTGTGTGCACTAAATGTAATTATATACAATAGTTGTGTTGGCGGGACTTGTCGTGCTCAGTAAAGGGAAGAAAAGGTTACGATTCAGTGCAACACATACAATAGCCTTTGGCAAAAACAGCCTATGGAGATTACAGAAATACCGGTTCACCCTGGAACGACGATTGGGCAACGCTGTGTTACGTAATTGTTGAGGCATGAGGTCGTGACTAATTAAAGGAGTTTGTGGTTTCACGCCGCAGTTGCAGGAGTGCCAACATGGGCGACGAAATTCGGCCGGTCCTGCCTATCACACGTCTCTGTGCATAGTCCTACCCTTGACGTTATCGACATGTGACATACTCGCTCTCGGTGGTCCACGTGCGACTGCGCAGTACATTCTGATTCGCTCGGAGGGCGTCCGGAATTGATAATTACAAATCACGCAAATAATGAAACTTGGCAACACGGTGTACTTTGAAACCTTAACCCTGTTGTGCCTTCCCACTTCCTTGATTCTGCGAACCCATCCGTCCCGCAATGCCGGTTGCAGCACTCGCCAGGATCCGTGCATGCGTGGTCTACAGCTCCTCCAGTGCTGTCTGGACGTGGCTGCACACGGAACTGCAATTCTGTTTTATTACCAAGGTCCATTAGTACGCAAGGATAGATTTGTCCGTTTACTTAATTCCTTATTTAAAAAGACCTACCCCCACCAAGGCACTATGCTACAAGCCTTAAGGTCGCAGGTTCGACTCTCGATGAGGTCATTGGATTTTTCAGTTGACCTAATGCTTCCAGCCGCACTATGGACCTGGGGTCGACTCAGCCTCTAACAGAAATGAGTACCAGGAATCTTCCTGGGATAAAGGACGGCCGGCGCGTAAGGCTGACATCCTTACTGCCATCCGTGAGCCGATTGTCCAGAAAACGTGGGAGCCTCAACGTCTGACAAGCCTATGGCCCACGAAGGCCTGTTACAGAGATAGCTTTACCTTTTACCATGAAGACATATTGAGAAGGGGAGTTATAACTACGCAATCTTAACCTCGGTACTCTATGGAAGTGTATGGTCAGCTTCACGCCCCGGCCTCTTTATTTCCGTGAATATAGCCCTCGGTACGTATTGAATTTGAGGCTGTGTGGGTTCCAGGGGCGGTCTGGACGCTGTGGAGAAGAGAAAACTACCGAGAGTCGAACCCTGGTAAGAAGCCAGATGTGCCTAGTGCTTCCGCGTGGACGTGTCAGTGCAGGTGTACTTACGCAGTGGCAGGGATGCAAGGACTCCAGACACGCAGATGAATGTCAGAACAGCACAAGTTGAACCCTGCATCTTGGGCTTTGACCTTCCTACTGCTCCATTCTAGTCCGTTTCGCCTTTTATAAAGGAATGCCTGCAGCTGACGTCAGGAAAAAATGTCTTTATCTTTTTTATGTAGTTCAAGTTTGTCAAGTTTCAGGATCACGGCATCAGAGCGAAAGGCAACTGGTGGGGGTGTTCCTAGGATTCATTCTTCGCTTCCAGGGCCACGTGCCTCTTTTTCTGTCTGGCGTATTTCATTTGGTTCTAGGACATTCTTTGAGAAGACAGTTGAATGTGTTGGGGGGGGCAAGCTTAACGCCCGACCACCTTACTGCCGGAACCCATTAGATAGAGGTGGAGTGCGGTGCAAATCCAATCTTGACAGCGACGGACAAGAGAGAAGTCAGAGAAAGCAAGTCTTCTGGGATGTGGCGTCGTTATGAAATATATATTGTGTTAACCGACGTTTCGGAGGAACGTCGGTTAACACAATATCTACACGGCGCCACATCCCAGAGGACTGCTTACTTCATAGTCACCGCCGTGAAAACCTCAAATCTTACAAGAGAGGTCACTTCCGCTGCAGGGAATCCAACCGCAGGTCCTCAGATTTCCGGAACATAACATGCGGAATATGGAGCGATTCGTCTAGAAGGGTTGTGTCACAAGCCGACACACACAGCGCTCATACGAATGGGAAGAATGCACAACACGTACTATTCGAAGCAGATCCGGAAGATTGAGGCACTGTATTAACTCTGTATAAAAATACACGGCGTCACATCCCAGAATACGGTAATCTTCGTCACTGCCACGATATCTTCCAAGTCTAACATAACAATCTTCTGTGGGGAGACTAGTCCATGCACTTTTTTCTGCCATGAAAATGGAGGCAGTATATACATTCGAAAGGGTTTTATCTACCAGTTCACACGGCGCCACATTCCAGTCAGTAGAATCTCCACTCTTATGGCCTCTCGTCTCCCGACAGGTCTCTTCTCTCAGTTACATACGAGTATCTATCACAGAATTGCATTAATCGTTGTGGAAGTCGTTCTCACATGTCATCAGCGGGACGCGTCCCACCGCCTGAAGAACTGTTACCCTTCCTACTCAGCACCGATCGGCCACTAAACTCTTCCAACAGTTGATGATATTGTCAGGAATTTAGTACCTATAGACGGGGTTTGAATTGGTAATCGGATTTATTGGACACTTACAGAACGTAAACGCAAGCAAGAAGTGTGCTCTTAGTGTTCTACACACTTCACAAATCACTGTAGGAAAGACTAGGTCTTCTCAGTCTGTTATAGCCTCCACTATCCGTTGCCTGGCACCGGTTCCCAACGGTGGACGTTCCCCTTCTAAGTTCTCGAACTGTCCCCGGCCTATGTTACTAGCTGACGCAGCACCAGCTCACGACGACCGAAGAGCAGCGGTTATCTAATTCACGGCAACTGCTAACTTCCCCTGCTTATAACATCTCGGCACGGATCGCATAGAAGACACCTTTCCTCTGTTGCTGTTTACGGGCCTCTGCCTAGTAACAGCCGTTGCATAGTTGCTTATTTCGTGGACGTTGCCTAGCAACGGGTCTCCATGCCACAGTATTACGAGTATGTTACCATGAGACCTGTGTTTCATCTGCACAACTTACGCAAATGTAGCGGCAAATCTGTTGGAACAACGGTCATTGAGATAAATAGGCAAGGATGTGTAAGGAGTCGAGTGTTTGCATTCGGAGGCACTGTCCCTGTATTCACCTCAAGATAACCTGACCGGGCATCTGTTGCGTAACAAGCGTACAGGCTCTTCTTCTGCTTATTGTGTGGCACCACAGGCCAACGTGATCCAGGGGCTCAGTGTTTCGAATTTCAGGATGTTATTTATGGGCATTCGGTAGGACCACGTGGACGGTAGGGGTTGGGGGGGGGTCTATCATGAGACAGACGAATGTGGTCATGAGTCCCGTGGGACCCGTTACCGAGAATGACTGTGCTGTCGAGGATCAGCAGCAGTTTACCGACCGACTCCTGGACGCAAGGAGAAGGAATGGGACCCAGGATCCCAGTATCCCGGAAACCTCACGGCTACACCAATCTGGCTTGTCTGAGGTCACTGCCAGCTGCCGTAGCGCGTGCTGTCGACTGGCAGGATGACGACTTGGGATAGCTCGTGTCTCGTGTAGGTAAATTTGTCGGGACTGTGTAGGACGAATCGTTGCTCCGTAAAACTGATAACTAGGAGTAGGGGGGGGGGGGGGCTCTACTGGATCCATTTGGCTCAGGACGGACGCCAATGGTGGGCTGTTGTGGACATGGTAATGATCCTCCGCTTTCTACGAAATGCAGGGAAGTTCTCCAGTGGCTTGGTGGCTTGCAGATGGACGTGAAGCAGTTGCTGCAGCGAGAATGTACTGGGGACGCCAGTGCACCGCAAATCCCACTTGGCCTGGGATTGAAGCCAGTGACTAGCAGTTCCTCCCCAGTACGAGTGTAGACCGGTGGACTAGCAACTGTGTACGTGTAGGTGGTCAGGAATAGCGAGAGGTTCATGCAGGCTCACCTTGGTCACGCAGAGTCCATTAACTCACGTATTGGCCCCAGGCTATGCGAGTGCGTGGGGTGAGCAGTGGACAGTGGCGATACTGACAGGTCTGCTGGACACCGCGCGTCAGTGATTCCTTCTCAGGGAGCTAATAATTGTTCAGTAACTCAAGAAATTGCCAGCATCGTAAGTAACACGAAGGTTCATTACCGCGTCCACAAGAGACCGCCTCTGTCTCTACCCCGAGCCAGATGGATCCAGTCCACAATCTCCCATATAAGATCCATCTTATTATTATCCTCCTATCTGTGTCTAGGTCTTGGTAGTGCTCTCTTTGCTTCAGGTTGTCCCACCAAAACTGTTGGTACGCGCATTCTGCGTGTCCTGCCCATTTAAATGCCATTAGTTTGATCATTATTTGACGCAGTATCTCTTGGTATTACTTCACCTTATTCTACCGGTTTTAAAAAATTTACACCAATGGGTAATTATTTTTTAGTGTACCGTATTTACCCAGTTTTCCGTTGCAAAGGCAGAAAGTGGGCTTATGACGTCACCTTTGCGCTGCCTGTGTGTGAAACGGTTGACCGAGTTCCTCGAAATTCGGTATGAATGTTATGCTATTGGAGGACACACCAACACCTTATCTTTTCATTTCTTACAGATGTTAATGACAATATGGCGGATGAGCGAAATTGTTTGAGCAAGACTAGCGCCACGTCATATAGGGCGCTGAAGTGACTAGGAAATCTGCCACTTTGTAAGCTTCCGAATGGTCACATTGCAATATCTCAACGTGCATAAGCAGACGTCACACCTAAGTATCAGCAAGTGAGAGCGTTACCGCTGTATTAACCCTCTCGGCTTTAGCGTGTCGTTGCGCAGAGTTGGAAAGTTATGAATTGCCAGGGCACTGACGTTTCGGTAGGTGTTGCCAGGGACAGCTAGAGTCACAGTGCGACTGACCAGATATTAGTTACTGTGTGACAGTTTCTTCTTGTCCATATGATGCGCCCTCTCTGAGGAGAGGACGGGTCTGTCATGTGTCAGGGTCATTGTCGGTAGTAATGTCAGTTGTCAGAATGTACACTATTTAACTTTTACATGCTGTTACTTGATTTTAAAGGAATATTGGTCAAGGCGAAGCCCGACATATAAAGTATAAGAGGCTTAAGCTTGGCGGCGGTCAAGTAGTGACTAGACTGCCGTTGTAGCGGAAGCTACTAGAGACAAGGCATAATTTGCTGTGCTGAGCTTGGACTGACAGAGGCCTTGTATATATACCAGCACACCAAATTATGCCACATTTCTAGTAGTTTTCGCTACAACGGCAGTCTAGACACTGCCTGACCGCCGCCAAGCTTAAACCTCTTATACTTTCTGTGTCATGGTTCGCCTTGACCAGTATTGGGAACATTTTCATTTCCATGGTTTAGAACGACTTCTGCTTCTTGCCTGCATAATTTTGTTATGTAGTCATATACGTATGAAAGTTTGAATGCCATGTGTAAATCGCGGACCGGTGTGCGCCTTGGAAAATTGCCAGTGGTGCGGAGAGCCTAGTTTTGCAGACGCTGCAATTTCACTAGTTGGGTGTCTGCCGCAAACTCCCAGGCAGGACTAGCATAAGTCATTACCGATCTAATGAGAGCTTTGGGGAGGGTCAGTTTAATGTTAGCGCTCAATCACTCACTTTTGAATAGGGAATACAATTTAATAAATGTTCTGAAGGCCGTGACTTCGATCATTTTTAGGCTTAGTCTCCATGTAATTTTCTTATAGAAGATTACACCAAGATATTTAACACTGTTTACAAATGGAATGATCCGTCCATTCAGTGTAAGAAGAGACCCAGGTGGTCCAATTCGATGAGAGAAGTAGATTGCCCGAGTTTTGTCTCAATTGATATTAATATTCCAACGCTCACACCTGGCCGCCATTGATGCCAGGGCAGGTGCTGGTAGCGAATTATGGCTCGGGCACCGCCTCCTGCGCATGCGCCAATATTCAGACTCTTTTTTTTTTTCTCTCCGCCTGTATCGACGTCAACATCCACTTGTCACAAGGACCCTCAAGGGCTGTACCGAACAATATCACTGCCGATGTGCTCACATGGAAACTTTCCCTCGTCACACACTCGTGATGTGCGCTGAGCCTCGCGTTCCTGCCGTCGTTATCCCACTCCGGGTACTCCGAGTGACTCACTGAACGCAACAGAGTCTTTCTCAAGGACCTAGTCAAGAAATTCAGTCTTTTAAGAAACGCGGCCGTTCGTTGCTGTTTTCAGAATAGCCCCCCCCCGTATGACTGCAGTTCAAGCCCTGACACCGCGTTGAACCGTTGCGGTTTGCGAATGTTTTTTTGTGTCGGCAGCTGCACTGTGTAGCGTTGGATGAACTGGAAAAGCCTGGAAGTTCTCGTCTTCACGTCCATTCTTTTAGGAAGGGACTGAGGAAAACTCAGGATAGCTGGCGCTCTGAATATGAGTGCAGAGCGTTACCGCTATGCCAACCCGCTCAAAATTAGTGTCCTTCCTCCAGGATTTCCTACTTCCAATTGTCTCCTGTTGGTGCTGCGTGTCCTGCCTCTCATTTTCTGCTTTTGGCGCTCTTAATAACATTTGGTACGACCACAAATTATGGAGCTCCTCATTATGTATTTTTCTCCATCTTCTGTCAATCCTTCCTAGGTCGTGCTTAAACAGTGAGACCGGGTCTCAGATGGGGTGCGGCGTTGGAGTTGAGATTCTCACAGCTTGTCCTTGGATGTGACGCCTTCAAGTGTGGTAGAAGCTCACCGACGTTTCGAAGGAACGTTCTGTTTCCATCTTCATGGTTGATGAGTAAACCAAGCAAGCCAAGCGCATATTCTTATCACAGCAGCATCTTGTAGGATGTAATGCCCCGAAACAGGAAAGTGACCAGATATGCGGCGCCATATGCTCTGGCAGGGTATTGCGTGTTGAGATTCCAGAGAACAGCACTCATGCATATTGTACGTGTTTGCTGACGAGGATGAGATGGTGGAGATGTGACTCTGACGTAAGCGAGCAGCCCTGAATGATCCTTGACCTCCTGGAAGATTCCTTTGCTGTGCGCTAACAGAGAGAGAACACATAAAAAACAGAAGCAGAACTTAAGGCCTCCTGTAAATATTTGCCATCTGCCCGTGCATATATTAAGGCGCGCGTCTGGAGACCCGAATGCGTGTCAGCTACAGGACTGGGAGAGTGGTTCCTGACGATGCTGGCCGTTAGCTGGATTGTCGTGTCCTTCGCCGCTGCCGCGCTGGCGGTCCGCCCTCTGCGTGAGTACACTGTATAGCTGCTGGCGAGTTCACAGCGGTGAACGTTTCGAAGGAGAGTACTGCTTTCATCTTCAGGGTAGATGCGTAAGCTGAGCAAGCTGATTGAGCCGCGTGTAGAAAAACCGATTCAGATGTGAGCGTTGTTTCCTTCGGACTGTTTGCTTACTTGGCTTACTCTTGAACTTGAAGATGGAGGCGGTGCGTTCCTCCGAAATGTCGAACTTTTACCAGACTACACGCCGTTATATCTTTGCAAAGAGAGGAAGTTAGCGACCAACATAAGTCAGGTTTCTCGCGGTTTTCTTCAGCAGCTCGATTGGAATACAGGGAGGGCGTGCTTTGAGACAGACCACGCGCTCTCTCAGAGGCTGCCTGCCTCACTCATCTCATTTGTAGGAAAGTTAATGTTTTCCTGTGGGTGAATTTAAGATTTATATTTCAAGGTCGTTGTTTATTTTTTGGGAGCCATGTGCTTTGTCTACTTTCAGCACTATGTGCCGCCATGCTATGTTTGCCAGAAGCACGTCCGCGTGTGCATTTCAGAGCGCCGACGCGTCGCGTCCCGTCGTACGGAGATGTCAGTCGGCTCCTGCTGCCAGAGTCAGGCAACGGTTCAAGTGCTTTGCATTTCTACTGATGAACCAAATGTGTAACGACTGGGCATTGTTTTAGTTTTCTGAATTCTGTAGTTGGCTGTATAATGGGATGCTAACGAGATCAGCAGCAATATGGACACTTGTTCTTCTGGGATAAAACGTGAGGGCGAGGGCGCTGACATTCATATTGTGGTTTCCGCGTTACGCGGTTCTACACGTATATTATTTTAGGTACTTACTGAGGTTTCGGACGAGGTGTGCTGTGGTGAAGATGGAGATATTCGATTTATTTCTGTTTAATTTCTTACTGTAATTGTTAATTATTTTAATATTGAATTTAAGCGTTCTATTGCATTCATGTATCTTTTGTCTCATTCGCAGCGTATTGTCCTGTCACCCTTGTTCCTCAGTACAACTACACGTTTCGGTCGTACAGGACCATCATCAGGTGTTGTCTATCTTGTTAAATTGTTGCACTCTGTGTCTGAGCTATATATCACGTGTGGGCGCGACCTTTCCTAATTAAAGTGAATTAAGCTCGGAATTAAAATTAATTACCATCTTAATGTTATTTCCATCCTGGTCGTCATCGATTTAAAAAACGTAGAAGCCAATGGATTATACTTAAATATGAACGTAAACTAGCGTAAAGGAACAAATAATATGTAATGAAAGATCCTATACTCATTGCAGATATTAATACTACACGGACATCACTACGAAGTCCACAAATAATAGCAAAAAAAAAAAAAGTAAAAGTGCAGCTGGAAGGATTAGGGACTTGAACCCGCGACCTTCCGGCTTGTAGCATAGTGCTTCAACCAACTACGCTACTGCGTACCCCGGCTCAAACAAGAGGCCTAAGTAAAATTAACGCAAGCAAGAAACTCATGAAACTAACAATGAAAGTGTAGAACTGCACACAGCAGCCAGGACCCGCGCCGCAAATCGAATGCAGCGCGAATGAATCCAACAACGAGGAATACTCTCAAGCAAATAGCTTCTAAACGAATGGACGACAAATAATATTAAGGTGTTGAAGAAAGTCGTCTTCTGGGTTTAGGCACCGTGTGTTCTTCGTTTTGGCCGACGTTTCGGAGGAACGTAGCGCCTCCATCTTCAGAGCAGTTGAATAGCTTGGAATGCTAAGAGCAGTAGCTGTAGTGATAGGATGTGAAAGGCGCTGCATAGCTCCACAAGGAGAGTGTTTCGAAGGCGACAGCAGCCTCTAGTGCGCAGGTAGGCGCATTTTGCTTTCACAGGATCATTCCGGGAATTAAATTGTCGCACCTTGTAAATTTCCTGGAAGGTTTTGCCAGCATACAGTGGAAGGCAGAAGAGAAACTGATCGACCATGTAAAAAACGGAACGAGTAATTCTGAATACAAACTGTTGAAGATGAGCTTGAAGCATCAACGTTGGTTGGCCGAGGCGGGAGATTAACGGCAGCCAGATTCTGAACCCCGAGTTCGAGGATTCAAATCTCGACACATCCTCATATCATAAATCTCATTGTAACTGCTATTTCCTTAATGTTCGAGAAAATTCGAGAAGTTGCGAAGTTAGCATCCTGCCTGTTTGAGCCTTGAGTTCCGCCCAGTTCTCAAACAGAGGGGCCATCTTGCGTGCTGCTGCTCTCAGTTCCATGTAATCTCTCTCAAACAAGACTGTAGCGCACCAGACGGCAGGAACTGTCAAACATTTTTCGAAAGCAGTTCTTGTTGTAAAGGTAAAATGTAAAGTTGTGCCTGCGCTTAACTATTAAGCACTACGCCGTGAAGGCGTATGTGGGAGTGGATGTATAGATCCACATTTTCTTGACCTTGGCACTAGATGGAGGTGAGTGGTCAGCTTCACACCCCGGCCGCTTTACCGCCGAGAAAGTGCTCCCAGTATCCATTGGACAGGAGGTTGGGTAGACCCCAGAGCCGATCTGAACGACATGGAGAAGTGAAAATTCTTGACTCTACAGGGACTCGAACTCCGACCTCTCGGTCGTCCAGTCCGTAGCCAGTCGCTATACCGACTGCGCTATCCCGGCTCATTGCGATTCCTGTTGCAAATAAACTATATTAACGTACTAGGACAGTGCAAACAGTTTTCTAGCCCAGGAACGGGCAGAGATAGAGCGAAATTAAAGACAGTACTGGGAGAGATGATACGTGTGACTGCAATACAGGAAGTGTTAGGTTTAGGTTACGACTGGAGAAGTGAGTTGGTTGGTGAGATAGTGAGTGAGTTAGAGGACCGCTGCGGTTCAGTCCTTGTGAGCTGTTGCTGTCAGAAGCTCGTAGCTGAGGCCGTGAACCGTTCTGAAACCCAGATGAGGGTTGAAAGCCACTACAAAGCAACGGAAGTGAGGACGCGACTGTGGATACTTGTATATTTGTAACAGTGAACTGTAAAGTGTAGTCGCGCGCTGTGTATCGAACCGTGCCGTGAACCCGATTGGTAATCCAAACCCCGTCTATAGTCATGCAATTACGTGACAGTAAGAATATTGTTTTGGCTAATTAATTGTGTTTATTCTTTTGTTGCAATAAAGCGGAAGTGGCACATTGCAGTATGCTTATTAACTTCATTTCTCTCCCGGAACATCAGCACTCGAGTCAGAACAGCTTACTAAATTTTTTGATTATGTGTTCCTTGTTTCCAGCTCCGTATATCAAGCCCTGTGCGCGGAGTGACCCCAAGTTCAACGACTGCACATTGCAACATGGAAACGAAGCCATTCCGTATATAGTCAAAGGTGAGGTTCTCCCTGTGCCGAGGCACCGAGCAACAATACGTTAACCCGTGGTTATCACACTGTGGCTCACGACCTGTGTTCTGAACAGTAACCGTATCGTCTCACACGAGGTCTGCAAGATTTCGGACAGTGTATGACTGCAGGCATAGAAAAGCTGTAAGTTGCACAGGGACCTGCAAATGACTCCACCTCTCGTGAGTGTAGCTGTAGAGAGGTCTGACACCAACCTGCACCTCAATATATACGAGACTGTTGTGGTCCTGAAAAAACAAAATAGCAAGGGGAAGAAGAATACCTTGTTCTCTCATGTCTGCCCACGTCTGACGTTGACTTAGTCCTTGGACGGTTAGTTTTGTTTTTACTTTGATGAAGCATACGCCCACAGGAACTTGATGGGAAATTTCCATTTTCAGACTGATACATATCAGAACGTAATTTTCATTTCATGCATCCTGTTGTGTTGTAATATACAGTTTCTTTATTAAAACCGTCACAACACAACTACATTAAGGTCAGTGCCAATTTTGGCTGTGCAGGGCCTACTAGGCACTGACCTTGATATAGTTGTGTTGTGACGGTTTTAGTAAAGAAGTTGTATCAGAACCTAGTTACCACAGTATAATAAATTATCATTAATATATATATATATATCTGTGTGTGTGTGATGAACCGTGAAAGAGCGCCGCCGGGAAGTAGGTGTGCTACATTACCGATCTTGTCCCACAGGTGACAGCAGCTACGATATAACAAACGTGGACCCAATGGCGATAAAAGTGATAGACGTGAAGAATGGCCCCAAGCAAGCCGGGCTCCACCTCACACTGAGGGACGTTAAACTGCACGGCCTGAGGACCGCCGTGTTGCTGAAGTCAGAGTGAGTTGAGGCAGCCACTCCTTGTCCTTATCTCCTGCAAGGACATACCCAGAACAAGTTCTCAATGTCAAAAGAACAAATGCTTCTACAGTGTTGTGCCTTACAAACCTGTTGAAGTTGTTATTGGAATTTATTTTTCGGTTCTGTTCGCCGCCCATCATGCAACAATATCAGGATTTGAAAATAATGCCCTTTAAAATTCGTCACTGCACTAGATTTTTAGGCCTACTCTGCCGTCATCAGGAGCTGGCTTAGTTCCTGAGACACCGAATATTTAGTAGCAAAAGCACTGAACAAGCATAGTGCTTGCTGCCTGGTTATTTACTTGTTCGATATACACTGCGACAGTGAAGATAGAGGCAGCTTTTTTCTCAAAACGTCGGTAACTTCTAGCAGATTACACAGGGTTTTATCCCAGAAGATGTGTGTCTTCATAATCATCGCTGTGGGAACCATGAACCTCAGACACAAGCTTGTGAGTCTCTTGAAATGATTTCGAGGGTTTGCTGTAAGATGACGAGGCAGTTTATTGCACCATACACGTTAATCCTTGTGATCGTAATCCTTACGTAACAGCTTCTCTGACGATAAGATGGGGTTGTCTCCTATGAATATGCTTGGCCTTGTCAAGTGTACGTATCGCACATACAGCGTGTTATTGGAAATGCTTCCTTGTGCACTGTACACGAGTCTTCTGTCAGTACAGGCTCTGCAATGCAGGTCAAGCCTGTCTTACGTATCTTATGCTATAACGGCGGCATAATCACTTGGACAGTCGTAAGCTTCACCACCGCCAAGTTCAAGCCTCTTATAGTTTCTGTGTCTGGCTTCATTTTGTCCTATACGGCGAACATGTTCATTCTCGTGATTTTGTATGACTTCTACATGTATTTCTTGCCTACACAATTTTGTTATACTACAATCGTATAATTTTCATTTCGTGCATCCTGTTGTGTTACAATATACAACTCTTTTATTGACCGTCACAACACAACAAACAAAAAATCTAGGTTAGGGCCCAGCTATGGTTTCGCTACATGTTTCAGCCACTAACGGCCATCATCAGGCAAACACACATTAACAAACACATACCATTGAACTGCTGTATATTAGATTGGATACAGTGTTATTGATCATTTAAAATACTTTGCGTAAAAATACAGTGAGTCAGATTATATAAAAACTAAAAATTATTGTATAAAACGATGTTGTATAACATCAATTAAGTTTTATCTTACTTATCTGATTTATTGTATTTTTACGCAAAGTATTTCAAATGATCAGTAACATTGTATCCAATCTAATATACAGCAGTTCGGTGGTATATGTTTGTTAATGTGTGTTTGCCTGATGGTGGCCGTTAGTGGCTGAAACATGTAGCGAAACCATAGCTGGGCGCTAACCTTGATTTTTTCTGTTTGTTGTGTTGTGACGGTCAATAAAAGAGTTGTGTAATCGTATACATACGGAAGGTTGAAAGTCATGTGAAGATGATGGACCAGTGTGCACCTTGGAAAATTTGCATTAGCGGGGAAAACCTTGTTCTGCAGGCGCTGCAATTATATGAGGCAGGTGTCTGCTGCTAATTCCCTGGCGGGACAAGCGTAAGTCATTGCTGATCTGAGCCGTGCCTTATGAACGGTTAGTTTAATGTTGGCACTTAAACACTCACTTTTAATAGGGAGCAGATTCTGATAAATGTTCCGAAAGCCTTGGCTTCAATCATTTCTGTGTGCAGTCTCCGTGTAAGCCTCCTATCGAAGATTACACTGAGTTATTTTACATGATTGACGAATGGGATATTACGTCCATTCAATATAAGATGTGCCTCAAGGAGCCTAAATATATGAGAAAAGTTTTAAGGAATGATTTCTTCTATGTAACAAATCAAAGTCAGTCCGTACCTCACAGGAAATACATTACGCTCCCGCTACAGAGCCCAACTGGTTAATGCTGTTTAGGGAAACAGTCGCTGTTTACTGTGAGAGCCATACGGAACACAGATACACTCTGTGGGCAGAATGCAGTTTTGGTATGTTCAGTCCGTACCTCACAGGAAACATTACGTCTCCGCTACAGAGCCCAACCGGTTAATGCTGTTTAGGGAAACAGTCGCTGTTTACTGTGAGAGCCATACGGAACACAGATACACTCTGTGGGCAGAATGCAGTTTTGGTATGTTCAGTCCGTACCTCACAGGAAACATTACGTCTCCGCTACAGAGCCCAACCGGTTAATGCTGATTAGGGAAACAGTCGCTGTTTACTGTGAGAGCCATACGGAACACACAGATACACTCTGTGGGCAGAATGCAGAGTTTTAGTATATTAAAGGAGGTGGTGCTTATACTAACTACTGGGATTTGAAGGGTTAAGTAACTGGGGTTCTGTTTTCAACTTACGATGGGACCCAAGATCGTCATACCGGAGATCTCGCTGAACACGCAGGTGCCCTAATCGGTTGGTGACGCAACCTGAAATGTGTTTTTCGAGACTGTAAGTTATGCAATGCTTTTGCTTCTTTTTCAGTTTTAATTTCAAGAAGAGGCATTTCAGCCACGACTTCAGCATCCCTCTACTGAAACTCCTGGGGAAGTATACCATATCCGGTCGACTGCTGCTGCTGCCAATCCATGGCAACGGGGACATCAACGTGACGATGGGTAACGTACACTGTTACTGTCCTGCTCTGGCATTCATGTCTCCAGCATTTGCTGCATGAAGCCCGTGCTTGTTTCAGCATCACATGCTCGCTCTACATTATTGTGCGTGTATGGTAGTGCACTGTTCGAAGTGGAACTTGATTCAATAATTGAGTTGATTAGAAATCACGAAATTGATTTTCAAGGTCCTTGCAAGGAATCTGACGGGATGTGGAATACTTCCGTTGGTAGGAAACTTATGCTTAGAATTCTGTAAGGTACATGGAACTCACGCCTTCGCTGCAAGGTTCTCTCAGAACTTTGGCCTCGTGACGGATTCCCATACTTTTCTGTGTTCTTTGCCTTATACATCCTCCTCTTCATTTTCAGCTCTCGTAAATCATTCTCTGCGTCTTTCAGACAAGTTTTTATCGTGCTGGGAAGAATAAAATGCCTTAGGATAGGGACCATGGAAACGCGTTTTCAAGTGGTGTAAACCTAATACCCAATTGATACGAGCGCTTGAGTCGAGTTATAGAGAAACCACAAGCTGCTATGTGTGTGTTGCAGCTGCTGTTTGTTTCATGTTTGACGTGTCGCACCGCTGTCCACCCATTTTCGCTGTTCTCATTGATGTTGCATAGTTCAAAATTATTTATTATTATACTCGATGTGGCTTATCCTGAAATTTTGCTGAAGTAGGCGTATAAGGTATTTCATATGCCAATTTAGTTTTGTGGAATGAATTAACTATTTAAGATTTGAGGTTTTGACGGCGGTGACTATGAAGAAAGCAGTCTTCCGGGATATGGCGCCGTGCAAATATTGTGTTAACCGACGTTTCGGAGGAACGTCGGTTAAGACAACATCTACACGGCGCCATATCCCAGAAGACTGCTTTCTTCGAATTAACTATACGTATTTATTCATTTTTATTAAAATTATTTTATTTCTCATCAAACGTAAACGCTTTGTTATGTGCCATCATTATCAAAAGCGTGGCTCTCATCAGATTCAAAATATTGCAGCTCAAGTGTTCTGTTGTTCGGCTGCAAGGGCCACCGTGTTCTGCAGCACAGCTGCACGTGATTCGTACGTGCTGTTCGCATGGGAAGCGATGACAGAAGTGCATTCGCAAGTTCTGCCTCCAGCTCTCTCTCTCTCTCTCTCTCACACCAGTTCTCCATAACCTTCAGTTTGATTCTTGGGAACATTAGAGAGCTGGTGCACTTGTTCCTGCCACGCGGGTCAGTGCTGCTACGGACTACACAATATGAATTACGTATTTTGTCATCCGAGTTAGCTCTATACTGACATGTCCTCCTCTGCTGAAATAATTAGTCCATTGTACACGTACTGAATTCCATATTGCGTTTAATGATAATTCACATATGTGGTCCTATTTAACGCCTCCCGTCTTCTCTTTGTGTTATTGTCCATCCAGTATTTTCGCAGCTTTTTCATCTGTCATGTGACCTAATAAAATAAAAAACTTAATTAAAATATCTCTTTGTAACTTCTAAAATATTGGAGGCACGCGGTAGCGTACCTGGTTCAGGCACTATGCTTCAAGCCGGAAGATCGCGGGTTCAAGTCCCGATGAGGTCATTGAATTTTTCAGTTGACCTCATCCTTCCAGCCTCACCGTGGCCCTGGGGTCGACTCGGCCTCTAACAGAGATGAGTACCAGGAATCTTCCGGTGGGGCTAAAGTGCGGTTGGCGTGTAAGGCTGACCTCACTGCCATCTGTGAGGCGGTTGTCTAGAAATTGTGGGACCCTCAACGTCTCACAATCCTATGGGTCTCCACGGCCTGTTACATGGATAGCCTTACCCTTCTCTTACCTACTGAAATACTTCCTTATTGTAAACTTCACTTGATTTAATTGTTACCCAACTGTTCATTGCTGTTGCAGCGAATGGAAACAAACTTACGGTGTATTCAGTATAAGAAAATGCATCTCTTGCGAACAACACAGAAACTGTCAGGATTGTAGTTCCGTCAGGGCGCCTGTTCGCAACGTTAATGGCGTCGTCAGCGTGTAGGGCTGGTTAGTGTGGATGGTGTAGTGGAGAGGACGCGGAAGGGGCTGTTCGTTGCCTCTTTTAAGGCCTGGAGCGCCCGAGGAATAGCACGAAATCCTCAATCGTAATGGTGGAAGTATCGGCCGAGTTTCGAACCCTGTACACGTAGAACACAAATGACAAGCTTCGCTGCCTGAGCACACTTCGAAAATGAATGTCAATTAAAATAGATTTTTGACTGATTTATATTTACGTGTCAATCTGTTTTTTTTTTCGGAACTAGGACTTCTTTTGTACTGCACCCTTGTGGCTCACAGGAAGGTCCATTGACGAGCCCTCGGTCTCCTCAAAATTGCAGCGGATATCGTGACTAGCTGAGGGTAACATTTGAGTGACACTGACCAGCCAGCTTCTGGAAGTGGGGGTCTTGAACTGCCACAGCAGAGGATCTTATTGTCACGTGATTGACTATAGAAGGGGGTTCGATTGGTAATTTGAATTACTGATCTCTTATACATCCGTGACAACACTTTACATTTCACTATTGCACACACAAGTGTGTCCTCAGTCTGTTACAGTCCCCACTAGCCGTTGGTTGGTAGCGGCTTCCAAGGGCCTCAGCTACCAGCTTCTAACAGCAGTAGCACACAACAACTGAACTGCAGTACTCCTCACTAACTGTCCCGCGTATAACATCTCGGCACGGATCGCACAGATCGCTGTTTACGGGCCGTTGCCGAGCAACATTATTTAGAGTAACAAGCGATGTTTTGTGTTCATGCAGTGAACAACATAGTGACGTACTCCTACGACTGGGTTCTGGAGCAGAAAGGAGAGTACAAACATCTGTTGTTGAAGGACCCTGTGGCTGTCATAAAGCCCTCCAAAGCTTACATCCACTTGTCGAACCTGTTTGATGGAGACAGGTTCATGGGTAAGTGTCGATCCCAGCACTTCCGCTAACAATAGTCTGAGGAGGAGCTTCAGAACTTGTACTCCTCACCAAATTGAAGGAGGATGAGATGGATGCTCCATATAGCATGCAAGGGACGGAAGAGACATAGAACATTCAGAGTTTTGTAGGGAAACCTCATTTTAAGAACACTTAGGCATAGATGAAAGGATATAATATTAAAATGTATCTCAAAGAAATAGGGTGAGATTGTGGAATGGGTTTATCTCTCTGAGGATAGGGACCAGTGGCGGGGTCTTGTAAACATGGTAATGAGACTACGGGTTCCACGGAGCTGGCTGAGCAACTGTCAGCTGCATGGAGTTACTTAGTTCAGTTCAGGAAGTCAGTGGGGTGACGTGTGTCTCAGTTTCTAGTGCTGTTAAGTGTCAGGATGTGCGCAGTGCGTCAGCACGTCACTCGGAAACATCTTACACAGCCTTGGGTTCAGTGCCAGGTGACGTCATGTGCGAAGCTGCACTGAAGCAGGTTTCCCTGCTAATCATCATTGCACCATTTGTCACCTTATCACATCCCCCGTTTCTAAGTTGGGAGCTTCATCTCTGACCCAGCAGTTGGCTGCTTACGCAGTAAGGAAGCTGAGAGGACATACCTTGAGATTTGTGGTTTACAAAGATCACCTAAAGGATATGACGGAACTAGGCATGCAACTTGGATAGGGAAACGCGAAATGCATATAGAATTTTGGTGGGTAAACATCGTGGCAAGCAGCCATTCCCAAGACCTAAGAGAGATTGGATGATAATATTAAGGTGGGTTTGAAGGTTGCCTCCCAGTTCTGTGGGTTGTGCTGTTGGCTAGCAGCTGATGCTCTGTTCTGTTTCGTGGCATGTTGAAGGCGAGCGACTGAACGAGATCATAAACGACAACTGGCAGGATCTGTTCAGAGACATGGCGCCGAAAATAGCTCACGAAATTGCGGTGGTGATAAGTTCCATTGTCAACAACATCGCGAAAGACGTGCCTTATGACGTCATATTCCCCGAGAGGCTGCCCTGACCCCAAGATGGTTCTCTGCACATCCGCTGACTTCATACGTGAAAATGTGTGTGTGTGTGTGTGTGATGGCAAACATTCTGATGTTCGTGCGTGTGGGGTGACGCATGCATCTGTCACCTCTTTCCTGTACTCCTGAACATACACAGAATCTGCTTACCGAAAGCTGAGGTTTTCCTGACACTCAAGGTTCATATTGTGGTCTTTTGGGTATTTGGGGGGGGGGATAACTGCTTCAGGGTAAAATTATACCAGACGATCTTACGAAGATTTCTGTTCAGCAGCATAGACACACATATGTATATATATATATTCAGTTGAGGGATGTGGGTGTATTCTATCCTGGAATTTATACCTTAAATTAAAAAATAAAACATGCAAAGTTTACCAAGATCATATTTTCTGAAGCATTTGATAGAAACCTTATTTTAGACAAGATGACTCTGTGAGGCGAGCAGCACTGTGTTCCATATGTGTTCTAGGCTCCGGGCGCGTGTAATGGCATACTGATTATTTCTCATAGTCTTCCTCAGTACCTCCATTTTCATTCTCTTCAAGTGGTTCTTATATAATCATGAACTAACAAAATGAACACATTTCTGGGCATGGAGTTGCTTCCCCTCCTTCCCATTTCCATCGTGTCCTACCCTTGACCAACCCTCCATGTGGCTAAGCGACATTGCAAGCAAGTGCGCTTAGGGGGCTTTCGATAATGTCCCATTTGCCCCACCTGTCCTCCACATGTCTGTTCGACGACCACAACTCCTATATATGTGAACACCTGTTCAGCTTGCTCACCCTGAAGATGGAGGCAGCGACACAGCCCACGAGCAAACTCAACATTAGCACTGAGCCGGTATGGACGCCCGGAGCCGGGGTGATTTTGATGACTGTTTCTCATTAGCTTATGCGAGTCGTGTCAAGGCTCCGAACCTAAGCACTGGGTGGCAACGTTTCCGGGAATGCCACGTCGAAGGGCACTGATCCAGCAATACCTGTGATGATTGCGCTGATGATTTCTGAGAAGGCTGTGATCACAGCTGGGGACAGTTCCCTGTACACGTCCTTCCAGTTCTCATCCAGGAATATGTTCATCTGCCTCCCTGCAACAGTGATTACCATAGCAACTCAGGCTAGTCTTTGTTCGGTTTCGTGTGGCCTGCCTCAGTGCAAACTCATGTCAAGTTTGCGTGAGCCCCTTATGTGGCCTCAGTGGCGCTGTTCTGTAACACTCATACAGTTGTGTATGTTATCAGGTATTTACGAATAAGATCAGAAGATGGGAGCAATAAATGGCAGGAAAATCCGCCCTTGTCAGAAGCAAATCATAACCCGCTTTAGCTACTGTAGTGTCCTCGTGCAAACATAAAGATTAAAATATGCAATGCTGTAATTTTGTGCCGGTGTGAAACTTTGCCCTTTACGGCTCAGTGGTTAGTATATGTACCACCTGCTTTATCATACTGAAACCCCACATGATGCCCACAGAGTGTATCTGTGTGTTCTGTATGGCTCTCACAGTAAACAGTGACTGTTTCCCTACACAGCATTAACCGGTTGGGCTCTGTAGCGGAGACGTAATGTCTCCTGTGAGGTACGGACTGAACATACTAAAACTCTGCATTCTGCCTACAGAGTGTATCTGTGTGTTCCGTATGGCTCTCACAGTAAACAGTGACTGTTTCCCTACACAGCATTAACCGGTTGGGCTCTGTAGCGGAGACATGTTTCCTGTGAGGTACGGACTGAACATACTAAAACTCTGCATTCTGCCCACAGAGTGTATATGTGTGTTCCGTATGGCTCTCACAGTAAACAGCGACTGTTTCCCTAAACAGAATTAACCGGTTGGGCCCTGTAGCGGAGACGTAATGTTTCCTGTGAGGTACGGACTGAATCTTCATACGTTACTTAAAAGAAATTCAGTCTTTGGAGGGTTACGAGAAGCGCACATCCTGAGAGTGCTCAGGGGAAAATTTGCACCAAAGGTTGAGGAAGTGACAAGGGGATGGAGTGAAAATTTCATATTGAGGAGCTTCGTAATCTGTACTCCTCGCCAGATATTGTTAGAATTGTGAAGCGAAGGGGGATGTTGTGGGCAGGTTGTGTAGCATGCATGGGAAATAAGAAGTGCATAATTTCGGATGGAATTCCTGAAGGAAGGAGACTACTAATAAGAAACAGCCGTAGGTTGGAGGATAAGATTAACATGGATCTTAAAGAAGTAGGATGGAAGAGTGAGGCCTGGATTCATCTGGCTCAGGATAGATATTAGTGGCAAGCTCTTGTGAACACGGTAAAGAGGAAGGACTGAAGCTACGTGGAGGTAGTTATTATAAATGTGGTTGTCTTGATATGACAGTGGGGTCACTCACCGAGCACGGGGTCCCCGTTGAACAGGTTCGTGAGTTGGATGTATGCTCGGGCCGGAGTCACTGTTGTCCTGGGGTTCTGTATCACCAAGTAAACGTCACCATTCATGGGCTCCAGGGTGAAGTCGTGGTCATATGTCACCGTGACGTTTTCTGGAAGCGAAAATAGTGCTCTGTCACCAAGCTCTGAGGGACACACAGACTGCATGATTATGTAAACGGTGACGTTTTCTCTGTGCTTAATTAGGTACCAACCCATGAACGCATATGGGGGGAGTGGAGGTGTATATCCACGTATTCTTGACCTAATGTCTGAGAATCTCAGAGCAGTGAGTATGAAGAAAAGTGGAATGTGGCGCCGTGAGGTCTGTATTTTGAGAGGATTCTTCTATCTCGTGTCTTCAGGATGGGAATTGGGGCCGTAGGAAAAGGTGGTATCTTTCTTCCAGGCTGCACGGCGTCACATCTGAGAAAACAGTGATACTCCGGCTGACTATGGTCTTCTGGGTTGTGACACTGTGTATTCTTGTATCAGCGTTTCAAAAAATGTACTTCTTCCATCCTCAGGGATTGGTAGACGTGGTAACAACACTCTAGACTCGTATACGCGGTTGCTCAGCTTGAATCTCGGTCTGGATACTGGGAATGCTGTCTGAGTTTCTCGATTTTACTCAGTCTCGGTATATTACCGCTTCCTTCCAAATCATCCTACAGTTCAACGCTGTGTAGTGTAGCTACTGACACTGCATCTTTATGGTGGCAGCATGACCCTGAAGATGGTGGCAGCATGCTCCTCCAAACCGTATCTGCTGACCAGACTACACGATGTCACAGCCTAGACTACTACCATGGAAACCTCAGAACTTCCCCATGATCTGAGCTTCTGAAAGTGTTTCCGTGGGCTTTACCGGTATCTCGAGTCACTGAGCGGTTTTATAGCCAAGATATGGAGTCCTTGCCCTCGGGGTGCGTTGTCAGTCCTACAGTTCAGTTAGCAGCGAGAATACAGGTTGCACAATTCAGTAATCCGTAACACGAGAATTTGTTACATGGGTTTCCGTGCCGTTACCTGCTTCTGTATCCCTTTCCAGTCCTACACATTATCGAGTGATACGTCGACGCCGAACTTTAACGCCATGTCCATCAAATAACACGCAAAAACAGACAGTCATAAATTTTCTTCCATATACAGCTTGCCACGCTTCGCATATCCGGACAAACACATTGTCAATGCCCCAGAGGGGACACAATACACTGAAGAATAGACTTACCGCTCGTTCGTGACCTACTACATAAATTGCGTTACAGATATACGAGGATGACGCTGAAAGAAAATTTACCTAGCGTGATGTTGAGGTCACCGTTGCCGAGTATGGGCAAAAGCAGGATCCTCCCCGAGACGCTGTATTTCCCTATGATTTCCGCCCGCCTCAGCGCCATCTCGTAGTGAACGTGCTTCTTGCCGAAGTCGAACCTGAAAGCAGTGAGAGGCCACTATTCACTCGTTGTTGCACATCCCGCTGAATCCTTGCAAGACGTTTTCATAAAGTTCGTGTTAGCTGACTTGGAGAACACACCAGCTATTCTGAGGTTATTTTCGTGGTTTTCCTCGATCCCTCCACGATGGTACTAGCTTAGGCCTCAAATTAGGCTGATTTTCAGTTCTATATGCCCCGATTGTCATGCTCTTCGAAGCTATGTGGTGTAAGCCAGTGGTTCTCAGAGTGGACTGCACCGCCTCTTGGGGGAGTGGCGCTGGAGGTGGGCCCCTCCAAGCGCGTTGTTCGCTGAATTACGATTGAAGCGACTTTACACTAGAAACTGGGAAACTGGTATCATTTCATGAAGCCCATTCATGGCGTTTAGAATTTACTAACAGTGAAGCAGTTACTAACTGAGGAGCTATTTCAAGGAAATAGCGGCTCCGGTCTAGAAAACCAAGATTAACGGCTGTGGGGATCCATTGCGCTGGCCACGTGACATCCTCTATCCGCAAAATTTGGCACGAATTTTGCCAACAAGCGGCGGTCGCTCAGTCGGTATAGTATGCTTCAGGACTACAGGTCACGGAATTCTTTTTGTTTGAAGTAGTAATTTATTTTATTGTTATTATCTTCCTTGGTGGGTTGTGCAAACCGCTGCTGACGAGTTTATGTAACGAAGAGAAGCGCTGGTCCGAGAAGAAGTTTAGGAACCACTGATCTAAGATATTAAAAGCATCCCCCCTCCCGTGGTGAGGCGGGTTCAAATACCTCCACCGTAGCCCTGCGAGGCGTAGGAGGCGACGGAAGGAGAACCCGGCGCCTCGGTCAGGGGACAGGAATACAGAACCTGGTCCTCCAAGTTGAGAGCTACACGCCGACCTTTCTTTGTAACAGAACTGTTGTTGCGAATTCCAAAGAAGCGGGAACTGGAACATTTTCCTGAAGAAGGCTTCGGTTCACAAAGGGAAGTTTTGCCAATAGTGGTGTTTCAAAGCGTCATTGAGTAAATCATAAAGAAACAAATATATGTGAGGTTGGTTCCCTGTCGGTAACAGTACCCGATTTACTGACCAGTTTCGTTCAAACTTAGTATTGTGTAATTAGGGTCGCTCATGGCGTCAAGTCATATCTTGAGTGAATAATGAATTAGGAAGGATGTGGAAGGTAGCGACTATTGCCTAATCTGCCTGGAGATACTGCCAGGTGTTCTCTTAGCTGTGACGTCAGGCACACGATTTAGCTTGCAGCTGGGCGCGGTGGCAAAACCTTACAGTCGTGTTATGGTTGCAGGCTGTCCGATTTGAATGAAGACCTCTGTAGAAGGAACAGCGTCGTTAAATAACCCAAGCAACCAGTCAGTCGACCTATTGCGGCAAGCATTTACTTTCTGTTGGCGAGTTGGTAACAATACGTCACGCCTGACCGTCTGCAGTTAACCGGACAACCGCTGAACGAAGTTTCATTAAATTTCGGTGTTTCGGGAGTCCCATGGAAGTTTGTCAAACTTTTATTGAAACCGGACGAAAATAACGGAGACGTCACGTGAAGAACTACGCGCCTTTCTGCGCGCGCATCTCCAGCGTAACTCCCTCAATGTTTATCGGAACAAAAACTGTTTTGAACGAAAGTTGTGGAGAACAACGAAAGCAGCAGATCTGTTACACAGCACCTCGCAACTCACCTCGTTACCTTTAGGTCGCTGTCCTTCATGCCGAACACTTTTGCGTTCCTCATTATGAGGGTCAGGCCGACTTGTCTCGGGCCTCCTTCCGCTATCTTCAGTTCCTGAATCTCCAGGGGGTCCAGCACTGGCACCTTGTACTTCCTGTCGCCTGATACACAAAGACACGCCAATTTATGTGTGTTGTACGGGTGTGTAAATTGCTGCTGGCCGCGCCAGCACAGTAATTCTTGGTCCTGAGTTCTGCGGGACTCATGGCCATTTTGAGTTAGCCCACAGCTCTGTTAGGTTGGTCGAGGAGGCAGTGTTACGGCCCAGAAGGCGAAGAAGAGCGTCAGAATCAGAACTGGGGAACTGTGCAAAAGACAACGGAAATGTTGGGGCGTGTGGCTAGAATGCCTCTAATAAAGATGGTTAAGCCAGAAGGTAAGGGAGCGTCAGAGATGACTGTGGAGATGCAGAGAATGATTCACGAGACCTGGAACTACAACAGAGAAGGGGAACCTCTCGTGCAGGAGGCAGTGGTTCTTAGAAGACCGCAGGCTCAAGGAATATTAAGTGAATTGACTGAAAGGATGAGGTGGGTGAGATATGTAGCACGAATAGTGACGCTGAGAAGCATTTATACAGTTTTAGTCGTGTGTTTATTTAATTCTTACCTCTTATTACTTGCTGGATGATTTCTCTGGCTCTCTTTAGGGCGCATGCGTTGAAATCCGGGTCAGATCGTGCGCATGGCTTAACGTAGGCGGCTGGAAAACAAACAAACCTTCAGATGAGTGCATTACAACATAGGATGAATGTTTATAGATCGTTGCTAGGCAACAGTCAGCGCGCCAATGGACTGGCAATGTACGTATCCTGTGACTCGTTTTCTGTGTTTTCCTTACGCAGCAGCAGGACTGTGTTTTCCGTGCGGGTTCGGTGCGGAGGCTATATAACGACAGTTACAGACAAACGGTTTTCAGTATTTAAGTGACAGTTGTGAAGATTTGAAGCGTCATTAGGAGTGTATTCGTGTGTAATATTTGGAGTGATTTGAAGCGCAAGTTCCCGTGTTTGATTGCATTACCAGGAGAGGGCTATGTGCAAATCAGCGGCAGCGTTGATTTTAAATGTGATTAAGAGAATTTGTAACCAAAGTGCTAATGAATCCAATCATCCGAACTAGAACGCGTCATTTCGTCACGCAGCCATAAACTCGTGACAGCTGGAAACAAATGAAGGAGCCAGCGACGGAGAGCATGCTAGCCATTATGAACAACTTAGAAACCAAGCTGGTGGCCGAAGTGGATGCGTACGAAGCAGAAATGCTGGCCGCAGTAAGTTCCTGTCTAGGAAAGGCGGAAGGAAGTCGGGAGTGCAAGGAGCCCGCTCCAGGAATAATGCATTCCGTAAAGAAGGATCGAGAGGTCTCCAAGGGAGAAGCCGCAGAGATGCCGGCGTAGAGACCGGAATCTGGTCGCTGGGCGTCCCCAGAAGCCGAAGGGAGGAATCCCGGAAGAGACTGACCGTAGCCTGGAGGAAGATTACCCGGCGTGCCACGGTGGCATGGCGCGAAGGGAACATAGCCAGAAAAATTCGTACCGGGGCCAATGTGGTACCCCCTCCGGAGATAGGGGCTAGCTCTGTCTATTGGACCCAACTGAGTAGGTTTTACCTGAGGACGGGGACAGAATGCAGTCTCCGAAACGTGTGTTTTGAAAAAGAAACAGGACGGTTTTTTAAAAAATAGACAAGACGATGGATAATGTCCAAAACATAATACTGCTATGAATGACGTTCTTCATGCAATCTGTGCATGACACGGGGGCGGGGGGGGGGCGGTTGCGTAAGCTGCAGTTGCGCAGAGCAAGTGACGGAAGCTCTGGTGATCTGTGCGCCGCAATACTGCGTCTGTAAAGTGGGGCGCGGCGAGACTTGCGCAACGCAACTTTCTCCATGTTCCCTGCGTTTGTGACTGTGTCACGGGACGAGCACAGCTGATCTTCGCAGTTTCAGGAGATTTGCTGTCAATCAGGCAAGGTGATATGTCCAGGCCTTCTGATGTCACCAAAGTCCTGAATAAAGGCGGGCAGACCCAGTTGCGCGGGGCACGCGGTACCGTAGTTGGTTGAAGCACTATGATACAAGCCGGAAGGCCGCGGGTTCGATTCTCGATGAGGTCGATTTTTTTTTCAGTTAACTTAATCCTTCCAGCCGCACTGTGGCCCTGGGGTCGACTCAGCCTCTAACAGAAATGAGTACCAGGAATCTTCCTACGGTTAAAGGGAGGCCGGCACGGAAGGCTGACAACCTCACCGCTATCTGTGAGCCGATTGTCTCACAACCCTATGGGCCTCCACGGCCTGTTACAGGGATACCTTTACTTACTTTACTTACACGCAGTGAAGAAGATGGCGACATAGCTCAGGCAGTTAGTCGGTAGCTTCCCAATGCCGCGGCCCGGGTTCGAGCCCAGAACAGGACATGTGGGATCTATGGTGGACAAAGTGGAACTGGGGCAGGTTTTCTTGGAGTACTTCGGTTTCCCTTGCCAATCCTAATTCCACTGACTGCTCCACAACCCTCATCTATCTTCTGGGGCTGGTACAACAGGACAGTAGTGGCCGCAGTACCAAGTGGACTGTCCCACTCCACGCCCAAAGAAACGAAAAGCGAATTGGCCAAGACCATTTGTGCTCGCCCTGTTCAAGACATGGATTGAGAAGTGCCTAGGTTTCTCTCAGTCCCTGCGAGTACTTCGAACCACGTCTCAGGATAGTTGGTGTCTCCGCCGAGACTCGAACTGGTTATGTCCGAATACGTCAGTAGCGTTACTACCTAAACCAGCGTCCTCCCTGATTGGCTAACGACTGGTAATTTTTTACCGACTTTCGTAGCGACGTGGTGTCTGCAACTATCTTACTCACGGGACGAAGACAGTATTTTCCCCTGAACTGTTTGCAGCCATATACCAGACTACACGGTGTCAGTCAAATGCCGGTTTGTCTGTCCATGTCACTGTTTCTCAGAAATGTGACGTCACAGAAAACTGGCAGAACGAAAGTTCGAGAGGAAAACGGTCCGATTTTGCTTTGACATGCGTGAGTTCGAGTCCAGGCAACTTTCTTTCCCGATGATTTTCTCCGCAAGAAAAGCTTTTGGTAACCATGGTAACGGAACGTGTTTACGCTACATTAAGATTTAAGATAAGCCAGTTACATGCTCACGTACTTACAGTTCGTGTGTTAGGATCTCGTGAACGCGGAATTGCAGAGACCGCCCGCCCGCCCCCACAGGAAACAAATTCTGAACCTGCAGTGCAGATGTACTCACGCAGAGGCAGCGATGCCTGACAGAGGCCGAGGCCTGCAACCACGAGGAGTACCTCCCTCCACATGCTCCACATTGTGATCCTTCGCTGGCCTGAGAGCTTGTCTGTCTGTCCGGGCCTAGACCACCTATATACCTACTTCTGAGTTGACACACCCGTCGCCCCGCTACTGGACAGAACTGCTGCAGCTCGCGCAACGGGAGACGCCGCGAGCTGGTCTGGTTGGGGGGGGGCGTGAAGCAGGTCTGTCTGCTGATGCTGAGAAGCGTCCCTCTCCCAAGGTTTACTTACATAGCTTAGCCATGCTAATAGAATTTATTGTTCAGTTCGTCTAACACAGTCGCACGAAATTGTGCACCTTTTAGCACCTTCCCGCCATGATGTGCAGTTTAATATTTCACCACATTGTTCTGTCACTTGTTCTGAGTTCATATACAGTGTTATGCGTTTTGTAGGAAACATTTCACATAAAATTCTATTCACTTTGTCTCCGGACAACTCACAAGTTCTTGTTAAGTGGAGGGGCTCCTGAGTCCATGCTGTGATCCGGACCGCCCTTTCCTTCATATCTACACACTGGTTTCTGGAGAAGCCGCCAGTTGTGCAGCTTCTCAACAACTTCCCAGCATTTTATGGAACCGAAGGTTCATTACCCTGTTCACAAGAGCCCTCCACTGGTCACCATCCTAAGCCAGATCAATCCATATCATGTCACCCTATCCCATCTCTCTGAGGTCCATTTTATTATTGTCCACCCACCTACTCCTTGGTCTCCCCAGTGGTCTATTTCCTTTTGGTTTTCCCACCAATATCCTATATGCATTCCTTTTCTCCACATTCGTGCTACATGCCCTGACCACCTCATTCTCCTTGACTTGGAGAAGAGTACAAGTTATGAAGCTCCTCATTATGCAGTTTTCTCCAACCTCCTGTCACTTCATCCTTCTTCGGTCCAAATATTCTCCTCAGCCCCTGTTCTCAAACACCCTCCCTGAATATCTGGGGTCAAGTTACGGAAGGCCATGACAAATTTGTTTCCCTCCGCCCGGAGACACAGGCCGACAGGAAATGGCGCGAACCCGATAGGAAGGCACTAAGTCGATGCTGCAAAGTACGCAGTGTTGCCAAATTTAGTTTTCACCGGTAAATTTTTACATGATTTTAATTATTACTTCCGGGCCCCTCCGAGTGAATCACCCGGTAGTGCAGCTTCCGGTGTGTCTCAGTTCTTTGCTCTGTCCACGTCGTCTCGTTTTCCTCAAAGTGCACACCGTTTGCTGATGCGAGGTGTGCGAGGTGTTCGTCCAGTCGTGACGGCGTCACATGGCTGCAATCCGCTGTCGCTCCTACCTACGGAAGATGCTCCGGGAAGGCTACATCAAAGGGCACCATGCTGTCGAATCTTGTGTGGAATCTGAAGAGGATGTCCCTGAACACTGTGTTCATTATGGGCACCAGTTCCTTGAGTAGTTCCTTCCAGTTCTCCTCCAGAAACTCGTTAGTTCGCTCGTCTGCAACAGAGACCACTGATAAGTGAGTTAGACAGACGCGTGCTGTGGCCTGTGCGTGGGTCACTTCGAGACGCTTTCAGTGCCCAGACTGTACGGCGGCGAGTGGCGGGATGAATGCTGAAGGGTACTGCACGGGTACTTCGGAGGGACAGAGGAAAATTACGAGAAAAGGGCTCAAGTCAGGACAGCCTGGGACACTTCCTACACTGACTTGTCAGTTCCGGTACAATACATCGATCTGAACAACACCGGTTCCTTCCACATCCTTTCGGATTCATCATTCATGCATGTGAAGTGACGCAGTGTCGGCTTACCCAGCATCTCGTTGCCTTTGAACAAGCCGATCTGCTTCACGTGCATCCTCGAGGGACTGACAGCGGTCTCTGGGTTCCTGGGAACAAGATGGCGCCTCCCGTCAATCAGTTCCAGGTTATAGTCCACGTCGTACGTGAGATGTGTGTCCACTGTAATGAATCGTTCAGTTCGCTTTTATTTATATGCTACTTTGGCGGCATATGCACACTTTTGTTGTCAGCTGTCAACTGCAAACATGGCGGTGGTGCGAAACTTAGGGCTTCTGTGCAGCGAATTTAATGTAGACAGGATCTTCGGCATAGCGACAGGGTACGGGCTGGATGGCTGAGGGGCCAGAGTTCCGAGTCGCGGTGGGGGCGAGAATTTTCACTTCTCCATGTCGTCCAGACCTGCTCTGGGGTCCACCCAACCTCCTAGCGAATGGGTACTGGGAGCTCTTTCAACCGGGGGGGGGATAAAGCAGAAGGGCCGTGAAGCTGACCACTTACCTCCAACTAGTGCCGAGGTCAAGAAAATATAGATCTATGCATTCACTTCATGGCCTAGTGCTTAATTGGTTAAGCACAGGGATAACTTTACAGTTTTTACCAGGATATCTTAAGTAATGAGTTTTAACAGTAATAGTAGTATCAGATCCGGGATAGCTCAGAAGGTATAGTGATAGGCTAAGGACTGGAGGCTGGGGTTCAAATCCCGGCATGGGAAAGATATCATTCTCCCTTTCACAGCGTGCGAACTGGCTCTGGGGCCCACCCACCCTCCTATCCAGTGACACAGGGGATTTTTTCCAAGGGGCTAAAACGGCCGTAATGTGAAGCTGATCACACACCTCCCTCTACTGCCGAGATCAAGAATGGTCGAGCAATACCTCCACTCCTCCATACGTTATCATGGCGTGGGGCAGCTTTACTTCGTCAGTAGTAACAGATACAGATACAGATACAGAGGTAGGATTAGGAGACTAAGCAGTGTTGAAGTGGGAGTATGTCCTTCGGAGGAACATAGCGCCTCCGTCTTCAGAAGGGCTGCCTCACAACCCAGAAGATGGAACGGGCCGAACAAGCGAATGCTTTAGTGCTGTACTGATGCTAGTGCCCTTGAGCGCCGCTGCTGCAGAAAAAGCAAGTCAGGTAGCTGACAGTGTTCACGCGCCTTCTGGGGCCCCACAGATACCCGTTACAGTCTTCTTGAAAGTTACGCCGTATGATCTGGTAGAATATGCTCTTTCCATCTTCAGGGTAAAAGTTTTCAAGTTCCTTTTACCCTGAAGGTGAGGGAGGGCAGCAGGTATCTTCGCATCACTGCTATCTACCAGACAACACGGAGTCACTATAACATTCGGCTGCACAGGAACACCCGCTGGCCCACGAACACTTATATTCGGTAAGTGCTCGGTTCGAGCCTCGGCCGGGACACCGACTGACCTTACTGGGGTTTTCGTGATTCGGGCAAATATCGGTACAGGACATGACCGCTCCCTTCCGGATCCTGTTCCAGTCATTATCGTCCCAAAATGTCACTCTCTTGAAGTTAAGTGAGGAGAGCGGCGTCTCACTCCGGGTTAAGAGAGAGCAACGGTGACGTCGGCTCCTATCCGTGCCCTTCTCTTGTTTAAAGGTTTGAGAGGGAGGGGGAGGAAGTGCTGGGACGTGGTGAGGGAGGGGGGACAAGAAACTATATCTCCAGTTTTGAAGGTTCCCAGGCAGTGCCCGCTCGTCCTTCTGGTAGAGGTAATGCATATGATTATATGACGTTGGAAGGGCTGCATTACAGTGAGATTCGATCTAACATTTGGAGGGCTGCGTGTGAAGCAAGCAGTGGCAACGTGGAATTTGGGTACAAACACAGTATTTGCTGTGGGGCCGAGGAAAACCACGGAAAACCTTGATCGAGTTGGCCGGTCGCAGGTGCTTCCAAATGCAAACAAACTTCTAGCCAGTAGTCCGTCATTAAATCGGAGTGAGAGTCACTTTACGACTGGCTCTTTACCGTCAATCAGTTCGTCTTGGCGTCAGCCCCTTGAGACCCACGATCAGTAATTTTATTTTCCAACTAAACACTTGCGGTTATAGTCTTTATGTAACATCCTCTCTGACGAGAGAATGGGTCTGTCGTTTACAATTGTGTTTGGCCTTTGCAAGCGCAGTCATTCTCAGGTCCGAGTCCCTCGGGACTTATGGCCATATTTTACTGTCGGAGATTCGAGACTCTCCCAATCTGGAAGGCCAGGTCCCCGCATTTATATCCCCCAGGAACAGGGTGGCCTACTTATACCCCCAGACACTGGGTTCCCTTTCCGTCGCCTCCTAGGAGTCGCAAGACTATGGTGGAGGTATTCGAAACCGCCTCCACACAGGCTCATGGCATACACTATATCCCGGATGGGAGGGGCGGCTCCTGTCGCATAGTTACCGAGCGTGACGTTGAAGTTCCCGCTGCCGCTCAGTGGCAGTTGCAGTACCCGGCCACACACCTCGTACTGACCGATGACCTCCAGCCTCGGGGTCGTGGCTTCATGGTGAATGTGCCGCGTCTCGAAGTTGAAGCTGAAACACAGTGAACCACTGCGTTAAATTGCGTGACCTGGCCTCGAGTCGGAAGGTGTTGGGATCGAGTGTCGGTCGGGGCAACAGCTTTCCATGGTAATCCTGTCTCCCCAGGGAAAGTCTAACTCACTATCTCAGCCTGTCGCGGCAGCAACTTTCCGTGGTAATCCTGTCTCCCCAGGGAAAGTCTAACTCACTATCTCAGCCTGTCGCGGCAGCAACTTTCCGTGGTAATCCTGTCTCCCCAGGGAAAGTCTAACTCACTATCTCAGCCTGTCGCGGCAGCAACTTTCCGTGGTAATCCTGTCTCCCCAGGGAAAGTCTAACTCACTATCTCAGCCTGTCGCGGCAGCAACTTTCCGTGGTAATCCTGTCTCCCCAGGGAAAGTCTAACTCACTATCTCAGCCTGTCGCGGCAGCAACTTTCCGTGGTAATCCTGTCTCCCCAGGGAAAGTCTAACTCACTATCTCAGCCTGTCGCGGCAGCAACTTTCCGTGGTAATCCTGTCTCCCCAGGGAAAGTCTAACTCACTATCTCAGCCTGTCGCGGCAGCAACTTTCCGTGGTAATCCTGTCTCCCCAGGGAAAGTCTAACTCACTATCTCAGCCTGTCGCGGCAGCAACTTTCCGTGGTAATCCTGTCTCCCCAGGGAAAGTCTAACTCACTATCTCAGCCTGTCGCGGCAGCAACCTTCCGTGGTAATCCTGTCTCCCCTAGGAAAGTCTAACTCACTATCTCAGCTTGTCGCGGCAGCAAACTTCCGTGGTAATCCTGTCTCCCCAGGGAAAGTCTAACTCACTATCTCAGTCTGTCTGGCCAGGCCGATTTCTTTCCACGCTGCAATGTTAGCAGCTGCTCCCTTCTTAATCCCCTGCCTACTTACAATAGAGAAGTAGGACGCTGTAACCGTCCCTGCTCCCGTGTTGCGTTCCAGGGACTCTCCAGACGTACTGGAGTGTGCAAGCTGGCAGTTATTCAGGGAGAGGCAGAACCTCAGTACTAAGCATTTAATAACAACAATAACACAAAAATAATAATAATAAAAACTAAACACTTGTATTAACAAATTCAATATTCTTGCGCTCGACAATTGTATACCACAGAAGAAGTCGCCCGTGTACACTATGAAGAGAGCGCATATGCGAGCTCTCTGCCTGCGCCCTGTCAAGGTTTCCCAGTTCGAATCGTTTCTGTGATGTGCAAATTTAGCCGCCATGTTTTGGACCCGGTCTAGCGCATCTATCGCTCCCTTCCTTTAAGGGTCCCATCAAGCCGCCCCATATTCAAGAATCGGACGCAGTAGTGATGTGAAGGCCGAACTTTTAGTGTTACCGTTCCCCTTTTTAAGAGTTCGCCGTGTCATTAACTTAGTCAGCCCAACTGAAATCGCTGCGCAAAATTGTTCTCAAGTCTCTACAGCTGCTCGCTTCCAGAATTACGATGTCCCGTAACGATTAATTTAGTGGTTCCATCACACGGGCTCTCGTGAAACAAACTCAACGTCAAACCAAAGCGACGGGTTTTACAAGCCTGGCTGTTTTGATTAATTTCGATAGATTTGTTGTAGTCTAAAAATACGGTCGCCTGGTAGCCAGTGGTGACCGACAATTTGTTTTTGCCAGTTTCTAATCAGCGTTCAGCACTTCTGGCAAGCCCACCGTGTCAGTTGAGGTACACACGAAATTACGAACCTCACCTGACAAATTTAAGATCAAGATATTTGGCAAGCCATAACAATCTCTCGCTTGAACTCGACGTTTCGTCCGTTACCTGAGGCTTGCCCCGCGTATGGGGAGGAAGAGACGAGACGAGGCGGAGGCGAGGCGCCACCAGAACACTCCTCAGGCTACGAGTTTTAAACAGTTTTGATCTCTGTTGATTGGTGCTGGGGCCAGGAGTGACTGGGCAACGGGATGTGACTTCCCGCAGGAACAAGAGGCGTCCAGACCGGCTCTGGGACCCACCCTCGGCCAGGAACTTAAGCTGACCACTCATCTCCACGCCAGTGTTAACACTGCGTTGGGCTGGAACTCCAGTGTCCCTCACTGTTGAACGCGAGGAAACCTTACGTTTACCATCTTATTGAAGCTAGTGAGGAGGTTAGTCTAGAAGTGAAAGCAGAGGAAGCTAAGTACATGTTGCTGTCCCGTCACGAGAATGCAGGCCAAAATTGTGACATAAAGATAGCTAACAGATCCTTTGAAAATCTGGCTCATATTAAATATTTGGCAGCGACAGTAACAAATCAAAACCTGATTCCGGAGGAAACTAAGAGGAGATTGAACTCGGGTAATGATTGCGTGAACTTCGTCTGCTGTCCAAAAACATAAAAATTAAAATATACAAAGCTATCATTTTGCCTATGGTTCTGTATGGGTGTGAAACTTGGTTTCTCACAATAAGAGAGGAACACAGACCGAGGGTGTTTGAGAACAGGGTGCTGAGGTGAATATTTGGACCGAAGAGAGATGAAGTGACAGGAGGTTGGAGAAAAGTCCATAATGAGGAGCTTCATAACTTGTACTATTTAGAATGATAAGTCAAGGAGGAGGAGATGGATGAGACATGTAGCACGAATGGGGAGAGAAGGACTACATACAGGATATTGGTGGGAAAGCCAGAAGGGAAGGACCACTAAGAAGACCAAGAAGTGGGTGGACAATATTAAAATGTATCTTAGAGAGATAGGATGGGAAGGTATGGACTGAATTGATGTGGGACCAATAGTGGGTTCTTGTGAACACGGCAATGAACCTTCGGGTTCCATAAAATGTTTAGCAGAAGAACTTGCGGCTCTTCAAGAAGGGCTCAGCTCAGTCCAGATGTGTGTGCGACACGTACCTCCACGCCCCTCGTACTCACTTTGTCATCTCTATTTTGGTGTCCGTTATGCCAGATATGTGCACGTTCTTCATAAGTACTGTGAGGCCCCCTGCGCCCCCAACTTCCACCTTGACCTGTTCCACCTGCATGGGATCCAGTGGCAGCAGTCTGAAGCTGGGGTCACCTGATAACAAAACAGTCCCTGTTCTCACTGCGAAGTTCCCCGTCATACTCAGCGACGTTTCGGAGGAAAGTACTGCCTCCGTATTCACGGCCAAAGAGTAACAAGCTAGGAAGCAGATCTGCATGCGTCTTACTTGGCTTACTCTTCGAGCCTAGAGGAGGGAGGAACTGCGACTCACGGAAAGGTCGGTAAGAATTCTACCAGGCTACACGGCATCACGTTCACTGCCGATATACTGTGGCATGAGCTGCGTGTTCAGCACACACAAACACACGTGTAGAAGTGTGACTATAGACGGGGTTTGGATTGGCGATTGTACAGGTCGTAACTACAAGTATTTCTATTGCTAGTGGGGTGGGACTAAGTCCCTTATATTGCTAGTGGGGCGGGACTAAGTCCCTTGTACTGCGGCCACTTCTGGCCTATTGTACCAGCCCAAGATGATAGGTGAGGATGATTGTGGATCAATTGGTGGAATGAAGATTGGCAGGGGAAACCGAAGTACTCGGAGAAAACCTACCCCTGCGCCACTTTGTCCACCACAAATCTCACTTGCGCAGACCCGGGATCGAACCCGGGCCGCCGCGGTGGGAAGCCAGCGCTAGCCGCTTCAGCTATGGCGCTGCATAACTGCAAGTAACTGTAACACTATCGCCAGTTTCCACACTTTACGGCATAAGGGCAGAATCTTAGAATTTTGTATTTTTATAGCGCCTGGACACGGGGAGTGTAGGTCAGGGTAGTGAACGTTACGACAGGTAAACTAGCACAGCCTGAAAGGTTGACTCAGCTAAGGGTGGGGGGGCTGCCGGAGACACGGCGGAGCAGCAGCAGCCCAACTGAGAGCCACATCCAGAGAGTGGAACCGCTAACTGTAGCCAGGGACACGCAGTGTATGGTTACATCACCGAGCAGAGACTAGTAGGAACTTAAATGACACTAATGAGGAGCTTCATAACTTGTACTCTTCGCCAAGTATAATTAGGGTGATGATGTCAAAGAGGATGACATGGGCGGGACATGTAGCATGAATTGGGAACAGAGGAATGCATATAGGAGATTGGTGGGAAACCGAAAAGGAAGGAGACCACTGAGAAGACCAAGACTTATGTAGGTAGTTTTTATTGTAAGCCTAATTTTGTAGTCTTATGTGCAACCTTTCGTGAACGTAGGTTGGAGAGAAGGGTAAAGCGACGTGAAGTGGAATGTGTCGCATACCCCAGAATATTACCCTTCCTAACGCTTTACCCTGTCTCCATCGTATCTGTACGAGAAGGAACACCTGGTGGGGTGTAGGAACGTTTAGAAGCGGAAATGTTCCCTCAGTTTCTGCAAACTGCTGAGATGCACCAAACCGACTGCTCCGTACGTCTTCATTGAGCACAAACGTTATCCAGGAACTGCCCTTGCTGCGAATCGAACCTTGCTCTTCCAGTCTGTTTCCTATGATTTGTCGTTTGAAAATTCTTTTGGAAGTGACGTTTTTGAAGTCCCTGAATCCGCTTTATTGAGGGGAGGGAGACTATAATTTTATCAGAATGTTCCTAGGCTCCGCCCATTCGACCTTCCGTCAAGGCTAATGTGAAAGTGAAGACGTTAGAATGGTTACAAACAGTGGCTTGAGACGGGGTCCTAGGGATTTGGGTTTTATGAATTAATGTCGAATTATGTAATTTGGGGACAGCAGTGGGGCTTAATTTCGACGATTTTAAGTCGGCAGGGCTGCATGAGAAGCACGGAGAAGCAACTTGGAAAATACGAAACATCTCAGCATTTGCTTGAAGACGGAGTAAAAGCAAGAAAACCTGTGTCGAGGCGGCTGGTTGCACCCTTGCTTGTAGCCTGCAACCCGGCCAGCTGAATCGTGTGGCATACCCATTAACGCTTCCGTAACGTCCCTAGTTGAGCCCGTGCATCTGGTATTGAAGAATTCAGTTACGGCCTCACAGAGAACCCACTTTACAAAGATGTAGTTTCGAAATGTTCGTATTGTACCCGCAGCCTCACCTTTCACTGCGTAAGGAAAGCTGTCCCGTGCACTCCGCAATGCGCAGGCGTTGAAGTCGGGATTGCTGCGCGCGCATGGCTTGATGTAAGTTGCTGGAAAGAAAAACAAAGGTGCATTACGTAAGAACCGTCTGTTCTCACACTCTACATCAAGGCCCAAAGTCTTGCAGGATCATTTACCAGGGTTATCCATACTTTCTGAAGGTGCGACCCTTTTTCAAGTTTTCAAATTTCAGGAAATTTGTTATGAACTCTGTGCCAGTGTAGGTTACCATAACGTCTACGTTTAAATTTCGTAGTCAGTAGGAAGGATATGGCGTCTGCCAAACTTCTGAGGTGGGGTTATTTAATGTCACTGAAGCTGTGTATGATAATTGGCGTGAAGGTGAAGTGTCCCTGTGCATAATTAAGTACCATGCCATGAAGACGTATGGGGGATGGGGGTGTGATAATAGATATTTGAATAATAAGAGACGCAGCGTTCGTTAAAGACTTTTCTTTTCCCGCAGAATGGCAGACAGTACAATAGGAGCTGCAGGAAAGTTATATTTGGCTTTCAGATTTGTGACGTAAGTAACAAAGTAGTCGCGTTTTAGTTGTACTTACGCAAAGGTAGGGCCGTTTGTGCCACACGCACCCAGGCAGCTGCTAGGATGACCGCTTTCCACATGGTGACAACAAACGCGCGGGTAAGCTGCTGTTCAGCCGGTGCGCTCTGTGTACGAGGCGCACAGCCGTCTCCTGCGCAGTACCTGGAAGCTGTGCGCTCACCATCGGCCTGCACTGGGAGCACGTCACTGTAGTGTCGCAATGAGTTCCCCAGGTGTTCTGATTGGACATCCTCTGCTGCGTTCCTTTTTCGTTAATTTTGTTGCTTGCTGGGGCTAGTCTTTGTCCTGCAAAATATGGAAGCAACGCGCAACGCACTTGCACCGATCAGAATTTAAACAGGAAGAAGAAGGCATTGTACTAAATACTACGGGCTTCGCGTTAAAGTAGAACGAACACCGTCAGTACATTCTTCTGTCTGCCCAAAAAGCATTTTAAAACAATTTTAAACTGAAGAATGCCGTCTTCTGGAATGTGGCGCCATGTACGTCTTGTGTGAACCGACGTCAAAGCCTCGACTCTTACACAATTTTAAGCTGGTTTTAGACTTTAATCTTAATGTTAACAACTACCTTAACCGTGTTAGCTGTTTAGTCTTAATTTCTATAAAGATTACTGCAAGTCCCTCTGTGCTGCTATGAAAGTAACCCATGTTCAAACAACAGCATATGCAAAGCAGTTCCTCTCTATTGTTGCCCTGCCTTGTGATCATGGTACCTGTTGACGCCGACCCACGCAACATCTAGTAGATTCTGAAGTCTTCTGACGGTGGTGGACATTTCTCCCAACTGTACCCCCCACCCCCCACCCCTATCAGCAGTGAGGTTAAGATCTGTGTGGTGTGACAGATTCTTTGTCGGTTTCTATTAGGTTTTAGTCTCCAGGGTTCAGTTTCTACTCCACAGATGGCGCTAGCTGTAGGCACAAAATGGTTTCACAAATTCTCCATTTAATCCTATACATGGACTTGGTTTGTTGGCTATGTTTGTTGCATAAGATTTTCACTTTCCTCTCTACATTACTCCCAGGTCTCTGCATGCTGTATCACAATTTTCATGTTACCTCACCTCGCCATATCCTGGTCTCAGGTGTTTCCGTGTGGAGTCGGGGTCGAATACCTCCACCGTGGCCCTGCGAGTCGTAGGAGGCGACGAAAAGGGAAGTCTCAAATCTGAGACACGAGTCCCGCGGAACTCGGATTCGAGAATGACTGCGCTGGCGAGGACCAGCAACTACTGTAAACGACAGACCCAGAGAGCACCCCACATCAACAAACCCGCAACTACCTGACAGTAGTAAAAATCTGGTCTTGGGCCCCAGATGGGTGCTTTATTCCAAGGCAGACTGGCCGACTGACCGTCGGTCGTGACATAGAACACAGACTCAGATATGGGTTGGCCAGTGATTGAAGTTAGCTGTTTTAAGGGACGCAGCACAGCAGGTGTCTCGCACCCCTAACCAGATGCAGTTTCCGAAACGTTGTGTGCTCTATCTAGGTCTCAGAATACCGGACGATGGGCTAAGTCCAAAACCCAGTAATTCTGAGTACACGGCATCTGCATCAAACGTCTGTCAGCCAATCACCGCTCTTTACCTGAATATACTGATGTAGTATTGCAGATAAAGGTTTGCTCTTGCTAATGTATGCCTTTCTGACGCCCTGTTTGTTTGCTTTAGTGTATACAGCATATTTCAGTGTTCAAAAGGAAAAAGTCCTGCTACTTTCAGTGCTGTGTAATTGTTACTTTCCTTATAATACACGTGTTTGGGGGGGGGCAACTGTTCGTTTAGTTTACTGCATGAATATTTGTTTCTTCCAGAGTGTAACGGGCATTCTTGTGCATCTGATAGTTCATCTTGTATCCGCGTGGAGCGACAACTCTCGGATCTTTTGTAAGTCTTTATTTTTCGTGGTGCCACCTCGATTTACTTTGCAGTACCAGACTTCACTTTCGATACATATCGAGAGATATAGTAGCATTGTTTTTCCCTGCAATATGCAAGAAGTCTTGATTTTAAATCTCGTAGTATGGCATCTAAGAGCAAAAAATTTGAACGAAGAAAATGTTTTGACATTCAAAATGATTCGCACGAGTCACAGCAGTGAAGGCAGTGGTCATTGTGAAGATGAACTGCAGCTGCTGCTGTTGATAAGGAGGATAATGAGGTGGCGCAAGGTCAAGGCAACGCCGACTATAACAGTGACTTTATTTGGGGGGGGGGGAGGTGGAGGTGGCATGGACAATTTATTATGGAACTCAAAACTCTTCAGTAACTGCTCAACATATAGTGTCTGTGCTTTTATTTTTTTTTGTTAGTAGAGACACAAAGTAAAAAGAAAAAAAGTAAAGCTATCCCTGTACCAGGCCGTGAAGGCCCACAGGGTTGTGAGACGTCGAGGCTCCCACATTTTCTAGACAGTCGGCTCATAGATGGCGGTGAGGTCAGCCTTACGCGCCGGTCTTCCGCCCTGGTTCTCATTTCTGTTCCGAGGCTGAGTCGACCCCAGGGCCATAGTGCGGCTGGAAGGGTTAGGTCAGTTGAAAAAATCCAATGACGTGATAGGGATTTGAACCCGCGACCTTCTGGCTTGTAGCGTAGTGCCTCAACCAACTGCGCTACTGAGGTAACTCAAGCAAGCAGACTGTGGGTGCTGAGGGGTGAGGTGACAAGAGGGTGAAGAGAATTGTGCAGTGAGGTGCTTCGTGTAATGACAGTGATCAGATGGAGGGGAGTGGGCATCAGGGCACATGCACCACATGCAGAGTGAACCCAAAATATTATTAACGAAAGCCCTACTAGGGAGCGCGAGACGTAGATGGATGGAAGCTGTTAAAATACATCTTGACGATTTCTCTCTTGATCATGTCAGTTGATGCAGGGAACAGAACCGTTTTACGAAACGTCGTGGTTTTGGAAAAGACGAACTATGGAAACATCCAGATTATGACTCAGAAAGATTGTCATACATAATCAGACTTAGCTCTCAGAAATGTCTGTCTGCCGTCTCATAATGCGAAGCACTACAATCCTATGGCCACCGAGTTTAGCCTCTGTTTATATAGCGCCAACATTTTCGAATACTTTCGAACCCTTTCCTGAAGTACGTAATGCATTCCTGAGCCAAGAGTCGGACGCTGGCCGTGTCAAGTCGGGCCAACTCGTGAAGCGGATGTTGAGTGCAAGCAGCGTCTACACGAGCGCACAAAATGCGTCCGTTGTAACGAACGTACTTTGCTGAGGACACCACACAGCTGCAGAATGCAGTGCGTAGTTTTTTTGTCTGCAATGGAGCCAGAAGAAAGCGTAGCATTCGCCTCCCTTGTTTATTTCTACAACGGACGTCACGACGTTCGTTACAACGGACGCATTTTGTGCCCTCGTGTAGACGCTGCCTGACTGGAGTTAGGGCTCAGTTCTCCCCTTACCACAATGTGGAGGCGCTCAGACACGTGGGCTAAACCTCCGCGCCATCTGCTGCACTGTTCCCAGATAGTGACGCACACCATGAAGTCATCATTACGAAACTACTAGTTTCTGTGTATGGAAGTAGTATATATACGTAGTTTTCAGATGGGACTAGTTTATTGCGAATTCACAAATACCCTACGTGTTTCGGCGTGTCTTGGCCACCATCCCCGCAGACAAACGTGTTAAGGGTGCAAATACACCGCTCTTCACCTCTGGAAAGTTGTCAATAGGCGAGGGTAAAACAGCCGTTTCTAGGAAACAGCTCTGTGGACACATTTTCCCGGCAGCGAGAGAACACGCAATAATGGAAGAGACATTTTCTGTGCGGTCCGTGACGGGGCTATGTAATGAGGACCAGTAGTTACACAAATGTGAGAAGTGAGACGTTAGTAGTGAAGCCGGGGAACAGTTCGGTAGCCCGCAGGAAGGGCAACATCCGCCGTTGAAAGTCATTACCAAGCAACGGCTGATGAAGACTGAGAAGACTTTATGTGTGCTGTAGTGACAGTGATCTTTGGAGTGTGTAACTCACACTATAATAGTTCTGTAAGTTTTCGGTAAATTCGACTAGCAATGCAACCCCGCCTGTAATCAGTCACGTGAGAAAAATAAATATAAATTCCGATGCAGTTAACTAAGCAGTTGCATCTTTGAGTGTAATTTGAAAATGTAAGTTCGTTGCCTTGCCCGGTCAGTGTTAATGAGGCCAACATGAAGCTACTTTGTCTCCTCGCAATAGAGTACTCAGTTGTAGTGAGGCACTAGCTTCAGATGTTCCGTGAGGTTGCGGGTCATTGAGTAGACAGGCTTCACCCTCTTTTGTGACGTGCTTTATTTCATGCTACAGGAGTTCTTCATGAATGGCTGCGTGTTCTGTACCTGAACACGCGGCGCCAGGGCGGATATTGTACCTACCATCTTGAAACGTATTATCTTCCAACAAAGAGGAGGCGAGGTAAGTGGTGGGTAGACCCGATCTACTTCGGCCAGTCTACGATTGATTGATTGAGCTTCGTGAAGCCTCCCACCACTGATGCGCAGGCCGGCAACTGCCCCGCCTTCTCCTCGTTGCGTTATCCTATATAACTCGGTGTGATCCGCAGTGCTGGTGTCCCTGCTCTACACTTTGTCCGGGAAGGCTTCGTCGTAGGGGACCAGCTGGAATATGTTGCTGAGGATAATCGTGATGACCTGGGCCATGGCCTCCCCGATCGTCGGTCCCACGTCTGCGAGCACGTCCTTCCAGTTCTCGTTGAGGAAAGTGTTCATGTTGTCACCTGCACAGAACAGTTGCGGTGTCAGCTACGCTCTGGACTCGTGTTCAGGTGTTTCCCTGCAGCCGGATGCCGGCATATACACGTAACCCCCATATAGAGTCACGGTATAACTACGCGAGAAGCTGATACTCGCTCACCCAGTCAAAAATTGGAACTCTGTGTGGAACACGAAGGCTCATTAACTTGTTCAAAAAAGTCCAACACTGAGCCCTATCGAGACGTAAGCTGATGTAGAAGAAATCCAACAAAGATATTTGTAGTTGTAGGGTTCGAGGTTCCCACAGCCGTGGGTATAACGCCGTGCAGTCGCTGAAAATACACCGACGTTTCGGACGAACATGTCACCTCCATCTTCAGGGTGAAAGAACAAGCCACGCAAAAGAAAATCGCGTGGAGCTGGTGGGATTTCACGTTCTCGGAGCCGAGACTTCTGGACTGTGATGCCGTGTAGTCCTGTACGAACTTCAATGGAGACTGAAGAGTAAGCTGATGAGCTTGTTACTTTCATACGCTGCTCTTTCATCATGAAGATGGAGGTATTAATTTTCTCCGAAACATGAGTGAACTAGTAGACTCCATGGCATCATAACCCATAAGACTGTGCTCTGTATCGACTCTGCCTAATGGCAGCAGAAGTGTTTTCTGTCCGTTTAATTAAGTAATGATGAGTGCTACACTCGCGGGAAGTGAGTGTATCCCCACTTACCTAGAAACTTGTCCCCGTTGAACAGATTGTCGAGATGGATTGTCATGCCTTTTGCGTCGATACTCAATTTCAAGTCTTTCGGCAGGACGTACTCCTTTCCGTTGCTTTCCTTCCGCACCCTGTCGTAGTCGTAGCCGACGTTGACGGAGGAGTCCTCTGCAAAGAGAGACGCTAACAGTCCGGGTGGTCGCTCCCTCCCCTTCTCCCACATGCGCACTCCGTACTGCGCAATTTGCTGTATCGTCCTGTGATTCCCCATGAGGAACATAGTGTCTACATCTTCAGTGTAAAAATATTGACGTGGACTAGAATTACTGCGGATCTGGGACAGCACAGTCGGTATAGCGACTGGCTACGTGCTGGACGGCCGAGGGGTCAGAGTTCGACTCCCGGTAGGGACAAGTTTTATTGTCTCCACGTCGTCCAGACTGATTCCTCGGCCCACCCAGCCTCCTATCCAGTGGGTACCAGGGGCTGTATCCCCGGGGGTAAAGTGTCAGAGGCGTGAAGCTGACCACTGGCCTTCAGCTAGTGCCGAGATCGAGACACTGTGGATCCATACGTCCACTCCCCCATACGTCTTCATGGCGTTGTGCTTATTTTGCTAAGCACAAGGACAAATTTACATTTTACTGGACTTGTCTGGCAATTTTGTGTCCTGAGAATCGGCCAGAAAGTTATTCTGGAGTGTAGATGTTGTCGCGCCCCAAAACGCCATGATCTTGCGTGTGTACATGTGAGCCTCATGGCGTCTGCACGTGGCGGCACACGCTCTCCCTAAATGGCACTGCATTTCCGGTTTTGTAATGTGAATCAGAACATTAGGAACAGATGCAAACGTCGTGCTACAGATGTGCCAAACAAGGACATTCAACTGGAAACAATTCGAGACTTAAAATTTTAATTTTTTATAACCTTTAGTATGAGTCGCACGCGAGACTGTGATTAATGAAGTAAACCCTGGCTAATCCGGTTGTCGGATAACCCGGATCGAAATATGAAGAACTTGAGTACATGCTTCAAAAGACACGTGGCGTTTAGGCAGGCAGATGAGCCACTTGTCTCTTCAGACCTGCATCATTACGCTCAGAAACAAGTACAGCTTCTGAGTCTTCTATTGATGGATATATGTGTCGTCTTTTTGTAGTTTTTAAATACAGGCTCTGCAGTGATGTTTTGATATTCATTTTAGCAGAACTATTTATATCATTAAATTTGCCATTTATTTGTTTCTACGCATTTGTCTTTTAGGGCTTTCTCTTGCTTGTGGATGGCCTCTGCCCCTCCCCTGGTAACTGCGGATTAGCGAACGAACAGTAGACACATTGCGACAGGATACTACGCAATCGGCCAGATACAAGAAGGTGATCTGCTCCATTGATTTTCCTGGGCCTGGCGTGTCAGAGCCAAGTGTGGAGGCACTGGTGGCAAGGCTCCTCCCTTCACATCGCTGTGTAGACTTGGCACTGTCCGCTGTGCCTGCAAATGTCCGTTTGCTGTTCGTATCTGGCGGCAACATGATAGGAGGTTTCATGGAAAGCGGCTACTGCCTGGATTGTAGGCAACCATACATACAAGAGTGTTAGTTGGGTTATCGCTACAGCAGGAATCCACGTTAGTATGAATTCCTTGCCAGAACTACTTCCTGTGGTGTCAATAGCGCACTGATTTGGAGAGGAATTGTGAGGAAGTGGCCATGGCCTGATACGATCCCAGGAATTACTTGGAAGCTATGAGGAAACTCATGGATCACCGCAACCAGTATACTGGGCGTCATATTGTATGTACAACGCTCCCAGTTGTGAGACGATAGAGCGTCGACTGGTTGGATGATTGGCGGATAAGGATTTGGAAGGAAGAGTGTTTCTCCTAGTTCGAGAAAAAAATCGTTTCGAAGGATTTGGGAAATTCTCGGTCAAAACAACCCAGTACCTCCCTATTGCCTCCTGACATGATTTCGATGATGAGATGGACACAGATGTAGCATGCACGGGGGGAGGTGCGGTATTCACACAGACCGTCGGTCGGATGTGACCACTTGGAAGAACGTGATGCAGTTAAGGCCGGTCTGTAGGAATGAGGATAGGATGTGGACGGTGTTTAGGTCCAGTGACTGGTCCTTGCGGACACAATAATGGACCTTAATGCACCTCATGGTATTGTGAAGCAGAGGAAGTGCGAGCAATGGTTGGAGGACTCACTCAGCACTATGTTCCCCTGCCCGTCGCCTCTGATGGGCAGTATGAGCACTTTGCCTGATACGTTGTAGCGAAACTGGACGTCCAGCACCGGGAAGAAGAGGTCGTACTCTATACGATGCTTCTGCAAATCGATTCTGCAACAGAGAACATTACCATTAACGCACTCCATGGAACCGGTGCAGCTCAGTCAATATAGTAACTTGAATACGGGCCTTACTACTGAGGAACAGGGGTTCGATTGCTGGCTGGGCCAGGACATTTATATCTTGTGCAGAGCGACCCTGGGTCCCACGAAACCTCTAAAGGATAGGAAGAGACAAGGGACCACTGGGAAGACCAAGACGTAAGTGGGTGGACATTATTAAAATTGATCTTAGAGAGATAGGATGGGGTGGTATGGACCAGATAGTGACCAGTGGAGGGCTCTCGTAACATGGTAAAGAACCTTCGGTTTCCATAAAATTCTTGGAAGTTGTTGAGTAGCCGCATTCCTGGCGGCCTCTCCATGAAGTTAGCGCGTGATTTGGAAAGAAGGCGCTCGGCTTCCTACCTTACGTCCTTCACTTGCACATCCTTCAGTCCCCACAGGGTCGCGTTCCTCGCCAAGAAGAACAGGCCGAAGTTGGACGAGCCCTGCGCGACCGATAACTCTTCGATCAGGATGGGGTCCAGTGGCGGCACTTTGTACTTGGGGTCACCTGCGATGATATCCCCACAGCAGTTGATTATTGAAATAACGTGAACAAACTTCTACACTAAGCAGTACTGACTTTACCCTTAAGATTAAATAATTTTACTTAATACAATTTATCAAGTGTGAAGAGAGACAGAGAGGTAGGGAGAGTGCAGGAAGTGGCGGGTGGGGCCGAAACACTGGAGGTTCCCAGTGTCCGCCCGTTCTTCTGGTGGGTGCAGTACGGTACTCCGAAACACACGGCGTCACGTCCTAGACGAGAACTTTCTGTAAGTGGCACGTGGAGGTTCATGTTCAGCGTCGTGCCGCCCAAGGTGGCTCGAGCCACTACACCCAGTGTCCTCAGGGAGGTCTGCACGGGGAGACAGCGAGACCGCCTGAGCTGATCTCTGTACACGACATCTCTAGACCCCACTCGGAAACACAGCAGCGCCGTTCCAGGGGGGGGGGATCAGCGTCGGCAGACGAAATTAGATTTATGAAACGGTGGCAGCTATGTGGGTTGGACATTCAGCAGGAAGTCTCTTCATGTTTCACATATAATGGGCTAAAGCGGCCGCGGGGTGTGGCTGTCCAGTCACCGCCATACAGTGCCGAGGTTAAGGATTTCGGAGGAATGTGCTCCCTACATCTTCAGGGTGGAAAGTTTTGCCGAGCAATGAGCCGCGAAGAAGGAAGGAAGGGACAGCGAACAAAGCCCTATTTGTGCTGCTTGGGCCGTGAAGATGGACGCAGCGCATTACTGCGAGATCACTTCCCGCTTGTCCTATTTGGATTGCATGCATGAAAGGGAAGCTTATTCAGGCGTGTCCCCTTACCGTTAATGAACTGAGGAATTGCTTGTATGGCGTGTTGCTTGGCGCAGGCGTTCAGGTCCGGGTCGTTGCGGGAGCACGGCTTAATGTAGTGAGCTGAAACAGACGGAAGAACGGGAAGTGAGAGAGCAGCTCTGTCTGCTGAACATGGCCGAGGTTACGTCAGCGCCGGCGCGCTGATCTGCTTCTGTGACGAGCAGATTTCTGTAGCTTTCCACTCGTGACGTCATGTCAAGGTCAGTTCGGACATTCAGCTGCCCATGCCGTCTGTGCGGCGTCGGGTGAGGCCCTCGATGTAACGGTCTGATGCGGGAGACTGTCCGCTGTAACCGAGCGAAGGGGCGTTCACGGAAGCACACCGCAGGACACAGCCAATGCACGGGGAAAAACATACAGTGCAATTGCATTACGGTTTTCATATTGTGTCTGTTTATTATTTTAAAAAAAGGTAAAGCTACCCCTGTAACAGGCCGTGGGGGCCCATAGGGAAGTGAGACGGCGAGGCTCCCACATTTTCTAGACAATCAGTTCACACATGGCGGTTAGGTTGTCAGCCTTACGCTCCGACCGGCCGCTCTTTACCCCCAGGAAGGTTTCTGGTACTCATATCTGTTAGAGGCTGAGTCGACCCCAGGGTCATAGTGCGGCTGGAAGAATTAGGTCAATTGAAAAATCCAATTACCTCATCGGGAATCGAACCCGCGACTTTCCGACTTGTGCTACGTAGCACATCAGGACTGTACACAGCTTAGTTTAATGTAAAACAAAACATAAGTATTTAGAGAACCATTTTTATCCTGAGTTCCTGAAGTAGGCTAATGCGATCTCCAGTCTGTCTGTGTGTCAATATATCCCCCCTATAAATTTTTGAGTGCCTGAATTGGTCTTAATGAGGTGTGTATATCATGGCCCTTGAGCCATGATATACTTGAGCGTTTCCGTGACAACGAAGAATTGTTGGAGGCGTCGTTTCCTATGCGGTCCATGTATCGAAGGAAAAGAGCCGATTAGTTATTCCCAGAAAGTTTTGTTATTTATATTAAGCAATAAACAGGCTAACGTAATTTCACCCACCTTTGTCATATGAGTCTGCTTAGAAACCAAGCGACCTGTCAGATTTTGTCCGTTATAACGAGCGTTTACGGTCATATATAATGAATTGGAATGGATTTAGGAGGAAGATGTCGTCTAATCGAGGTACTATCCCAGCATTTTCTGGAGGGTCAAAGTAAAATCGTGAATAATCTCAGGGTGTCTTGAAAAACCTGTCATGTTTGTTGCTTCCTCAAAGTAAAGGGCGACGTTTTTCAGGCATACAAAACACTGGATATGCTGCGAAATCTTGCTGTTATTCTGCAGTGCCCAGAAGCCCATCAAACCAACACCTCGCGTTACACAACCAGGAAGTCAGGGGCAATGAACTGCTGAAAAGCAGCCGTCAAATGAAGGATCTGAACACCAAGAATAAGGCATTAACTTTAATTATAGTTTCGGATTTAATTGCAGGTGGTGTAACACTCGTTAAGCATAAAGCCAGAGATCTCATTAATTTGTTATATCAGTTTCTTTTCTTGGCACTACAGCCCCAGTGGGCCTAGGCCTACCTCCATGAACTTCTCCGTTCACTTCGGCTTTTCTAGATCTTACACATTCGGTAGGACTCCTTGGGTGGGTGATCAGCTCGTCGCAAGGCCCCTACCTATACACAAACACAGAAAAACGCACGTACACAAACTAACATCCATGCCCTGAGTGGGATTCGAACCCACGATCCAGGCTTCCGAGCGAGCGAAGACAGTGCACGCCTTAGACCGCTCGGCGTGACATGAGTTTAGGTACCGTTAATTTCCCCCCTGCTCTTCCGTATTGCATTACAGTCCTACATGTTATCGAGTGATACGCCGATGCCGAGTTTTAGAGTCATCTCCCACAATTAACACGCAAATAGTCAGTTGTAGATAATCTTCTTTATATAGTACACTACACTTAGCCTTTATTAGTGACTTGTAGACGGGGTTTGCATTTGTGAATAGACCTATTGACTACTACAAATAGTTGCAACACTCTAAAGATTACTGTAACTACAACGCATCACGAGCCGTTGCCTCGTAACACTTCGACTATTGAATTCTCAAATATAGACATATGCACGGCCTTTTATAAACGGCCGGAGAACCTCATAGAGATCACCGACTACATTACTGCTGTTCATGTTTGCGTTGTCCTGGATGCACCTGCAATACCGTGGTAACCAAAGCCGTTGTCCGGCAACGGACGTCTGTTCTTGTTGACAGCGTATCTCTCGGGAAAGTGTTTAGCTAACCGTTTCCTAGCAATGCGGAACGACATCAACATTCACACGATAGACACGATGCACTGAAACAAAGACCGCTCGCTGGTTCGTGACGTACCACGCAGCGCACTTACAGGAAACCTGTTCGTTGCTGTGGTAATCCGGAAATGCTCCAGGGCAGATAAGTAGGATTGCAGTTGGGTTTGCGCCGTGGGACCGATAGCACAGTCGGTAAGTCTGGTGGATGGGTAGGAGCGTGTTCCCGTAATTAGGCAGGCCCCGAGCCGCGGGAAGGTGAGAGAAAGAACATGACCTTGAGATTTCACAGGCAGAGGTGTTGCCCGCCCTCTGGGTGTCGGCCTGTTGGCCTTGGAAACGTAATTGCGTTTGCTCTTGTTTCTGGCAGCCCTCCGTGTTTGCCTTGCATTAGCTGGCACTTAGCACATCATTCAGTGTTTTCATGGCAACTTTGTGCGTTCAAATATGCATTGGATTAGGCAAATGATTCAGCATGGCCGTGAGTGAGTGCGCCCAGACTTGAGGAGGAAAAGTCTTGCGTTACTGGGAATATGCGCTTCCAGTCAGGTACTGCAGGGTCTTGGCGGCGTGTCCAGCTGTTCAGCACTCTCAAGGCCCGTCACTTCACAGGTCTTCGTCTGATGCATACTGTCACGCTTCTATAGAGTGACTGTAGACGGATTTTGGATTGATGATCGGGTTTATTGGACTCTTGGACCACACTATGCACTTCAATGTTACACACACCACACCCTAGCGTCCACAGTCACATCTTCACTATCCGTTGCTTGGTATCGGCTTCCAAAAGCGGACTTCCCCTTTTCTGGGTTTCCGAACTGTCCCCGTGCCTCAGCTGCCAGCTTCTAACAGCATCAGCTCACACCGACTGAACCCCAGTGATCCCTTAATTCACTTACTAACTGCAACAGCTAAGTGTCCCTGCTTTTATAGCAACTTGGCACGGACCGCGTTGAAAACACCGTTTCTCTATTGCTGTTTACGGGCCTCTAATAACGGCCATAGTAGAATTGCTTATTTTTCAGTCGTTACCTAGCAACGAGTCTGTATGCCAAAGAAAGCATCATTGTATTGGTACATCCCCAGGTTCCGCCCCCTCGTCCCTGGACGTTATGTTGGTTAGAAGCAGCTTGAGACAAGGGCCACGGGAGATTGGTTCTCTGAATTAATGGAGAAAGTCATAAGTGGGAAAGACGAATTTAAATCGGCAGGGCTGTATGAGTTTTCGGGTAACTTGCTTCTGGCTTTCGCTAGCACAGTCATTCTTTATTCCAGGACCCGTGGGACCCATGTCCGCGTCTTTCTGTCCCAACACTGACTCCAAGGCTCTGTTTGAAGACTAGGCAGCGGCAGTTGAAGAGGAAGAAGAAGAANAAGGGTGCGTTATCAAAACAGCGGCAGTTCATTTCCTTCTCGGTTGCCTTTTTCCTAGCGCGGACGCAATAGAGAACACCCGACCTTACTAATATTGTCACATTCGCCCCCGACTGTTTGTATTCCGTGCAGCTGCTGAGCGGGGTGACGTAGCGGTAACGCTTCAGACTCGTATTTGCAAGGTGCTCGGTTCGACTTTTCGTGGTTTTCTTCAGTACCTTAGGCAACTGCAGGGACAGTGTCCTTCCAAATACTTTCCCATTTATTTAGCAATCATTGTGCCAGTAGCGCCTACACAATCTGAGATACTGGGAGGGCAGTCACTCCGCACTCCTGCCAATCTGTACGGTGGCCACGGATGTTCAAGTATTGCGGTAGAGTTATTTGGGCGCGATTAGAAGCCTCATTTCCAACTGTGAGCGTTGTTCCTTTTGTACAGTGTATTGCGATATTGTGAAAGGAACCAGTACCCCGGGCGAAGCAAGGGCACTCCTGCCTGCCTCTGTTATTGTTATTATTATTATTTAACTGCGCCCGGCGGCAGCGACACTACAATAAGACAACAGAGAAACAACACACGAACAGACAAATAACACACATAAACACGTTCAAACAAAACACAGCACACAAACATTGGTAGAGAAGTAAAACAAATAATACGCAAATGGAAAGGATTTATCTGTCTGTCTGATCACCCCTCCGCAAGGCCGCTACCTACCTACACACACACACACACACACACACACACATCCATTCCTTGAGTGGAGTCGAACCCACGATCCCAGTGTTCGAACGGGCGAAGACGGTTCATGCCTTAGACCGCGCGGCCGGCCATTGTGTGTGTGTGCGTGCGTGCGTGCGAACTCTGAGACGGTTAGTGAAACGCGAGCAGGAAACAGTCTGGACGGAAGCACATTTACCTGAATGGACTGGTCTCAGGACCGAAATTTGAACACGGGACCTCCGGGGCACAATAAGCAGAAACGATGACTTACACATGGCAAGTGCGTAGCACAAAGGCCCTCGGCTGGGCGCAGTTTTACGAAAATCTGCCGAAAGGCCCATAAGCTTGTCAGACGTCGAGGCTGTCACATATTCTAGACCAGGGGCCTCCAAACTTTTCGAACCGCGGGCCACATTAGGTAATTCAGCACTTTCAACGGGCCGGATAAAATGAGAAATTAATAACTCTAGGTATATGAGTTTTATTGAAAGCACAGAATTTCATAAACTAAATACAAAGTACGTGAGAATAAATTATCGTATATTAATGACAACAGACAGTAGCAGCAAATGCTCATATTTTCATCACAAATTATATTAAAACAATTACTGTGAATGATGGAACTCTTTTACATTCTTAAAATCTGAGTAAATTGAGGTTCAAATGTTGAAACGCTAATCACAAGTAGCGACTTTAAATGTTCATTGGATAAATTTGCCCTGTATTTCGACTTGATATACTTCATCTGGGGAAAAAGTCTGTTCACACAGATACGTCGCCCCAAAAATGGAGATAATTTTACAAGCAAATTTCTTTAACTCTGCAAATTGCTCAGAGTTCAGAAATTTATAAAATTCGATCAAATTTCCTCCTTGTATTTGTCTTTAATATGATAATTTTCCTGAAGTTCAATAATTTCCATTTGAATTTGACATCTGCAGCATCACAGTCAAACGGATTTTGAAACAATTTAATTTCCTGAGCACTGGCATCCAAATCAGCAAATCGCTTCCGAAATTGTTCTTTCAAATCTGAAATGACTAAATTTGCAAACGGGGAAGGAAATTCAGCTTTACCCTTTTTATGCAGCTCTGCACAGTATAGCATATGAACAAAGAATTTTTCACTTGGCTTTCCAGAAGTATGCCTTGATAAGTGCAAATACATCACAGACTAAGTTATTTTCACCCTGCAACTTGAATCCAAATTGTTCATGTGGTTCACCAGATCAGCGAAAATGCTAATTTCCAAAGCCACTCGGTATCTGATAAAAGTGGTTGTGAATAATATTAATATTAACATAATATGGAATATCAATATATTTTAAACACAATCTTAATTAATGAATTTGAAATCTAGGAACAAGTATTTTTTTATCAGTACTCATTGGAAAATTAGTTCAATTGGCACATTTCTGCACAATTCTTTCGCGGGCCGGATAAAATCACATCGCGGACCGCATGTGGCCCGCGGGCCTTAGTTTGGGGACCCTTGTTCTAGACAGTCGGCTCACAGATGGCGGTGAGGTCGTGATCCTTACGCACCGGCCGCCCTTTACCCCCAGGAAGATTCCTGGTACTCATTTCTGTTAGAGGCTGAGTCGACTCCAGGGCCATGGTGCGGCTGGAAGGATTAGGTCAGTTGAAAATCCAGTGATCTCATCGGGAATCGAACCCGCGATCTTCCTGCTTAACGGTTCATGTATTTTATTTTTTTTATTGCTAGTGGCGTTGGACTAAGTCCCTTGTATTGCAGCCACTTCTGGGCTACTGTACCAGCCCCAGATGATAGGTGAGGGTGATTGTGGAGCAGTTGGTGGAATGAAGATTGGCAGGGGAAACCGAAGTACTCTGAGGAAACCTGCCCCAGCACAACTTTATCCACCACAAATCCCACTTGACGAGACCCGGCGGGAAGCCAGCGACTAACCGCTTGAGCTATGGGCGGCCCAACAGTTCATGTAAGTCCGGATAATATGAAAACGCTTTTTGAATAAAGCAACGTAATGTTACGGACTGAATTCTGGTGGCTGAGTGTAGGGTGCAGTACAGAGCTTTTGTAGACCTGGCAATGAACCTTAAGATTCCGAAAAGGCCAGCAAATGTTTACGAGCCGAGCTATTAATGGTCGATCGAGTAAATCGGTGCTGATCTTCGCCAGCGCAGGGCTCCGAGCGGCTGCTCGGCTTCACGTCTGAATGGAAGCTCACTGAAACCTGGGCGGAATGTGGTCCTGCGGCTTCTGACGTCACTACTGTGGTGGCTGTTTGCCAGCCTCCATCTTCAGGGCACGAAATGATCACGATATGATGATATCCCTTTCGAAACATATAAACAAGTTAGGTAATGGTTCGATGAAAGTGTTGATATTACATAATTGTTGTTTACCGTAAGAAGCCGCGCGGTCTAAGACATGAACTCTCTTCTCCTGCTCGTGAGTTCGATTCCTACTCGAAGCATGGATGTCTGTGTGCGTTTATTTTATGTTTGTGCTGTCACGTGTGTAAGTAGCGGCCTTGCGGAGGGCTGATCCCCGCCCAAGAAGTCCTACCGACTGTATAGGATTACGGGAACTGTAAAGGCGCGCCCACATTACTCGTGCTCATGTGACTCGCTATGCTCGCGAGTAATATGGACGCTATGACAAGTCACGAGACAAGCAAATTTTGAATTTTGAATACGAAAACTATAGCCAATAAATTAAAATACGACTACAACCTATACACACTACGAGTAAATATACGGATCCTCACGCGCCGAAGCCCGGCGAGCAACTGAAGTAGTGTGGACGAAGATTTACGAGCACAATTAAAAGCCAGACGAGTCTCCCGACGAGCACAAGCCTGGCAAGAACGAGCACAAGTAATGTGGACGCGCCTTAATAAGGCAACTAGGACACAAGCAACGGGCTGCAGAGCCATTGAGGAATGAATGAATAACAATGAATTTTTGAGCGTTAACACATTTCATGAAACTTAGTTCACGAATGAGCGAACAGTTTTTGTTTCAGTGTATCGTGTCTAATATGTGAGTAACGTTAGTATTGTTGTGTGGATATGTGTAGTGTAACATGCACTATGGAGGTCATGATTTGTGATTGACTGATTATGTGTGTTATTCGTGGGGTGTCGCTGTAAACTTCGACCTCAGTGACATGGAGGGCTGGAAAGTAGGGGCAGTGAATAGTGCGAAAGCTCGTGTAACGAGTGCTGAGACTTGCCGCTGAGTTCTCAGCGCGCCTGGAGGAGACTCTTGCAGTTCACAGATTTTCACTTGCAGTAGGCGCTAGAGAGAAACGCGCGCAGAAATGAATTTTGCGGAACGGAGTGCGCAATTCTCCGTGTGGGTTCCAGACGCTTCCCGTTTTAGCTCGTTTCCTTTTTGCAGCGAATCGGCTATTCAGAAATTCGATTTTTTGCAGTATCCCTGAAGCAGATGTCTCAGTCAGTATAGTGACGACCAATTCCCTACCGGGCCCAGGTCAGTGCATATGGGGGCAGGTGACCGCGCAGACTCAGCAGGTTAGATGGGGAACGGCGAATTGGGTAGGATTTGAAGAAACTGGGCCCGACCTAATCGAAATACTTTCGTGGCTTCTGTGTGGAGGGAGCGAACAACGTCGCAAACGTATCTCAACGACGATGGCTTGTGTCCTGGCCGGAATTCGAACCCGGCACCAGCTGTTGAGTGGGAGTGTAGAGCAGACGGTGAGAGATGTATCCTCCGAAACGCCGACAGCACCTAGCAGATAGCACTGTGTGATGTATGGGCCCATGCCTACTTACGCAGTTTGAGTGAGTCCGCGCCGCTCCATGCGCCTAGCAATGTCAGCAGTAGCAGCAGCTCTGACGTCTCCATGTCAACTGAGTTGTCTCTTAGCAGGAAGTTGCAGCGTGTGCGCTGCTGGTGTAGGGGGCTGATGGTGGGGATCAGGAGAGCCGTACGAGCGCAGGTCAGGTTGTCAGGTCTGCCCCACGCAGGAGGTTACCTGCTCAGTGCATGAAGTCACGTCCCAAAAGTAACCTTAAACAAGACTTGAGGTGGTCACGGCGTTGCCCATAAAGATGATCGTGTGTTAGGATGCGACGCCGTGTAGTTTGGTAAAAATTTACCGACGTTTCGGCTGGAACGTAGATCTTTCGTCCCTAGAGTTGACACCGTTTGTTGCTTGCTTGACGCGCTCTTCACCTTGGAAATAGGGTCAGTTATTTGCTGCGAAACGTGCTGAAATTGGTACCAGTATACACGGCATCACGTCCCAGAACTGAGCAGGCTGTACGCACATTGACGGCCGCGGGGCCCTCGCATCTCACGTGAGAGCGTTGTTTTCGTATGTTGACAGTTCTAAGTTGTGACGTCATGCCCGTACTTTCACTGGCAAGTGCTCGAGAGATAGGCGAACTCTAGTTCCTGACTCGGTCACTGTCTTCCTGCTCACAGATTTCGTTTTATTTTGAGAACGTTGCACCTGCGGCTCCCGTGGGCATGTCCATTGCGTGGTAAAGCGAGCTTTCGCTAGGAAACAGCTTACTACGAACAATCGACGCATTGTTGGAGGCGGTGGATTCTTAGCGGTTCCTACCGAGGTTATGTAGGGACAGACAGTTGGATGTTAGTTGTGTCGCCAGCCGGTAAGAACGTGAGCACAGAAGCAGAGGAGTATCTATTGTTGGGAACCGTTACCAGGTACCGACTGTTGAAGGCTGAGAAAACTGTATGGGTGTTGCAGTACAGTGATCTGTAGAGTGTGTAGATCCACGAAACTGTTACCAGTTATCAGCCCTAGCGGCTCCTCCCAAACGTCCGCAAATATCTGCCAGAATCCACGGCGTCAATTCCAAGGAGATCGCAGTCCTCGTCGGGTTTGAGATTTCGTGTGAGGCGAAGCTGCGGAGCTGCACGGTATCACAACACGAAAGCCTGCTCTGGGTACAGTGCTGCGTTTCGTGCCCAAATACTGTACTAGATCGTGCATATGTATGTATGTATCTACCGCCATTTTATACATCACAGTACTTTTTCATTTGGCGTTTCTTACTGTCGCGTGTAGAGCCGTTACTGTGCGACGACGACCGCGAGATAGACAAATGTACCAGACCCGTTTCTAGGTAACGGCTCGGTAAACACTTTCCCATAACAACGAGCCGACGCGCAACAATAGAGGAACTGCTGGAAGCGGGTTTTTTCTACTCGGTCCGTAGGGAAGATGACTGGGGCGATCAAGTCAGTTCCGTACGGGAGTCTGTGACGAGACGATTTGAGCGTGTGAACCTGTTAGAAGCCGTTTCTATGGAACGACTGGTGAAGACACAACAGGGTGAAAAAGTCTTAGCGGTTGCTGTGCAGATTAGCGGTGACCCTACATTCTGTCTGTGTGTATGGAAGTTTGTCTCGCAGCGCCAGGAAACTCTGCAGGCTGAGGCGTCGTGTCCCGTGGTCCAGACGCTGGGATCCGTCTAATTTGCGGGAAGACCTTCTGTTCCGGCAGAGATCTTGTTGTGCGTGATGACTATCCAGGAACAGAGTGAAAGCCGTTGAAGAGTGAAAGCTCAGAACACTGCAGCCAAAGAAGTGTACTGATATCAATAAGCAGACAAGTTACATACTGGTCATGTAGGCCAGGCCAGAGCACAGTTCAGATTTCTAACACTCACAGACTACCCTCAACGGGGTATAGGAAACATGTCCCCTCCTTTTTGTCGAGCGCCGGGTATATAAGGGGCACACACACGAAAGAGGGTGGTACTGTGTGCTCCCCCACTACATGTATGCCTCGGCATGAGCCGTAAGTTGCATCGTAATTCTAGGCGACAGTTGGACAACACGTGATGCGGTCGCCCGTTACGCTCTGCACTCCCGACACACAGTCGTGCAGGTGTGACTGCCACACACAAAGTTACCGACCAGATGTGACCATCCCAAAGGGGAGCCTTACTCAGTACAATGCTACGTAACTACAGGTCTCTGCTCAGCACAGTATATACACGACTGTGAAAGGTTACATAAGCAGGGGGTGTGGTTACCCTAGCCGTCCAGGAGGGGAGTACTGGGACCTTAGAGGGACAAAGAGAAGGGAAATGGAAGGAATACAGAGGAGCTCTGTAATCAGTACTCCTCGTCATCATCATCATCATCATCATCATCATCACTGTCATTTAGCGCCCCCTGGAGCACAGGGCATTGGCGAAGCGCCGCCATCTCACGCGGCTGTTGCTCGGCTGTTTCATTCCCAACAGCCAAGGCTTCCTCTTGTACTGTTCTCCGGCCTTCCCGCTTTCCCTCTCAATTGCATTTTCCTTTCGGAGAGTGTGGCCGACCCGGTTCTGCTATTTTTATTTCATTTGTGTATTTCCACAGTTTTCTTGTCATGACTGGCCATCTGACCTTTGCTATTCTACGGAGGCATCGAGTTACAGAACTTTGTAACTTTGTGCATATTTCCTGAGTGACTCGCCACGTCTCACGTCTGATAAAATTAATCTCGCATTGGAGTTGAAAATTCGTAGTTTTGTTCTTAATGAAATATCACTTGATTTGCGAACTTTCCATAGTTGATTAAGAGCCCCATTTGCTTTCGATATTATATTTCTTGCATCATCCTTACTACCGCCCTCTTTTGTAACTGCACTGCCAAGACAAGGGGATTTATCAACATTTCCTATTTCTTTTCCGCCTAGAGTAAAAGTGTTTGTACTTTTATTATTCATGCGCATTGCTCCTGTTTTGATTGCTTAAGCTTCATTCCAGCTTTCCTGGCTTCTGTATATTCGTGCTGCAGGAAATGACGTCTACATCGGCCGCGAAATCAAATCCTCCAGTTCACGTGTATTCTCTTTGTTTGTGTTCTGTGGAAGTTCTACACGTAGATGGGAGGGTAATATTTAAATGGATTTTGGGGAATTTGGTAAGTGGTGTAGACTGAATTTATATATGGCCCAGAATAGGGCCTAGTGTTGGGCTGTTGTGAACATGGCGAAGAACTTGTGGTAATCGTAAAAGGCTTGTACTTTATTGACTAGCTGAGCGACTGTTAGCTTTGAAAGCACTTCTGTTTGCTGTTGGTCAGTTGCATAGACATCGGACACACTTGCGCTGGAGTTATAGGCTTGTGCAAATGAGTGTGTATAATTTTATAGCCCCATTAAAATAAGCATAAAGGTCCTGAGTTCAGATCTGCATCAGCAGACCAGCGATCCTGATTAAGATTTTCTCGTGGCTTTCCCCAGTCTCTCCATGTGAGCATGCGTTGCAGTTCATTGTTCACTCGTCGCACCACGCGGCACATGAGTGGGGTGAAAGTGCAGGAGGGGAGGCGAAGGAGGGGAAGTTCCTTTTATGTTGGTTTGAGGCTCTCTCAGCTGTGGCAGTGTGGCTCCATCTTCTGTGTTTCACTCGACGTTTCCGAAGAACTTCTCGCTTGGCTACGGTTGCTAAAGCCCGTCTGCTCTGTGGACAAGGGCACGTGATACCTCGCATAGGCAACCTGACGGAAGCAGAATCCCGTTTAAGGGTGTATTTCCCACAGGTGTCAGGTGTATTGATACCAGAAATATGTTGAAAATAGAATTTAGTCAATTTCTAGTGATGACATAATCTACGTCATCAGCAGACGGTTCTCATTGTAAGTAGAGTTTGCTTCTCCTATTCCTCGAACTTGAAGATGGTGGCGACATATTCCTCCGAAACCTCGGTGTGAAATCAGCAGACTACAAGTAATTACTTATCAGAAGATACGTCTTCTCGAATCTGCTTTGAGCGCTTGTTACGAAGGCGCCGATGTCTGCACGTAAAACTGCTGCGGGGAATGGAAAAACTTCTAATTGTGCCAAGTGCAATGGGACAGGTTTCTGCCCGATTGACGTCAGTGCTCCTTGGCGCTGCGTGTCAGGGCAACCTTCTCAGCCTTTCCTCTCGTCTTCTTGCCGGTTGGCCTTCAGAGGCGTCACGTCGAACCATCTGGAGTAGGCCAAGGCGCAACCTGTTTGTCCAAGGACGAGCCGGGGTCCCTACCTGTGACACATGAGGACGGATTTAGTATGCATCAAATCTGCCCCTGCAGATGGATGCGGACAGTCTCCGAAACGTCGTACACAAGACCTCGCTGTGTACGGTCCCCATGAAGATTTCTCAACATGACGTTCTCACAGCGGGACTGCAGGGTCACTGCCGCCTAGGCTGTCTCCATGTGCTCCGAAACGTCGTACACCAAGACCTCGCTGTGTACGGTCCCCATGAAGATTTCCCAACATGACGTTCTCACAGCGGGACTGCAGGATCACTGCCGCCTTGTCTGTGTCTCCGTGTGCTCTGTTGCATACTAACGTTTCGGATGAATTTGCTGCTGCCGTCTTCGCAGTAGAATAATAACCCGGTTGTGAAAATAAGAGGGGAGGACTGGCTCTCGAGCTAGCAGACTGCACGGCGTCAGGTCGCACAGGATATACCCACTGTTTACTGTGTTCTGTTCTGCTGTCCACTTTGGGCTCACGACCCCGCGGAACCGAATTCTTCTTGAGAAGCTAACAGTCACTCAGCTGCTGAAGATATTGCCAGTATTCATGTAACCCGGAGATTCATACCGTGTTGCCAAAGGCTCGCCACTAGACCTTATCCTGAGCCAGATGAATCCAGTCGACTGTCTCCGATTCCATTTACTTAATATCCATTTTAGTATTATCTTGCAGTCTACTTCTAAGTCTTCCTAGTGGCATCTTACCTTCAGGTTTTGCTGCAGGCCTCTAATGTGCCGCGGTGTATTCACTGAGGAGTACAAGCCACGAGGCTCGTCCTTATGCAACTCCATCTTCTGTCACTTCACAAAGGTCGTATGACATAGCTCAGGCGGTGAGTGACCGGCTTCCAGCCCACGTCACCTTATTTGGGATTTGTGGTACACACAGTGGCACTGGGACAGGTTTCCCTGCCAATTCTCATTCCACCGACTGCTCCACCCTCATCGTCTATAATCTGGGGCTGT